CCGCCGCAGAGCAGCAGCGAGCCCATGCTGGCGGCTTGGCCGACGCAGATGGTTGAGACTGTGCCAGAGAATCCAAGATGGTCAGTTGCTGGCTTCGCGTTGGAGTCTTGCTGGGAGGGGCGGGGGTTCGAAGCTGTGGTTGGGAAGAGAAAGAAAAAGGGTTTCACCTTCCGACTGGATGTAGGTCATGCAATCGTAGATGGCCAGCCCCGCCGTCACGCTGCCGCCGGGCGAGTTGATGTACAGGTTGATCGGCTTTTCCGGGTTGTCGGCCTCGAGGAAGAGGAGCTGCGCCACGATGGAGGCGCTGACGCTGTCGTCCACGTTGCCGTTGAGACAGATGATCCGCTCTTTCAGCAGGCGCGAGAAGATGTCGTACGTGTGCCATTGGCCTCCCTGGGAGGTTAGCCTGCTTCTTCTTCGTCTTCGTCTCCGTCTCCTTCTTCAGCAGGACGTAGTTGGAGAGGTGCGACCTACGATGGTTTCGGTGATGAATGGTGTAGGTGTCCAGGAATGCGGTGTTGGAGGTGTCGGCGGTGGTCTCTGGCTGGATATCGACCGCAGACCCAGGCGAGTGGTCTGCCGCACCGCTTGAGAGCTGATACGCCTGATTGGAGGAAGGGCGTTCATGGTGGGTAGACGGGATGACTAGATGGACGAGACAGAGAAGCCGATGGGAGAGAATGTTATGTGAACATCGGGATCAACGGCCGTCCAGCAGCTTGAGCAGCAGAAAATGTCTCGACATCGACGCTTTAGCGAGTTCAAGTTGTGCAAAACACGGTCGTCTTGCAGTAAGTTTGATGTTCTTACTGCCAAGGCTGCACCAGGATTTCAACGCCCAATCGCGCGAACACTAATCCAAATAAGGAGAGTGGCCCTCTAATCAGACGCGCCGATTGGCCGGGTGAGTTCATGAGCAAATCTCTAAAATAGATATAGTACTAGTACGTAGTAATTAACCTCTGAGACACATATCTATGCAAATAATATGTACAATGCAGCCACCATGCTAAGAACCATCCAGCTTTTGCCAACACCATGCTCGATCCTGCTTCCGGTGCCAGTATAGACTGCTACTTGTGGTCCCGTTCCCGTTCTCGTTCCCGTTCCTGTGGCGCTAGTTGGGCCAGTACTTGCTATAGATGCGGTGACCCTTCCCCCAACGCCGCTCCAGATGAGGGAACCATAGCCTTCACCAGAAGTTGCGGACTGGGTGGTTTCTGGTATCAGTGTAGATCCATCAACAACCAGAAGAGACGATGATAGCTCCAGACTGTACGTCGTACCGCTTATTATCACAGCTGGTGCTCCTGGAGTCAAAGTCATCCCTGCGATCACAACAGGCGCTGCTGTCAGTGGTGATGTCAAAGTAGTCGTTGATCCGTCAATAACCAGTTCAGAATACCCAGGTGCAAGACTATAGACAGTCCCGCTAATGGTTATAGCTGGTGCTCCTGGCACTAAAGTCGTTCCGGCTATTACAATAGACGCTGCTGTAGGTTGTGATGTCAAAGTAGTCGTTGATCCGTCAATTACTAATTCTGAATACCCAGGTGCAAGACTGTAGACAGTCCCGCTTATGGTCAGAGCTGGTGCTCCTGGCACCAAAGTCGTTCCTGCTATTACAATAGGCGCTGCTGTAGGTTGTGATGTCAAAGTAGATGTTGATCCGTCAATAACTAGTTCTGGCGACACGGGGACAAGGCTGTAGACACTTCCGCCGACTGTTACGGCTGGTGCTCCTGGAACCAAGGTTGTCCCCGCTATCACAAAGGGTACTGCAGTTGGTTCTGATGCCAAAGTGGACGTCGATCCGTCAATAACTACTTCTGGTGACCCGGGGACAAGGCTGTAAACACTTCCGCTGATCGTTACGCCTGGTGCCCCAGGTCTCAAGGTGGTGCCTGAGATGACGACAGGCACAAGTGTGGCCTGCTGAGCAAGGGTAGATGTAGAGCCGTCAACCAGGAGTACTAATGTTGAAGGCGACAAGCTGTAGACTGTTCCTCCTACTGTGACTGGTGCGGCGTCAGGTGCGACTGTGATGCCTGAGATGACCACAGGAGGAGGTGTCCCTTGTGGTGGAAGATTGGATGTAGAGCCGTCGACTACGAGGACAGGCGAAGAAGCTGCCAGACTGTATGTGATCCTCCCAATTGTCACGGGTGCGGCTCCAGGTTGTATTGTCGTGCCAGATATGACAACAGGCTCGAGTGGGGTTGCGGTAGGAGCAGCACCCGAATTGAGCGAGGTGCCGCCAGCATATGAGCTACCAGGTTGCGGATCATCACTTGGTCGAATAGCAGCAGGGGCCAACTCTTTTGGAGCTCCGCTCGGCGTGGGAGCTGCGTCAAGCTGATCTTGCGACACAGGAGGTCGCTCCGCCACCTTGGTTGCAGACACGGATGCAGCAGACGGTCTTGCTGGGGAGTTCGCCCTCGTCTGAACGTCCTGATAACTGGAAACACTTCCGCTTGCTGCTGCGACCGACGTATTCTGGTTCTTCGACGTTTTCTGGTTCTTCGACGTTTCCTGTTTCTTCGACGTTTCCTGGTTCTTCGACGTTTCCTGGTTCTTCGACGTTTCCTGGTTCTTCGACGTTTCCTGGTTCTTCGATGTAGCCACTGGCACCTGAGGATGTACATAAGGGCCGTATCTAGTCTCCGTCGTCGTCAAGGCCGACACAATGCCTATCACCGACTCGCCAACCCTCGAAGGGCCAAAACTTTGTTCAGGATAACAATTGCTCCACTTCTGGGGTAAGAGAGCGGACCAACCTGCAGAATCCAGTGGTGCATAGTAAGGGTTGGTGAAGCCGATCGGCGTGACAGTCGGAACCAGACCTATGGTCGATGCTGAAGCAGTGGTGCAGATGGCTTCGACCGAGCCCGTGTCGCCGTCGGTATAATAACTCTCAAATTCATTGGTGACACTGTAGGCTAGGAAACCCAAGTTGGAATAAATGGTTGGTGAGGTTCTGGTAAAGAGGGTCAGTCCAAGATACAGCCACAAAGACGCACCCAGTGGCCTACATAGCAGTGGTAATGGTGATATACTCGCCAGGGGCAGTGTAGATTGTGGGCTTTAAGGTTATTACCGGCGTATTGTTCTCAACGACTACCCCTGATGTACTCATAAGTGAGTTCCAGAAGCTCGTGGCATCTGTGACATATTCGATTGTAGTGCCGGCCTCGGCGTCGATAAGTGTTCCGTACTTAGTCGTGGTGGAGGTCGTATCGCTTTTGTTGTCGACATCTAGAATGACTGTTGCTAAAACCTGCTCGTCAATCTCCACAACTGGCCAGTAAAACCAATCCTCTCTGCCAACATCTCCTATAGAACAAGGAGGACTACATGTTGGCACTGTGCTAGTCGCTTCTGTTTTATTGGAGTAAAGTCCTGCCACGATCATTTAATAGCCCTCGTTGTATAACCGAAAGCTTGACTGACTTACTGGTAGTAGATGCTCCTGGTACAGTGGCGCTTCTGGCTAAAAGAGCGTGAGTGAGTATGCTTGCTAGAAAAATAGCCCTGCTCGGCAGTCGTCGATACATCTTCTATGGTGTTAAGCTCTGCCACTTCATCGGACACCGCTCTACTTCGCTGAGAGACAGAATTCGGCTTGGGGGCATGATATAGCTTAATACTATACGTAACCCTAGATCGGGATCGAATAAGGATGAATGAGACACCCTGAGCTCAAGGTAACTCAATATCAAGCCGAAAATGAGCAAGGAAATGTCAAAGAATTGATTCTCCAATGGAAGATCATGGAAAATCCAGGCTCATGCATGTCTCGGGGTTCCATAAGCGAGAGGACCAATGGCAGACCAACCGAGGTCGATTAGCCGGATTGGGGGCTCGAAGACAGGATTCGAATGGTGTTTATGTATAGAACTCTTTTCCCGTTTTGGACAGCCTTGTTTGTCTGTTTCACATGACGAATGCCTGGCCAGAAGGACTCAAGCCTTTGGCCAGGATGCATGGCAAATCCATATACGTGGAACTCGCGCACTGGGAGGCATGACGTCTGCAGGCACACATGATACGTACCACAGGACAGGCTGAGCAGCACAGGGGAAAGCACTTTGGTAATGGGCTCGGCTGGCCAGGCATTGTAAAATTACACACGTTGGTGTTGTCCATACAATGCTGAGCAGTACGGAGTAAGTGGTACTGGTAGTAGATTAATGGCAGTCTGAGGCTTCGAGCTTCTATTGTTTCGAGAAATCAGAGTCGATCCATCAAGCTTCGAGGTCAGTTCGGAGTGTGCCAGCCGTTTCACAATTAGATCTCGGTCGAAGTGTATTTGCTACCAATAGTAGTTGATTACCCTGCCAATACATTGATATTACGTCACACAACTTCTCACAATTAAACGTCCGGATCCGATTTGGCACACCATCTTTTGTTGCAGCCACTACTAGTAGATAGAAGTCGAGAAGTACTATGGTGCATGCATAGTAGTAGGCCTCGAAGTCGCAGGCCTGCGGCTCATCCTATCTTCATGGTCAGACCTCTGGACCCCATGTGGCCCGCAGTTTTCTCCCCTCGGAGTGTCCAATCCTGACACGCCCTTCGAATAATGTTGTGGGGTATACCTTCAGCATGATGTGCTGGAGTCCCTCTTACGAGGCCTTAGGAATCACATCTCATTTACCGCACCCGAGTGGTGAATTTTTGGGTCGTTATTTTGTCATATGATGTCTCGCGGCCCGTGTATGTTATGGCTCAACATCCTCGTGGGAAGTCAATGCGCGCTGGTCCGCTGAAGTTAGCCTGCTTGTTGTGCGCTCTGATAATACCGATGGTGTCGGGAGTCGACACTGCTGCAATAGGCATCCCTCCGAGCACAAACTGGTGAGCTTGCGTCAAAGCCGTCGGAACTTGGGGTCTCACTTCCAGCAGGGACGGCAACGATGGACTTTGGTCTTCCTTCACAGTACAGATTGGAACCCCCCCTCAATCTATGAGAGTCTTGCCTTCGACATCTGGCTCTTCTGTTTGGGTAGTGGTAGCAGAAGGGTGCAATCCAGCAACTGATCCTCAAGACTGTCCAGAGCGACGCGGCGAACTCTTCGCTAGCAATGCTTCCTCGAGTCTGGTGCAAAAGGGCTTCTACGAATTGCCACTACAGGCAGAGGAGATACTAGGCTACTCAGGAAATGGCCAATTCGCATATGACCAAATCACGTTGGGAGGCAATGGCGCGGGTGGGCCAGCACTCAATAACACCATGTTTGCTGGGATTGCGACTAAGGACTTTTTGATTGGGACTATGGGCCTCACACCGTGGGGGGTCAATTTCACAGATTCCAATAATCCCGTACCGAGCTTGTTAACATCGTTGAAAAATGCGGGCCTTGTCACAAGCAACAGCTGGGGTTACTCCGCGGGTGCGTTCTACAGTCCGAAACAGACGTCCGGCAGCTTGACTTTTGGCGGCTATGATGCATCAAGATTCGTGCCAAACAATTTGACCTTTACTCGAGGTCCGGATATTGCCCGTGACCTACTCATCGGGATCCAAACCATTACCAGCGGCACCGATAGCCTTCTGCTTGAAGGCGTTGTTGCAATGATCGACTCTACCGTTGCACAAATATGGCTGCCTAATGAAGCATGTCGGCGATTCGAAGAAATCTTTGGCTTAGTCTGGGATGAGACTGCGGAATTGTATCTGGTCAACGACACACTTCACCAGAAGCTTGTGGATGAAGATCCTTCAGTAACCTTCACGATAGGAAGCAACACAACTAGTAGTGACATTATCAATATCGTTTTGCCTTACGGAGCATTTGATCTGACCGCAGACTGGCCTTTGACGACTAACGGCACAGCGAGGTATTTTCCTCTCCGTCGTGCAGCAAATGCATCGCAAGTCGTGCTGGGCAGGACCTTCCTGCAAGAAGCGTAAGTCATCACCGAAAGTCTTAGGATTGTTTGACCTTACCTTTGAACGCAGATATTTGATCGTCGACTATGATCGTAACAACTTCTCCCTTTCACGTGCCGTCTTTCCTGACACGAATGTTCCACAGCAACTGGTGACGATACTTCCGCCGTCTGAGAAAGGTTCTTCGCACGGAAGGCTCGCCAAAGGTGCAATTATCGGCATCGGGGTTGGCACTGCCGCGATCATAGTAGCCTTGATCGCCACCTTCCTGTACTTGATGCGACGAAGATGGCTGCCTAGCGCTCCCAAAATCCAGGTCACAACCAATGCACCTGAGGAGACCAAGCCCGAGCTCGACGCCCAACAAACCCCCAATTTTTCCGGCATGGGCACACCTGTTTCACTGAATAGCACTCCCGTAGAGGCTAAAGGTAGTCAGCGCTTTCCACGAGAAATGTACGATCCATCGATCATACGGCCTGAAGTCCAAGGCGATTCAAGACGTCCTGTTGAGCTGGCGGAATGCGCTCGTGTTGTTCGCCACGAATTGTCCGGATAACAGGTCTTGAGCTGCAGCAGAGGGAGCCACGAAAAAAGAATTGAATAAGTCACAAGGATTGGGAATATAACATAAACCTGCTTTACGGTCCAATTTATACCTCAAAGTTTACAAGCAGAACGTTGTACTCAGAAGCTCCGCAGAGTAGTAAGTTTGATATTGTAAGGATGTCCAAAGGCATCAAAGCGGCTGACGAAACAAGAGGTAACGAGTGACACATACAGATTCCCACTCAGATAAAGAGCCAAAGACAGGGAGAAGCTAGAGGTGAGCGAGAAGAGGAGAAGGAAATGGGAGCACCAAGAGAACATTTCGACCCAGTAATTTGTCTCTGGGTAAGTACCAACTTATCATTTTTCACCAAATGAGCCTTGTGCGTGGTGAGTCCTCAGTCGCTTACTATCTGGCCAAGGTCTTATCGTCACTTTCTCGTTGTCATTCACATCAGCGGTGTAGAAGTTGGGGGATGTGATAAACCTTCGCAGGAGTTGTAGCTCAGAGGGTTACTTTAAGGTTACGCCTGAAGAGGAGGTTATGTAAGATTTTAATCGCATATAGAGTTCTTGAATAAATCCTTTAAGAGATTCTTGACAGCTCAGGTTTTTATTGGCGAGCAGATACAGAGTATATTTACTACAAATTACTATTTTGTGTCACTGATTGAGGAGCATTCCTTATTAAGAATAGCGTTGCTATGATTTAGCGTCATAGCCTTAATCTTCAGAAATTTTAGATCAGGTACTGGTGGCTGGAGTGTGCTGGTGCCTGCGGTACACCGACCAGGGGGTGAATGACACCTTAGCCTCACCCCAGTCAGGGTGGTGAGCCCGGGCAGATTTTTCTTGACTTGGCGTTGATGCTGTAGTTGTGCGAAATGGGACTAGCTCTGCATTTGAACAACAGCGTCCATGGAATTTTGTTCAAGCTACCTAACTTTTACTGACCCTGTTCTCGTAGGTTTTTACCCTCTCGTCTCAAGACCTACTACACAGCAAGTGTATATTAATCTACAGGGACATTACTGGGTTCACTGGGTCATATGTCCACTGGGTCATCTTGTTGGCCAAAATCATATGCGTTACCAAAAGGACGATTGAGATATCGCTCCTCAACTTCTGCTGCAGATATGTACGTGGCCTGGATCTGGAGGTCTGATTCATGACCTTCGAGGGTCGGTATCAAGTCATCAGCAAACTCCACTTGCATTGGATTGCTACAATCCGTTAGCAGAGCACGACCTCGATCCTACCCGAGTTGTACTTACCGGTACCATGGAGCGAAATGAATCATTGCCAGCATGACTCGTGTTTCGTCGGTCATGTTCGGCTTCCCTCCATGCCATAAGCGCAGATCTCGAATGACGATCGAACCTTTCTTCACTGTGGGTTGTGAAGGCGGCCTGATTGCCCTGCGCTCCTCGACCAGGTCCTTCCTGATTCGACCACTTGCCCTCTCTCCGTGCCGTCCTTCTTGGCAACCAAGATTTGAACCGATATGACTGCCAAGCCAGATTTCCGTGCTGCCGTTCTCGGCTGACATGTCGACTAGAGGTATATTCAAGACTAATGCGAATGGACAGTCAGGATGCTTGATGTCGGCATCTGAATGAGTTGGTTGGGACTGAGGAGGTGAGTCATCACTTGGAGAGAGTGCTGTGTTTCCAGACACAAACGACAGCCTTGGTCTAGGCCCTAGAACAGCTGATGTGACTTGTGTCGCGATGGGGTTGAGAAAGATACTGGGCTCGAAGTGTTCTTTGGTGAGAGGCGGATCCTGCTGGATATTTCTGATTGCAGCTCTATCAGTACTTCAGGCAGATCCATACTGGATACTTACCCTTTGTTGTAGTTGTAGGGCATGTTTTCTCCTTTCGCTTGCAAGGTAAGAGCATCCTTGACCATCTTTTTGTTGAGGGTGTCCAATTTGGACTTTTCGATCACATTCTCTAGAACCACGAGACCGTCCCTATGCAAAGCTCGAACCGCAGTTTCGAGATTCTCCCATGTCAATTTTCTTTCTGAAACCTCCTCTTGTGAGACTTGGACGACAATTGGTAATGAAGAGAGTTTCTCCGTCATCGTTCTAACCGGTATCGGCATGCGGAGGCGGAATTCAAGATCTGATCAATATCCAATCCCCATCCCTTCGCTAATGAAGAAACACTGTCTTCTATCGTGGGGTCTTCTAAGGTGAGACGCGGACTGTACTCATGTGCAACAACGTGCTACCCATAGATTCCAAGTCATACCCCAGAATTGACTTGGCCGAGGCAAAGAGAACTGCTCGGCTAAAAGAACGGAAGCGGTTAGTGGAGCCGGCAACTGAACTTGCCAAGAATAAGCCCCCTAAAACAGCAAAAGAAGTCCATTTTAGCTCTCCTCATGCCTTCCAGCATGCTTCGAATGTTCATTCGGGCACAACACAAGGCGTCAATCAAGCCTGGCGGCTCACTCCAGTGTTTCATCAGCAAACGAAGGGACACAAGATATAAGGCCAAGCATTTCATCGACAGCCAAGGCCCGCTTATGAGACATGTGGAATCAGATCCAAGACTTAAGGCCATTTTGCCGCCGCAGCGTGCCCATCTGTCAAACCCTCTGAAAAAAGCAGGTGCAACGACGCACCCAGTGTCTAGCTGGTGAAGCCGCATGTGGAATGGTACCGATGGGGAGAGATCACAAACTGGTCCATGCTTTCCTGCCAGAGCCGGGGCTAGCCGCACCAGATTGTTCAACATGACAGATGAACCACTTACTACACTTGATATCACTGCTTGAAGGTTGTACCTGAAAATCCAATTTCTTCCTCGCATCTACAGCCGAACTTCGAAAGCTTGAAAGCGTTCGGGCCTCATCTACAAGTCTACATGGCGACCGGAACAATTATACAACCCCAGACGACTAGCCTGACTTCAAACGATACCGCAGTGCTGTCTGCCCTGTTTGATCCCGAATCCTCACCCTCGTCATCGATCTCAATCTCAAACGTGGCACCTACTCTACCACACATCCCCAACGCAATATTACCCGACTTGCAACAACGTGAGATAAGCGCAATCCAGTCTCTGAACACCGAATCACCATCACAGCCGTCCATCGAAAGCTCAATATCAGATCTCTCCGTCCTCATCAACGAGTATCCGAAATATGCTCCGGCGTACCTAAACCGCGCGCAAGCAACGCGCCTCCTCATTGGAGAGGAAACCGATCTTTTCCACCCTCGCAACAACGACCTCATATCCCGTGCCCTTTCTGACCTAGAAAAAGCGATATCTCTCGCCTCCCCTTCATTCCCTCCAGATCCTCTCTCGGACCTACAAGCATCCCTCCTCTCGAAAGCCCATACTCACCGCGGCTACCTCTTACTCAAAGCATCGCAAGCAGTCCGTCAAGCAGGGCTATCACTACCTACCGATCTCGCCGGATTGAGCGGTGAAGAATTGGAGGAGATGGCCAGCAAGGATTTCTCGCTTGGAGGCAAGTATGGGAACAAGATCGCCAGGGAGATGAGCGTAAAGACGAATCCATACGCCAAGATTTGTGGTGCGATTGTGAAGGAGGCGATGAGGAAGGAGAGGGAGGATTATGCGAGGGGATACCAGTAGGAAGGCAGCCTGGATGGACCTTCCTGGTTATGTAGGACAACCAGAACCGATGCCAAGCGCGCAGGAAAATCGCAGGGGCTCGGCGCTTACCCAATCCGGCAAACCACCAAATTGAAAAATATCCGCTGTTTTCCGGGCCTGAGCGTATCTTTGTCCTTTGGCGGCGCGTGATGACCTTGGTTCGACGAGGAGAAGGAGGACGGCTGGCTGCGGATGGTTATGCTGTGAACGCGTTATTTGAGTCAGAAGTCTCTGGTCAGCAGATACCTGTAGAAAAGACCTATTCTTGCTTTTCACAAAGTAAATATACCCACCAGCTTTGAGGCGCAGTGAAGAGCTGTAGAGTTTAATTTTTTCAAAAAAAAAAACACCGACTACTTCTCTATAAGACGACAGAACTCTTCGCCGCAGGTTCGCGGAGCAATTGTTCCAGTGGGCCTGAGTAGATCAACCCCACGCCATCGACATGGCGCCCATCGCCTTATCTCCGCCATCTTCCCCCTCCCCGAGAACAGCAGCCACGCAAGCGTCTCCCTCCGTCTCGCTGAACCGGTATCGGGGCTACGACCACGTGCACTGGTACGTCGGCAACGCCAAACAAGCCGCCTCATACTACATGACGCGGTTCGGGTTCCGGCTCGTCGCCTACCGCGGTCTCGAGACGGGATCCCGCGCCGTCGCCAGCCCCGTCGTCAGCAACGGGCATGTGACATTCGTGCTTACCTCGCCTCTACGGAGTCGGGATCGCGCTGAGGGGTTCGGTCGGGAGGAGAGCGCGCTGTTGGCGGAGGTGCATGAGCATCTGTCAAGGCATGGTGATGGGGTGAAAGATGTGGCGTTTGAGGTCGATGATGTCGAGGCGGTGTTTCATGGCGCTGTGGCGAAGGGGGCGGGGGTTGTGAGTCAGCCGCGGGTGTTGGGCGATAAGGAGGGAGAGGTCAAGGTGGCGACGATCAAGACGTATGGCGATACGACGCATACGCTTGTTGAGAGGGGGAGTTATCGGGGGTCCTTCTTGCCGGGGTATCGGTCTGAGGTGGGTAAAGTGGATGCGTTGACGAGGTTTCTGCCGGAGGTGGAGCTGGAGGCCGTGGATCATTGTGTGGGGAATCAGGACTGGGGTGAGATGGAGGAGGTTTGCGAATAGTGAGTTTTGGACACGTTACCGTCCGTGCGATAAGAAGTGGAGACTGATTATTTTTAGCTATGAGCGCTGTTTGGGTTTCTCTCGCTTCTGGAGCGTGGATGACAGCCAGGTCTGCACGTAAGTCACCGTGCAGAGAGAATTTCGGATCGAGCTGACCCTGCCGCAGAGAATACTCGGCTCTGAAGTCCGTTGTCATGGCATCACCGAACGAGGTCGTAAAGATGCCCATCAACGAGCCTGCAAAGGGCAAGAAACGATCCCAGATCGAGGAGTATGTCGACTTCTACTCTGGTGCAGGGGTTCAGCATATTGCTCTTCGAACACGAGATATCATCCGAGATGTGACCAACTTGAAAGCCCGAGGTGTCGAATTCATCCAGGTACCAGATACCTACTACGACATGATGGAGAAACGGCTGAAGAAGCAAAGCATGGTTCTGCAAGAAGATTGGGACACTTTGAGAAGATTGCATATCCTCGTCGACTTCGACAGCGATGGTTATCTGTTGCAGCTTTTCACCAAGGTAGGTCCGTGTGACTCGGGCATGACTCAGTACCGTGCTAACAATAACAGCATCTGATGGATCGGCCAACCGTCTTCATCGAGATTATTCAACGCAACAATTTTAATGGTTTCGGTGCGGGAAACTTCAAGTCCCTGTTTGAAGCCATTGAAAGGGAGCAGGAGCTGCGAGGCAACCTCGTGTAATGTGTCATACAGTGTCCACCGTCCTGGTTGGCCGGTCGAGGCACATGCGAATATGAAGCATATCCAGAGAGGAATCGCGTTATGTCTCAGCGACACCAAAAAGAATTTCGGCAATGAGCGTCTGATAGCTTCAATTGACGCTCCAGAGACATAGCATCTAGGAATTTGTGGTCTTTCACACAATTTGCACATATATTCTCCAGCATATGGCATAAAAGAATATAGTTTGCATGTTCCAAATTCGATATCTCAACCCGCTGGCAGATTCCAGATGAAATCGAGGGCATTCTCGTCGAATGCAGAAAAACCAAAGCTTTCATCAGCACCAAATGGCGCCATGCTCGGATCGAACGGTAGTGAGAGCCAATCATCAGCAGACAGCTCTTGCAGTGGGAGCATATCTGGTCCGTTCGTTGAAAAGTCACACGGCGCTGCGGGAGGAGACCCGTCTGCGAACTTTATGCCATTTGTCTGCCGAGAACCTGCCTCACTTTGGGAGGCACTATTAGACACTGTATGGTTGAGGCGAGACTGCTTTTGAGTTGAAGCCACAAATCCACGACGCAGACGGGACACATGCGTCTCTAGAAGCGTAGCATACCGTGCAGCCAAATGCATATCGTCCAGATTGCTGATACGCATTGCCTGTATGCTCTTGTCCAAAGTGCTAAAGGCGCGTTGCAGCTTTGCATTTCGGATGCCGAGGCTTATTGCCTTCAGGAGGAAGACAGATGAGGTTGTTATGCGGAGAAAGGTTCGCACGGGCGAGAAGCGAAGTGTGTCGGTCTCTGCTAGCTTAATAGTTCTTTCAAGAATCTCAATGCCTCCGTCAATAACTTCGTTGATGAAACCATTTTCCTGACCATCAAGCGTTGTGCGAAGCGAGTTTGCCTCTAGTCCCGAGTCCATCTCAGATAAAGCTCTTTGGCACACGGCTTGCATACCGATGGAGTTGATGTAGATCCTTGCATAGTGATACTCGATGAACAAGGTATCCTGGTATGGTCCCTGAAAATCGTGTGAGTCCAAATGTTTTCTCCGCCACTGCTCCAAGAGAGGTATGAAATGGTCCAAGAGGCTGCTGTAGCGGCCGCTACTCAGCAATTGGCGCGTCACCAATGGTGACGGGAAGAATACCTCTGAAGCGGATTTGACTAGCTTGGTGAGCTCGATCCAGGATGACATGTGGGACTGCCATTTGTCGGTCAACGGAGTAACAGTGGCCATTGTGGCCTGAGTAAGATTCTGTGGGAACATTGATGAACATCCTAATCTCGACGCTAATTGGTTGATGTACACGTAAAGTAGCTTTCGCATTCGTAGCTTGCGCAATTGAAAATTTCCCGGGTCTATCTGGGATTCCATTTGCGATACTGTGGACATTGCCTTTTCATCGTCATCGAAGATGCCTAACTCGTGTGCAAGAGTTAGGGCTGTACCGAGTAACATCCAAGACATTCGGTCAGACCTCCTGGCCGGCTCAATCACGTCTTCTAGCCACCTGGTTGATGTTGCAGATACGGGTTGCGAACCAAGAACTTTGCCATCGCTCTCATTCTGGCTCACATACTCCCAACCTTCTGTTTCATGTGGAAAATGTAAAGCGCGCGGATGCCATTCACAGATTAGCAGTAAAGCTTCGATAGATCCGATAGCCCTTGATCTGGCGTTTGATGATTTCTCTTGTCCGTATAAGATACGCTGGATGAGGTTTTGACAGTGGTGCCAAAACCTTTCATGCATGAAGAAGCCCCTAGAAGCAGCGCCTGGACAGGGTAGTAGATGATAGCGCGAGGAGATCATAAGAAGGACAGTGATTAGAAGTGGCTCTTCGGTGGTGAGCTGGAAATGATGGGCATGATCTTGATAGTAATTCGTCACGATAGGAGAGAGAGGAGACATATTTTGAAAGAACAAGTCGATGAAGGTAACAGCTTCTTCTGCTGAAAGCCAGCCATTCATCACAAATCGAGTTTGACTCCATAGCTTTAAAGTTTCATGGTTAGGCTGGGATAGCTTCACAACGCGTGATGCCGAAGCTGCTGTATCAAGCGACAATACAGATCGTGGAGTATCATAAACAGGTGCTGGGTTAGTAGGCGGAGATTTGGGAAACTGGGCATAATCTGCGAGTTCTTGATGCGCAGCCGCTTCGAAAAGGATATTCAGTGCATCGTTACCATTTGATACAACAGTCTGCATGACAGATTTGGCCAGATTTGCTTTTGGAGCTGCATCTTGTGAATGCGTTTCTGTTGACAGCTGATGTTCTCCTTCATGAGCAACAGTGTCGCTTCCTCGGCCGTCCACTGCTGCGTCGAGGTACTGAGTGTGGTTGAGCCTGTTTGTGAAGCTCCGCCGGCCATCTTGATCATTCTTGTGGCGCTTGACTGAGTTGTAGTTCCTTTCGGAACTGAAGACACATTCCCTATGCTCGCGACGACAACGCGCACAGGGTGGAGAAGAATTGATTCCTAAGTCACACCTTGCTTTGCGCCTTCTACATGGGATACAGGCCTTGTAAGCTCGTTGGAATTCTTTGTCTTTAGGACGAGTCCCTTTAATAGGTGATAGCCTTGGTTGGGACCTCAGAGAGGAAGCGTCGATGTCCATGCGACTCAAGGGCAGCCAGAGTATGTAGTTGTTGGCTAATGGTCACATATGACAGCAGCGGATACTCATTCTCGAGGCGGAAAATCACGGCGGGGCCGAAAATGGATGACAATAATGATGGGAATAACCATGGGGTGGGTGCTCATGTCAGCGTTTCACCATCATCGTCACCAATCCTCGATAACAACAGGCGGAAGTTTACCACTCCTCTTTTCACTTTTCCTGTACATGAGCTATTCTTCTGACACGACCGGACGAGGTCTTCTCGATTTCTATACCCTCAATCATGTCACCTTCCACACTCGAAAAGCTGACTCTCACTCATACTTTTTCTCCGCTTACGCATTGCTCCAAATCTTAATTAGTTATACGTTGATCTACTGAAATACGAGCACCGCTCTGCATCATACCAGAAAACTCAACCCCTCCAATCTGTGCCTGCTCTGGTCGTTCCTACCGGCAAAGACGATCGATCATTCTGCATCGGTCAATCTGTAGCTGCGCTTAAATATCTCGAGGAAGCATACCCCGAAACGCGCAGGCTACTGTACTACCACTGATCCCAAACCTTGCTGCCAGAGCTGCTGTCCGCTCACTAGTCCAGATCATTGCCTCAGACATGCAGCCATTGACCAGTCTGCACATCATCCGCCGGGTTGGTAAATTAGGAGCAGATGCGGACTCATAAGGTCGCAATCTCACGATAGCGGGCCTAGGCACATACGAAGCCGCAATCGCGAAGACGGATGGATAATACTCTTATGGGGGACGAGATCAGCGTTGCGGACTGCTGTCTAGTGCTCGCAGTCTAGGGTGCGCAGTGCTATGGCGTTGACACGATGCCATTCACTAAGATCATGGAGGTTTATGGGAGGAGGATGGAAGAGTCGGCTGTCGAGAAGGCACATTGGAGGAATCAAGAAGATACACCCGAAGAATTTGAGACATGATGCCTTGTATGCTTCCATGGTTGACGTGCATACAGCAGAACAGAAAAGAGAACGACCGACATTGGATGAGTTCGTTGGCTCAAAACTTGCAACGTATGGTCACCACGATGACCCACCAGCTTACACAGCTAGCCTACCATGGCTCGAGTTCGTTCCCAGAGACTGCTTGATTTAGTGAAACCCTCCACCCGCTCTACTGCCTTGAACAGAATACTCACTACCCTGAACCCAATCCTGACCACTTAAACCTGTCAAAGTCGCCGCTACAGCAAGATCCATTCCTGCGTCCTTGAGACGGCTGTGCTCGGGATAATGACTAGAAAATACCTACCGACGACAATTGTGGGCTGTTTTGCTTTTGGCTGGGGCGATTGTGCTAGGTATTTGATGGTATATTTGTGGCGAATGTGTGAGTGTCAGCGTGAAAAGGATAAGAGTTCTTGAAGATCCAAGTCACGAGAGTAAGTTCGTCCTATTCGGTATCAAATTGCGTATCGAAGCCTCCATGTAATCGATTACTCTCATCGCGTATCGACCCAACGTTGCCTCATAGTGCTATCTTGACATACTGAATCCTACGAGTCAGCTCATTCTAAGTGCCCATAACCAACAAGAACGAATGACAACACTTCCACCATACATTACCAAACCATGCATAAGGCATTACTATGCTGACCTTTCCTCCGAGTATCAAAGACCATATATGCAGCAATGGACTCAGTCACCAGAAACACCGGACCTCCAGCAATACTCACGAGACAATATAAGAAATTAAAAACACATTCACTCTCAATTGGGGACGGTGGCTGAGCGGTATCAGAATGGCTTAATTGCCATCCTCCTACCTTCACCCACCAACTCGCAGTTGTTCAAGAGAAATAAAATCGGCTCCACACGGTTTCCTCTCGCGGCTTGGTCTACTTACCACTCTCCCTTCGGGTTGAGAGAGGTCTGGGGATCCGGCTGTCAGGTTTTTGTTACTTTGGCAAAGACAATTCGTGGAACAGTTCGAGCCCCAGGGAGGGGAGCGACATTTTCTCGTTTTTGACTACTTATTTCCATTTTTGTAAATTCAAATACAGCAATTGTGTTTGCAGACTTAAGAGCTCGAAACCGCAATAGGGGCGGGAGAGGTCTTTTTCCCACCACCCGGCCTCAGTCTGCGATTCCTCATGCAGTAACCCATCTGCTGGGGACATCTGGATATAGCTGGAGGGCTGGCTTTGAGAGGAAGATAGCGTTGATTACCGAGCAGACTGGGAATGGAGTCACGGTAGCCCATCCAAGCATGGCCTACAAATTCGTGCTGGATGGCTTGCTCCCGTCTCAAGACCATGACAGAAAAGAGACGGGCTTGATGACATGCGCGGAACATCTCCAAAGAGAACCAGAATCCACATAACAAAATTGATGAAGTATGAAACTATGGTGCCCCAAAGCCAGACCAACAGTGGGTTACACGACGCAAAGACGAGACAATGATTGCAAAAATAGCCACCCAGCCATTCAAATCTACCACCTCTCCCTCCACCCCTCCGCCTTACTCCTCAGCCTCTCCTCCTCCCTCCTCCTCTCAACCCCCCTCCTCCACTCCCTCTCCAACACCTCCCTCATCTCCCGCTCCCTCCCCTCCACCTCCTCAACATCCACCCCCTCCCCCTCACAGGGCTCTCACAGCCCCGCAACCCCAGAAACCGACCCCAGCGCCTCCTCTTCGTCTCCAGGCTCACCTCCTCTGCCCCCGTCTCCTCACCACGCCTGTCCACCCACCCCGGGATACTGACCGGGTACTTATCCGTCTCCCGCACCGCGGGGACTACCTGGTGGTAATACACGGCCAGCTCGTCGAGCTGCGCATGCGTCAGGAGGTGGTATTGGAGCAGCGACCGCGGGAATGTCGGGTGGGGAAGGCCGGTTGTTACGGAGATTAAGGGGATGAGGCAGGTGGAGAGGTGGGAGAGGGCGTGCGAGTAGGTTAAGGTGGGTTGGGTGGGTTGAGGACGGTGGTTCGAAGGTGAGATGGTGTGGGTTAGGGGTGAGCGGGAGCGTTGAGGGGAGGGGGAGCGGCTGCAGGAGCGGGAGCGGCGCTGTTGTTGTTGTTGTTGTTGTTGTTGGTGTTGGTTCTGAGAAGGTTTGGAGATGCGGTGGCTGTGGCTGTGGGTTGGGGTGGTGCTGAGGGCTGGACGGAGTGGGAGAGGCCGGATGATCGGGATGCTGTGACCGGTGCTGGTTGGGGTTGTGCTGTTAGGCGAGAGAAAAGAGGAGCAGCGCCGGGTGGGCATCACGGTCTGGATGGACGAGATAGAGCTCTGGCGGCTGTGAGGGAGAGGTGACGAACTGCCGAAGAGAGGGAATGAAGGCGTGCAAGGAGTGGTGGGTGTCTCGATTGGAGAAGTCTGGCCCTGCATCTTTTCGCTTTCTTTTCTTTTTCCAATGTGCTCGAGAATGTTCTATACGCTTCAGTTGCTCAACACGCTTGCAGGTTCGAGGGTCTGTGGATGTCAGCCAGTCTTCGTTGACGATGAATTTGCTTGGTGGTGGTGGGTGATGTGGAGGCGGCACAACACCAGGGAGGGACCACGAGGCAAGTTGTACACATGGACTTGCACAAAGACAAACGGGAGCTCTAATTTCGTCTTCACCATCTCCTCCCGTACGTCCGATCTTGGTCTGGACCTTTCACCTGTTGAAGTTATCCATTGTCTGGATTTGAGATGGCCCTGCCCATGTCAAATACTGTTTCTTTGTCAGGTGTCCAGAGAGGGTCGTTGCCACGTGGATGTGAATCTCGGTCGGTGGCTATTCCACCTGGGGCTCAACAAAGAAAGCCATGTGCTTCCAGAATATCTCTGGGTGAGCAGATGGTCGCGAACAAAAGAAAGCATGCGGGATCTTAGAAAGATGCCTGTGCAGGGCCGGTAACAATTTTGAGACGCATGACGGAAAGGATAAAAGATGAAATTGCATGAGAGGAGAGTTACCAAAGTTGGTTGCAAACCAAGACAAAGGTAGAACGGGGAAAGGGCTAAAGAACTTTTATTGCTCTTCTGCTGCATGATTAAGCATTCTCGTGGTAAAGACCCTCCGTTCAAGCTTGCTGGGAACTCATTCTAGCAAATGGCCACGATCCGACTGGGTGCCAACTGAATGCTCCTGCTTCCCATCCCAGCCAGTCAAACAACCGTGAGAACTTGTTCCAAGGCAAATTATTGTACAAGAATGCATATCGACGTTGAGCATACGGCCTGATTGCAGCACATGCATTTGACTAGTCCGCAATACTGGCACGTCATGTCTGTCATGTCTGTGCAAAGTGTGTCGGAGCTGTCACCAGGGCGAATGCTGTTGCACTGACCATTCAAGAAGTCTCTGAAGCTGCCAGATCCGCGTCTGCTTTGACTTCTTCTGCTGACTTCTCAGCCTCCTCGGCAATTGCACCAGAAGGAGCCTCATCATCCACCATCTTGTCCACAACAGTCTCCTTTGCATCAGATGATGCCTCGCGCATAGTCTCAGTGCCCTGGACAGCATCCGTGGCAGCAGACGATACATCCTTCTTCTCTTCGCTGGACTCTTTGTCCTCTTTGTGGACTCCGTTTGTGGTGGGCTGGTCCTCTTTGCCCCCGCCGGATGGTCCAGCGGCCTCGTCTGCAGTGCTGTCAGCCCCCAATGCTTTGTTCCATCTCCCTAGCAAATCCACTGATCGGCTCTTGAAATTGAATTCTTCATCTTTAGGGATGGTGTTGAGCTTGATGAGGGCCTTCAGAACTTTGTTAATCTTGGTAGAGCGAATGATGCTGACTTCGAGGTCACCGTAATTCTCGAGCTTGCCGATGAAATTAGACATAGTAGCCATTTCACTTTCCTGAGGCGCTTGATCGCGGGACAAAAAGCCCTTCTGGAGTTTGTGTCGTAGGAAAAGAACTGTAGAGAGTAAGCATATGATCTGCCATACGCTGCGCTGCACTGCACGGTCTTTACCTTCTTTCTCTTTCTTCGCCTTGGCTTCTGCAGGGTCAAGCTCCTTCTCTGGCTCCTTAGGCTCCTCCTCAATAGGTTCCTCATCACTAATAGCAGCTTTCGATTTCTTCCTCTCGGACTTTGGCTTTGTCGCTTTCGTGACGGCTTTCTTTTCGTTGGTACCAGGTGCTTTTGGAGTCGTGAGTTTTAGTTTGGTGGCAGTTTTAGGCGTTTTAACGGGCTGGTAGAGACGCATGTCAGTACTGGAGCAAGTCTTCCCTTGGTGCCAGAACAAACCTTTTCCTCCTCTCCGTCACTTTCAGCCTCCTTCTTACGTTTCTTCGAGGATTTCTTCGGCTGTGGCTTGCCCTCCTCTTCTGCATCTTCCATATCGACATCTTCGTCTTCCTCAGCAGCTTCGCTCTTTCGTTTCTTCTTGTCAGCGCGATCGGCCTTTCCGGCTTTCGCAGCTTCTCGAGCTTCACGTCGCTCCTGGTCCTCCTGCATTGCCTTCTGATGGTCCAACAGCATGGCCTTGAAGTGTTCAAGGTTGTGCCCTTCAGCAGCCACATGATATGCTTGTATCAAGGATTTCGTCTTGCCCTTCTCCGAGACGTCTTTGCATTCTTCAATATCGAGCTTCGTGAGTTCTGTGTTAGGCAGCCATGCACTAATCGCACTGTTAGTACGTAGATTCTCAAAAATATAGAAGCGCACAACTCGGCAACTCCGTGTAGATTAAAAAGAAAATGTAGCTCACAATTCGTTGGTGTGCAAGAACATGATCGGGAATGTACGCTCATGGACACGTTTTCCACCGTCAGCATAGGCCTCTTTGTAGGTACCGTCAGCCTGTTTTGTAGTCACTGGTCGCGTAGAGAGCAGCGAATGAGGTAGCATTCCTTCATCGCAGATGATGGCAGGCCATGGAGGATAGCTTTTGAGACGCGCAAAGTAGTATTCGCCAGGCTGCGCATCAAGGTGTGTGATCTTTGGAAGGGACTTCTTCTTGTTGAGCTTCTTGGTTTTATGCTCTGGCACGCCACCGGTCGACTTGCGTTTGCCATTTGGTGGTCTCTTCGACGTAGATGAGGTGCCGTTGGCCTCTGCCACACTATTGGAGGTAGCTGGAGGTACAAATGAGTTGTCGCCTGTTGTATCTCCGTCGGGCAGAGTGGAGTCTGCAGGCTGAACAATGCTGTCAGGAGCTTCGACAGGGACTTCGACTGTCTCGTTGGCTCCAGGGTCTGTAACGCGTGCGCAGTCGCTTAGTATAAATTCCTTCATGGAGATAGAGAGTTTATGGTATGCATACCTCCAACATCCTCCGTGTCCTCTGGACTGTCTTTCACATCTGCGGCTGGTAACGCTCCAGACATAGAATGGACAGGGCTTGAGTTGGTCTCATCAGCAGTCTGTGATAGGTTTGCAGGAGCGGGCGCAGAAGCAGTATTCGGACCGCGACTGGTAGGAGCAGTTGGATCAGTCTCCATGATCCGGACGCTGTAAAGAATTGTTAGTAATGGTACAGAGAAAGGTTAGAGAAAGGCTCAAAAGAAGCTATCACTCCAACTCTGCTTGACACCGCGCTCACTTTTAGGACGCGCTGTGCAGCTGAGAGATAACCAAAATGAAATGACAAACAGGTGAAAGCAGTGAGAAACGGACTGGTAGCTTACGTACGATGATGCGGATTGATAGGTCTAGAACGGGCGGATGGTGGTGGATGGGGGTGAAGATCGATTGTTGGAGAGTTGATTTTGGAGTGCAAGATGTTAAGCTACGATGGAAAAGAAATGACGAGCAGTGGGAACGCGCTAGGGAGGTGGCCGGAGAGGATGAATTTACAAAGCCAAACTTCACAAGCAGGCAGAGACCAACACACACGGGGTGGGAGACAGCACTTTTTGACAATACTATTCCTTCACTGCCTTGCCGCCGTAGTGTTCCTGCTGTGCCAAAGACCTTCGCCAGAATGATCGCAGAATGATTGTGCTTCCCATCCATCAATCATATCGTCCTGGGCATCGTGGGTCCGATTGACGGAGGCTGGGTCGACGCTGCCTTGGCACCTCCTCCTTGCACAGAGCTGCGTTCCAGCCGAGGTGGCAAACTGTGCCGCCTGCCCTCTGACCACAAGGGTCCATCATATCTGTTTGATATCGTCGCATTCATCCACCTCTTATCTCGATCATCTCGCAGGTTGTTGTATAGCTTGGGTATTGACGCCATCGATAGGTGGGTTTCCTATTTGGTTCTGCTTGCCATAGGTAGGACGATTGTCTCATCATTGTCTCGTCGTCGTATTTGCGTATTCACAAACCTGCTGTGAACAGAGGCTTTGCCCTAAGATGCTGACTGTCGCAGCGGTCCATGCAGAGGCTAAAAGCGAGCCACCAACAAGAGGCATCCCCATAGACAACTGCTTCTCATCAAGACCTCTTTGCTTGCTAAGTTTTCTGACCATCTCAATGGCAAAGAACATCTCTTCAGCCTATTTTGCGTGCAACATTCCCAATTCCTCGGCCAACAATGCTCACGATTACTTCGTCTTTGCTTTGGTCCTCAGCATCACGAATGCCCCAACCTGCTGCCCCAAAATTGTTGAGATCTCTTGCAAGTTGGATGATTTTCTCATTCCCGATGACGTCTTTCCCAAGCTGAATGCGACCAATGTCCTCAGACCCCATTGCCATGAGAGTGAGCATCGTCGGAGCAGCCTCAAGAGATGCGCATCCACCACGAGCTATGCTTTCAAGCAAATAATATGCACATTGCTGACCAATATCTTCCGGAGGCTGACCTCCAGCTGGTGGAGAGGCTGCATCAGCAGAATAGAGTGTTCCAGTTGAGGATTCAGCGACAAGCGAAAGACCAAAACCCAGTCCCACCTTTCTCTTTGCCCCAGGGTTGTTCTTCTCTGGGGCTGCAATCAGTGCCGCCGACGAAACATCGGAAAAGATGTATGTATCTGCTGCGAATGGATTCAACACCCCTCTTGCCGCATCAATCATTCTTGCGTTATTTGAACCTGAGACTCCTGTAGAATAAGCAACACCCCGAATTCTCTTAATTCTGCCACAGTTCATAAAGTGTAATGTCTTTGGCAATCTGATTTGATGACCAAAGATTATCTGTACTTCTCCAGCCCCTCCTCTTCCACGCGTGCCGGCATTGGATCTCTGCAGAATTCTCAACTCGATATTCCGATCTATCCCAAACTTTGAATATAGTGGTAGTATGGCAGTGCGGACAGTATCAACGCTAATATCGCCTGAGAGTGTGCTAGAAGTAATGACTCCTGGCCCAGTCAAGAGGACATTGAAAGGTGCTTTGGAGAATGGAGCGAGGAGAGCAAGCGGTACAAGGAAGTAGCTGGCACCTCTTAAGCATGTTGCTGCTATTTCGTGACGAATGGCACTCTTTCCGGCCGCATTACCACTAATCAACCCGGGTTTGTAGAGTAGAATGGTCCCCGTGTAGGATATTTCAATATGTGCTCCATTCGTCACTGCTTCAAGCAGACGAAGCAGAGAGATCTCGTGGGGAGCGAGTCCAGGATTCGATGGTAACGAGGGACGGATCTGTGATATGTGAACTGCCCTACCTGTGAGGGTGGATAAGACTAAACGATGCGCAAGAGAGTGGTGGCCAGTAAAGCGCAGGGGTGGTTGCGATTCGGACATCGAGACATGGAAAACTCTATCAGAGTAAGAGATCGTATCGGTATCCACTATGATACATAGTCGAGCATGGATGAGTATGGAAAAAGTTCGAAGAATACAAACAGAGAATTCATTCCACGCTCGTGCCGTCTAAGATTTGCTGCGGGGAGAATAAATGTGCCCGCTTGACTACATAAGAGCTGTGATTTACCACGATTTCAATCCGATTTCTTGAATATAACCAGTCTCGAGCCCAAAAGCATCTATTCACTTTTACATACTACCAATCAAGACAGACTACAGTAGAAAATCAACATACCGAGATGGCAATGCCATTGAACTTACCTAAATGGTATGTATATAATCAACTTAAAAATGACGCTTGCCGTACGCTTACAAACCAACAGGCTCGAGAAGAACTCTCATCTACTGAAGCCTCCCGTTAACAATCATTGTGTCTACCACCCGTCTTCGCCCGGAACTTCCGGCCTGACCGTGATGGTTGTGGGAGGACCCAATGCCCGCACTGACTATCATATCAACAGCACACCAGAATTCTTCTACCAGCACCGAGGATCCATGCTTCTCAAGACAGTCGACACGTCCACCACGCCTCATACGTTCAATGACATAGCCATACATGAGAACTCGCTGTATTTACTGCCGGCAAATACGCCGCACAACCCCGTACGCTTCGCAGATACCGTGGGGATAGTTCTGGAACAACCAAGGCCGAAGAACTCCCTTGACACATTGAGATGGTATTGCATAGACTGCAGGAGCATCGTACACGAAGCCAGCTTCCATTGTACCGACCTGGGCACGCAGGTCAAGGATGGTGTTATAGCGTTTGAGAATGACATGGAGGCCAGGACCTGTAAAACATGTGGCACCGTCGCAAATCCACGACCTTCAGAAGGAGAAATCGAGCAACCACCTCGTTTTCCACCTGATTAAGACTGGCATAGGCCATTGGATAGTCGAATGTCGAGTGCGAAGGACAGTGAATCCTTCAATGCCCTGATCATCTTTCCTTTCAACTGTCTTCCCTGGACGTTGTGCAAAACCATCAAATCATCCTGCGGCCGCTATGAGGTTCTTTTCGCGCAAGTCTTGGTGGTCCCTTGTCGGACGCGCCGGATGTTCCATTGAGAAATCTCGTAAGACGCCAGTCGCAACTTCGATCGCACTCTCTGGAATTCCGGCCAGGCGTGCAACTTTCAGGGCATGAGACTGACGGTTGACACCCTGTCTCAACCGGTGGATGAATGAGAATGACCCGTTCCCATCTTCCACTACATCCGTGCAATATCTGCCTAGGCTTTGGAAGTCTTGAGTCATATCAGCGAGCGCATGGAAGTGAGTTGCAAACAGGGTTCGACACATGTTTATGTGATATAGGTGATGTAGACAGGCGTATCCGACTGCTATACCATCTTCGGGCGTCGTGCCTCTGCCAACTTCATCCATGATGACGAAAGACTTTGGCGTAGCGTGTCGCAGGATTGCTGCTGTCTCCAGCATTTCAACCATGAATGTAGATTGGTCTCGAAAGAGATCATCCGCCGCACCGATACGGCTGAAGACTTGATCAACGATACCGATTTCAGCATATTCAGCAGGCACATAAGATCCGACCTGAGCGAGGATGGATATGAGAGCATTTTGTCGAAGGAAGGTGCTTTTTCCAGCCATGTTTGGACCTGTCACCAGCCAGATTCGCTCTTTGGGTCCCAGAAAGAGATCATTACTAACAAAAGTTCTGCCTTGCTCTTCAAGGCCCAGCTTCACCGTTGGATGACGTCCTCCGATGACTTTGTGTTCGGTTCCTGGGTTCAATTTTGGTCTGCTCCAAGACTGTTCGTCTGCTAGAGTGGCAAAAGAACAGGCCACGTCTAACTCGTCCAGAACAGCTGCATTCCGGCGGAGTTTGACAAGCTGTCTGATAACTTCTGACCGCAAGCTTGCGAAGAGACGCTGTTCTTCATTTCTGATATATATCTTTGCCTGATCAATCTTGCTGCCAAGGCGAGACCACGAGGTCAGATAGAAAGATCTTGTGGACTTCGTAGATGAAACCACGCGAGCGTTTAGTGACTCAAAAGGAATTTTACTGGCACCTCTCACGTGACAGATGTGTCCTAGGCCCGGTGTCCATTTCAGAGTCAGTGTGGGGGCTTCTAACTTGTTTCGAAGTTCTTGTGCCAAATTGAACTTTTCGTGTCTGAGGCTGTCTAGATCTTCGTGAAGTCGCATGAGGGATTCGCTGGCTGTTCTTCGCATCATCCAGGTGTCCTCAAATTCCGAATCCAGGTCCTTTGCTTCAGGCGGCTTCTTGTTCTGGCGAACTTTTTGTGGCATCGTCTCAATCTCTTCCGGCAGAGCGTCACTCATTGCAACCTCCTGAGCTAGAGCTGCCACACTCGCGGCCTCGCTTTCTTCAAGACGATGCTTTTGGTTGAGTCCGTCCTCATCGATTGTTTCTAGGATTTGGTGACCGAGCTGTGTGGGGCCATCTAGCTCCAACCGCACCAAAAGAGCGGGTATCGCCGAAGAGATCGATTCATTCGTAGAATAATCTTGCTGCACTTTATGCTCTAAGCTTACCTGGATTGCTTTCGAAGCTTCGATGGCGCGTGCGAGATATATTAGATCATCAGCATCTCCCTTGTTCAAGGAAAATTTTTGCACAAGTCGTTGAGCATCGTAGCTATGCTGCAAGAGGTGGATAATATCCTCTCGTAAAGTCAAATCATTCAGGAACGCAGTGACAAGGTCGAGACGCACTTCAATCTCAGGTACAGATGCTGAAGGAGAGGCAAGACGATCACGAAGTAGTCTTGTTCCACTTTTTGTGCTGGTTCTACGAACAGCGTGAAGAAGGCTCCCTTTGCCTAATCCATCACGAGCAGTCTCAAGAATTTCTAGGCCTCGCATGCTGTTTCGGTCGATGGTCATTGTCTCTTGCAGCACTTTGCGTCGAGGCGGCTGCAGCTTCATCTCCAGACCTTGCAGCTGACCTGCGACATAATCCAGTAGATGGTGTATTGCAAACATCTCTTCTGAAGTGAAAGCTGCCTCTGAATGCGGATCGATGGGAGTTTCTAATGTGTGATCCCATTCAGAGAGCGATGTCTTATAATTACCGCAATGATGTGTGGTAGTCAGAAGGTGTCCTTGGTCAAGGATTAATTGTAGCAGAGGCCGATTTTTGGCCTGCCAGATAGGATCGAGAACGACTTCACGAGGACGGATCCGAGCCAGTGCAGACGGCAACAGAGCAAGGGTGGTAATTTGCGTGAAGAAGTCCCCAGTAGATAGATCCAGCCAGGCCAAACCCAATTTCTGCCCATGCGCATGTGCCGGTGTATTCTGATGTGTGGATTCCGACGAGACATCTTGTTGGGCTGAAGCCTGAATTGCTCCAGGATGCACACTGAGCAAGAAGTTGTTTTCAAAGGGGTCAATGAACTTCTCATCAATTAGAGTCCCAGGAGTGATTACTCTGGCAACCCTACGATCGAACAACAAACCACCGGACTTGACCTTACCGGAGGTGGCTACCGGAAACTCTTCACTTATGGCGACATGCTTGTTCAGGTCCTGAACCAACGTTTTCAAGAATCGATCAAGCTGGAAGAATGGGAAACCTGCCATTGCGACAGGTCCGGCACTGGTTTTCTTGGAGGCTAATTTCAGGTTCAGTAGAGGAGCATATTGCTCCGCATGCTCAAAGTACAACTATAGAACATGTCAGAAACTTCGTCGTCCATATCTCCTGAGTGGTAAGCACCTCGTAAAAGTTGCCCACTCTTGTCAAAACAACACAATCATTAAACTTGATCATGTTATTTTTAGCGCCTTGAACTACAGCAGGGTACTGAGGAGCATCGTCTGGCTCCAATTCGGGTAGCGGGTCAATTCCAATCACGCCTTGAGGGAGATCCTGGACTTTTAGCGAAGCCTTCGTTTTCGCACCTCGTGCCCGCACTGAAAGCGATTCGTTGCATGTCGACGGACGGGCACGTCTGCAAGTATTCGAGGCACTTGACAAACGGGGTCTTGAGATGGCCTCGAGGATTCTAACGTCGCTTGATGTTAGGAAGGGCCGTTTTGAATAGAATGCTCGCATAATTGTCTGCTATGAAGTAAATGGTGAATTTCGAGAAAGATAGATGCGGTCCATCGGCGTGGGGCCTTGGCGTCTGCGGAGCTATCTCATCCAAATGAGTTTATATTAAGTTTATCCTGCTCAGTAAGATCCAAAGTGTAATTGAATCATAGCACTTTATAACCCACCTATGGCTAGCGCGTTCTTCAGTGTCTGCTGGAACTTGGTTACTAGGGGGGGGTTGAAGTGATGTTAGTCAGGTACTAGTAGCGGCTAGACTCGTTACCGGATTCCAGTACTTGTACTATGATTCGTCCGTATAAGCTATCTTGTACGTAGCCATTCTGACGAGCTAATTTGTCACATCTAACTTCTTTAGACGTAGCTATTTGGCGCAAAGGACGTTTATCAGTAAAGATACTAGCGCCCAGCTAACATTACTCCAGGCCTCCCCCGTTGTACATGATTAGACTCGATCATCGTGTACTTAATGCTCGCCATCCACCTCATGGCACTCAACGGCATCTCGCTCGAAGTCAGCACAGTAGTTCAACTTGGTCTTACGATACTCTTCACGTGTGCGATAACCTTGAGTGGCTGACAGTTGAAGATATCCATGTGCGACACGGAGCCTGAAGAGTCGTACTCCGCAGCTGATCTTCGGTAGTGACCACGTGACGTTAGTCCAATTCAGTAGCGACTCATAAGTGAGCCTGCAGCTTTGCAACCTGCTCCGGCTGCAGGAGCTCCCACAGCTCGTCGACGAGCTCCTCCGAGCGCTGCTCGGTAATGATGCCGCAGAAGTGCGCAATATGTAGGAGCCCTGCCATCGAGTCCCGCAGATGCCTTCGGTTCTTAATATGTGGGGGCAGGTTGAACGAGCCGAGGAATTGGACCGGAGGACCGTATCGTTCCCAAACATTCTCCCACAACTTTTCTTCAAACCACACCGGCCGACAATGCTAGGCGGGAACCTGTCCCTCATACAGCGCTACCGTGTCCATTCAGCTGGGCGGCTGGTCATCTATTGCCGCCTTTGCCACCCTCTACGCCCCATCCCAGGGCCCTTCCTTGCATCCATCAGTCAAGCATGGATCGTTTTCAAGACCATGACTGGTGATATGGAGCACACGCAGCGCGCGCATTGCACAGAAAGCATGTTATTGACTATAAATGCACTGATGCAGTTACCCCCATAGTCTAACGAGTCAGGCTATCTCGTTCGCATCGCACCCAACGAGGTGGCCTGGTCCGATCCCGAAGCTGTCAGCGTAATGGCGTTGTCATGCAGTAACTGCTTCCACAACATTTGCTGGCACATCTAGACTATATACCGCACTAAGACCATTTTCACCAAGGTACTTGATCTGTCGCCCACTTTTACAAGCCAAGCTCACTCTGTTAGACCGATTACTACGATGCTTGGGCCTCACCGAACAAAAGAGACGTAGGTCATTTCCCTGCGCGCCACGAAAAAGAGCATTCCGAGCGCCGGCGCATCGTCAACAATATCTACTCGGTGTCCAGCATTCTTGAATCCGAAGAGGCTACAGACTCGTGCACACAACTCTTTTACGCCACCATACGCGACTTCACAAAGCAGAGTCCGGTGGTTGATCTGTGTCTACGGATCAATATGTAAGCGAACCCTTGCTCCAAATGCCCAACCATGGGAACCTATATCTCGCTAAGGCTTGAATTATGGTAACAGGCTGACTTGTCTTGCAGGTATGCCTTTGACGTACTTGGTGAGCTCTTCTACGGCAAGATGTTTGGCTTTATGAGCGAGTGCACAGATATCGGTAACTACATCAAAGCCATAAAGTCTCTGCTTCCCACGTTCACCATCGGCGGCACTCTGCCGTCTTACCTAAGTAGATTGTACCCTGTATCTACAAAGCTTGTTCTCGCCATCAGTTCGCGGGACCTTGGGAGCTGTCAAGCACATTGAAAACGCCTCCGAAGCCGCCGTGAAAAGGCGCAAGCAGGAGATTGAAGAGCATAAGGACGATAAGAGCGATATGCTTCGGAAAATGCTCGAGATTAATGCCGACTGAGGAGAGAAAATCGATTTCACATATTCACACATTGCGTCAAATCCCACAGCTCGCTGTAAGTGCGTGACGATTCCCAAGATTTTCCGCATAAATTTTGACGAGACTTGCCCCAGCTTTGCCGGTGCCGACACGACCGCTATTGCGATCATTAGATCCTGTACCACCTGATGTGCAACCCAGCCGCCTACAACAGGCTGACCGCCGAGATTGATGCAGCCGTGGCTGACGGTACGCTCTCTATGCCCGTTGGCTATGCGGAAGCGATCAGGCTTCCTTATCTAAAGGTGCATTAACGAGGGCATGCGTTTACACCCGAGCATCGGGCTCATAATGCCACGACTCGTCCCTGTCGGCGGAGCGACCATCTCCGGCTTTTATTTCCCCAAAGGCTACCGCGTCGGCGTCAACGGCGCTGTTGTACACTACGATAAGGATATCTTCGGGCCGGAGGCTGATAATTTCAATCCGGACCGCTGGATCAAGGGCGACGCTGTGCGGATGGACAAGATGATGATTCATTTCGGTGCCGGGCCGCGTACCTGTATTGGCAAGAATGTGAGTGTTGCCTTGTGTATCGACTTTCGTAAGTACGTTGACGTGTTTCGCAGATCTCTCTGAGCGAGATATATAAGCTAGTCCCACAAATCATTAGGGTCTTCCACATTGGCCTCGCGGATCCAAGCAAGGAATGGAAGACGCACAACTACTGGTTTAACAAGCAGACCGAGGTCAACATCTTCATCAAAGATCGGATGTACGGGTCGAACTAGCGGACTCTGTCCACGGTTTGCTCTTGGACGATCATAGGAAAATTTGCGGGTCAGACTTTCAGTGTTGTGCTCTGCTTTTCTTGTGCTGGTATCTTCAAATACTGCTCAGCGTGTAATTATCAGCGACCTCATCTGTGCGCTCTTGAACTGGGTTTTCGTACATGGGCGCGACCGCTTTCCCAGGGCGTAGGCTAAGGATATGTCACAAGGTATCAGAATGTGGATGGTAAGACAAGAAGATGATATATAGATTAGCTAATGGCGGATTTGGACGGGTAAGGTCTTTTCAAAGTTAACCAATCTTTGGTATGATCTCTTAACTTGCATATAACCTGTTTGAATTATGGATGTCTTTAAACATTTCTGATGTGATAAAATAAAACATTTAACATTAACTATAGTTATAACTAATTTATCCAAACTTTATCCTTAGATGTCTAGCTATAACAACCGCCCTAGAATTGATGCTTTACATAAGCTGTTACTGTTCATAGTATCGGTAAGGCTGATGCCAAGACATTGTTGTGTTCTCTCTGATGATCATGAAATTTGTTAAGTACAGTAGTAGATCACGACTGGCACCATAGGTAAGATTCATCCAATAATATGGTGGCGTTCGCCGCTGAGTGCTTACTGGTAAACTTGAATGGTGAGGCAAAAAGTGCTCTCTGACGTCGGGTTCTTCATGGGTTTGTCCTGAATAAATCATCACCCGAAGCTGCTAGACGGCTGTCGAGACCTCCGGTTTGCATTTCACAGGAAAACCACCTTATTGTCCCTCGATATCAGCTCCTTTCGCGAAAGCCGAGATGGCCGATCCAAACAATGTCTCGCAGTACAAGTACTCGGCGATGTCCAACCTGGTCCTCCAGGCGGACCGTCGATTTGTCACTCGTCGCAACGATGAGGTCACAGGTGACCCAGAATCCTTAGCAGGCCGAATCAATATAAGAGATATGGGCTCAAGGACGGATCGTGAGGACGCCCCAAAGCAGAAGAAAAAGGCGGGGCTTAAGGACGTCGAAAGGGGCTCAATACGGGAAGGCGAGGATGTGCTTGAACGGGAGCAGAGGAAGCGAAAAAGGGGTGAGCCAGCCCAGATGAGAGGAGCAGGTATCTTGTCTGCTGGTGAAGCGCTGATCGAAGGCATCAAGTATCGACCTAGAACTCCTGCCACCCGAGCGACGTATGACCTTCTCCTTACGCTGACCGCAAATGCTTTGGGTGATGTGCCTCATGAAGTCGTCCGCAGTGCCACCGATGCAGTCCTTGAAACCCTTAAAAATGAATCTTTGAAGGATTTTGACAAAAAGAAGGAGATTGATGATCTTGTAGGCATTTCTATGAGCTCAAAAGCATTCAACGAATTGGTGAATCTCGGCAAGAAGATTACAGACTACGATGCGCAAGACGATGACGAGAATATGGACGATGATAATGGTGGTGACAACGGGGCAGAGCTTGATGAGCGACAAGGTGTTGCTGTCGTTTTCGACGAGTCAGATGAGGACGAAGATGGTGCCGCCCGAACCTATGAGGTCAGGGATGAAGGGGAGCCCTCCTCGGATGAGGAAGACGTTGAAGAAGCCAGAGATGCGGTGAGCGACGTCAAAGACCCGGCCGATCCTGATGATGCAGGTGGCGACGATGCTTCTGATGGTGGTATGGTACTCGATGGAGGGCTCAACAAAGCTGGTAGGCAGGATGGGGCAAATTCTCCAGACATTCTGCAAGTTCACGACATTGACGCTTACTGGCTACAAAGGCAAGTTGGCAATATTTATACCGATGCTCATGTCCAACAGACGAAGGCCCAAGAAGCGTTGCAGACCCTTTCTGGAATTGGCCAAGAGGGCGAAGAAATACCCCTCCGCGATATCGAGAATGACTTGATGGAGCTCTTTGACTACGAGCAAGCGGAACTGGTAGGTCGACTTGTGTCAAACCGCCACAGAGTGGTTTGGGCCACGAGATGGAGGCGTGCGGCAGAAGACGACGATGCAAGACACCTAGTCGAAAATCAGATGATAGAAGCAGGGCAGTCAGATATCCTAGACGAGCTTCGTGGCAAGAAATATAAAGGTGAAAATGATGGCACACATGCGGCGAAGAAAATGAAGATGGACTTGATGGACATTGACATTCCGAAGCCGACCACAAACGGTGGCACTAAACAGGAGCAGAAGGATGGAGAGCTCGTGGGTGGCTTGCAGCCAAAACGACTGGTCAATCTGGAAAATTTGGTCTTCGATCAAGGCAATCATCTCATGACCAACCCAAACGTCAAGTTACCCCAAGGGTCTACAAAGCGCACATTCAAAGGTTACGAGGAGATCCATGTACCGGCACCGAGGCCGAGGAGGGAGCCTGGTGAGAAGAACCTCCCCGCCTCCGAGCTGCCTGATTGGGCCAGGCAAGGTTTTGGGTCTGCGAAAGAATTGAATCGGATCCAAACCAAATGTTTCCCGAGCGCCTTTCACGACGATGGAAACATGCTAATATGTGCTCCGACAGGGTCTGGGAAGACCAATGTTGCCATGCTTGCGATGCTGCGTGAGATTGGCAAGAATCGCATTCCAGAGACTGGGGAGATCTTGCTTGACGACTTCAAGATAGTGTATATTGCGCCTTTGAAAGCTCTGGTCCAAGAACAAGTTGGTAATTTTGGCAAGCGCCTCGAGCCTTATGGGATTCGTGTATCAGAGTTGACAGGAGACCGACAACTGACCAAGCAACAAATTGCGGACACCCAAATCATTGTGACTACCCCTGAAAAATGGGACGTCATTACGCGTAAAGCAACTGATCTGAGCTATACTAGACTTGTGAGATTGGTCGTCATTGATGAGATTCATTTACTCCACGATGACCGTGGACCCGTTCTGGAAAGCATTGTCAGCCGAACGATCCGGAAGATTGAACAGACAGGCGATACAGTCCGCTTGGTCGGGCTCAGTGCGACCCTGCCAAATTATCGTGATGTTGCAAGCTTCTTAAGGGTCGATCCAACTAAGGGTCTCTTCCATTTTGACGGGTCTTATAGGCCATGTCCACTGAAGCAGGAATTTATTGGAGTCACCGACAAAAAGGCTATCAAGCAGCTGAAAACCATGAATGATGTCTGTTACACGAAAGTGCTCGAGCAGGTCGGTACAAACAAGAATCAGATGCTCATATTCGTACATTCAAGGAAGGAAACAGCGAAGACGGCAAGATATATTCGCGACAAAGCAGTCGAGATGGAGACCATCGGACAAATCCTTAGGACAGATGCAGCTAGTCGAGCAGTCCTTGCAGAAGAAGCTCAAAGCGTATCGGATGCGAGTCTCAAGGACCTCATGCCCTATGGCTTCGGTATACACCATGCTGGTATGAACGTTGTGGATAGAACAGCCGTCCAAGACCTTTTCGCAGATGGATATCTACAAGTCCTCGTCTGTACCGCCACGCTCGCCTGGGGCGTAAATTTACCAGCTCACACGGTCATAATTAAGGGAACTCAAGTATATTCGCCTGAGAAAGGAAGCTGGGTGGAGCTTAGCCCACAAGATGTACTGCAGATGCTCGGGCGTGCTGGACGGCCTCAGTTTGACTCATTTGGTGAGGGCATTATCATCACTTCTCAATCCGAAATTCAATATTATCTGTCCCTGCTCAATCAACAGCTCCCTATCGAAAGCCAGCTGATGAGCAGATTGGCAGACAATTTGAATGCCGAGATTGTGCTGGGCAACGTCAGAAATCGAGATGAAGGCGTGGAATGGCTTGGCTACACGTATCTATTCGTGCGCATGCTTAGGTCACCTGGTCTTTACAGCGTGGGACCGGAATACGCTGGTGACGAGGCTCTCGAGCAGAAGCGTGTTGATCTGATTCATTCTGCTGCGACTGTGCTCGAGAAGGCCAGTCTAGTCAAGTATGACAAGAAGACAGGGAAGCTTCAGGCGACCGAGCTTGGGAGAATTGCATCGCACTACTACATTACCCACCATTCTATGCTCACATACAACCATCACTTACAACCGATGATCAGCACTATCGAGCTCTTTCGGATATTCGCCCTTAGTGACGAGTTCAAGTATATACCCGTTCGGCAAGATGAAAAGCTCGAACTGGCTAAATTGCTTGGTCGGGTCCCAATTCCTGTCAAAGAGAGTATCGAAGAGTCCCAGGCGAAGATCAATGTTCTCCTTCAAGCCTACATCTCCCGACTCAAATTGGAAGGTTTAGCTCTAATGGCGGATCTGGTCTATGTCACACAATCAGCTGGACGCATCTTGCGAGCTATGTTTGAAATCTGCCTGAGAAAAGGGTGGGCCTCAGTTGCAAAGGTTGCTCTTGACCTCTGCAAAATGGCCGAGAAGAGGATGTGGCCGACCATGACTCCTCTGAGACAGTTCCCAATGTGTCCCAAGGATATTATACATAAGGCAGAACGTATTGACGTCCCATGGTCCAGTTATTTTGACATCGATCCTCCCCGGATGGGTGAGCTGCTGGGTGTGCCAAAAGCTGGACGCATAGTGTGTGAGCTGGTTGCTAAATTCCCGCGTCTCGAAATTCAGGCTCAAGTGCAGCCTATGACGAGGTCAATGCTTCGAGTAGAACTCACAATCACACCGAACTTTACTTGGGACGATAGCTTGCATGGCACTGCAGAGAGTTTCTGGATTATTGTCGAAGATTGTGATGGAGAGGACATTCTCTTTCATGATCAATTCGTACTACGAAAGGACTTTGCTCTGTCAGATATGAACGAGCATCTTATTGAGTTCACCGTACCCATCACCGAACCGATGCCTCCAAATTATTTCATCTCTCTCATTTCAGATCGATGGATGCATTCAGAGACTAAAGTGCCAGTCTCATTTCAGAGGCTGATACTTCCAGAACGATTTCCTGCTCACACACAGTTACTGAACATGCAACCGGTCCCTGTTCAGGCCCTCAAACGCAAGGAATACGTGGCTTTGTATCCACATTTTGATCGATTCAATAAGATACAGACTCAAGTCTTCAAGTCACTCTTTGACAGCGACGAGAATGTCTTCGTTGGGGCACCCACTGGAAGTGGAAAGACCATTTGTGCTGAATTTGCATTGCTGAAACATTGGTCTCAGCCAGAAGCTGGGAAAGCAGTCTATGTTGCACCCTTCCCGGAGTTGATTGACAATCGTCTTGCTGAATGGCAAGAACGCTTAAAGACTCTTGCTGGTGGCAAGACTATTCTGAAATTGACCGGTGAGCTCACCTCAGATCTCAAGGTCTTGAACGAAGCAGATCTTATTCTTGCAACGCCAGTTCAGTGGGATGTTCTTTCGCGGCAGTGGCAGAGAAGAAAGAGCGTGCAGAACGTTCAGCTGTTCATCGCTGATGAGCTTCACATGCTCGGTGGCCATCTTGGGTACATTTACGAAGTCATAGTCTCGAGGATGCATTACATTGCCCTGCAAACGGAGCACCAGATGCGCATTGTCGGTCTCAGCGTTCCGCTTTCAAATGCTCGCGACCTGGGAGAATGGATTGGAGCGAGCAAGCACACAACATTCAACTTTAGCCCACATATCCGCCCAATTCCGCTCGAGTTACACATACAGTCTTTCACCATCCCGCACTTTCCTTCATTAATGATGGCAATGGCACGACCTGCGTATTCCGCAATACTCCAGCTTTCTCCTGATAAACCAGCATTAGTATTCGTTCCTGGTCGAAAACAAGTCCGCGCCACTGCGTTAGACCTCTTATCTGCCTGCATTATCGACGATGACGAGGAGCGGTTTTTGCATACGAGCACTGAAGAGCTCAAACCGTTCATGGAACACATCAACGAGCAAGCACTGGCAGATTCTTTATCTCATGGCATTGGGTACTACCACGAAGCACTATCGACCAATGACAAGCGGATCGTATCTCATCTATTCAAGATCGGTGCTATCCAGGTAATGTTGGCTTCTCGAGATGTTTGCTGGGAAATCAATTTCACTGCTCATCTTGTCATTGTCATGGGGACGCAATATTATGAAGGCCGTGAGCATCGATACATAGACTACCCCATCAGTGACATTCTGCAAATGTTCGGCCGAGCTTGTCGACCATTAGAGGACAAATCAAGCAGAGGTGTTCTCATGGTTCCTGCTGTCAAACGAGAATACTATAAGAAATTCCTCAACGAAGCGCTTCCGATTGAGAGCCATCTCCAAATTTACCTGCCTGACGCTTTTGTCACAGAAATCAGCACGAAAACCATTGCCTCTACTCAAGATGCTGTGGATTGGACTACCTACACCTACTTCTACCGTCGCCTCCTCGCTAATCCTAGCTACTACGGCCTCAACGATATCAGCCACGAAGGCCTCAGCGCCCATCTCTCCGAACTCGTCGAGAACACGCTGAAAGAGCTTTCCGAAGCAAAGATCATTGACCTCGACGAGGAGGACGACAGTGTCTCTCCATTGAACCCGGCGATGATCGCAGCCTACTACAATATCTCCTTCATCACCATGCAAACCTTCCTGCTCTCTCTCAATGCACGAACAAAGCTCAAATCCCTCCTCGAAATCGTCACATCAGCAACTGAGTTCGAATCGATCCAGATGCGGCGCCACGAAGATCACATCCTCCGCCGCGTGTACGATCGCGTCCCCGTCAAGATGTCCGAACCCGCCCACGGCTCTCCGCACTTTAAAGCCTTCGTCCTCCTCCAAGCCCATTTCTCCCGTATGCAACTCCCAATCGACCTCGCCAAAGACCAAGAGATGATCGTCAGCAAAGTCCTTAACTTGCTCAGCGCGTGCGTCGACATTTTGTCTTCGGAAGGCCACCTCAACGCCACCTTTGCGATGGACATGTCGCAGATGGTCGTACAGGCGATGTGGGATCGAGATAGCCCGCTGCTCCAAATCCCGCATTTCACCTCTGAAACAGTCAAGGTCGCGGCCGAGTACAGAATCGAAGATATCGAGGAGTTCATGGCCAAGATGGATCCGGCTGAGAATCCGGACTACCGAGCATTAGTCAAGAAATTGGGTCTGGATGGGAGACAATTACTTGAAGCCGCCGCATTCACAAACGAGAAATACCCCAATATCGACCTGGCCTTTGAGATCGAAGACCCACAGAACATCACCGCCAACGATCCCGCCTATCTCAAAATCCGACTCATCCGTGATCCCGACGACGGAGAAGAAGAGGAAGAAGAAGAAGGAGAACGCGGCTCGGGTAAAGATAAAGCAGATGAAGACGTTGACACCACCGTGCACGCGCCCTTCTACCCGCTCCACAAGACGGAGAACTGGTGGCTCGTTGTCTCGGATCAGAAGAATAAGGCCCTGCTGGCCATCAAACGCATCACGATTGCCCGCAAGATCATGCAGGTGAGGTTGGAATTCGTGGTGCCCAGTCCGGGGAAGAAGGAGTTGACGCTCAGTTTGGTGTGTGATAGTTATGTGGGCGTGGATCAGGAACATCCGCTTCAGGTGGAGGTGGCGGAGGGGATGGAGGAGGATAGTGATGAAGATGAAGATGAGGGGGGAGATTGAGACTCTTGTTAAGGTCTTGAGCAGAGAAGGAGAGTGGGGGCAGGGGATGATGCTGCGGGTTTCTAGACAAAGATTGACCTATGTGCTTATGCATTGCGAAATGCGGTCTGTTTATCCCGTTATCAAGGTAAATGCATCTTCGTGACGTGTTAGCGCATGTTATCACACTCAAATGATTCTTTCTTTGCATCTTTGTCAGGGTTTGTGTAATATTTCACTTTTTACTGTTGGCCTAATGCGTATCCCTCCCTACTCGCGCACCTCTCTATGACTTCAACAGACGTGACAGAGCAACTACTGAATCTGAGCTTGATCACTCGTCAACCTGGACATAATTGGCAGGGAACAAGCCAGATCTCCCCTTGTACTCGCCCAACCACCAGTCTTCGTCTGGGAACTCCTGCCCTTTGGTCAGCAGTGACACGTCAACGCACGTCATTTGCTAACGCTTACCAGGTTTATAATCGTGGCACCCTCTGGGAAACTGATTTCATTGTCCTCTGGAAAATAGTCAGCCCATCATCTCCTTGCGTGGAGTCCATCTCTGAATGCTCACCTGCTGCCTCATAGTCGTACAACGCAGTTGCAGTGGGCCCGGTTCCGCTGCCACCTGGTGGACCAGCAGCGGTTGCTGAAGGGGTTGGGTCAATCGTCGCTGATGCTGTTTCATGAGTAGGAGCGTCATCATCTTGATCTTCAACGAGCTCAACATAATTGGAGGGAAAGAGTCCAATCTGTCCTCTGGCATTTTCCCCCATCCACCAATCTTCGTCAACCATGTCGATGTTGATGACATACTCGCCTTCTTTGAGCTCAATCTCGTTGTCCTCTGCAAGAAAGTATTAGATCCGGTTTCAAGACTTTCATGTGGAAGAATATTTTTGGCGACTCACCTGCGACTTCATAGTCATACTGCACCAACGCTCTTTTGCCTCCACCACCCCCAGCTGCCGAAGAAGCAGAAGGTATATTTTCCACCGCCTCCTGGCCGAATGTTGCTGCTGCGGTGGTCTGCGCCTGAGCCCGAGCAGGGTCTGGTCCAGTGTCTGGTTCGTCATCCTCGGGTTCGGGTTCAGGGGCATTCTTTTCCATCGATCGAATAGGCATGGCGGGTGGTGGAGACATTTGCTCACTATGGACATTTGCAATTTCAGGCACAGTTCCACGAGCTACAGGCATTGCTACCCGAATGGGAGAGGTAGAGCGCATCTCGGGCGTTGGAGGAGTGGGACTACGAGGAGGTTGCGGTGGTGGAGATGGCATTGATGGTGCAGCCTCGCCGCCTGATGGCCGTGTGGGCAGACCTGGGATTGGGATGCCTCGGTTCGGTTTGTTGCTTGTATCAGGCTCAGGTGCAGGTGCAGGTCGGTCGACGTTCGGAGCAGGTGCTCCCATTGGTGGTGCACCGCTGAAACGATCTCGAATGGAACCAACACCACCAGCAGGAGATCGCGGGGCCTCCTCTTCAATAGGCGACTGTATCTCGCCAGTTTTCTGCTGCCCGATACTGCTTCCAGCCGATTTACCAGTAGGTGTGGTTTGCACGGGTGCCCAAGACCTGCCCGCGTACCCACTCTTCCATTCCCCACCGCCGCTAGTCTGTGATTGAAGAGGCGATTGCCCGGAGTAAGATGGCTGTATGGCATCAGCGGAGCCGCTCAACCCGCGCTCACGAGCTTTCTTCTCCGCCCAGATCTGAGCTGGAGTTTTCCCACCTTGATCTGCGAAAGTCCTGCTCGCGGTTCCTACAGGCGCCGCAGCAGATAAGGGCTTAGCTTCGAACCTGCCTGGCGTCGGCGCCTTAGTGCCGGTAAAAGATGCGCCGCTACCAAACTTGTTGGCGACCTTGGGCTTAGGCAAGGACGTGAGCCTTTCCGAGGTGGAGAATGCAGCACTGCGCTGTGACACTGGCTTCATTTCTGCTCTTGTTTCTTCTGCTTTGCCGCTTTCGTTGACAGCTGCCGCTGCCACAGGCGGTTCGGAAGGTCTCTGGGCCTTTGCGCGAATTGCTGCAATGTCGACCTTGCCGACAGGTTCGTAGGACCCTTTGACGACTTCAGGCCTATCGTCATTCGATGCACCAGATTCTTTGGCTTGTCGCCTGATAGCAGCAATGTCAACCTTACCAACCGGCTGGTATGTGCCTTTCACAACACCTGGAGGGGATTCGTTGCTGCGATTGTCGTTGGGTGGCTCCCGCGGTTGATTCTGCGAAGAGAGCTCCCTCATGTTGACCTTCGTAGGCTGGTATGCTGGCTGGACCTTTTCCAATTGAGTCCTTGTGACGGGCGGTGCATCCTCACCCCAGCCATCGTCATCCACAACATTGGTTGATCTCGAGGCGTCTTGCCTGCTGCGGGCCATTGGACTATATCCACCACCACCTGAGCTTTGAGTGGGTGTGAAAGCTGGTTTTGAGGCGACGGTGGGCTTGGTCGCCGTGGTGGTAGAAGGTGCCCCACTACCAGCTGAGTACTTGGAGCCTGACGAGTCCGCAATCTTCTGAATGATTCCTTCTGGTGTCAGATCTCGGTCAGAGCGCGCGGTGACTTGTACATGATATCCCTAACAGCACATCAGCTTCCAGAACACATGGTCTCACTTCAGGATGTTGGCTTACGTGGAGAAGCTTGGAAACAGCTGCAAGGTGACTGGTAAAGTAACCTTTGGTTCGTTCTGGGACACCTTCACCGCACCAGGCAACAAGTGCATTCTTGGGCAAGCCGGTATTGGGATCCTTGACTTTAACGTAAGCAAATTGTATCCGTCCGTCGGAAAAGTCATCTATCAAGTCCACAAGTTCGCCCTCTTTGAGAATATTAGCCCAAACTCTGCAAAGTTTCGGAGCCGGAGTGCCTACCTCCTGTACTCTGCACCTTTAGAACGCTCTCCTTGCCACCTGAATCTTGTTGGAAAGCATTCACCAGAGGTGCAGATACTGCAAAAAGTGCCCACTGTGCGTATGTTGGAGAGGCAGCCGCTGCACCCGAGGGAGCCGGCGCATCAACAATGGATTTGTAGCTTTTCGATATTGAGGGCCCATTCGTTGATAGGTTCAGAGACGCCATAGCTATCCAACAGCAGTCAGCATCAGTCCCAAAGGCATCACAGCCCAGGTCGGGCATTGGAGATACCTGCAAAGCGAGTCTCCAAGAAGGCGAACACACGCACGATTTAATAAGCACCTTCACATCGATACCAGTCGTTAGTGTTGTAGAGGGATGTCATTCGACCATAGCACCAGATGCAAGCGAAGATGCAAGCGAAGATGCACTCGCCATTCAAACAGGAGACCTGCCCTCCCAACAAGTGCTGAAGGTTCTTGGACTGCCAATGTGCAGGCCACGAGGATGCCAAGAGTTGATGTTCTTGGCCTGGGAAGGCGCTTACCCTCTTAAGAGTAGCTGCGGACATTAGTATCCACTAATACCGTAGTACCGATATCTAGCTGCTGCCGAGACACTTGTCCCTCGATTGGTTAGTACTAGTGGTAGTAGTTAACCGATCACTACTACTAGTAGTAGTACTACTGGACCCAGCTGTTGAAAGTGAAGCGTTCTTCTGCACACTCTACTCCGTACAAATCAACCACTTTCCCACCTGTTTGATCCAATCCTTCCCAACCTTGTGCCCAACTCAGGTCTATCGGCGTGTCAGACACCCTGGACCAACATCCGCACGCAAGCAGCAATCGTCCAGGCATGATCACCGTCTTGGAATCCAAACACCCTGTTTTATGCTGCCTGCGGTCTTGAAGTATTGAAAATTCAGGCTCCTGTCCACTGCCCTCGACGTGGAGTTTATTGGTGTTCCCTGATTCTCACTAGCTTTTTGGAACTTGGTTCGCCATTTTCTCGTGGATACCGCATCCGGGATTGACCCTTGTACCCAGCATCCCTCAGGTTTTCGGTTGACAACATACTCATTTGGTTGAATTTCATGTCTCTCCTTCTTAATTTCATACCCATAATATCTATTTGGTCAAAGTGAGCCGTGCAGCCCATCGAAGCCCGCATTCTCATCTTCCTGAAAGCATCCCCTCAAAAACGCCTGTTGCGCACGTTATATCCAGCATCGGTGCAAGCGAGGCTCCGAATCCTTAGCTTGATACTGAAAGAGCAATGATTTTGGTGCCCGACAAATTTGATGCTGATATACCCGGTTGTGGCGATTTGGGTCAGCCTTGAGGGAGAGACTGAGAATACACCACAATGAGCGAGAGAACCCTATCTCCGTTCATGGATCACACTACTATGCCGCAGAGGAGGAGCCTGGACGGCCTTACATCCCCAAGAGCCGGACAGTCAGAATCAGTCAAGCGGAAGTGGTCCCCACACCACTCGATCTCTAGCACGATGACCCTGACGAGTCACTCTGAGACCCTACGGAAGACTAATACCACATCATCCCACGAGGAAGGCTCACCTCGAGGACCAAAGCGTGCCAGAATAGATGAGAGCTTGCCTGCTCAAATCTCCGGAGCTGATGTCATACCGTGTATACCGAGTATACCTTCGGATAGGTCACATTTACCAGGAGAGCTGTGGCAATATATTTTCACATTCCTTCCACCAGTTTCTCTTGGCCGAGTGATGTGTGTCAACAGGACCTTTAATAACCTGCTCGCACCAGATGGCGTACTTCAAGCTTCAAAGCTTGCTAAGCATGGAGCGTTGACCACGACAGATCAAGAGCATCTGTGGTCCCTATCGCGTCGAGCCTTCTTTCCGGGTATGCCTCGTCCGCTGTTTTCCCGGTCTGAGCATGGCACATGGAAACTCATTCGAGGTAACGGGTGTGAATTTTGTGCGAAAAAAAACACTAATATTGTTCCACCTGTCTCGACTTCGCCTTGGGCAGCGGGTCCCGGCAATGATTATGTTCGAGTGATCTGGCCTTTTGCTGTGCGATCATGTGGCAATTGCCTACGCGGACGCTTGCAGAAGGTCTGTCTTCGAAGGCCATCATTGCAATGTACCATTTCTGACCCACGTGATAGGAAACGGATCTACTTTTCTCCGCTTCCTCTGCCTTGCTGCCTGCCCTTCCCTTTGCATTTTTTACTCCATCTCTTAACTATGTTGCTTCCATCACCCTGCGAAACGAACCTCCTCCGACAGGCTTGCAGTTGACCAAGTGGTATTTCAAGCCCCAAGTCGACGATATGAAAGCCAAGTTGGACGAGGTTAGGGAGCTGGGTGCCGCAACCGCCGAGGAATGGTTCAAAGGTCTTGAAGTTGATGGCAAAGAGAAAGCGGCTGATACGGCCCGCTGGGAACATTGGGAAGCAGCAGGAGGCTTCCAAGCCATTGCTCATGGTGTTCCTGACTCTCGACCTCTGCAGCGGCCGGATCGTGAGTCTTACCATCATTCTTCCACTGGTCCGAGTCCTTCAGGTTTTGGGACGGCTACAGCGAATACTTTTGAAGATGCCAGGCCTAGTCAAGCGCATCCCTGGGCTATTCAAGGTATGTGCATCTATTACAAACCTGCATTTCTACATTTTTATTGTTACAGCGCTGACAGCGATCAAGCTCCCCAATCTACATTGCCTCCTAAGCCGGCAATTTCCATCTCCCCTTATGGATTGACATTCCCTAGCACCACGCAAAGTTCCTCTCTACCCTCAACAAAGCCCTATACGAGGGTCGAAAGAAGTATTCACGATGTTAATGAGAAGAAGAATGCTAGGCGTCTTGAGATTGAAAAGCGTTGTGCAGAGCTCAATCCACCGATTAAACCTTCGACGTTGGCCCTCATGGAATCTTTCGCAGCAGCACTTCAGATTGCAATGCCTCTAACTGATCAAGCGTGGGAGCATCTTAGACCACGTTTGCTTGCACAGCGTGAAGTAGCGGAACAGCAAGAGCGAGAGCAGCTCGCCAAAAATCAATTCTTGATACAGCAGGCCGAAGAACGCAAACAACAAGAAGCTCAACTCAAAGAAGCAAAAGAAATTCTGGATCGGGAATGGGAAGAGTCGCAAAAGTCCGTCCGTGAGAAGCTGGAAATGTATGCAGACACTTTTGTCCGAGAACAGTGGCAAAACGGGGATGCAATTACGAAAGGTTCTTGTGCACAATTCGCAGCTGACATGCTCCTGCATGTGCGCCACCGGTTTTACACCTCCATAGCCCAAGAAGATGCACACAAGCGCTCCATGGGTATCCCAATACCTATAGACAGTCCTCAAGCTACTCCGACTCGGAAATTAACACTGGAAAATATGAGGTGGGTATATGAGAACAAGATAAAGCCGTTTACCGAGCACTACCAGAAAGAGCTGTTTCTGTGCAACGCATGTGACAACCACGGAAAATATTACAGCCTTGACTCTGTTGTGCAGCATTTCGCGGCTAAACATACCGACAGCCTCAGTATGGGTACTGCTGTGGTATACTGGAAGTCTGACTGGCCAGAGCTGCCACCATTCGATCCAAACCCTACGGCTGCGAGAGCGTCGATGTATGTTTCGGCGGTAAACGCTTCGCCAGCATTTACCTCAGCACAGTTCATGCACAACACTCCATCGGCTTCCCATGGCCATGCAACAGGCATGCACATTAACCCTGAGCACTCAATGTATCCAGGACCGCACATTGCAGCGCCCGCTTATGGCAGGCCTGCGCAGAGCTATGGAAGCGTGTCGCCAGCCTATCAAGAGCAACCATCTCCGAAAAGCACCTTCTACAGGATAGATCAGGCAGCTGTCCGAGGCTACAATCCTTCGCCCATTACCACCTACCCAGCCGCACAAGTATATGGCCATCCGCAGGCTCCCAATCATCAGGATTGGCGAGGACAACAAGCGGCAAATAACGCCACCAATTCATATCAACAAGCTTTTCCTGTATCGTTTCCAAACCAACAACCCGACTTCAGTGCAAGACCAGGATCTGCTTTATCTCAAATATCCCAGAACCCTCCCTACGCAAGCTGGCCTACCGCTTCCAATAAATTCCCTCGACCGCTACAACAGGCAGTCGTCAAGCCAGCAGTCAATCCTGTTCAACCAGGACAACCGATGGGAATATATCAAGTACAAATTCAGGAGCTGGCCAAAAATGCAAGAGAGATTTTTGAGGGCACTTCTGACGTAGCAGAAATGCCAGACAGTGTTCGCGTCCAGGTAATCATCCGTCACGTTGTCCTGCGCTTCAAAGATAAGTATACGAATGAGCCGAACTTGGCCTTGTTCACAGATGGCCTGAACAATAACTCGCAAATGGCACCGATGCGAGCCTTGAGCGGACTATCGTGTAAGGCCTGCGTAACTACGAGCAGGATGAGCGGGACGTACGGTGAAGCGGTAAAACGAGACTCAGATCGCAGGATGCACACGTTGCCTGCTCTCCTAGCTCACTTCCAGTCTGCTCATGTCGAACACGTCCAACCCATTGCAATTTCGTCTGGTGGCGTCGAAATGCCAAGGCTTGATTGGAAATTTGATATGGTTGAGATGCCTGATGCGGCTGTTGTGCGGAACCTAATTTATTCGCGTGGAATTACTCAGATGAAGCTCAATCTCATCGCGACTGTTCTTCCAAGCTACTTCCCATCGCCGTTACCTCAAGTTGAGCCGCCCTACAGTAACAACGATGACCCTGCGTTCGCTGAATCGGAAGCTGGAAAGACACCACTAGCTCATGACTTTGCCGGAAGGGACAGTCGTACGACTCAAGCACTGACCGATGGCCCTAGCCCTGCTCCAATGGCGGAGCATCTGATCGAGGCGGTTGACCGTGGTGATTCTCAGCAATCAAGATATCGTCTGCTTGACAACACGAATCAATCCGTACCGAGACAGGATGAAGAGTCGAGGGAGGACGAATACGATCCGCATCGCCCTGCGTACACGGGTGCACTAAAACCAGAAATTCGATCACAAATGTCTTACGAACCAAGTAGGTGGGATTTTTGTCATGAAAATGAGGACGCACCTGCTCGAGTCCTTGTCAGCGGTCAGCGTGCGCCTCAGGATCTCGAAGCGGTCGCCGATCACAATCGCGTAGCTGCCGCCTCAAGTTACGCTGTCCCTCAGACAGGTCAGCCTCTTTCTGGACGTTCCGACACTGAATTGCGAGGGGCCTTTGTCCGGGACGCGTCTGGACTGGAGCCACGGGGTCGCTGGGCTGTGCAAGAATCTAAGCCAGCCCAGACTGAGCCGGAGGCAGCTCCAGGGCGTGAACCGCTTAATGCAGCTGAACAGTTTCTGCAGAATTTCGATCCTACAGCCGAGACTTTTCAGGAACGCACGCCTCCAGCACCTGCTGCAAGCACGCCAAGACGAAATGAATATAGTCATGACTTCTATAGCAACCCAGGTCCTCAAGCGAGGACGGAGGATCTTAGTTGGCTCCCCACAGGGGCAAACGCTAAAACGACAGATTACAGTGAAAGATTCGTGCATGAAGCAACCGACGGCACAGTCGATGAGCCCCACCATGCTCGTGAATATGCTAGACTTTATGGTGGACGGCATGTTGAGGAACTACCCAGGACGGAGCGCTCTGGAGCTACCTCGCCGGACAACCAGTCGTTGTCCAAGGTTCGCGTGGCCCATCTTCCTCCACATTTGAAAATAGTTCGTGATTCTCCATCTCGAAGACCAAATAGCAGGTTTGAGCGTTACGAAGCCCAACGACAAGGGTCACAACAGGCTCAATCTCGTTCACCGGCAGCTGCGACGGCGTCACTTCCTATCGACGAGGAAATCTACCGTGAATCCTATCCGGTACATCGACCAGCAGGTCGTCAGATCTATGCAGCACGACCCGAAGAGCGACATGGAGGCTATCCTTACGCAAGCGAGGTTACCCATCGGCGAGCGCCACAGTCGTCGCACCAGATTCGTTACATTGAGAATCCTAGGTATGTTGAATCATTACATGATAGGTACGTCGAGTATGTAAGGGTCGCTCCTCGCGAATGGCAAGCGTCAGGCGGGTATTATGTTCAACGTCCAGCAACACATGACGGGACAGATCAATACGTTGGGTATGAGCCGACTCGACCCCACGAACAAATTTTCGAGAAAGAGGGTCATTTGTATACACGAGCGCCACCTTCACCAGAGGACTATCGTAACCCGTACGCTCGGCAGATACCACACCAGTGAAAATGAGCAGTTGGTACAGGCAGAGTGTGCACTTGGAAGGCCGTTCTTATTTCACCGTTCTTCAGCTCATTCCTTTCACTGTTTTGGTTTTTTGCTTCCTGTCCCGTGCTGGGTTGTTCGAAATCGAACACTAACCATCCCCATGTGGGTCGGGAATCATACTCTGTTTCCTTCCAGTTGAGCTTTATGCCAAATCAGCTCTCCAAAAGCTGTCTGATATTGAAGCGTCAGCATTTCTACACTTCTGTTATATGTCATCTTCCATATGTCATTTTCTAGTGGGACTTTGCAACGGCATTGTTGGCAGCATGATACCCTACAGTTCTCACAGACAACATGAAATGATGAAATGATAAAATGGATGAGGAGTGAAAAGGCTTCCTCGACCGCTAGTCATTTGTCGAGGGAGCTTTGGTGTCCTCACTCATAGAACGACAACGCCTCCTTCCTCTCAGGCACCAATTAACCAAGCTGCTGCACATATTTTTTCTGCTGCGTCATCACAGTCCTTCTCAGCCGCTACATGTCTTCATTCTTGAATGGTGATATGTTATCGTACCCTCGAAGCAAAAGGGAAGAGTGCTGAGTAACATGGCATGGTGATACCAAGGCAGCAAGCACAGGGGAGGCAACGATTGATAGCACAATCAAAACAGTATCCAATCCCGAATTTTCAATTTTTGTATCTGTGCACAACGAGCTGGACGCTTGTGCATCAAACGTGCAACACTTTTAGAATGATTCCTCTTCCATAGATATGTACAGTCTAAAGCTTGTCTATTCCAAAATCCTGCGCAGATACTCCTCTTTGGTGAATGACGGCTTTTGTCTTGAAGTGCTGCGCTGGGGAGCTGGCTGAATCGGGTTAGACAATATTTCGGCCACTTAGAATTAATCTCCGGCTTGGCATCACAGTCTTTAGCGGGCAACGTAGTAAAGAGGTGTGTGACAATCTGCAGGAGACACGTAGAAAGCAAGTTGTTCTATCTAGCTAGAGGGGGGGCAGCGTGCGTAGATATACGTACAAATCGGCTGTACGGCACAGCGAAAAAGCGGGAGAAGATGCACTAAATCCAACATTGGTAAAACGCAGGGGCCTCGCGTAGAAATTCTAATCAAATCAGCGCTCATACATTCGACAAGAGGGTAGAGATCCAATTACCTGGAATCTGTTCCTGTTGGCTCATCTGTAGATTGCGAGTGCTTCAGTCGAGACTTCAATTGAGAATCCGTGCTTTGATTTTCCTACTGCTTGGTCAAAAGGGTCACTTTTGCCCCTAGAAGAAGCATTTGCTCTGCTCAACCTGTTAAGATTTCATACATTGTTCTCGAGAGATTTGTACACGCACTATTTGTTGTGTGAGCGAGCAACTGAGATTGCTGAGCGTTGCCTTTCGGACATGGACAGTCCCGCATTTGCAGGCAGTGTTCATGGACGTGATAATGAGCAAGATTCGGATGACGATGCGGAAATTTACAAGTATAGAGCTCGATTGGAGTCGACTGGTATAGGAGCAAATGAATCCAAGTCACAGCCAAATTCTGCCCACGTAGCCGTCGAAAATGGAGAGACTGAAACAAGCACTCCATCCGAGGAGACTATTCAGGAAGAGCAACAACGGAACCCTTTCTATAGCTACGCTACCGAGAAATATGACAGTCATGCGGACGCAAAGTTGATCTATCAGAGACATCGACTGGACACAAGGTCTGGCGAGGGCGAAAGCCCTCTGCTGCTGGCAAAGTCAGCTACCCTACCAGCATCTTTCTTTGATGGCGACCTCGCGGGGGTCAGCAGGACCACGAGCATCAACTCTAGATCAAGCAATCGTGCATATGCTCGAGACCCCACGATTTCCAATCACCATTCCGGACTTCAAGTGCAAACCAGGGATGGCCAAGCTGTTCCGGACAGACGGACTTTCGAACCAGTAACTACGGCCAATGCAAAGGCCCGAAGCCATGCAAATCACCCCGGTCTGCCTCACGAATACAAAGACCCTTTGCTCGCCAACCAGGATGTCCATGGAGCTGGAGCAGGGATGGGTATCGGGTCGGGAGCTGGTGGTTTTGCCGCAACAGAAGACACCATTGTCACCGAGGTAGAAACGATATGTAAAAAGATCAAAACTTTATTGGATCTACGTCGGAAGTATCTGAAGACCTCTTTGCAGTGTCCAGGTGACAACCCGAAAGATGTGGAAGATTGGGAGATATATCCACCTCCTCCCGAACCTGTCTGGACTGATGAAAAAGCAAGGCCTGTTGCAAGCGCTAGCAGCAACGCTCTCAGCAGCATGTCGAATAGTCTGTATGCCATGGAATCGTCGAACAATACAGAGCAGCAGCCGCCAGCATCTCCAGCAAAGAAGCAACGCAAAGCAGGTCAAGCAATTGGGGAGGACTTTGACTTCTCGGAATGTCACATCGCGGACGCATCAGAGATGACTTTTGAGCTTGATGAGGGAAGTGTCTATCAAGTGTACGACCCCCAAGCGAGTGAAGGTGCCACACCGATAGTGCATGTACCTACCCTTCGGGACTTTTACATGGACTTGGAAATCATCCATGACATATCCTCAGACGGTCCGGCAAAGAGCTTTGCATATCGGAGGCTACAATATCTGGAAGGAAGGTATAATCTGTATTCTTTGCTGAATGAGTACGAAGAGGTCGCTGAAACCAAGAAAGTACCCCATCGGGACTTCTACAATGTCCGAAAAGTTGACACTCACGTCCATCATTCGGCATGTATGAATCAGAAACATCTTTTGCGCTTTATCAAGAGTAAGATGAAGAAATGTCCGGAAGAGGTTGTGCTGTTCAGAGATGGGAAGACACTCACCCTAAGGGAGGTCTTCGAAAGCATCAACTTGACTGCCTATGATCTGAGCATTGATACCTTGGATATGCATGCGCATACAGACTCTTTCCACCGCTTTGACAAGTTCAACCTCAAGTACAATCCTATTGGGCAATCACGGCTGCGAGATATCTTCTTGAAGACTGATAATTTTATCAAAGGGAAGTATCTGGCAGACATCACGAGAGAAGTCATCTCCGACCTCGAGTCCAGCAAGTATCAGATGGTTGAATGGCGCATTTCAATATATGGTCGAAACCTGCAGGAATGGGATAAACTTGCTGCTTGGGTGCTGGATAACAAAATAATCTCCCCAAATGTACGTTGGTTGATACAGGTGCCGCGGCTGTACGACATGTACAAGTCGAGCAAGATGATGGAGAATTTCGAAACCGTCATCAAGAACGTTTTTCAGCCGTTGTTCGAAGTCACTAAAGATCCTACGAGTCACCCGAAGTTGCACATCTTCTTGCACCGAGTCATTGGCTTCGACAGTGTTGACGACGAAAGCAAGGTTGAGCGTCGACTCTACCGCAAATATCCCACCCCGAAAGAGTGGAATTCGAAGCAAAATCCTCCCTACAGTTATTGGATCTATTTCTTGTTCGCCAACATGACCTCGCTCAATGCATTTCGCAAACGAAGAGGCTTCAATACCTTCCTCCTACGGCCTCACTGTGGTGAAGCAGGTGACACGGACCATCTCGCTGCTGCTCTACTGTGCTGTCATAGCATCAGCCATGGCATCACCCTACGTAAAGTGCCGATATTCCAATATGCCTTCTATCTGGACCAGATAGGCATTGCGATGTCGCCTTTGAGCAACAATGCATTGTTCTTGACATACGACCGAAATCCATTTGTCAGCTATTTCCGCAAGGGCTTGAATGTATCATTGTCCACAGATGATCCACTCCAATTTGCTTACACCAAAGAGCCTCTGATAGAAGAGTATTCAGTGGCGGCACAGATCTACAAATTCAGCGCCGTGGATATGTGCGAGCTGGCGAAGCACTCCGTCGACCAGAGTGGTTTTGAGCTGTCATTGAAACAACGTTGGCTTGGAAAATATTGCTACCTGCCAGGTGCTTTGGGGAATGATGTCGCCAAATGCAATGTTCCGGATGTTCGTGAATCTTTCCGGCATGACACCTTGAAGGCAGAGCATTCATTGTGCGTTAGTGGATGATATGTCAAAGAATGGAAGCTAATTGATTCTGCAGCATCGCCAAGTATACAGGAGACTACTCTCACTTCCAGAAATTTAATCCAAGCTTACCCGAACCGATAGACGCAGAGACGCCGATTGAGGAAGTTTTTGGCACTCCGAAGCGATATTTCGAACAGGTGGCAGATAGTATACCACCTCCTCAGAGTAGTCGCATTCCGGGTGTAAGATCGATCACTGACATGGATGGCTTGCGGAAACCCCCAGTTCGCAGCAGAACAACATCTAGAGCATCGATAACTATTCATCCGGTGGCAGCAGACCCTGTCCTGACGGAGCCCAGGATGATTCCTGGAATCCTCCACGAGAACGAAAGAAGAAGGAGCCGGCGGTTCAGCAGTTCTGGTGGCTCAGAGGGTGCCAGTGCTGAGACCATAACACCTGGTCTGGCCAAATTGGCTGTCAAGGAGCAGGGAGAAGCGGACCAAATTGAACAATCAGAATAAAGGTTCAGAAAGAACGTTAGAGTAAAGGAGATGGACAGTCGTTGTCATGAGGTTGGAATGAAGGAGATTTCAGGAAGGATGGGTCGAGAGATGCCTGTTGGTCTTCGCTGAGATAGATGTTCATTAGATGAGCGTCATCCCTATGTTACTCTGTTGGATAGAAGTAGGATGACTGGCTGTAATCGTCCCATGTTCGGGTGTTTTCGGAATCCCAACACTGGCGCTGTGCATCATCCAATCCTCCAGGCTCACCTCTAACTTAGTGGACACAAGCCTCGTGGATTGCGGGGAAGATCAGAAGCTACTGAAATATATTTGAAGATTCATTCTAGTTAAAAGGAGGGACCGACGACCGGATAATTCATTTTTCAAGTAACATACGTGGAAATTGCTGAACCGAGTGCAATAGCTCCATATACCCAAAGCGGACGTTGACATGGGATATGCTTTTGGTGGATGTCACAACAGTCGTTGAATTATGGCATCTGGACATAAACGACCAATGGCCCAGACCTCTTCCGGGCCAGACAAGGTTATCGGGAGATAGCTAATCAGACCGAATGGAGATTGATGAACTTTTGGGCTCATAAGCGTACATTAAGTAGTCATCGCTGGTGGCCGGCCCCTTCCTCAGCGCCCCGAAAGACACACACCCACTGTGCCTAGATACATATGTATCGTTATTAGTTACTTCTAATAACGCCCCACTATCAACGCATACCGAGAACGGTATTTTGCTCAGCCCCAGTAGCTTCATCTCCAGTTCACAGCTTGCATGTGAAGCGCCTCATGGTGCTCTTGTCTTGGTAGATCGATTTGACGCCAGAATACGGTCACACCTGCTTCCTTTCCCCTTATGACCCTTTTCTCCCACATTTTACAGACGCCGCACCATCCTTGATAGGCACTCTCCGTCATTCCCTCATCCGTTCTCTTCCGATCCTTTGCACCTAGATCTGCCTTTCCTGTCCTTCTTCCTATCCACATGTGCCAGTGTTTTCGGTTTGATGGGCCGATGCTCCAATTGACATCTGATACAACATGACCGCTTCCCCGCCTCGTCGCAGGTTTGTGCCGGAGCCTGTTGAGACCATTGCAAGGAGCTCAAGACGCCCTAACCGAGGAGATCCAGAAACTCAGTTGGCAGATAGAATACCTGATCAGATGTCCGCCTCCTCAACTGCTCCTGACTTCCTCCCTTCCGATCAAATAAAACCCACCACAACCACTCGACGTTTCCCTCTTCAGCCAGTTGAGATATCTTTAAGGACTACAGAGCCTTCTAATTGGGAGGAGAGTGGAGAGAGTCGAGTAGAAGGCCGACGTGTGAAAGACAATTCCATTACCGGCACAGGTGGAGGCTCAATAGACGGGTACAACGAGCCACGCCAATCCACCCCCCAACTAGTGGAGACTCCAGCGAAGAGTCCGAGGAAATTCGCTCTGAAGCCTGTCGAGACCAGTACAAGAAGTAATCGCAGAAGAAAAGGTGAAGAGCAGGACGGAGAGAAATCTCAATCCACACAAAGAAGATTTGCTCCCGAACCTGTCGAGACGTCGACCAAGACCTCTCGTAAGAAACCAACAGAGGTTACCCAGGAACCTGAAGCGCCGCCGGTACGGAGGAGGTTTGCACCCGAACATATACAGACTACAACAAAGAGCAACCACAACAAGCAAGCTACAGCCACCGTAGAATCTTCATCGCAGGCACCCAGAAGGAGATTTGCACCAGAAGCGGTGGAGACTACCATTAGACGAAGGAGGAAGCAGAGTGTTGAGGAACAACCCTACCCACCATCTTCTGATGACAAGACGACATCGCGATCATCCAATGGCATCAGCAGTCCGAGAAAGTTCTCTCCCGAGTTGATAGAGACCGCTCGGGGATCATTCAGGAAGGGCGATAGCTCACCACGAACGAGCCGCGCAGCAACAACAGATGAGCCAACTGCGGTACCTCGATATCTACGACCACCACTTGCACCAAGCAATACTCCCGCTCATAGCTACGCCGAAGTCACCCAGATACATGAATCTCGATTCTCGGCAGCAAGTCTTGCCAAAAGGCAAACTCGGCAGCATTCGTTTCTCGTACCAGAATTGCCATGTATAGAGTCCGATTCGAGCGCTGAGAATTCCGCAGTGCCGTCACTGTCTACTTCCCCGTCGATATCATCTGAAGAATCAACCAACCGGCAACACAAGGGGGAGATTCGAGAAAGCCATGATGGGAAATTTCGGGGCTACATGCTCTCGTTGGCGGCACAAGCTGCAGAAAAGCAATTGAGAGATCAGGCGATGGCGGCATACCCGAATGAGCAAGTACATGAACCGGTCCACCATTTTGCCGTCGAAGACTCGGACGAAGAATCTCTTCCGGGCAAATTAGAAGCGGATAACGGAACAGATCCCAGGATTTTCAGGCGCGAGTCGGGTGCAGACCTGGCTTGGCATATGAATGAGATGCGCAGACATCATGAGCAACTGGAAGAGGCAAAGAGGGCTTTGAAGGAAGATACCGCAGGACAAAGTCGATTTTCTGCAGTCGCATTGATGGAGAGACATAAGACACGCGCAAAAAAGGAGCTTGGGGGACACCAAAAAGGAGTTGGCTTGGCAGAAATGAGAAATGCCGCAAGCCCTCCAATGCTGGGACAAGATCTTGTTTTCCCCATGAGTGTCTCGCCCAAAATGACTCGCTGTGATGTTGACCAAATCCCGGTGCCTCGAACTAACGAATGTGAGGATAATAACGACGACTCGGGTGAGCCGCAGTTATGGACTACACATGTAGGCCTACAAAATAACCCGGAAGCTGGCCTGTGGATGGGATTATGTCAGAAGAAAGATTGTGATGAACAATCTCCACCAACACCGATGAGGTCCGGTCTAATGACTCCCGCGGTGCAGGTTGATGACCAGGAGAGAGCAGGAGAGTTGAAGCATGGTCGAGCGTTCGACAAGCAAAATCACAACACCATGTATTTGTTGGCCACTCCTGCCATCCAGCAGAACGACCCATTCACTCGGACTATAGATGACAAGCTCAATAAGGAGTTGAGCATTGAACAGCAGATCGAAGAAGAGTTCCACCATGGTTTTATCACGCAAATATACAACTATCTTTCTCTAGGGTATCCTTCGCTGGCGCACAAGTTCGACGAGGAGTTGAGCAAGATCACGAGAATTCCTGTTGAAGAGCTCCGAAGAGATGACAACCTTGCTGATGCTAAGGGGTATGTGGGTGCCCCGGAAGGCGAGGGACTAGATGAAGATTCGGTCAAAGAGGGCAAATGTGCCCGATGGACAGCATTGCGGCTGTATATACATGAATGGGCTAGACAGCAGCCTGGGATGGCTGATCGAACGCCGAATGAATGGGGTGTTCGTGCGCGAAGGGGGAGCTGGGCCTTCTGAGTCCTTCGTTTTGTTGTGTCAATTCTTGTACATCCTAAGTGGACGACTGGAATGAGAGCAGCTTTGGATAGCGCCTCCGCATGGGTGGATCAGAAGAAGAGAGCCACTACCATCCATATACCTATGTTTATACCTGGGGGCTACGTCAGAACCCTAACATGAGTATGCCATCTTGTTCCTTCCTTCTCCCTACTCACAAGTGATGAGGTGCAAACCTGAGATAGTAACCTACTGATTGTGATGTGCCTGGATATGTCAGCTTACAAAGCATCTTTGACGGCGGAGGTGGTGAGGTTGATCTTCATATCTGTGCATGAAGTGTAAGGCCGAAGCCGCAGAGATCCGCGGCGATGTGAGATTTGTCTTACAGCCCCTCCATGCTGCTAAGAGTCAATTATGCAGGTTGGGGAAAGTCGATAAGTTTGGTCTGATAGTACAAATGATATCAGTTGACGTTCGATATCTGCTATCTTGCAAATACTTCTCTCTGACAAGCAGCTGTGATTACCCAGAAACGCAGTAAATAAATAATCCTTCCAAACTTAGTGACGCAGTGGGATTGTCAGAGTTGTTCCTTTAACCGGAACCGCATCTTTGGCAAGCTCCTCTAACGGCTGCCCCACCACCGATTGAGGGACAGCTTCTAATCCGACCTTTGCAGAAACGTTACCAAGCCTCCATAATCCTTCACTTGACCATCAAGTCATACCCGAGTATATAGCAAGCGTCAATTCAACCAGGCAAGATGTCTGGTCAATTGATAAGTCATGATGAAGACGCAGGTCCCGCGTAAGTGAAAGCTGGATACCTCGCCCGGGCTTTCCTTTTCGGCATCCTCGACTTCAACTGCGATGCGATGTCCTGACCAGCTTCATCCACCGCTCTTTCAGATCGCCGTCAGCATGCTGATCAACACTGGTGATAGGGCCATGGAACTTAAGGAGAACACTATCATCGTCGTCTTGGGAGCCTCAGGAGATCTCGCAAAGAAGAAGACATTCCCGGCACTCTTTGGCTTGGTAATGGGGCATTATCCGTTTCTCCCTCTGGCCAGACTGACGGTAATAGTTCCGCAACAAATTCCTCCCCAAAGACATCAGAATCGTTGGATATGCCAGAACGAAGATGGACCACACTGAATACCTAAAACGAGTCAAATCATACATCAAAACTCCCACCAAGGATGTTGAGGAACAGTTGGAAACCTTTTGTGAAACTTGCACCTATCTCTCCGGACAGTACGACCAAGGCGAGCCTTTCCAGGAGTTAGACAAGCATCTTTCAGAGTATGAAGAAGGTCGACCAGAGGGAAACAGAGTCTTTTACATGGCTTTACCACCGAGTGTCTTCATTCCGGTGTCACAGAACCTGAAGAAACATTGTTACCCAAAGAACGGTATTGCGCGGATTATCGTGAGCAGGGAGCCCTCTCGCCTGATTACGCTAATGTCTACAGGTCGAGAAACCGTTCGGAAAGGACTTGGGTAGCTCGCGCGAGCTTCAAAGAGCTCTCGAACCTGACTGGAAAGAAGACGAGATCTTTCGCATTGACCACTACCTCGGCAAGGAGATGGTTAAGAACTTACTCATTCTCCGCTTCGGTAACGAATTCTTTGGTGCTACCTGGAACCGAAATCACATCGACAGCGTTCAAATTTCTTTCAAAGAGCCGTTCGGCACAGAAGGAAGAGGTGGATACTTTGACGAGTTCGGCATTATTCGTGATGTCATGCAGAACCATCTTCTTCAAGTGCTCACACTACTGGCCATGGAACGACCCATCTCATTCTCTTCCGAAGACATCCGAGACGAGAAAGTCCGAGTGCTACGTGGTATTCCTGCAATCGAGCCCAAGAACGTCATCATTGGCCAATATGGTAGGTCTTTGGACGGAACCAAGCCCGCATACAAGGAGGACGACACGGTGCCCAAGGATTCGAGATGTCCCACCTTCTGCGCCATGGTTGCCTTCATCAAGAACGAGAGGTGGGATGGAGTGCCCTTCATCATGAAAGCTGGCAAAGCCTTGAATGAGCAGAAGACCGAAATCCGAATTCAATTCAAAGACGTCACATCCGGAATCTTCAAGGACATTCCCCGTAACGAACTCGTCATCCGTGTCCAACCCAACGAATCCGTCTACATCAAGATGAACTCAAAATTGCCCGGCTTGTCTATGCAGACGGTGGTCACAGAGCTCGACCTGACATACCGAAGACGTTTCTCCGACCTCAAGATCCCAGAGGCGTATGAGAGTTTGATTTTGGATGCACTGAAGGGTGATCATTCCAACTTTGTCCGAGATGACGAGTTGGACGCGAGTTGGAGGATCTTTACCCCGTTGCTGCATTATCTGGATGAGAAGAAGGAGATTATTCCGATGGAGTATCCTTACGGTAAGCTCAACACACGTTCCAATAGTATGAATCGAAGCTGATGGATGTGAATGCACAGGATCTCGAGGTCCAGCCGTCCTCGACGACTTTACCGCTAGCTATGGCTATAAATTCAGCGATGCGGCCGGCTATCAGTGGCCCATGGCCAATGCGCCTAATAAGCTGTAAGACCGGCTGCTGGCTGGTGGCGCAATGAAATACTGGGGCCATCGAGTGGATGGGATAAATGATTTCGTGTGAATACCGTGTGCTATGGATGGGAGACTCTTTTCCTCTTTCACGCAACCGTCAGGGTAGATCAATGCTACGACTCTTTCATGCTTTGATGATAAACGAATAGACTTATGAAGCACCTAGGACGGGGTAAACTTGGGTCATTTGTATTTGCTATGCCATCGTTCCAACGCGTGTCCTCTTATTCTCTGCTCTGTTGCAGCATCAATTATCGCTTATATCCCACCAGTTTTTATGTCTTGCAAGAAGAACCTTGCCGCGGAGCACAACCGGTCGGGGACCCGCGCGTACCGAGGGTCCTCTTCGTCGCTTTTGCCCTATCTGAATCTCATCTATGTCGAGCACTTGCTCGCTACGCCGCGTCATTCTTCTTCCCATCGAAAAGGTGCGCACGCACGCACGCACGCACGCACTCTTAGAGAGTCCCGTTGAGCCCCCCCTTGTTCTGGTTCTCTTTTTCGGCCGGAATGCTGCGAACGCCCCATGCCTTGCTGAACTCCCATATTCGCCTAGCTATACTTGTGGGAGCTTGGAGTTGAGATCTGAATACAGGTACCCTGACCCAGAATAATACTTCTTCGTCTCTCAGACCAGAGAGCCAGTTGGTCGATTGCACTCGCAGTCCCCTTGCCCAACAACAATGCTAAAGCAAGACCAAAAGTCGTCATGTAGGACCTGGTAGTACGCCGCAACCTCCCCCCCCATCTCCTTCTCAGAAGCTCATCCATACCATACCATTCCAATCCAAAGCCAGTCGAACATTCAACCAGCCAACTCCTCCTTCCGATTCAGTCCCCTCCAATGCCTTTCCACCTCCTCTACCACATCTTTGAGTTTGGCCGCCTCTTGCCTTTGCCCTTCCTCATGTTCCTTCAGTCTCCGCTTGGGCTCCCATCTCCACTGCATCTTCTTGCCATCCTTGAAGCCCAGCTCGAGGGTTGCCGGGCTGGTGAGGGCGCTGGAGCGTGGTAAAAGAGTGGTTTTGATGGCGATGCGCGAGCGGGCGTCGGCGGGGAGGAGGGTCAGAACCAGGCGTGGCACTTTGCCGTGGGGGGAGAAGGGGCTGAGGGTCGTGCTGAGGGAGGTTAGGTACGTCGTTTTCATTTCGTGCGGTGGCGGAGAGGTTTGGCGTGGGAGGTCGACGATGTGAAGAGTGTTGGAGGAGGAGATAGAGAGTGCTTCGATTTGAGCAGAGGTGGTTTTGAACTCAATAGTACTTGATGAAGAAGATGACCACGCGTGCTGCGGCTGTAGGTTTTGGAACAAGCTCCTCAAGTGCTGAGTACACTGCTCGTAGATACTGATGGTAGGTAGATATTTCGAAGGATTGGAGTGCTTTGATTGGGGTCGGAAAAGGTTAAGAACAGATAGTAGTGGCGATATCGTGATTGTAACGAACGGTTTGAAAGCTTCAAAGATACCAGGCAACTTGTTAAAATACCAGGTCAATTGAGAAGAGCTCTGCGTGATATACAGAATACGGAGTAAAATGCGCCAGTTTTTGAATTGGCTGGTGTCGCAGCATGCCAAGATGATCTCAAATGACAATTAGCCAATGAAGAACCATTGCATAAACCTTAATCAATTAGCGTCTATCCTGAATTGCAACACGACAAACCAAGTTCTATCTATCTCTGCAATGCATTCATCAAATCTTGGGCCCAACAGCGCGATGTGTTGCAAATTGGGATGCAATATGTACTGCAAGAGTATACTGTTCTGTGGAAAGAGGGCCTAAAATCTCCTTTTTGCGGTGCTTTTGGACCTTTTGATGGTTTGAAGTCTTTGTATCTCATTTTAATCGTGATTTCCACATACAAGAACTAGCTGCTGGGTAATCAGAGCTCAGGCCAATTTAAAAATTGGCGCATTTTACGCCGGTTTGGCGGACACCTGAAGTCAACTTCAAAATCGGGGGAACCTCCACCATGACGAGTTACAACTGGACCCGCTGTGACCTGCGATTTGGAGTCTTGGACTAACCTCCATGCAGTCTTTTGCAGACGTCGACACGGGTCGAAAAGTTCAAGCCTTGCTCTACAGCCCCGGACGCAAACTACGAAGAATCTTTGTGCTGCTCCAACTTTCTCTGGAGTCAATCCTCATCCATTCAGTGCACCCAGTACTCGTGTCTGGGTTCGACCTTTTTTTCCGACCCTTAACTCTTCCAATCCTATTGATGCAGATTGGCCTCATTATAAGCCAGCCGGATTTGAACAAGGTGTCATGCCTCTCTACCACGGTGGAACGATACCACCTCCCACTAAATTGGACTCGGATATAACCTTGATCACTCTTGTTGCAATGGTTTGGAGCAAATTGATTGATACTAGCGGGGTTGGGAGAAGAAGAAGTGTTGCGTCGAAGCACCGGAATTGAAGGTAACTACCAAACGCCAAGCCTTACCACCACGTGACACTTGTGAAGAACTGCCGATCAATATGCTACTTTTTCATAACGTCATGTTACTGCTCCAACATGTATTAGCTTATGAAAGGTGGTAAGTTACGGCCAAAGTATTTGAATTGGCCTGACTTGCGCTACGGTGTTGGGCGACACCGTAATGTGAGGGGTGCAGACCATAAATGGCAAGTTAGCACTGGTTACTCTGGTATCAGGTAAAAGTTTTGTGAGTGGGATACTGGAAATCTTCGTACAGGCTGTTAGCATACCAACTTAATGTAAACAATAAAGGAAACAACCTCACTGTCGCCAATGTCTCAGTGCCTTCATCTGTATCCATGACTGCCTGGTACCTTTTACACATACTTTGACCCAGTTTGACAAAATACACCTCCCGGACAACCTTCGAAGCCTCTCTGACTCCAACTCAATGTGTTTGGAGTGGCGCGAGTTTGAAGAATGAACTTAGATCCGGAGGATTATGTGGAGGGCTCAAACGGCGTTGATAATTCGAAGGGGCGACGACAAATACCGATAGCGAGGTCGAATGGGCGCGTGTATTGTGTTGGTAATGAGCTGATAGTCTTGGCGCCCCACTGGCAAAACTTTTGCCTGATACCATCGTAATACCGAGCTGAAGAAGCAATAGCCTGCTTGTGAAGGCCGGTTCATCTCCCTCCTACGAATTTCTACTGATAAACCATCTTCCAGCATTGTGATCCAGATGGCCAATCCTAGCGTTACGACCACGTTTGCCGGCTCAGGAAACCAGGCGTTACAAGTCGGATATAGCTCTGGGATCATCACGACCCACATTCACCCTCCAGTCGGCATGTCCCTGTCTGCGCCGTTGGTCTTTGAAAAAACGCTAATAGCATGGTAGAACGTACCGAGACCCCACCAAGTCCCTCCTCAACTGTTCCTTTCCCTCGCGACCAAGATTTTGTTGATCGCCGAACGCTGCTTGATCAGATCCACCAAAAATGCTCTATACCGGCGTCCAGAACAGCGCTTGTCGGCTTAGGCGGCGCTGGGTGAGTAACGAGTCAGGTTAATAAAGGCTAACCGCTAAGTGGTGCAAAGAAAATCGCAACTTGCCATCGAATACTCCTATCAGATCCGAGACCAGTCACCCGAAACTTGGGTTTTCTGGGTACATGCGAGTAACGCAGCCCGTTTCGAGCAGAGCTTTCAGGAGATCGCCGATCGAGTGAAGATACCAGAATGGAGAAGCCCCAAGGCCGACATGTTTAAGCTCGTTCACGACTGGTTATGTGATGAGAAGAAGGGCAAGTGGTTTCTCATCCTCGACAATGTCGACGATGCTCGTTTCCTTGTGGAAGCTTCAGTCACAAGCCAGGAGACGCAGGTAGGTGGCTCGGGGAGCAAGTTCACACGATCACTCTGGACGAATGTGCCTTTGAGCCAGAATGGATCGATCCTTATCACAACTCGGACGAGAAGCGCGGCATTAAAGCTGGTAGAAGAGAGTGATATGGTTGCAGTGGAACCGATGGATGAGAGACACGCGGTAGCGCTCTTTGACAAGAAACTCAGAATACCGAGTGATCAAAAAGACATTACTGAGCTGGTGGCAGCACTTGAATATATGCCACTTGCTATTGTTCAAGCGGCCGCGTACATCTCCCAACGAGCACCACGATGTACAGTACTCCAGTACATGGAGAAATTTTACACGAGCGATCAGAGGAAGACGAGTCTCTTGAATTACGAAGCCGGACATCTCCGCAGAGATCGGGACGCTAAAAACTCCATCATCATCACTTGGCAGATATCTTTCGACCATATTTATGAGACACAGCGAACTGCTGCTGATTTGCTATCACTCATGAGCTTTTTTGACCGGCAGGGGATCCCTGAGGCCCTTTTACGGGATCAAGCCGGACGTAAAAATGGAAGAGAAAGTGAAGATGGAAGGGAAAGTGAAAACAGGAAAGCAGAGGGTGGAGATGGTAGAGAAAGTGATGATGAAGACACCGCGTCGGACTGGAGTGGTGATGAGAAGTTCGAAGACGACATATTAATTCTGAGGAACTACTCCTTCATTTCTGTCAACGTGAATGGGACCATGTTCGAGATGCACCGGCTAGTGCAGCTTGCTACGCGGAAGTGGCTTGAAGCTCACGAGCAACTTGAGATGTGGAAGCAGCAGTATATCAAGAACCTTTGCTCAGAATATCCGCGGACAGGAGAATACAAAAATTGGGTGAAGTGTCAAGCGCTCTTTCCACACGCAAGGACATTATTAGCACAGCAGCCAGAGAGTAACAGGTCGCTGAGAGAATGGGCTTCGATATTACACACAGCAGCATGGTATGCTTTGGGAAAAGGAAATCTTTCTGATGCAGAGAAGATGTCGAAAAGGGCGATGAAAATCAGAAATGAAATATTTGGTCAAGAACATGAGGATACGTTAGACAGTATGGGGTTAGTGGCAACAGTATATACTGAAGGGGGAAGATGGATAGAGGGGGAGGAGCTAAATATGCAAGTAGTAAAGATGAGTCAGAGGGTACTAGGACAGGAACACCCAGATACGCTGATAAGTATGAATAATCTAGCGTCAACGTACTGGAATCAAGGACGGTGGAAGGAGGCGGAGGAGCTGGATGTGCAGGTAATAGAGATAAGGAAGAGGGTGCTGGGACAGGAACACCCAGATACGCTGATGAGCATAAGTAATCTAGCGTCAACGTACTGGAATCAAGGACGGTGGAAGGAGGCGGAGGAGCTGGATGTGCAGGTAATAGAGATAAGGAAGAGGGTGCTGGGACAGGAACACCCAGATACGCTGATAAGTATGAATAATCTAGCGTCAACGTACTGGAATCAAGGACGGTGGAAGGAGGCGGAGGAGCTGGAGGTGCAGGTAATAGAGATGAGGAAGAGGGTGCTGGGACAGGAACACCCAGACACGCTGATGAGCATGAATAACCTTGCCTGTACCTGGAAGGACCAAGGTCTACAGAAAGAGGCTCTAGCCTTAATGGAAGATTGTTTCCAGCGGCGGAGTCGGATACTAGGCCCCAAACATCCCTATACTTTGGATTCTCTTACCTTTTTGAACGAGTGGAAGGTGGAGGAGTAGCAGTGGGCTTTCTTATGTGATGTTTATAGAGGGATTAGCCGGGAGGCTATAAGATGAGCGAGACGACAGAATTGATGGGGCAGATTCCAGTTGTGTAAACTCTTCGCGATAATGGTAGGATGATGAACAGAAGAGAGATATCAAAGATCTAGAATACAATCCCAGTAAGTGAGCTGTTTCAAAAAGAACGAGATATGAAAGACGGTCATACCAACCAGATAATTCATCTGTAACCTTTAACAGCATGAGTTCTTCTCACCTATGTTAATCATGAATGTCCCGGGACCTACCGATATACCCTCAATCTCTCCTATCTGGTCAGGTATAATCTTTGTGCAATATTTTAGTCCCATCTCTTGCATTCATCACTGCTCCAAAATTCGCCCTGATGTGTAGCACCAGCCGAAGCATGTCCCGTGGCTCTTTTGCTGCAGTTGAAGACGGCTTCCCTAAGAGGCTGAAAAGTAGCTAAGCTGAACTCCTCCTGGTCTTCTAGAACAAGCCTGTCATATCCCCAAGCAGGTGCAAGCTTGTGTATCGAGTAACTGTTTTAATCATGCTTCTTTTGTAACGATGTCTCCAGAACAATGAAATGGAGCGGACTTTACGTCCAGATGACTGTAAAAAGAGCAGTATAGTAACTTTAGCAAGGCCCTTACAAGGGGGTAACTTAGGTCTTCACCCACAATCCATCACTACTGGTCGGAGAAACCATACTCACACTTCATGCAGGGGCAATGTATGTTCCTGTAGGTGCGCCGTCTTGCCGCAAACCTCGCCGTGGCCTCATCATCAGCGGTCAGATCGGGCGCAGCGTTTTTACTATTGATTTTATCCAACTCTCGCCACATTCTCATTACATCTTTGTGGTAAGACGCGAGCCATTAAGCGTACCTTCATGAGGGCCGGAAATGCCTGGCCCGGACGCTGGACAAGACTGTCGACGACGTCGCCGACACCAGACCCTGGTTGACGTGGAAGATATCGGCCAATCAAGAGGGTAAAAATCTGGTCAAGATGAAACTGATGTCAGCACCGCGGAAGCTAGGAATGCCAGCCTAGGCGGCGCAGTCGCCAGATGAGACGGTTTGGGGGCGGGCAAACATAGCAGCGTCATGGTCACTAAGGGTAGCATGCAAGCATCATCGCCGCCATGGTCGGGAGATTGTGACAAATTTATAGATTAGAGATATGGCGGATGCCAGGAGATAAAAGCGGCAAGTGGTCAAAGGCGGCGCTTGCGGAACAAAGACCAAGGACCTCTCCGTGCCTGCCAAGCCCCGCCCTGGAGCTCCAAGTCACGTGGAGGTCTCCCCTACCCTTCAAATTTTAGAACACGAACAACCTCTATATTCAGCAGATAATGGCCTCACTATCCCTCTCAGCCCGTCTGCAAACCGTCGCAGACACCTACAAGAACACCTTAATCCTGATACAGCGACTACAAAAGCTTCCATATACGCCAGGGGCCTTCTCCAACGCCGACACCGACCCACGTCTCGAGCTTTCGTCTGAGATACATCAATCGCTTAAGGAGCAGGAAGATGAGTTAGAGACGTTACGGCAGGAGGTTGATGTTGCTACGGCGAGTAATTTTATGGGAGGGTATGTTGGGGGTGGAAGTGTGAGGAGGAGAAATAGTGAGCAGCTGCGGGAGCGAGAAAAGATTGCTGCTTTGGTTGCGAAGCTTGGAGAGGACTTGAAGATGTATGTCTATACCCTTTGCATCGATGTAGCGACTAACATGAGTTTGCAGAGCACGATCTTCCTTTCGAAAAGCACAACTAGAAGCCAAGCGCAATGCCGATGCTGCCAGACGAAAAGAACGAGAACTACTTTTCGCTAATCGAAGTAAAGATGCAGATGGTCCGCTGCCTGCAAGACGTAAAGGCCAGGAGAAGCTTACACAAGATGAGCTCGCGCTCAATGCCAGCTCGGACGTTACCGCCGCCCTGAGAAGGACCCATGCACTACTACAAAACAATGTCGAACAATCACAATTTGCGCAGCAGACGCTGAATGAATCTACCGATGCCCTGGCATCGCTTGGTGAGAGCTATGCTGGGCTGGATTCATTGTTGAAGAGTAGTGGTGGGCTTGTGAGACAGCTGATAAGGAGTAACAAGAGTGATACTTGGTATCTGACAACAGCTTTTTATATCTTGGTTGTAACGATTGGATGGTTGGTCTTTCGGAGGATATTTTATGGACCGCTTTGGTGGCTGGTTTGGCAGCCATTGAAATTGGTTTGGTGGCTGGCCATGACGACGCTTGCAGGTGTTGGTATTGTAGGTGGAGAGAAAGCTGCAGCCTTATCGTCGACCGTTGTTCGAGGGTCGACCACGGTGCCAGGGGCTTCTGGGATGAGACCTACCTGGGCTTCTGATAGACCGCCCGCGTATGTGCCTGTTGGAGCCAAAGGAGGCGGATGGGGCATTCCACAACCTCAAGCGACTCCAGGGGCGGACAGCAACAAAGGAGGAACGAGTATGGTCGATCAAATAGGAGAAATGATCGAAGAAAAGGATGCGCAGAAAGACAAGGAGGAGCCTGTTCTAAAAGAGAGGACGGAGAATGATCCTCCGAACCCGAAGAAGCGGATGTACGAACAGGAGAATGAACACACCCCACAGAAAAGGGATGAACTGTAGAGTCCAATAGACTTCTACTTCTATGTCCTCTCCATTGCTTGGGGGGAAACCTGGATTTAGGGATTCTTTGCTCGCTATGTTTGTGTACCTGTCTCGGCAACGGAGATCAATGATCTTGCGCAGTCTTTACTGTATCGAGTCACATCATGATCGTAAGGAAAGCCGCACAACCAAATTCAATGTGAGTCCTGAAGACTTGGATAGAGGGTAAGCTCCGCCCCGAAGTTGTTCCGTGCCAAGCAATAGCGTAAAGTGGTTTCCCGACGCGTGCCGACGCGTTTTCCCCAGTATTGAGGTTGATGTACACCTTTCATTGAGTTTTAATGTTTCTGATAAGAGTCACACCCCTGGTGCTGCGTGTCCTCTGGCCCCTGGATATCATCAATGGTCCTTGATCCCATGAGGGTATATCTATCCTGAGCATCACCCGTTCACCTGCCAACATCATTCCTGAGTCCCTACTCGTCCCCCACTTCGCGAACATGGCGAATTTCTTCGACAATAAGGCTCGGGCAGCCAATGCAGCGTCGTCTTCCTCTTCGAAACCAAAACAGAGTTCTGCGACGGCGGAGCGGGCGCAGCCATGGGTGGAGAAGTACAGGTCAGTGGTGGACCTTGCACAGGATGACTTGTTGTACTAGAAAGAGTGCGCTGATCATTCGGAGACAGACCGAAGGATCTGAGCGAGGTCAAGGCCCAGGATCATGTGGTCGATGTCTTGAGGCGTATGCTGAATTATGGCAACTTGCCTCATCTCCTTCTATATGGTCCGCCGGGCAATGGCAAAACGTCCACTATCATCGCTCTATGTAGAGAGTTGTATGGACCTTTACTCTATAACTCGAGGGTTTTAACATTGAACGCTTCGGACGACCGCGGTATCTCGATCATTCGGACGAAAGTCAAGGTAGAGATATTGTTCAGCCCAAGGAGAAGACGCAAAATAACATATTAGATAGGATTTCAGCAGGCTTCAATTATCCAACGCCCCTATCAGTGAAGAATACCGGAAGCTTTACCCTTGCCCTCCATTCAGAATCTGTGTTCTTGATGAAGCGGATGCATTGAGTCAGGACGCACAAGCAGCCCTACGTCGAGTGATGGAGATTCACAGCACCACCACCAGGTTCACTTTGATCTGTAACTATGTATCAAGAATCATAGACCCTGTGGCGAGTCGGGATGTCTTCATTCCATTCCACCTGCCCCCATCGTCGCAGTGCAGCTACTAATGTCTCCCTATAGGTGCTCGAAATTCAGATTCAAGACACTGGCCGGGGTGGATGCCAGTGCTCGCCTAGCCGAAATTGCAGTGAAGGAGGATGTGAAGTACGAGGACGGAGTTATACAGAGACTACTCGAAGTTTCCGAGGGAGATATGCGCCGAGCAGTCACATACCTCCAAAGCAGCTTCAACCTCACATCGGCTGGGGCGACAGCTTCCGCAAAAGGCAAGAGGGGAAAGAAGTTGGTCCAATCCGATGACTCGGATGAAGAGATGACAGACGCTCCAAGCAGGACTGCGCCTGTCATTGTCACAATCCGGACGGTAGAAGAGGTCGCAGGAGTGATTGCCACTTCGGTGATACAGGATCTGGTCTCAGCAATGCAGCCCTCGAAGCGTGGCGCCATTTACGAAACCGTGTCGAAGCAAATCACCGCCATGGTCGCTGATGGGTGGAGCGCAAATCAGGTTCTCTCTCAGCTCTACACTCTACTCATTGCAGATGAGACTCTAGACAGTCGAAAAAAGTTAAAAATCTTTGCCATCTTCAGCGAAGTAGATAAGTCCTTGGTTGATGGCTCGGACGAGCACTTGACTGCATTAGACCTCGCGTTACGAGTGGCCAGCGTGCTTGGGGAGATGAAATAGGGACTGCGCTTATGCAATGGGTGCAGATGCAATGAGATCAGCGATGGAGTCCCGGCGAAACCAAGAATGATAGATAGAGCACTATCACAAGCTCTTTTTTGACGCTATTAACTCTAGTCTCGGATTCAATCTTGGTGTGTCTTCTATGAGTAGCTAAGCACTCCGATGGCATTGTCGAAGGCTTTACGTTGATAATCAATGCTGGTGGCGGCCACCATGAAATACTCAGGCGGACGACTTTGGTTAGATTGCAGAGTCGTCAAGCAACCTTGAGAATCGTCAACCTGCAACGTCACCTACACCCATTTGCCTCCGCCGTCACAATAGGCTTGAGATCTCTTTTCAGTAGTATTTCTCCTATCAACAACACACACGTAGACAGCCCAGATGATAGTGTTTAGATTAGTTTATGGACCTGGTTAAACATTGGGGACTTAGCTATCAATTTGCTAAGGGCCGGAGAAAAGAAATCATCCGATACTGAGTTATTGAGCAGTTTACTGCTGGCCTTGTATTGCCTTGGGGCCGCAGGGCAGTTAGCAGCTCTCTCTCAACTTCCTAGATATGTAGTTTGTTCGGCAATACAACTTCCCTCTTTGTGCACAGTGCCACAATAATCCCCAAGCCGGAATATGAGTCTTTGAGTGCTAGGTCTTGTTCCATGCTTTGAAAGAGCTAGCTCTGCCTGTTGCATCAAGACTATTGAAGCTGGATGATATTCCTCACTCGGAGAGGCCCAATGAAAGGTAGCTCAAAACATCTACTGTTCATGTCGAACTATTGTATATGGACGATCCAGAGTGAGCGAAGACAACGACAACTAAAGGCTTCCGCTACCATCTCCACATCCCGAAGACACAAATTGGAAGGCGGGTAGCAGTGTCCTAGAATGCCAGGTAGGGCTATGCTGTGGACGTCGTTGCATATGCAGCTGAGGATAGTCGATGTAGGTTGGAGGACGCATGTGCGACCGCCTGGCGCACTTGCAGCAACAAAGGGCCCGGTGAAAGAGTGAATGCAGCATGAAGGACTCAAGTTCGCCTTGGTGAGGTCCATGTGAATGCCGTAACCCGCCAAAATCCACCGACTAGCCGAGGCGGCGAGGTAGCATGTTACAAGTCGTATGATGATGTGACTTACGACGACTAGAAAATCCCGAAGATGGTTTGAGGTTGAAGACGGCATGTTCTTGCCGACCCCGTTTGGACCTTGGTTGAGAAGAACCTTGAGAAGAACATGTCGAAACCGCCATCCGGTGTGCCAGAATTCATAGTTGACATCCTCCGCATTGGTCTACAGGAATTCTAGATTCGGAAAGACTCCGCAATCGTCTATCAAATCCGCTATCTGGTGAGCAGCGGGTCCCACAGGAATATACTGTAGTTGACATATCCCACATTGAGCAGGATGGATCCTGGATGACCACCACAGAGTAGAGGAGACCAAGGGTAGAAGAGACCAAGGGTAGAGGAGACCAAGGGTAGAGGAGACCCAGTAGAGATATGCCAGGTCTGCCATCTGGTGAATTAGAATCCGCAGTTGACATATCTCATACTGAGCATGGATCCCGGATGACCACCACGGAGTAAAGGCGACCCAATAGAGATATGCCAGGTCTGCCATCTTGTGAGTTAGAATCCGCAGTTGACATATCCGCTTTTGGAGCTCCAGTGCCCTGCCAGGTCTGCCATCTGGTGAATTAGAATCCGCAGTTGGCATATCCCAAGGCTGGAAAACCATTGTCCACAGGATGGGGGAACGAAACAGGACAGGTAGATCCTTAAGGAATCCCAGAACATCATGGCCGGAGGCGGGTCACAATTTGCCGTTGACATGGCATGGCAAGGGCCCAGGGAAAAGATTACAGCGTTCCAGAGTTGCAGCCTTCAAGCAATGTTGAGTCGACAAAAGAATGAAGAGGTATAGAAATGATGGGCAGGACGTCGGCATTGGTTGCCCAGATCATCGGAAGAAGCTGGCATGACAGGATGCATGTCACGAGCCAGGAGGTTTGCATGTTTCGGTGAAGAGCAAAAGAACGCTATGTCGAACAATGAGGATGGACACCACATATTCACTTTCTGGTTTGCTGGATATCGGCGGGAAGGATGAAGTTGGCAACATGTGTCGCAGGTTCAGTGGATTGAATGCTGAAGGTGTTCCCACACAATTAGTAAACATTAGATCAAACAGGGCATGCGAACGATCTTACCTGAAAGAACGAGTGAAGTTGTAGTAACAATCTCCTGCAAGCGTCCCTTGAGCTGCACACCAACAAAAGGGATGAAATTGCGGGACCCTTGCATTCAGAGCATAGACCGGGCGCAGAGAATAAGGTGTGAGCGTAAGGCTTCGTGAAGGGTAATGCCAGCCTGCGATAAAGCAGCGAGCCGGCTGGGCCTGCTAGCTAGGAGTCTCGAAACAGTGATTTGATGCATTGGAAAATTTCCTGCAGAGCTTCGATCTGACTTCCAAGAGCTTCCAAGAACGCATCCAACCTGAAACGGCGTCAGGAACCTCCAGAAGAGATGAACTTAGCCGTCACTTACATGGAGATGCAGTCATAGTCCGGATTTAAGGCTGCCAAGAAGAAGAAGAAGACGGCTGCGTTGATCATGTAGGGTTGAAGTGAAGCTTGGGTGTTGCGTGGACCAAGGTATGATCTTCTGATAGTGTGAATGGGAGGGTGACGAGTGAATGGGATCCGCAGGACGAGTACGTGAAGGTCGGAACTAAGCGAAGTTTCAGGGATAGGCAGAAAAGCATACGACTGCGCCGGCAAATGAGGTCACGAGATCAAGATCTGGATCTGGTCAGCGAAATTTCAGGAGATATGTTTCCAAGAAAAGAACCTACAAGAGAGGGGAGAGAATTCAATACAGGCCGACATTAATGGGCTGCTCAGTGAACAGGATGTCGAGAAGGCAGATTGTCTAATCGTATGATGAGAGTGAGCAATCAGAAGCCACGTCATGAACTAACTGGAAATTTCTGCGTTGGTACAGAGTAGATGCAGGATAGATACAAAGTTGTGGAAACACAATAGAGAATGGGTTCCGACTGCCGGTTGGGTTGGGAAGGAGCTGAATGCCAAGAATATAGGTCCTCCAGTCCCAGACATGTGAACAGGGTGCGCCATGACTCCTTATTACATAGTAGCCTTATGTTCTCACTATCCGGGTCAACTGTGACAAAACGAACACTGCAAGGTCCTTGATCTTGAAAGCTCCGTTGATGAATTAGTGAAAATATAATGATCAAGCGTACCTCAGTATATTGATCAAATTTTGTAGAATAGAAGCAGAAACCACATTGTGCACGAACGATTTCTTGAGCCGTGCTCTGGACGAGACAGATGGCACGTGCCGAAGACCGATATCAATCTTGTTAGTGGACACTGGAGAAATGTATTGGCGAGATGTCACGATGGAAAGGGAAGACCTCATGGTCAATGTTGACAACGTTGTATTTGGTAAGATTGATAAGTACACGTTTGAGTAGTAAGTTAGCCCCTGTGTCACTGTGATGAGGTGGATGAACTGAATTCTATCTACTCTGCAGAATCTAAGGAGGAGCAGGCTAATGTACTGAGGCGCACAAGTGGTCACATGACGCCAAGATTCACGTGCTGCTAGGATAAGTACACGTACGCACCACGGCTAATCATTTTACATGGCTCAGAGGCTTAACTACTACGTATGGCAGTTGAACTTCAGCCATCTGTCCCCTCTGACCATCCTTACGCCCCTACTGACTACTGATACTACGTTAGTACAGGAAGGGTTTGCTTTTACTCATTCATGCTAGCGTACGGAGTATATTGATAACCTTTGGTGCACGACTCTGTATTTTCGCTGCTTTTAGCAGAACCTTGAGTTCAATTACCGATTTGTAGCCACGTTGGCTTCAAGCCTCACTTGACATCTAGCGTCTGCTGTCATGGCGTTTGTACTCCTATCCTTCCCTAAATGCTTGGAGCTTGGTGACTTGCTCAGCTTACCTCAAATGTTCCTGCCTCGATGTGCTGCAATTTATCATAACTCGCAGCCACCTCGCTGGACCTGTCTGCAGGCATCCCACCCCCTTCTTCTTGCTCCATCACTCGGTTCTTGTCCTCTTTTGGAAAGCCGGCCCTGCGGAAGTCTTGTAAAATTTTGGACTGACCATCCTGGCGCTCGGAAGATCCTGAAATAGCATGTGCAATGAGCTCTTTGCCGAAAATGTGACCTTCTTCAGGCGGAGGAATCGGGTCGCCTTCGGCAGACAAAGAAGCTACTGGATATTGGTTGGCCTGGCTCAACGACAAAGAGCCATTGGGGGGAGAGTTTGAGCTGGAGGCCTCCATCTTTGCATCCTCGACGGGACCTTTCGATGCGACAAGTCTGTCAACAGCTTCGACTCTTTGCGAGGATGGAAGACCGTCTTGACGCTCGCTTTCAGTCTCGTTTGGGAAATGAGCATGTTCATGCTTTGATCTTTTGGATGGTCTTTGAAGCTGACTGTTCACAGCACTCAGACGACGCTTAGCTTCCGTGATAGTGTCATCCGCGTCTTCTGTAGGAGCTGCTGTACTGCTTTGTATTCTCTTAGGATCTTGCTCCGAAAGCCATATTATTGCCGGTATCCATGGTCTCCACTCTCCATAGTCCTTGTCATCCTCATTACTCGATGCGTAGAGCCCGGGCTCAACGACGAGCATGACCTTACGGCCATCATATCGACGGTCCATCGCATCAAGGCACATACATGAATGGGGCCGAAGCAGTTGCGAATCACTGCTGAACACGGTTTCCATTTCAAAATCTTGGCTGCTCAATCTCATTTGCGCTTCTTGCGCCCAAAGCTCGGCACAGAGGGCTCCAGTGGTTCGGATCAAGTGCAATAGATCTTCAAACCGTATGCGTGATCTGTTCTCGTCGAGACCCTTCAGCAGATAATATGCATCGCCTCGAATATCCTCTGCTAGCCGTTCATAGTACACGCCTCTGACTCGTGCTAGGGATTCGAGTCCATCTTCCCCTTCGTTAGCATTGCCAACAACTGAGTCATCCCCTAGATTCAAGACTTTAGCCGTTAGCTGACGCCACGCACGAGTCATCCGTTCGTTCCCTGGTTGAGAAAGTCAGCTCCTTCCAAACAACCAATTCTATACATTCCGACATACTAGGCATGCCATGGTCAAGAACCCTTTGCAAGCCCATCTTCTCCGCATGGCCCACACGCTCGAGAGACGCAAATGGGTCCTCCAGAAGTTGCCTGCACGAGTGTGATACTAAAATGCCGAGAAGCATCCTTGGTGCTCCTTGCTCTCTGATGAACAGCTGGTATGTGCTTTGCTTTTCCAGGAGCGACACAGCTTTGGGCATGCCATATTCAAGCAGTCTTTTAATAAACTGTTCGGGAACGCCGTTAAGTGAAGAAATCGCGTGCTCTGAAACCCAGTTTTGCCGCATCATTCTTACCTCCTTGAGTCTGCCCCGTACATGATTGTCGTCCAGGGTATCGCTGGCCCCTTTCCCTATGTGACGGAAGACAGCTTCGCTACTTTTCGCGATGATCTGGTCCTTGTCCGCAAGCTTCTTCTGCAGCTCTGCGACAAACTTTTGCTCGTTTTGCGTCTCCGCTTGCCAAGACTTGACCTTCTGTTTCAAGGTAGTTTGATTCTTGCGTCTCGATATGTTTTCTTTATTGATGGCGGCTCTCTTGATCTTCAGGTCCTTGGCCTTTGCCTTTTCCTGTTCATAAAGACCTTTGAAGTACTCACGTTCTGAGCGAAGAGAATCCAGAGTTTCTTCTGGTACTGGCTGCTCCTTTTTTCGAGTTCTCCGTTTCCTAGCTTTGGGGCTTTCAATAACATCGTCCTGGTCATTGTTCTTGCTGTCGTATGAGGTATTGGTGGCATCCCCAGCCTCGCTCGCTTTGCTATCATCGCGGGCTGCGCTTCTTCTGCTCGGACGTCCTTCACATTGCAAATCGGTTCGATGTTTTACAACACGACCAGTGGCAGTCAACACAGGATGAGCGCACGAGTCCCCGATGGCCGTCTCAGCCTGCTCAGCTGGTAGATTGTTCTGGTCTCTTCGAGCCTTTCCGTCATATTGCATCACACTGTCAGCTTTATCAACACTCTTCTTTCCACCCATCTTTGACTTGCGAATGGCCTTAGTTCTTTCTTGCAGTCTGTCGATAGTGCATGTTGGAGAATACTGCCGATCAAATATGAAGAATGGTGAACTTGAAACTCAAGAAAAGGTAGTCTTATATGCGCGACCCGTGGAGAAAAGGCTTGCGCTTCTTCTTGCCCAACCCGAAGCACTTACTCTCTTGCTTTGTAGGAGAACAGCCTGCCAACGTCCAGCAGATCGGTCTCGAAGTTCAAGGTTGAGTGTCGACTACTCAGTGTAAGGAAGAGTACCGAGGAGAGCTTGAGAGTCTGCAAGACAGGCCAATGGAATCTTCTTGTCTGCCTACATTTGTACTAGTGTCCTGGGCTTCCAAGCTTCTAGGCTCGTCGTCTCTTTTCAACTGCTCCATTGCGATATTTACGCTTCTCTTTCCACTACACCACTCTCCTCTCAATCCTTACTTAACCTCTTCCTCATCTTTTAGTTCTACTATCTACACTTAGTCTTGCAATATACGAAGGTTCTTCGAAGGCACAATGGCGAAGCAATCAGCAGGCTCAAAACAGCCCGGAGTTGTTGACACTACGCCTAAGAATAAAGGTCTGCTTGACCAAGCCGTAAGAACCCTGCAATGAGCGACTAATCATGCTGTTAGTTCCATCAAGCAAACGGGCGGCTAGCGCAATGAGTTCAAATGAATCTCACGGTACGCTTTGGAGTATTTTTGAAAGGTTTCAATGGCATCTGATCAGCATAGTGCGAGCAACATCCGAGACTACAGAAGCACCCACTGGTTCTAGAGCCCCATCATCAAGAAAAGTGAAGCGGCCTGGTGGGGATAGGAAGGAGGCTGCAGCGAAAGCAGTTAAGCAGCAGACGCAATCTAAAACAGTTTGCAGCATAGACTTCGGAACGACGTACTCGGGTGTGGCCATTGTGGGATCTGTCAACTGTGGGATTCGCGACATTGAAGTTCTTCGCAACTGGAAGAATGGCCGTTACATTGAGCAAGTACCGTCCCGCATAGCATATCCTGAAGAGAATCCCGGTCTTGATAAGATCGCATTTGGATATGAAGTCACTTCGACTATGAAATCATATACGTGGATGAAGCTCCTCCTGGGATGCGTTGAAATGGATGACTTTACTGAGACCAAACTTGGAAGTAAAGCAGCAAAGGGAATGCTTGAATTGCCACCAGGAAAAACTGCCGAAGACGTAGTATGCGACTACTTAAAATGCTTGTACGAGCATATCATGGATCACCTCGCCGAAGAGTCACCAGGACCAATGCTGGAGGAGAGGCCCATTGAATTCTGGCTTACCACACCCGCGTGCTGGGACGACCACACCAACGCTCTCACACGGCAATGCGCGTTAGCAGCAGGTTTCGGAAGTCGCACCAATGACAGCCTGTGTATGATAAGGGAACCTGATGCAGCTCTCGTAGCGAATGTTTCAAGCAGTGTCGACAAGCATGAAGGGGTCTACAAGGTACGTCATCCTAGCAATACTTGAATCGTTCTATGTCGCTGTGCAACGTTGATAGTGGCCCAGCCTGGCATGAGCGTAGGTGTTGTCGACATTGGTGGAGGGACCATTGACGCAAAGACGATGACGCTCATAAGTTTGAATCCTCTAAGGACAAAAGATGCCTGTGTTGGTACCGGTATTTCTGAAGCCACAGAAACCTATCTATAAGCACTGACGAAACCGTAGGAGCAAAGATTGGAATGACTGATCTGGAGTTTAAGCTACACGATCGCTGTGATGCGCTATTCGGTAATGCTTTCAGCGATCTTCCCACCGAAGTCATTGGTCCCTCCTCCGAGTTCGCTGAGGAATTTGAGGTGATTAAAAGGAATTTCGACGGAGGGGACGATGACAAGGAGCACTGGCTCAGGCTTCTGCCATTGAAGAGAGCGCTAGAAGCTACAAATACAACATCTAACAAGTATGATTTTGTCGAGGGAAAATTAATACTCACAGGGTATCGCAAATCTAGGAGCCAGCCCTTCTGCAAAAACTGACAACTGTGTAGCAGGGAGGTCCGCGACATATTCGAACCCGTCGTTCAAGAGGCATTGAACCAGCTCAACAACCAGATTACTTGCCTCAAGAAAGCCGGTCGAAAGCCAATGTCAATAGTCGTCCTAGCTGGGGGCGGTGGAACCTCTAGGTATGTGATCCACAGATTCCAAGAGTACTGCGCCACAGCACTCGGTGGCACGGTTACTGTCCGCCGTGATGGACGTGCATGGAGCGCCGTAGTTCGCGGAGCGGCAGTCAAGGGCTTAGAAGGAGGTGTGATTGTCAGCCAAGAGTCACCAAGAGCCTACGGCTTCGTCTGCCATAAACAGTTCGATGGATCCATTGACAACGAGGAGGACAGCTTTCAATGTCCAATATATGGAAAGCGAGCCAGCAATCGTATGGATTGGATACTACATCAGGTAGTACAGCAATTCCCAGTCTACCTGCGACTGACTTTTGGACAAGGGAGCTACGATTGTGGCAGACATGAAAGTCACAAAGGATGTTTACATATCTCCAAAAGACATGGGAGACCTCTCGCAATACTGGGACTTCTTCGAATGCGAGGAAGAGGTTGCTCCTGAACGGCTTGATGACGACGGTCTGTTGAAGCAGCTCACATTGCATATTACGACTAATTTTGTGGCAGCCGTGAAGAGAATTGGGCGAATCAGGGTTGACCTGAACAGCAACCAAGACGCGCAGAGAAAGAAACGAAAGAGGTCCTCGACGAACGACAAGCTAGAGGCGATCAGGATCAAACTTGAGCTTACGCTCGGCTCTGCAGCTGGGGTCTTGGAGGTTCGCGCTTTGCATGGCCGGCCCGGGGTCGAAGTAGGCAAAGCCAAGATAGAATATGCGAGGGAGAAGGGGAGAATGACACGTGGTAGCCGCTGAGCTCAGGACGTCGAATGGCTTGCTCATTGAAAACGACCGATTTTTTTCTCATTTCTTATTTGCTACTTTTCCATCTTCTCGGACTTAGAGGCGGCAAGCGAAGAGGAAACGCATCAGGCCATATTGGTGGTGCAGCCTCCTGGACTGGAGTGTGACTGCAAGACAGATGCCTATTTCGGTTTACAATCCTTGGCAAAACCTTAGCTCTACTACTAGTAGTATAGACACATGCCAAGAACTAACGTACACTACCACTTGGCGAGACACCCCACTTGGCGAGACGGTTTTTCGCGCAGCGCGTTCGGCAACACTCAAATTTCGAACAGCTATAGCTCTACCAAAATAGCTCGAAATGGACTCAAACAAGGAGCATTCTATTCAGCAGGCCTCAAATGACGTTGATCTAGGCCTATTTGACTCAGTTCGTAAAGCTGCGAGCTATTATGACGTTCCAAATTCGACCCTGGCCCATCTACGCGCAGGGCGACCCTCCAGAAACCGATCGCATTTCACAACGGCTATCAAAACAAGAAGAAAAAGTGTTGATTCAATACTTCCGAGATCTACAAAGGCAGCATTTATGCCCGAATTACGCACAAATTCGACGAATGGTTACTAAATTGCTCTATAGCAAGGGGGATAAGATTCAATTAGGCAAGCACTACGTGGAGCGTTTAATAGCTCGCCATCCAGAGCTTAAAACGCGGCGAAATCGACTAATGGATATCAAACGACTCATGGCCCTTGATTCTAGCGTTATTGAATGCTTTTTTGCCGAATTTGAACAGCTCCGCAGCCAATACGCAGTTGAGCCAAGCCGCAAGATATCTATAATATGAACGAAACAGGGTTTCAGATAGGGCAAATAGCATCAAAATACGTTGTTTTTGACCCTGCTATAGGTCGCCTAGTGGCTCCAGCATCAGATAACACTCAATGGGTCTCTATTATTGAGTGTATGAATACTGAAAAGGCTATTAAGCCTTATCTTATCTTCACCAGCAAGAATCCTGAGCATCATATGTTTCCAGAGCATAAGGAGCTCCCTGACGTTATATAGGCCTTTTCTCCTAAAGGATGAACTGACGAAGAGCTAGCTGTTGATTAGCTGCGTCAGATATTCGTTCTAATTGCGTCAAATAGCAAGCATATCATAGTTATATTACTAGCGAATTTCAGTATTACTGCCTCAAAAATAAATATCTACCTCCTCTATTTGCTGGCGCACGCTACTCACAAACTTTAACCTCTTAATTTAGGTCTATTTTCGCTACTTTTAAGCGTGTATAGTCATGTAGTTAAAGAATATGCCCTAACTGGCATAGCAGCACTTAATTAGAGTATTTTTACTATACTTTATGTATAAGCGTGTTAAGAGGCATTTACTAAGCGAAATATTCGCACAGGGTAGAAAAGAGCTGGGATTTGGCCAACAAATAAGCAAAAACTGCTAGAGGATGCTGAAATTCAAAATTTCAGCCGTACAACGCCTGAGTATCAACCTGCGCCTATCAAAGAGGGTCCTAACCATCTCTATAGCACTCCGAAGAAGCTAGATGAAATTCGAGAGCTTCAAGCGCAAATTGAGGCCAAAGTTAGTCCTCGAACTCGACGCTCTGTACGCAAGCTCAGCCACGCAGCTATTCAAGAGCATGCTGGCGCGCAGTTGCTTCAAAATGAGCTCAACAATTTACGCAAGCAATCTCATCAGCAAGAGGTCAAAAAGCGCTCAAAACGCATGCTAAAAGAGAGGGTGCAGCGTTCGTGGAATCTTGAGGAGGTCAGGGCTGCCAAAGAGGGCAGGGCGCCCTCCAGGGTGCAAATTACGCACCGTGGAGAGGATTCGTTACGCATAAGAATTCTCTCAGATAGGCTTAAATAGGAAGTATCGTCAGCTTCATTATTTCCTTAATTGGACGTGGATGTTGGGCCATTTGAGTGATAGAATTACTGCGTAAAGTGTGTGCAAACTGTCTCGCCAAGTGGGGTGTCTCGCCAAGTGGTGGTGTACGTTAGCTTCAACTCAGCACCTGATCGTCAAAATCTTGGATTTTCACCAGCTGGGACGACGTAAAGCTATGAGATATTGATGACTCTTGAGCACTCGCCTATCATGCTTGATACCGGTCCGAGGCATGGTGGTCTCCAGCTATCGTCATATTAAGCTCGCTTTCTGTCCTCAAGCTCTACCTACATGTGAATTGCAGCTCAATTTGCATGCTGTGCTACCATTTCTCAACCTCAGCCATCGTCAGCTGAGTAATGACAGAAGCCTTCCCCCCCTGGTGGACCATGACTTCCTCGTCATCTCACTAGCAAGCACGCTTCTTTGGCCGAGTTTCAACACCAGGTGAATATTCATCGTTGCTCCAACTCCGCTTCCCTGAGGATACCCCTTTCTCGATACTGGTTTTAGTATCTTTGCCTGTTGCTTCTTTGGCTGGCTTCTTGTTTTGAGGCTTGAGATCAGTGTCCGAGGGTTTGGCCTGCTTTCTCGGAGTGTTGCTCCCACTTTTCGTCTTGGACGATTCCTCATTTTCTGATATGAATGGTTGGTGTTTTGGTTGCGTGGTACCGGTTTTCGAACTGCTTTGAGGACCTGGGAGGGTGCCAGTGTGTTTTTGTTTTTCGAATTGCCCACTTGTGCTGGTGGATTGCTGCTTGGTGTGGTCATCTCCCATGGGTTGTCGTCTCTTCCCTCTTCCTTCTGCCAACTCACCACTTCCTTCCGATATATGTTTCGTGACTTGCCCGTTATCGTCGTCGATAATGAGTACGGCTGTTCTCGGATCTGAAGCGATCCTTTCAATAGGGGGGCCACCTAAAGGCTTAGCTTTGTCTGATATTCGTCCCATGGCCCGAGACTTGACTTGCTGCTTGTGCATCCATACCACTGCTTTTGACCACACCTTGAATTGATCATAGTTCTCGCCGCATTCATTACCATAGGCTAACAGACCAGGATGCATAACAAGGTCGATCGGTTTACCATCCCAACTATGATCGTCCTCCTCGATGTCCATGGTGGTGTGGGCTTCCATAATCTTGGAATTCACATGGAAATTTCCAATTTCTTGAGGTGAGAGCAGGACCTGTATCTTGACATGCTGGCCATGCAGATGGCAAGCTAGATTCCCGGCACGTTCAAATAGACCCCTTAGCTCAGCGCGTCTCACAGTGGCCTCTTCATCGTCGATGTCCCGCAACAGCGCCTTGCAGGTGGTGACAACCTGATCCGCAAACGTTGCATACGCATCGTTCTTCAAACTCTGAATAAGTGTGGGGGCGGTGCTGGTACCCTGTTCTGTGATATCGCCCGTGTTTGCGCTAATCATACGCGTTGTCATAGCACGCCATTGATGCTGCATCTTCTCTCCACCTGCTCGTGTTAATAGCTTGACACAACAAGCAAGAAGAGAGACTTACTGTTGGTGCCCATTTTTTGCACGTGGAGGAGTTGTTTCTCCGTGCTTTTCTGAAGGCCTCCCTGTTTACAATTCTGAAGGTAGAAAAAGGGTCGATGGAAGAAGTTGAAAATAAGGTGGCGTGTTAGCATTGCTGTTATGACGTGCCGTATGTTAATTACCCCGTCCAACGCAGCATGCAGACCTTCAGTGGATGCAGACTTTCTGTCATTTTTTCCGTGAAGCATGACTCGGATTGATTCCTTGATTCCTTCACGGTCCACAGGAAGAGTCCCGGCGTGTTTTTTCGTCCACCGTCTGCACCTGTCAAAGATGATCTTGAGTTCTTCCTGCACCCGATCATCCGGCAATGCATCGATCGCATCTCTCTTCAACAGTTTAAGAGCGTCCTCCTGGGCCTCTTGAAATCTGGCCTCGCGTTCTCCTCGGTCGTTCTGTAGGAGCTCTATATCCTCTTCTAAGGCTTCAATTGTTGCCTTGTATTCCTTGTTCTCGTTCCTGAGTTCGCGGGCTTGCTCGGTAAGCCGCTTTTTGGCTTTCTTTAGGACGACAATAGTCATTGAGTCGTCTGGCAAAACCTCAGTCCGCGTTTTTTTCTCCACGCTTTTGCCATCCAGGTGATTGGAGAGATCCTTCATTTTCATGCTGTTAGTGGAGGGTGCATTCATGTCCACCGAAGATTTGGGATATGATCCGTGGAGTGACTGGTAAGCTTTGCCACTTTCAACACTCAGGCGACGAGTTTTGGCCATATTGAGTACGGAATCGTTCTCTCTGATATCGCTGTTTGCTTGGACCGAACTCACCATATTCAAAGGCTCAGACCGGCTTCGCGAGCTGCTCGACTCAGCCAGCGTGTTGTTTTGCGAATGGATTGAGCTCTCTCCGACCGAGTTGCGCTTGCTTCTTCGGAGATTGTACTCACCATCTGAGTCTTCAGCCAACCGAGGCCTTTGCTGCTTCATATGGTTCATTTTCTGGAGCTCAATATCACCGAATCTATGGTGCCTTCCCCTAAATCTTGCCGATCAATCCAAAGCAGAAGAACAGTGAGGGAGAATGACTTGAAAGGTATTTAATTACTGAAGCCACCAGTAGTTGTGCAGAATTTGGCAGCAATACCTATGCTAACCGGCGAAACGGTGAGAATACCGAAAAATTTAGTGCAAGATACGATCTTAAATGTGGTGAAAGGTAAGAGTGACGTTCCAACACCCCTGGGGCAATGAGTTAATCGTCTGAGCTGCAACCTAACCAATCTTTGTCTGTATTAGGAATAGTCTACCATTCTTTTCATACGTGCTCTACGTTCTCTATCATATCTTTGATTTCACCCTCCACTCCCCAGGCTTCCAGTCTTCGATTTATCTACATTTCTTTTCTTGATACTTTGCATACTTGAATCTACGTCGGTATTGAGAGCAGTGAGCTTCTATACGAAGTCATCATGGCGAGCAAGCCCATCTTGCTCGGACTCAAAGACAAGAAAGTCAAACAAACAGGTGAGACGATCGAGACCAGTTCTTGAATCAATGATGACGGTTTAGTCGCGGAATCAGCGAACGGTCCAGCATCAAGTCAGCTCAAGGAAACGTCGAATTCAGCGCTACCTAGACCGAAACGAAAGTACACTGGTAAGTGTTGAGTCCTGATCTTCCATGGCCACTACTGATCTTATATCCGCAGCTCCGACTCCAGAGCGAGCAGCACAGTTGCAGGAAGCAAGAGAAGAAAAGCGACGTAAAGTTGCTGAGGCAAAAAGCCGTCAATGGATAATTGTGGGCCTTGACTTCGGTGTGACGTTCACAGTAAGCAGAGCAGATATCTTACGGCTCGGAAGCTGCTGACTCGTCTAAGGGCATTGCGTACATTGCCACAAATGTTGGCAGTCGAGATGTGCAAGTCATCAGGCGATGGTCCGGCGGTGGCAGGCAAACGGATTTATTAGATAAGTCGCCGTCACGTTATGCATATGCTTCGGAGAACAAGAATCTCACAGAAGACGCCTGGGGCTATCAAGTCCAACCTGGTATGAAGAGTTACTCCTGGTTTAAGCTTTTGCTGGACGGGGACACAAACGCTGCCGAGTACGACGATCCTTTGCTACGCCAAAGTGCAGGGCAAGGCATGACGGATCTGCCGCCGGGGAAGTCAGCGAAAGACCTTGCTGCTGACTACCTGGAACAAATCTACAAGCATACGCACTCTTACCTTGGCGAAGTCATTGGCAAAGGTATGGTAAAGGAGACGCCGTGCCATTACAGGCTTACTCTACCGGCAATTTGGAGTCACAGAGCGAGAAAGTTGACCCGGGAAGCCGCTGAAATGGCTGGTTTCGGGACTCGAATCTGCTCAGGAGTCTCAGATAAATTATCTATGGTTGACGAGCCAGAGGCAGCTGCGGTAGATGCAATAAAATCTACCCTCGAAGGCTTTCCGAAACACAACCTGTTCGAGGTATGTTTGTTATTATGTATATCCCAAATTTACTCATTCGTTGTCCTAGGCTGGCCAAGGCATCATCATCGTCGACTTGGGTGGCGGAACGGTCGATTTGGTCTCATATAAGATCCTGAAGCTAGAACCGCTTCAGTTGGAAGAGCTTTGTGTTGGCATCGGTATGCAAAGAAGCCTACGTCTGTCGGAGCCCTCCTAATATGTAGCATTAGGGGCCAAGGCTGGAAGCACCTGCGTTGATCGGGCCCTACACAAGTTGATGAGAGATCGGTATGGCAAAGCTTTCTCATCGCTTCCAGCAATGAAGATAGGTCCTGGGAGCAAGTTCATGGAAGACTTTGAAACCATCAAGCGCGATTTTGATGACAACGACCCAACACAGACATTTCAGGTCCATCTAAAGATGCGAGATCTTAGGAAACAAGATCAGAATGTGGTCCAATACGACTTTGAGGAGGATGAAATCATGCTGACATGGTAATTTTCTCCTTTGCCTGCTTCCACTCATGATGTGTTCAGAAAGTCTAACTTGAAGTAGCGCAGATATGCGAAATCTGTTCCAAGTTGCTGTCGAAATGACTCTGCAGCTGATACTGCAGCAGGTTAATTTGATTAAGAAGAAGAAAGCAGGAACTATCAAGACTCTTATTGTCTGTGGGGGGCTGGGTAGCTCTCCATATATCAAAACCAAACTAGATGAATTTTGCGAGGAAAGATTTGCTGGCAAGATGCAGGTAGTGAGGCCTGTCAGAGCCTGGGCCAGTATATGCCGAGGTGCGGCTCTATCGGGTCTGGAGGCGTCCCCAATCCTCTCGCGTCGCTCAAGGTATCATTACGGCTTTGTCATTCATAAAACCTTTGACGATGACGAGCATGATGAGGAAGATGCTTTCGACGACCCAGTGTATGGGAAACGTGCAAAGAATCAAATGAAATGGTTTGTGAAGAAGGTATTGTATAGTCACATGATCGTTTTCTGCGTGTATCAACTGATGAAGGAAGGACGAGAAACTCAGACCAGGAGCCAAGAAAGAGCACAGTTGTACTTATACAATTCCGCCTAACGTACACAGCTATACTGGTCACGAAAGGTTCTATCTCTGCATGGAGGAGAGCGCACCACCTCGCTTTGGTTCCGATGGTAAGATTGCCCATTTATTGATTGAATCCTTCTCATTAGATTTTCAGTACAGCCAGGTGGAGAGATAATTATCAACGTAACCTCGACCGTGCTTAACAAAGAGCGGAAGAGACTTAAAGACGAGGGATTCGATGTCAAGAAGAAGCCAATTCCGCTCGATGTCACGCTGTCGTTCAAGATCGGTGGCGAAAAAGGCATTCTCGAAGTTGCTGCCACCTCCGGAAAGACCAAACTTGGGGATGCACAGATGAACTACGAAGCAAACTCTGAATGCAAGGGAGCATGGTCAGAGGATATCAAAGCTGAGGCTTAGATCTGCAGCTCTCACCCTGTGACATTCGAGCAACCACAATCACCGATAAACGAGCTATGAGAACATTGAACTGTGAGAGCAGAGCTCCAGGCAGATTATCTCCGGGAAAGGGTTGGGGGCCCATCAGCAATACTGAACACAGTGGAAGAGCTTAAGCGAGCTATCTAGTATAAATGTGTTGTGACTGCACTGCAGCAGAGCTGCCTATTTCGGCTTCTAGTCCTTGGCAATTTTTTTAGCTTGAGTAGTAGAAAGTCCTTTCCGAATCACCCTCGCGGTCGCAGTATTCATTCACTCAGAAATCGCTCAATGAACCACGTTTACCCATGATCCGTTTTACTACTTGGGCTGCTGGTTCAATCCAGCTCTGCCATATTCGATGACAGCATCTCCATGAACCCAGCCTTCCCCTCCGCTGCAGATGATCCACTTCTAGTGAGTGCCGAAGACACAGACGCAGACGTCATTGACACACCTCCCACCTACGATTCTCAAAAACGTGTCAAGCAAGTCGAACTCCTCGAGAACCTCCTCCGCTCCTTTGATGCGCTCATCTATATCGAGCTGAGCGCGCTCTACTATCTCGACTGCGCCTTTGGACTTCTCATTCTACACACCATAGTGCAACTATTCTTCTTGACAGAAAGACCACCCGGCCTACCCGCTCCGCCGACCCGATCTGCTCTGGGCGCCGTCATAGGGAGTAATCTTCTCTGCACACTTTTACATCTTCTGAACGCAAGGCCAGAGGCTGGCGAAGCGAGTCACTTTTATCTTCATGGCAGCATAATAATTGATTTCGTGGGGCAGCTTGGCCCAACCTCGAAATGGAGGCTTCTTTGCATGGATACACTGGTACTGGCGTTACAGATTGGGCAACTGGCTATGGGGATTGAGAAGAGAAGGGTTCAAGTAGCGGAGAAGCGAACACCGGGCTCTACTCAAGACTTGGATGCCGAGGAAGCAGGAATTATACGCTCCGAGAGCTCGCGGAATGAGCCTCACGAGCGCCTTGAGGGTATGGAGTTGCAGGAATTGCTTGGGACGGCGCAAACGGAGCACGAGGCGGGAAGTGATCAATCGAGCTTGCATGTCTTGGACGAGTTTTATACTGGAAACACTATTTTGACGAGGCTGAATGTAGTGGATACGATCAGCAGTGAGCTTAGGGGTGCTACTACTGCAACTGATCCTGCAGGCGGTGCTCTGTCTCTGCCTGGGCTCCTGGTACGCTGGAGGTCAATGAGATGAGGATATCCTGGATAGCTGGCGCGCAGTAAATCTCATCTGGGGTGTCAAAAGCAGAGTATTCAGGCCTATCCGTTGCAGCTCTGAGCAGACCATCCTATTCGTGCGAGCTGTTCATTCTGCAAAAGGCATCATGTGCACGGGTTCCCATCGAAGGAGACGTTGCGATTCGCAAGCCAGCTCCTAAAGAGTCGATCACACGGGGTCCTCGTGGTCGAATAATGGTCTTCACGCTATAATTTTCCCGTTGAAGGACATTGCATCTTATGCCTCGAGCTTCCCTTGGCGTCTTTCCCCTCTCTCTTCAATGCTACAAGATCTTTGTCTAAGTGTCTTCACGTAAGAACAAGATGCAATACTTTTCTTTGAGCTTGAAGTATACTTCATGACTCACAGGGACCATTCAACAATGCGATGCAATTCCTTCCCTTCACAAGCTGCTCTTCACTTCACGCCAATCGTGGTATATCATAGTGCCATTTCCTTGAACTTTTCTATTCTTCTTCTTCAGATTTCTCCACTCAACACTCTCCGCATCAAACTATTATGAGTCTTCATGACTACTAGCTTTCCTCATCTGCTTAGCTTCTTTCTACTCTTGGAAATATATATGTATCATCTTGTGTGCAGCAGTCGGTGCCCCGTTGAAGCTTCTTTTGCCCACTACCACGGAAACCATCCGTGAGGATGAGTAAAGAGCGCAACGTTTGAGTTTTCGAAAAACACGAAAGGACATACAGTAGAAACGAGTTCTACGATCCCACCAACGACGTTTCCACTGTTGAATTGGAGTTCACAGAGCAAGAGAAGGCCGAGCATCAACATTTCCACTTAATCAGGGCGCGCTAAGTCCACTCCGGACCGGTAAGAGACTAGACTAATTCCACTGCAGGGAACACACGCTCAAATTGGCTGGTGGTGGCAGATCAGAGTCTGATGGCTCAAGGTCGACATCTGGTCCAGCAATCACTGCACAAGCTCGGCGCCTTCTCATCAACACAGCGTCAACAAAGCTCAGTCGGTTAGAGCTTACCCTAAACAAGGTAAATCGGACCACTCTGGTTGGAGAACTAGAGGGCTTCCGAACACCTCAGCATAACATTGACTGGGTTATTGACATGATAAAACGTCCTGGAGATCCGCCAACCAACACCCGGATGGAAAAAATCGCATACCTCTGTGAGGGTTCTTCAAAGCTCCGATACCAGCTTTTACAGATTCGTGAGACGATACTACGACCAAAGGACGCCTCAGACATCAAATCGAGAAAGATCCTGGGAGTCGAAGATTGCCCATATGTCGGCTGGTCTTGTGAACTTGTTCTCCAAGCCCTATATATAAATGCAAGAGTCGTGCATGCTGGCCTGCCGCTTGAGGACCACAACAGTCTCATCCGAGAGTTCAATGATCGCAACAGTAAACTCGATTTTCTCTACATCATGTACAATGTCTCGGGGCAGGGCCTTAACCTAGACAAAGTTTGCGCCAAAGTACTGGTACTATGTGCCGCAATCAATGCTGCGTTGATGATTCAGGCTTGGGGCAGAACTATTCGTGTAAGTTCCGTACTGGTAATCAGTAACACCTCCACTGATCTATCTCAAGGTGACACAACAATATCCGGTCAAAATCATCCGGTTGACAATCTTGAACTCCCATGACCAATACCGAGACTCTCGACAACGTGATAAGGCGATAATGGACCTTGCTTCTCGAGCATAAACTCCGTCAGTAAGAAGCTTGTTGGTAACACTTCTAAATGAGGCCAATGAGGAAGTGAGAAAAGCGCATGCCAGCAAGGAAGGCAGCAAGCTTTTGAAAGGTCGAGACGTGCTGCCACCCGAGAATGCAGCGGATGATGTCAACAGATATGAGCTTGACAGTCATGGCAATATTCTCTCGGGAACTGTACAAGATAAGCTTGACTTGGATATCGAAATGGCAGATGCCCTTCCCAGCAGGCAACGGCGAACTCGGAAAGCTGTCGAGAGATTTGTCATTGAGCCGGAGAATAGGCGTAAGAGCATGAAGAAATCGTCTAAGAAAAGCAAGAGACGTGTTAGCAGAACAGACGATGACAATTTTGAAGAAGAGGAAGAGTATGACGACGAGGATGAGGATGAGCTCTCAGAGTATGAGGATGATGGTGTTGAGGACGATTATAGCGGTACGGACTCGGACCAGTCCAAGGCCGAGCATAACGATGAGCTCCTAGATCTTGGCGAGCAAACCGACGAGGTCGAAGCCTTCTCTCGGTCTATCCTTGCTGACGGAAAAAAAAGATATACACTGCAATGGACTGGTATGAGAAAGAAAAGTTTGACCAAGATCTGATGAATATTTCCACCAAATAATGGTATGATGCGAGATTTGCAAGGATGTTTCGGAAGCCAAAGAAAGAAACATACAATTCTCTGCAAATAGAGGACAATACCTCCGAAGCATTCCATGCAAGAATGGAGGGGAATCGTCAGAGGCTTGACAAGACCAGACATACTTCCTTGTCTTTTTTCAATCGAAAAGAGCCACCCGCTTAGCAAAAGCGGGTCAAGCCTCCGTGGCTGGGTATTTACGACTATGGCGTGTATGGACGAAGTCTTGTCGACACGATAACCAGGTCACTCACAGTACCTGTGGTGCGGCATCTCGTAACAGAGTCCGAACTGCACGAGCATCCAGACGTGAAACGACTCATCTCCTTATCTGAGAAAGCTATTCCATTACCAATATATAGCTGTTCACGAGAGGGTGTGAATTTCGATCCGAACGCGTTCAGAGTCACTTGTGAGAGGAAGAAGGCACTGGGTAGTGCTTGGATCGGAGCATTACTCAAGTAACGCTAGAAAGTGGCCCCCCATTCCCCCCAAACTTACTCGCCTGCATACGTTTTTGGGAAGTGGAATGGGGTGGACTCTGTACACATTCCCCTTTGACTGGGGAATCCGCTAAAGAGATACGAAGAGCCCCCGATGGACGAATGCACATCCTTGGAAGATGAAAAGGGTTAAGGCGGAAGCCTATGAGGCGGGAGCGGTATGAGGACACGATAGCTATCTTCAAGAAGATAGATTGGTAACGATGGAGAAGAGCATCCTTCAATTGTAGTCATGTAAGTGATCGGGTGCTACTGGTGGCTTAGCCACTTTCATCCCATAGGCTCCAGATAGGAGTCGCTTTACAGAGAAATTGAGAAGGAAGCTCCGATCAAAGCAGCCCACTCACTCCCAATCCATGAAATCCACATGACGACCACTGAGATGCTGCAGCCTCTTGAGCTCCCTGGCCGTCTCCTCACTGATATCGCCAGGCCTTGTCCCGCTCTTGATGCCGAAATCCTCGTCCGTCCCACCCTCACTCCCTGGCCATCCATGCCCAAGCATGTCACCGTCCACATCAGCACCCCACTCTTTGACCCATTCCGGAGCCTCCCCACTTCCGTCTCCCACAAAGCACTCCACCAGCGCATCGCCTAGCCACCTCTTCCCCACCGCTTTGCTCAAAGTAACTCTCTCGAGGCAAGCACCGCTCCGCTGGATGTTTTCGCCGTTCGCCCAGTCCGGCTCGTAGCCAAACTTCAACACCCTGAGGCCGGCGCTGGTGGCCCAGAGGGAATTGTCGATGACCAAGACCATATTGTGGTAGGGTTGGGCTACGCCGCGGTAGATGGACTTGGGGAGGATGGGAGGGAGGACGGATTCATGGGATTTGGCGAGGCAGCCCGGGCTTGAAACGGATGGGAATGGGGGCAGGGCCATTGGAGTTGGAGGAACCAAGACACACTGCGAGTCCATTGCTCGATGTGGAGGCTCAGATTGTCGTGGACTTGGTGGCTGCTGGTTTTGCTGCTTCGCTGCACGCTGACGAAGTCTTGGATCAAGGGATGTAGACGAGACTGTGTGCTTCTGCTCGGTAACTTTCGGGTGCTGACCTTCAGTGGGTGAACTCTTCAGGCGTTGGTGTGGTGAGCATGCTTGCTCCATAGATGGAACAGTTGACGGAGAAACCGTAGCGCCTGGCGAGATATTTGAGCTGGTTGGAGAAGATCTAGGGCTCCGAGGAGCTGGCCTGGATTGACCAACAGGAGCTTGAATTCGGTGAAGCGACGAGTCAGAGCGGGTAGCATGGGTGTTCTGCCGTCTTTCAGGTCCTCTTCCATCGTCAAAACCCGGCGCAAGTTGCTCTTTGAGGGCTACTCGACGCTTTCGACGCTCTCCGCCATCTCCATTGCGAATGTCCTCCATTTGTTCCTTGATGAATTTGAGATTCGCCGCTTGAGCTACTCCTATAGCATTTACATGTTCGGGCATGACAAATCCTGGCGTTGTGCGCAGTTTTTTCTTCGCATATTGCATGAATCTTTTGATGTGGTCATGACATTCTTGAAGACCACGATATTCTCGTTCGTTCAAAGAGTGACTGATGATTTTCTGAGATGATGGTGTTAGCAAGCCACGTCGAGAGTAGGACCATACAAACCTCCAAGGTGGGGAGCGCTTCAAAAACTTCGACGCGAAGAGTACAATATCCTAAATGACCGCATTGATCACGGAGTTTGTTCCTTAGATGACGAAAGGCCATGCTACATTGTAGCTGCTTACACCATGTATCGACCTTGCTAATGGCATGCTCTTTGTTGAAGGCGGATCCCGGACTGCGAAGGTAGACTTGTATGGTGAGTTGAAAACACTCCTTGCTCGTCTTTGACTCAAGAGCCGGAAGATTTTGGAAAGCCGGTGAGCCGGGCTGACTGGGGGAGATAGAGGTGGAATAGTCACTGGTCTGCATGCTGGAATAATTCGCTGACATAGCTGGAGTTTGTTTCGGCTCTGGCCCGACCACCATCAATGCCATGCGTTGTAGATGGTCGACAAAGCAGGAGGTTGTTGGAAATGCAGTGTTGATGCCAGCTCGGGGCCCAGGCTGCTGAATTGGTCGACCAGGTCTACCAGGCGATGGCGGAATAGCATTGCTGTTAGTAGATCGCTGCTGGTACGGAACAGGAGGCTCATAGTTTAGGCGTCTGCGAGGAAGAGGTGGTGGAGGAGTCGAGGGTGATACTTCGATATTAGAGAACTCCATACTTTGATGTCGAGATCAATTCCTATAATATGAGAGATGGCTGGGTGGTGCTAAGCAACAGCATTCACAAAAGCGTAACAGCCAGTTTTGCAATAGGGAGATGGTTCCAAAAGTGTTTGGCCGACCTAGAACTCGAATTCTCTGGCCGCATGGCGACGAACACAGGGCAGAATGGCGAAAACCACTCCTTACTACTTGGTGCCAGAGTCGAACGTCCATGTTCTCCAATTTTGCCAACTCTGTGGCAAGAAATATACCTTTCTTACTCTTCAAGCCCACAAATGAGTGCGCCCATTCTCATGCTGAACTAGCTATTACCCAGATGGGGTGAGAGCCAGCCTGGAGCTTGGGTTGGAGATAGATACTTCGGCACCGTTTTGATATCGGAGTATTGATCACCCTGTGGGTATGAAAACTTACCTGATACCGCCGACGGAGAGGATTGCTGGTAGCATTTCCAGCTGGGAGCTCGCTCAGCCTCGATGGCTCATGAGAAGCAAACAGAGAGCAGTCACTCCAAAACCACAACGGAAAGCTTTCGGTAGATGTTACAGTGAAGAGGCAGTTTCAGGAAATGAACCATAGTGATCTATCAAAGAGCAGAGACCGCGATGCTGCCTCCTTTGCAGCTGAACGCTGGGTCAGAGGTCCTGCGCCTTGGGGGACTCAGAGGCCGCCGTGTTGTGGTGGCACTTCAATTCAAGAAGAAGCAGACAGTCGGATGCGGCTCCCATCTAGATGTAACATCAGAGTACGGAGTTGAGGGGATGGGCTATGAGGTTGGGAAGGCAGCAGCGATACAGTTGGTGACAAAGCTCGTCAAACTACGGCGGACTATTGCTGCGATGGCGCCACATCAAACATTTTGAACTTCAAAATTAGTCTCTGCCATCCCAGAAGGTCATCCAAGTCTGCTCTACAGCATATACTGACTTTCTTCTTATGAATCACAGCTATATAATGTCGCAGAAGACTAGCAACTTAAGCTGATATGGGTATGATAATATGTATCTGATAAATTGTTCTCGGTGTCAACCGTTCAATCTGGAGCGACTTGCGCGAGGTGCCAGTCCCTCAACGTTAAATGCGTCTTCGGTCCATCACTACGGCATAGGAGGGGAAACGAAGTGCGAAGTCGGCAGTATGCCTTGAAAGGCGAGCCCTTCAGGGCAGCAATCAGAACATTTGCGGAGGCAACGTCCAAGAAAATAGCCAGACTCGGGATAGACAGATCTCGCAAGTGCGGCAACAGCAGGAACAATACGTTCTCACTGACAACGGAGATACATCTACCATCCCGATTTCATCGAGCAACGATAGCGTTGCTAGTCAAGACAATCAGTGGCAGGATACCGCTTCTGACTGCGTAAATGGATTAAATCTTCACTGTATCCTCCGTAGCGCCTTGTCTGTTGGTTAATCAGTCATGCATGGTGAACCTCCGCTCTTCATCCATTATGTTGAGGCTCTTGAATGGTCCGGGTTCAGTGACGGACGTCAGCTAACGTAGCTTGTAACCCAGGATTATAGGCCAGTACACGCCTCTATCAATCTTACCTCATTGCATTTCGAGTACGAACAGCCGCAGCTGATTGAGCAAGTGGAATGTCATGCACCACATTCCCGAGCTTGACCTTGACAACATCGAAAGTGATTTCCATACCCTTTCTGTCCAGGTTGGTGCGGCCCATACCGCTGCTACCGCCGTTTCCAGTCCCTCCACGATCTTGCAACGTCCAGGCAATGCTAATGTGAAAGCAGCCGGACCTGTCTGGCACTGCGGCGGTCGCTGCCCTTATTGCTTTTGCTACCGATGCTCTTCGCTTCTTGCCCGACCCAGCTCGAGGCCCGTTTCCACCTCGTGATTCATGCTCCGAGTCTCCTGCTCCCTGCTCACGAACGGCATATTCAGATCTCTCATAAAGTAATGGCTGTCTAAACTCTTTTACGACCTCATTACACATCTTCAACAATTTGTTCAATTCATCGCCTTCTGGCTGGCCAAGTCGTAAGGCCAGGAACCATCTTGTACTGTCGAAATTAGGAACCCAATCTAATCTGTCCTGGATACTGACAGTGAAGGCTTTAGTATTCGAGGTGGATATCGATTGCGCAAGGGAGTCAAGGAATAAGGACTTCTCATGCGTTTGGAATGCGAGAGGTACCGAGAGGGAGATGTGCAGGGGTGTTTGAGCGCCAAGCGGGGAATGGAGGAGGGTGTGAATGGATTCGGATGGAGCAGATCCTGTAGAGTTGATGAGGCGGTATAGGGTTTGAAGTTCTGTTGTGGAGGGGTACCCTCGAATTCGTCAGCCATATGTGATTCTTCACGCAGAAATGGAGCTGGAGGTTTGAGGAGAAGGGTAGCTACACTCAAGGTACACGTGGGTGGGCCAACTGCCTTCTATATGCGGTGTCTGCCGAGTTCGGCCAGCATGAAGAGTTGGGTCGTCGAGGGTGCTTGTGCGGACGGAGCTTGCGTAGAGCGAATGGAAGGTTGAGGGGAGCGTGGGGAGTGCAGTCGAAGGTAGAGGCAATGGAGATGGTGATGTAGTTCGGGTGCTTGCATTGTTGGTGGAGGGGTGCTTGCGTTTGGTCCTCAGGGACTCGTATTGCGTGGTATCACTGTCTTTGTGCTTTCGCTTTCTTGCGGAGGCTTGCAACGATGACTTTGCTTCCTCATCGCTTGGAGGATTGGAACTGGAATCAGAGTAGTCCACGAGCGGCATTGAGCCGACCAGATCGAACCAGCTCTTCAGTCCTCAGTCTTCAGTCTCCAAATCTCCACGATATAGAAATTCTTTATGTATGGTTAGTCTGGGGTTTGACATATTCGCAGATCTTCAGGCCCATGTTCCTGCCAAGGCGCAGCACCTTGTCGGCAGCTCCAAATATGGGAACGATTGTCCACTTCGAGCCGTGAATTATCTCTTGGATGGCAAGGATGAAGCTCGTATCTTGCGCGTCACATGAGGACCCAAGTCATTGATTGGTAACGAACCTGCGGCCTGTTGCTTGCGGCTTGCGCGGACAGTTAAAAGAAGAAAGCCTGCCTCCAATCCCCGAGGACTATATGACGTCTGCTTGATGGTTGGTTCAACTGTTCAAGTTTCGTCGAAGCTTTCTTTTGTGCTTCGCTTATACACATTTCATCTTTGTCATCGTTCGTTTACCTTATATATCTCGTCTCCTTGGCCAGCTACTCTAACGGAGGGATATTTAAGGCCGGTCATTACTTAGATCACAGGTCGTATCTTCTACATCCTTATTAGTATGGAGAGTCAAACGAGCAAGAATTGGGTCAGCCGTGTTCCGCACTTATCGAATTATGATCGCTAACATCGACACAAATAGGCCAGGTCGTACCTGCTCGACCCACTGTCAGAGCCTCAACCTTCCGAGGAGACTGGACCCGGCACACATTTGAGACCCGAGAGCGCCACGTCAAACCTTACCTCTTCACGGTCGCCTAGCAGTCTCTCCCAAAACCCTTTCCGGCAGTCCAAAAACATTTACACATCCACTGCCGAGGTCTCTGGCACAAGCGAACGTAATCCATACCCTTCACCGCCGCAGTCGGTGTCACCAAAGCACCACCGACCTCATTCCAGCCATCGACACGAAGCCTTTAGCGAGGAGTGGCCCTCAGATAGTTCATCGCGTAGACGCGGAAACAGCCTTGGAGCACGCTTTCCGGGGGACAACTCATCTCGACCCCTCGACCAGATCAGGAAGGATGCAGCATCAGCTAATCGCTCACCACATCTCCGAAAGTCGCATAGAGTTCTCCCTGATACGATAGACAGACTGTCAATAGTTGGAGGCTATCCTTGGCACCACGAAGGACCATACGACGCCGCTCTGACAGCTCGCAATATTTCAGAAAAAGCCTCCCCCCTTAAAGCGCTTGACCACTCCAACCAAGAAACCCTCAGAGCAACGCCGAGGGAAAAAATCATTGATAGCGTGCGAAGCCATCGACCGCTTGACGGCGTAGCGGCTTATGCCCCTGGCGAAGCTGATCGTAATGGCCACGTTTACGAATACGAGCAAGGGGACAACATGATGATTTCGGGCAATCCCGAAGGGGGCGCATACAAGCGCTGGCCCGGTGTTCAATATCTTGATTCAGATATCAAGGGCAAGGGAGAGCCAAGCTACTCGATTGAGAAGGCGCTGAAAGGACATGGTGGTGATCTGAAAGGGCATAGAAGTTCAACAGGGAACGAAGCGTATGAGATGACAAAACCAAAATATGCAGGGGATAGTTTGAGCAACGCAGTAGGCAACGATGCCATGTGGGGCGATGGCGAGGAGCCTACTCTGCGGAGGAGGACAGGAAGTTTAAAGAAGAAGCTGGGTAGTGTACGAAAGCACTTACACAAGGAAAAGTGATTAAGGGATTCTGTCAAGAGCTGGTTCGATAGTCATCATGGATCAAGCGATTTAGGGTTCATATATTCAAATTCGAAGCTTCCACATATTGTGAAATTAAGTTGCACGCGCAAGCTTGTTTCCAATGTAATCATTCCTTCCCAGACCATAGTCAAAGAAAAGCTTCTTCCCTTCAATAAGTACATGTTTTGGATACTCAGCATGTGAAGGAGGTGAGGGGAAACAATGAGGGGATACGGAGTACAGTACGGAGTACAGAGTACTCCGTACTATGGTACTTTCTAAATGTTCGTCATTTGTCATATGTTGGGGTGTCAATTTTATGGCCAACGTGTGCAATAATCACTTACAAGTCCAAATTCAGGCTATTCGAACTTGAACTGCTCCATACGGCAGTGTTATGCACTCAATAGCACTTTGCCATACTCCGCTGTGACTGATATCACCAGTAGCTTCCACAGCCCCGCTGGTCCGGGGGCCCAACCACCTACTTCACATCTAAGTTTGCTGCTCGGCTCTACCTTTTACCCTGTGCAAGACAAGCATCGATGTAAAGAAGCTACCTGGAGCTTCTTGAAGCCATCACAATGAAGATGACACTAGATAACCGCCTGCTTCTAAGAAGTATTGGTGATCATCCTCCAAGACAGACCAAGGTTAAGGATTTCTACGGGGATCGAGCCTGGGTGGATGACCTTGATATCATCAATGAGCTGGGCGGTCATACCGGCTGTGTCAACGCTCTTAGGTGAGCTATTCATCTATATCACCCTTAGAGACTCAACTGACTGACTGCAAATAGCTGGTCTCGTTCTGGACAGCTGCTTGCAAGCGGATCAGACGACACTTATCTCAACATTTGGTCCTACAACCCCGATTCCCTTGCCAAACCCTTCTCCCTGAGCACAAGTGTCTCGACAGGTCATCAAGCCAACATCTTTGGCGTCAAATTTGCTCCGCATTCCAACGACCGGACCGTCATCACTTGTGCCGGAGACGCCCAGGTCAGGGTCTTTGACATCGAGTATGGTGGAAGGTATGATAATTCTTCAAGAGATGCTGGGCTTGACAGCACAAGAAGTCGTAGGTTTCAAAATTTCTTCAGCAATGCACGGTTCCTAAATGATGGAAATACCAACGCAAGAGTGTTCCGGAGCCATGCCGATAGAGTCAAGAGGATCCAGACCGAGTCCTCTCCATACACATTCTTGACATGTTCTGAGGATGGTGAGGTCAGACAGTGGGATTTACGGCAACCAAGCTCTACCTACCCCCCACCAAGAGGAGGACAAGGGTTCCGGAGCCTGAGACAAGGCCGTGTCCATGATGCTGGCAACGTGCCTCCTCCTTTGATCAGCTACAAAATGTGGTCCTTGGACTTGAACTCCATTTCGGTAGCAGCCAGTCAGCCTTATTACATCGCATTAGGTGGTACTCACGCACACTGCTTCTTGCACGATCGAAGGATGCTAGGACGAGACCTGGCAGCAGAACGGGGACGAAATACAAGCTCATCGCTTGAAATAGGTTCTCAGGATGACGATTTGATGGACCAAGCCACTCGATGTGTGAGACGCTTCGCTCCTAATGACAAAATTGCCATGGGCACGCATGACAACGGACATATCACAGCCTGTAAGATCAGTGATGCAAATCCGAATGAGTTGATCGCAAGCTGGTCTGGTGATCATATCTATAGTTTCGACATAGTACAGAGTCCAGATGTACGAGATGCGGCCGTAAAGAAGGAGCGAACTTTGCGTGCAAATTATGCCGCGGCACGACAGCAGAAAGATCGAAAGAGAAAGCGGACCAAAGTGGCCAGCTCCAGTAATCCGGGTGAGCCCGCCAAGGCGAGGATGCGTTCCGGAACAGATGCTCAGAACGGTGAAGGCGATGTCACTTTGAGGGTTCGCTACGGGAATGGTCAAACTGAGTCCGTCCCGGTAGACACGAACGGTGAGGATGTTACAATATTGGGCAGCGCTCCAGACGCCCTTCTAAGTGAGGCGCAAAAACTGAGTCAGCGTATTGCTAGATCTCTTGTTCAACTTCGCAAATCTATATTTCACTTCGAGGCTAGCATTGAAGATGCAGCCGCTGTGGAGGGCTCTGCTGAGCTTACACCTTATACAGCAGCATTTACCACCGTCCTTGGCCAAGCAGCTGCACTTTTACCCCAAATTGATGAGGTCATCAGGGGTTGGTCTTATCCTATCAACCCATCTCCGGAGGATGTCATGTTGCAAGATACACTACGCCGGAATCGCCAAGCCACCCGGCGTTTTGTCCAAGCATCTGGTTGTCTTGCTGCAGCTATGGGTGGCCGCCTTCAGACATTGAGTCCAACCCCGGATCCGAGGATGAATCTGTTCGCCTCAATAGAACCGGCCCAACGAGAAGGCATAGGGATTGACGACAATCAGCGCTTCTGCTATGATTTCTTGAAAGCTATCCTGCTTTGGTTGACTGCTGGTCAGGATGCTGTTTTGGAGGCTTTTCGCAAGCAGCCGGACCAGTTTAGAGACAGTCAGAGATTTCCTCTGGCACCCAATGATGGTCCTGAAGCTATTGAAAGCAAATTGATACCATACCTGTTGAGCTTGGCACAAGACGAAAAACCTATACTAAATGTTGACGCAAACAGGTTTGAGACTGAAGAATCAAGAACTATTTTTGGAAGCCAGGTGGCGGCCGTCACTGCTTTTCCTAGGGCATTTAAGGACTTCACATTGTCGAGCAGGAGTACCGAAGCCAACCCTCAACCATCAGAACCAGCAAGTTCAAGACAGATACTAGATCTGGGTGCTGCGTATAGATTTTGGGGCGTCAAGGTTGGACGAAGCTTGTTGATGGAAGCGGGTGAGCGTGTTACATACGATTTTGTCAAGCGAGCGTTTGGAGGTTTGCGTGTCTCTGTTTCCGAGGATGTACCAGCGGACCGACGTGAACACATCGAGGCAGAGGACGAGTCTGTTGAGGCAATTAACGCTGTTGAAGGCTCAGATACTACGATGGACACGATTTTCATGGAGGCTTTGCAGTCTAGCGGCAACACACTGTCAGCATCTGAATCACCTGAGTCGACTGTGCACACAAGTGCCGAGTCTACCCATCACGATATGATGGAATCTAGCGACGCAGCAGGTGGAGCTAGAGAGGAAGACGAGACTAGCAATGAGGAAGATGAAGACGACCTCGGAGATAGCTCTTCTTCTGAGCGTGAAGACAGCGATGGGGAGGATGAAGGTCCTACTCATCCACTTTATCGTCGCGCAATCGGGTTCGGAGGATCCAAGGAGCGCGCAAAAGTCGAATGCAACAAGCCCTACAGCTCACACACCCGCGTTTATAAAGGACATTGCAATGTCAAGACGGTCAAAGACGTCAACTTTTACGGCCTCAATGATGAGTACGTGGTCAGTGGCTCAGACTCCGGTCACATCTTCATATGGGATCGTAAGAGCACACAGCTTGTCAATATACTCGAAGGGGACGGAGAGGTGGTCAACGTCGTCACAGGACATCCTTACGAGCCGATGATAGCGGCTAGTGGCATTGATAGTACGATCAAATTGTTTAGTCCCGATGTGAGATTGCAAGAAGATGCAAGGAACGGAATTGATATAGCAAATCCTCCCGGTGCGGTTCCTATGCACTCGAGTTTAAGAGATGGATGGCCTAGGAGGAGACGATCTCCACTTGCAGACGTTCCTAGGGATGCCTCTCCTAGTGGCCTGACCAGCAAAAAGGCTATGCATAAAAGCAATGAAATTATGAGTCAAAACGATATTTTACGACGGGATGGTCTTGGAGATGCCTTCATCACGGTAAGTGATGATGAAGACGACTTGTTCATCACCGCCTGGCTTCTGGCCAGCCGTTCATTGCGATGATCTGTCTATACTACCATCATTTTCGGCGCTGACAGAAATGTGTTTCATAGAGAGGTATGCTCGCGAGACTAGCTGCTCATTTACACGCTCAAGGAGGGGACGGTCAGGGTGCTATCATGGTCGATGACCAATGTTCGGTAAGTGCCCCGGCTGGCCTTCTCCTGTAATCAATGCTGATCACCTGTGGCTAGGTGATGTGACGCTGGGCCCTGGCGTTATTGCTTGGTACGAGCGGCAGGAAAAGCCGAACGAGTAGCTCATACATCATTTCGTGCTCTGTTCCATTTTGTCGGTAGGCAGGAGCGCATGTTGCACAGGCAGTCAACTCGTGACTTGACTCACCTGCTAAATAGTGGCAATGCATCATATGTACTCGCTATTCTAGCACCTTAGCGTCAAGAGTGAGCAATCTTCCTATTCCCTCGATTATACACATCTGTGATGAGAGCTTTTCAGGTACCTAAGGCAAGGAGACTTTCCAAAATATAGTCCTAACAGGAGCGTACCAGGTCTTTTGCCTGGCTCCTCAATGAATTCGCCCTGCAATGAATGCACCACCTGCTACTTATAGTCGTGTCATTATTTTGTGTCCTTCTAGACTATCACACCTCCTGCTTCCCCTTTCTCAGAGAATGTTCATACGTAATATGATATGTATATATATATACATATACTTTGTTCATGAGCCAGAAGAATGGCTGCTGCCTTGCTCCTGAGATGGGCCTTGGTAAGACGGTTCAGACAATCTCATTTCTTGCCACCATCAATCCAAAGGTGCAAGTGGGCCGCACATTATCATCGCGCCCGCTGCCATCTCTGCTCAGTGGTTCAAGGCTATTGGTGACTGGGTTGACGCAAACACCTTCAAAACGATCTTCTATCAAGGCGATGGCAGGTTCGTGAACCTGGAAAGAAGCAACACATCTCCGAACCCGCTCTGTCAGATTACGATATTGTGGTCACCAGCTACAACACTCTTCAGCAAGAGTACGCGAAACGTGATGAATTTTTCGTGCTTCGAAACACTGCTCAGGAGGGGCAACTCGCGCGAAGATTGGAGGCAACGGAGGCAGTAGCTGTTGAGTGAGCTCTGCTCCGGGTGGAATGGAACGTGGTCGCACCTGACGAAGGTCACAAAACATGCAATCCAAAGAAGGCGACCTCAAAAGCTAGCGTGTGTCTACAACGAAAAGTTTACTATATATATCTCGGCCACCAGGCTTCAGAACCGGTACGAAGACATTGGCGGAATGATTTATGTCCTGGGTTTCTGGCCACTTTGCGACCGGGACTATTACAAGAAGGTAAGATATATGGTTCTTTAGACTACAGGCTGGTGCTAACAAGTTGAATCAGCACTTTTCCGACAACGTAAAGGGTGAAGATGGCTTCGCCACTCTTACCCCTGAAGCTATCGAAGCTATTCGGTTTGAAATCCTGTCTACCGTGGTTTCCGCTTTCTCTATCCGTAGGAGGATACATGACCTTTTTGACGGGAAGAAAATTCTCGAGCTTCCACCTTTGCTGGAACCTCAGATCATAGAACTACGGCTTGAGAAGAAGTTGCCGCTGAACTAGCCGAATCTGCCACCTGGGAGCATTCTGTTTGAGTGGAGTTTATATATCACAACGCATCAGAGCACCCAAGAGGTCGCGAGGCCGATGTGGGACAAGACACAAAGTTACGATTCGTATGCGTCCACTTAGGACGTTGGCAACAAGTATAAGCGTACAATGTTCGCGAAATCGGCAGCTCTACGCCCGGTCCTTCCATATTCAAGTACGACCAGCAAATGGCGACATCTGGGATGATGAGTCGGACGACCCTCTCGATGACGGTGACAAAGATCTTGGTCATACTGACCAAACGTCGTGGAGTCGTAAAAGGCTGGCTGGCCAAGGCGAAGAGTTGGGAGTCAGTGCACACTCTTCGAGTGATTCCGCTTCGTGGAAGACTGTCTCAGATATCGTGACCAAGGCATGAATGACGAGGTTCTCGTTTTCGCTTCTTCACTTCGCTACCTCGATTTATATTACAAAACAATTATTTTCCCCATGGAAAAAAGATCAGATGCTTTGCGCTTTGATGGCTGGCACGATTGGGCCGCTGTTCCTGGAAACCTCGGTCTGGTTTTAACGGACCGGATAAATTCCGAGCACAGTTTGAATGTGATCTTTGGCAGGAACAACTTTGTGTTGTTCGGGAGAAGAGAAGGAGCTCATAGACTACCTCGGTACACAGGTTTCACGGCGCTATCTAGTCACTTCCTTACAAGGATTGTTGCCGCTAATGTGAAGAGGATGAGAAGGCTTATTATTCCCGGAAATCCACGGCTTGTGGCCGAACACTCACCGCCTCATGAGATGACACTACAGCAACTCATCCTATCTCATCCGCATCTTCGCAATCTGAAGCTGTTGGTATTGGAAGTTTGCCTGCTTGACTATGTCATGAGGACCAGGGCCGAGCTAAACTGCTTGATGCTGGCAGATTACCTTGACCACCTGCATCACTTTGGCCAACACGACAGATGGCATGCGGCTTTCGACCACGGCAGTAGATTTGTACTACGGGAGATTTGCGCATTGGTCAACAACTCTATCTGGAAAACCATGGTTTTGCGTAATGCTGGAATATTGAATAACATTGGGGCAACCTTAAGCACATCTACGAGGCACGCGAAGCTGAGGTTCGATGCCTTCCATGGCGGCTTGACGAAGAGCTCCCCTCTACAGGTGATGATCTACCACCCATTTCTTCACCCGGAGGTGAGCTGGTCGTTCAATTAATTACAGAATCCCACATTGAATTTGAAAAATCCCGGAAAATCTAGTTTCGTCATGGACTCAGGACATTTTCACCACCGGAAGAACTAGCAACGCTGCTGCAACGTCCGCACAAACGCCAAAGGAGCCAACAAGTCTTCGTGAAGAATGTGACATGTCCGAAAATAGATCAACTGAGAGCAGAGACCAAGAACCTATGCTCGATGATGGAGAGAACTTACCAAGGTCTGCAGGTCCTTTCAAGCCAGAATATGCATGAATATCAATTGACGCTCAGTAGATCCTCACCAGTGACCAGGCATTCATCAGAAGCGGAGAGCACAAATCCTTTGCATGAACCAGTGCCCAGACAACAGGAAGCGCAGAAATATCCCAAAAAGAGGCGAGGGCTTGATGCTACGGTCAGCAAGGTCAGCAAGGCTACAAAACTATTGCCAGCACAGGGTCTAAGGGCGGTAAATGCCAACCGGACAATACCACTACCTGTTAAGGCTGTAAGGTCATTGCCAGCACAAAGTCTGAGGATGGCAGATGCAAGACAGACAACACCACCATCTAACAACGCTGCAACGTCATTGCCAGCACAGAGTCTGAGTGTGGAAGACGCATGGCGGACGACGCCATCTTATAAAATGGCTGCGAAACGTGACACACCACGTCACGTCACCCCAACAAAGACAACACAAGCAATGAACGCGAGACCCAGTCTGGCGAACAATAAAAAGACCAGATTGGGGTTATCCGATGTTGAAAACCAACAGCCACGTCCCTGCCCCCGAAAACCTCGAGACGATGAAAGGCTCATCAGCAAAGCCAGTGATCTGATGGGCTCACACTTTACCTCAGTCCCCCAGCCGTGCTATGTGGCTTGGACGATGACTAAGTCAATGTGCGCCAGCACGTCTGAGGTCAGGAATCAAAATTACGCACAGCTTGTCATCCGGCCTCACAAAATAAGCGAGCTATACCAATTTGGGCCAAAATTACATGTATTAACTTGTAATTTTACATAAAATCCAACAGAATACACAGCTATTTCGGCGCAGAATTCGCCGCAGCATCCACAGCTGTTTCGCACAGACTCCACAGAATCCCCAACCTTACAGTCGACTTGTGCTTCTTAGCCTCGGTGATAGGACCTCGATCTCCTGATTGAGAAGAAAAGGACGTTATCACAGAGTTTGGATTCGGCGGGATCCCAATCACGATAGGGCTACCCGGATCCCCGGACGATTGTGGTACAGTCTAGATATAGAAGAGTGGCCTCGACTGGTCTTTTTCCTGCTCCAAGGTGTTGTCTCTTCTAACAGTGTTCCTGCTCAGCCTCCCACACACACCTCTCACAGATGCATTCCCCGCCAAGCGAGCCGAGCATGTACTCCCTCCTCTCCTTGACAGGCAGATCAATATCGCAATAATGCGTCAGGATCTCCTCTCCGGCCCGAACACCATGCCAGGTCCCTTTCACATCATTTCCATCTTCCCCGTTCCCATCCTCGGCAACATCTTGCCCCTTGCCCCACGGTACCGGCCTCGCCCTGACCCTAAACACCCTCTCCCTGCCCGCATCCCATCCCCACTCCACATTTGGGCTGCAGCTATGATTCGCCAAACACCAGAACGGATGCACAGCCGCGACCTCCGGTTTGCCATCCCACGTCGACTGTCTGGCACTGGCGACGCCGCGGAATTTCGCGTAGAGGGTTTGCGAGACCCAGGTGTCGTACCATTCTAAGCGTACCGGGGAGAAGGGTGAGAATTCAGGGTGGGATTCTGAGAGAATGGACAAAAGACGGAAGGGGAGGACGATGTTGTGGTGGAATGTGAAGGGAAGGGTTCGTTCAGCAGAGGGGCTGGAGGTGGAGCATTCGGATGGTGAGGGTGTGGTGAAGACACCACATAGATATTTTGTTTCGGGTAGTTCTAGGGGGTGCGTGTTTTGACTGTGAGACATTGAGAAGGCGCGGGCTAGGAGGAGGAAATATAGATCTTCGCTTGGGTTGGTGGAGGTTTCGTCGCGGCCTAAAGGATCGATGAAGTCGTTGCCGCAGGCTGTGCTGTGGTACTTTGTTTGGGCTATGTCGAGGCACGCGAGTGAGCAGAATACTGCGGCATCGGTACAGGATGGGCAGCACACCGGCCCGTCCAGGCAATCGGAAGTTGTAGATGACGGTTGCGGGATGGGCACTCCGCAGTTGTGGCAGAGCGAAGCGTCAAGCGGCCGTACCGCAGTGAGCACGGAGGGTTCGTGGAGGATTTCTGACGAAGCTGGGAGATCTGTCTTCGCAAATACACCTAATTGAAGGGATCTGGCTGATCTATCTTGCTGAGAAGATCTTGCCGGTGAGCCGTTCGTTTTATTTTGAGAATGAACGCAATCCGTTGCAGCAGAGCTCTGAAGTACTGGCAATTCCACATTTCGTATTTCGAGATGCGGAGCAATAGGATCCAACATCTTATTCAGTGCGTTGCGAGTGGCTAACGAAGACCTTTCCGGTTCGTGATTGTTCCATTTGTAAATTTCCCTTCTAGCAAAGCCAGAATTTCTTAGCCGAGCAAGTTCAATCTTTTTCTCTGAACTTTGACCATTCATCTGTGTCTTCATGCTTCTGGAATAGTTAGCACGCGATATCAAGTCCCGCAACTCCTGGCACTCGTGGTTCGCAAGGACGTGCCCTTCCTCAACCAGCTTCTCCAGCTGCAAGAGATAACTATACGCATCCCGCAAACACCTCAGATCAATGAGTGCTAGCACAAGACACCTGAAGCATTCCGCCAGCTCTGCCCTCGCATCATTGATAGCTTGATCATCCCTGGGCCAAGAGACGACCTCACCAGCACCATCTCGCAACTCAGGATGGAAGTCCGAGAAGTCCGGGTCAAAGTATGTCTCCAGCAAGGTCAGCGCTTTGTACGCGTCTCCAGCTGCAAGATCAGAATAGCCCAACCCGTAGTGGATAGCGGCGCGGTGGAGATAGTGTTTGAAATTCAAAGGCTCTCGTTGGAGAAGATTGGAGTTGAGCTGGTGGCGCTCGCTGTGCAAGAAATCGAGCTTCTGGCTGACTTGGAGGTTTCGACACCGATGCAGAAGTTCGCATAGTCTCATTACGGTCAGGGAGTACGAATTGCCCCAAATTCGTAACTGCGCTGAACAAGAGCGCAATCGCTCGGATTGCGTGTTTATGTTAGGGGTATTAGAGGAAACGGTTATAGGGGTGTGATGGGATCGCGTTACGCATGACGTCAATACGGACGAGATCTTCTGCCCCCCAAAAATATGCACGTGAAATGCAGATTAGTTGATGCAGCCCAGATCTGAAAGAGTGATTTTCAGAGTGCTGGAACATTTGACATGGAAAATACGAAGGGTTGGATTAGGTAATCCATATCACGTACAATACATCAGTTACGATACATACCAGTCCGAAATACGGAGTATTTTATCTTATACCATACACCGTGCGAAATCTAGAGCATAGGGCAACAATGCAGAGGGCCCTCCCAGATCCCTCCAAATAGCAAGTAGAGCTTTAAAGAGACGATACCCTCGTCTGACTGTCTAGATACTGCTTCTTCAAAAGGGAAATACTGTTTTTTGAGTACATGGCCTCATGGGGGATATTCTAGCTCTAAATATACAAATGATGCCAATACTTTTGATGAACTTTTAAGTGAAGGAGAAGCGAAATGCTGGAAATGAGTAGAGAGCAGCAATCCTCCGTGCCCCATGACGGCCCGTCGTTTCCCATCATTTTCAGAGGTGCATTGACCGAGAGCGTCGTGTCAAACCTATCACTTCTTCTCCAGATATCAGCCAATGACACAAAGACCAGTCAGAGCTTTCCGCTTACCTTAATCGCAACTTGATTCATCGTCGCTATCAACCCGACACTGCCGACTTGAGATGCCAGGCCCGCTTCCATTCACAACTAACGGACCATCTCTGGTCTCTCGACGGTCTTCCCTTGGACGCGAAGCCGTTGAAGATTTGCCTTTTCCAACACCAGAAGCACCAGCAGCAGTGGGTCCTCTGTCTAACTTGATCTTGATCTCATAGCCTTTCCACATAGTTCTGTTGAACCGGTCAATGGCTGTCTGTGCTTGTTGCGGTGTGCGGAATGTGACTACCGCTGTCAGCTTGTATTTGGACGACCGTTGACGGTCCTCCTTGACAAGGCATCTGTCTACAACCCCAACGGAGGAAAGATGCTCTTTGATAGCTTGCTGGCCCACGGTGTATGGAAGATTGTATACATAGACTGTGCGACCGTCAAGGTCAACCGTGTCAGGGTTGGGGTTACCTTGCTTGGAGGATGGTGATGATGGGGTTTTGCTAACGGTGCGTTTTGTTGAAGCTTTATAGCGATGCTGTGGAGTGGCGTGCGTGGGAGACAATGGAGGAAGGAGCCGTTGAGGAACGGGCATTGTCGACGACGGGTAAGAATTATATCCAGGGGTAACGGGTTGCTGCAACGGTGCGAGCGTTTGCACGGGAATGGGAACCACGGGTTGGTACATAGATGTGATGGGCGAGGTTGCAAGGTTCGTGTACAAGACACTATTTCCACAGCCATAATTGCCCCTGCCAGTTCTTGTGACTGCATTAGAAGTGATTCAGCTGAAAGCGACAAGTACCTACACAGGTGACACGGGCGGCGAGAGGGTGGTGGAGGCTGATGAATTGTAGGAGTGGCCGAAAGGTTGATAACGTTGAGAGGAATCCACCAGACTGTCCTCTGGACCGCGAAGTGTCCGTATAGTGTCAGGGTTATCCTCGTCCTTCACTACCAGTGTCAGCCGAATGCTATGCCCTCGCCAGCCGTATTCATAAAGATAATCTTTCGTCGCATGTCAGTGACGCCAACAGTTGAGGAAAACCTGCTTCAGGGTACCGTAGGCATCAAATGCTTTCTTCTTGTTCAAGATCGTAATGTGACCCCAACCAGTCCCATCTTTGTTATCTGTATGTGCTTGTCGAATGTGTCCGTCGGGAGGGATTTTCCGCATGATGTCTTTGAGTTCTTGCCAGCGACACTGAGGGGAAAGCTGCATTGGTCAACTCCATCATGAAAGGAAGTTTTCAGCAATTCCTTACCCCTTGGATACAAAGGAAATATTCGACCTCATCCGCTCTCAAGGAAGTGGACTGTGTTCTGCTCCGGCTAGCCATCCCTTTCCGTAATTTGGAAGCTCAAATTGTATCAGGTACGGACAGCTGCTAACGGAAGGCTATCAAGAGACGGACATGCGATTATTCCTGTGATATGAAGGCCCCCAGGAATTTGAGATGTTCTTTGATGTAGACTATTTCAACGGCAGACGACAGGTCGGGTTTAAGAAGCTGTAGTCTTTCGAACACAGTCTCTGTACTATAGCGCATTGGCGACTCGCTGTAGTGGCTTCGAGTCTGCTTTAATAGTTGACAATTGTTGCTGTTACAAGAGTCGCTGGAGCCGATGAGAGGTGCTGGATGCCTTCAGAGAGCTCTAGAGCTGTTGAACCGAGTCTGTGAGGTGATTAGACCGTAACTGATTCCTGCAAGGATTGTGAGCGTCTGGAAAATCGTGGAAGATGTATAGGGGACTTTTAAGGATATTTGAGCACTGAAGGGCTTTCAAAACTTTGAGCGCACGAGTTGTGGGAGCATGAAATCCTCCGAAGCTTGCTCAAAAATCTTTTGGCCAGCTGATGACGGGAGGCAGATTGAAAATGTTCTAGACTCTGCAAGGGAACAAAAGACGACGTATTTGTATTTGGTTCAACCACCCCAAGGGGAGAAACGCTATGGGAAAGAGACGTGCAGCCACCAAGCTATACAATGCTATTCACAAGATGAAACGTGCGATACCGTTCTCAATTTTCGCCCGAGGATTCCAATAGGAAGTGACTCACCACCTCCCCGAACCAATGACGAGTATTCATCTAGCTGACATCGGCGCCACGTTGGCCAACATACAAGACACAAATGTGATATGCTAAGAAGCAAGTCGTCGACACAAACTGGTCCAGCAGAAGGCGCATCATTCAGCCAATTGAGTAGCATTCGACCTATGGGCCACAGGGATCTAATGCGGCTCTTGCGCAACCCGACCCCACGTATCATCCCTTTGGGATGATGGGACGGACAACCCCGTGATCTGCCTCAGAGAGATGCTGTCCGGTTGCGAGTTGTGGTGGGATTTGGTCATGATGAAACGCTTTCCAACAAGGATAAAAGGGTATGAATTGGCTAGAACGTTTGGAGATTGTCCATTGCACGTTCTAAAATATACGCGCAATGTAGAGCAAGAATGGTATAGCTGATATCAGCATACTTTAGTTGACGGTATATTGGCTGCCCTCGATCCAAAGCCCTCGGTTTCCTCGGCCCATCCTTGCGCAGATCTCATCTGCATAGAGCTTGTACCGATCCCGGATGTCTTGCAGACACTATGCGGAAAGCCACAACTAGACGCTGGACCCGTCATACAATCTCTGCTCCTGAAACCGAACCAGGTCGGACGACATTTTCTGGTCGAGGGACATCACCATGGTAGCCTCCTGAAAGATCCAGTCTAGAGCAGCAGTGCGCTTCAAGGGTCGAATACTAAGCCTGCGATGTGATCTATCATATCATGCAACATCAGTCATGGCTCAATACGACAAGCCTCAATGATCGAGCGTCAGCAACTAAATACTGCAACAAACAGTTCTTGATTCAAGCTGAATTGCGGCGCAGGCCACATTGCGATTCGCCGCAGGTAAATTCTCGAACGTACTTCGAAGCGACGTCTGGACAACAACAAACAGACGTTTCTAGACGTTTCTAACCGTTTCATGTCGGCCAGTAATGGTCAGCTCCTGCGGCTGCGGGGAAGGCGGATGGCCCCAGCAAGCGAGACGCGATAGAGGTGGTCCATAGGAGTTGGGAGGGACAAAACGTGCATAGTCGACCAACGCTTCCAGATGCTTGCCGCCTGCATGGCTTTGGAACATTCTATCCATTGTACAGCGTCGGTGGGCCCAGCAGTGGCGGCATACGACCCCAGGTGAGTCGAGCAAGGGCGCGTTGTTGCTGTGCCGATGACTCTTCACAAGCAGTAACAAGCAATTGCCCCTTCAGGAGTGGTGACATTGTATAGGAGCTTTCGTTGTGCTCCACGATATCAGTGTCCGCACCACCTGTCTGCACGCAGCCGACGATCGCCGGAAAGATCGTGCCGCAGGGGAGCTGCAGTGACATCAAGGGGCGATCTGCTTCTAGGTTAGTCATTCTTCCTCAGCGGCAAGTCTAAGCTGCACTGATAAGTTAGATCGTGTACCGTATAAATTACACGACAATGTTCCTTCCAGGAAATTCGAACTTAGTCCATCCAAGTGGATCACCGGTTATGGAATGTCCACCAGCTGCACATAGCGAATAGTGTTTTATTTGGTGGCCAAGAATTCTAGTTCAAAGGCCGGTGGAAAAGACATGTGTAGGGAATAATAACAAGACTAGTAGGGCAACACGGGTATGACCCACTATTTTGTACAGTGCTTGGTGTGCGCAAGTTCTTCTCTTGCTATCTGCACCTAAATCCGACCCATGTTATAAGAACTTAAACGTATCCACAAGTCCAGTCCAAGCATCATACCAAGCATCATACCATGACAGATGAATGTACCATCATCTATCATGTTCGCAAGCGGATCGTGCCGAAACATTGTCTTCCTCAAGACCACCTGTCACCGTTGTGATACAAGTGAAGCACAACTCAACTGATGAACTGTGCTCTGCGGCACTCGCATTATTGCGCGTTCCACGTCACAGCTGTAGATCCCCTGCATTGCAAGACTCCCTGCCTTTCTGGTCGCCATGCACTCTGTGTTGTCCAAACCACACTCGTTTCCAGGTTTATTGGATGGATATAATGACCACCTGCAATCCACGCCCCTCTCAAACTGTCTTTGACTACCATCCACCTGCTGTGGTCCAGCCACACATGCTAGGCAGCCAAGGAAAAGTACAGCACAGCCAGTCAGTCGCCCGTGATTCCGTTCATAGATGCTCTGTCAGCCAAGGGTGGTCGTTTTAGAGGAAGATGTGGGGTTAGCGAGCCCCTGGACCAGTTTTCAGAAAATTTGGGAAACGTCGAGAAGACATTTGACGATAGTCTAGATACTGAGTACTGATTGGCAAAGCGGCGATTGCGGATTTTCACCTGTTGAAGCCAAGCACAGACGCACAACGAGTGCAGTAGTAAGAATTTGTTCCACACTGTATAGCTGCCAACGGCGCGGGAGAAGCGGCACAATCGAAGCTTGATGACCGTCGGCAATGGCAGCATTGGGAAATCCCATGTGGTGTACCTGGGGAAACTGACGAGGACGAAGAGGACGAAGAAGACGAAGAAGACGAAGTCTCTGATGTGGTCCGATTTGGGGAACTACAGGTTTTTGTGACTGGGGCGGCAGCGTGCGCAGCTTGAGTTTGCAATTGTAGAAGCGAAGGCATAGTAGTGGAGAGCACTTGTAAACCTCCCACAAGTATTTGAGCTCCAATCAATGAAGACAATTGAAGAAATAAAATGCAGCGAAAAATGAGGTAGGGAGGAGTTAAGACTGTGGTTCATCACCAATATCTACGTGTCGTGCTGGGGAGGAGTTCTCTTACATGGGATGCAACTAACTAGTACGGGGAAGCCAACTTTCCAAAATATTCGGTTGAGGTAGGCACGGATGAAATTCTTGCTTTTGCATCAAGGATAGGCTTCATACTACTATTAGTACCTGGCGCCTCCAGATCTCGGGTGATTGTTGATGGTGGCAGAATTAGTGGGACGTATCTAGCGGTGTCAGTTCCAGAGGCCTGACCATGTAATGTGTCACTTTTTCCTGTACCTGTAATGCTTGGCGACCGTTTAACTCTGGGCAGCCAATCGTCCCAGGCTGAGTGGTGGAATGACTGCCGCACCAATCATTAATTCAGCCTAATGATATCACAAGCAGGAATCAGCATATCACACGCAATTCAGTGTGGCTGCTCATTCCCAATGGCTGTGCACGTGCAATATCGCTCCAATATTGCCCAACAATCCGTGTCGCAGAATTGGTCAAGGGAGTCCAAGCACATCCCGACGGCTTGCAGCTGGGCATCATCACACACTTTTTCTGGACATCACTGGCTGTCAAATTTCACTAGCTCTTTTGTATGTTGGATGACGTCACGGAGGGTCAATGAAGATTGAAATTCCTTGCAAAATGCTTGTAACCATCATAATATTGCCTCTTTACCGGACCTAGCGAGCTTTCCTGCCGTTGCTACTAGGTCGTCTATACGTACGAACTATGATGGGAATGAGCATTTGTGGTGCAAGCACAGTTCGATAGGTCGACAATGTGCCGCCCCCTACCGTTGGCGATAATTCAAGCTGATTTGGTATATACTTCATAGATCTCCTATTCAGACTCTACTATCCTCATGTAATGTCCTGGCTATTCCGGCAGCGTTGCAAAACCGGTGTTTGTATCGTGATCGAATAGAGAGATGTGTTGACTTATCATGTACCTGCCAGAAAGAATCCATCAATCAAGTGTAGTCCGAAACCCACCAGCACTATCCTTTTGGCGGGGAGGTTGAAGCATCCCTTTTTTCTGTAGCCTGCGTTACTCGGAAAGAGATAGATACCGAGTGTAAATGACTGTCCCTTTGGCTGTTCTCTCACAAATAACCTGAAGACCCAAGGGTCAAATAACATTTTGTGCATCAGGGAGCCCATTGTGATGAGTCCTGCCGGTCCTGTTACTGATCTCCGATTGATGGATAGAGCTTTGCAGAGGCTTACTTACTATTAACTAGTTACTAGTACTACTAGTAGTAGTGGCTCAGATCCTGGAATTTGTAATCTGCCAAGAGCTAGACGTCACCTAATCAAAGACTTGACGAATGCTAGTTGGCAGGACTCTCAAGTACTGGTTAGAGAAAGTGAAGTTATGGTATCGCCAAACTTGTTCCTCAGTTAAGAATTCTACAAAACCTTTCACATCTCGCAACACCCCGACGAGTGACCTTTGCCTATCGTCAAGTATTGCCCAGTCACGAGGATCTTAAGTAAAGTTGAGGTCTAGTCTCCGCTCTTCGATATTTATCCAGCAATACTTTGGTATTTGTATCTGAGGATGGGGAAAGCGCCCAATCTGTTCACGTACCGTGACGTGGATACTGTTGCCCAGCATTTACGTGTCTATGTTCTTCAGTGTCAGAAAGCTGGGCTCGCGCGCCATGACGCATTCAAGGTTGCTGTTTCAGGTGGTTCGCTTCCAGCTACTTTGGCCAAAGCTCTACTAGCGCCCAGCAACGGAAGTGAAGACGATACGCCACAGTTCAACAAGTGGGAAATCTTCTTCGCCGATGAACGTGCTGTGCCGCTTGACCATGAGGACAGCAATTATCGCTTAGTCAAGGAAGAGCTGCTAGACTGTATTCCCGAGAGCATGGGGAAGCCAACGGTGCACTCGATCGATATTGAAAACCTTGACGATACGCAGAAGCTCGCAGACAGGTACCAAGAACTACTCATGAATTCATTTGCTGCCAAAGACAGTGTTAAGCTTCCGACCTTTGATCTGCTACTGCTTGGTTGTGGGCCTGATGGGCACACTTGCAGTCTTTTCCCAAATCACGAACTCTTAAGAGAAACTGATGCTTGGGTTGCCGCGATTGAAGACTCTCCAAAACCACCCCCTAGGAGGATAACCTTGACATTACCAGTGGTGACTCACGGGACAAAGATTGCCTTTGTCGCAACTGGAAGCGGCAAGAAGGATGTCTTGAAAGCTATCTTGGATTCAGAGGAGGGACGGAGCCTCCCGTGTGGCCTAGTCAACGAAGGAGCAGGCGAGAAGGTTAGCTGGTTCACTGATTCCAGCGCCGTGGAGGGTGTGGCATTTCCCAGACGAGGCAGTTTGTGAAATGGCAGGAGACACGATGCGAGGAAGTGGCGTTCCAAGCGATGCTAGATGCTGTGTGGCTAGGATGGATGCATGGCCCCGACGATTCTGCGCTTAGCAGCGATTGTTATACCTTTGAGGTTTGGAAAGGCAACATCCTTATGAGAGCGACGGTTGAAGCATAGTGTTAATAATCCCACAAGGAGCAAGATCTAAAAAAAAAAAGATTGGCACACTTCTGTCTAATCTCTTGTGTTATTGAGAATTCGTAGCTAGCCTCATTTCTCGCATTGCAGATGGAATTCAAATCCGTTCGATGAGGAAATATAAAGAGTATAAACTGTTCTCCATATCAACACCTTCATTGTGGCATCCATGACATGGAACTCTAAAAATTGTTACATCCCTCTTTTCGCCCCCAATTTTTGGGATTCGGCGCTCCCCAGTTACCCGCAGGACTCGAGGACATACTTAATTCTTGGCGTGGTGCTTTTTTCCCGCCGTTACTGATTGGTCGGACAACTCCAAGCTCTTTCAACCTACTATCTGCATTGAAGTCCTTGACACTATAATTGGTAATACATGCTATCTCCAAGTCGTAGCCTCTCTTTGCGGCAGCCTGGCTACGCTCATCGTGATCTCCTCGGAGATGCTCAGCAGACAGCGACCGTGGTTAGGCATGACATGGATCAAAAGCAAACAATGGACACAGAAGAACATGTCATATTGAAGAAGACACTTGCCTGTCCAAATGACGAGTCAAAGATGACGAGCATTAATGCAGTTGAAATGGTAGCAAGTAAAAGTGGGAATCGAGTACGAGAATCTTTATCTCTTCGAAGCACTGCTGCAATGTCAATCCACCGGCAAGAGCCTCGTCCTATCCGTCGCCAGATGAGTGCCAAAGCTGGGCGGAATAAACATTCTGAAGCAGATACTGCTGCTCCTAGTTCTACAGGACTACCGCTGCCAACACAACTTTCAAGGTCATCATCGCTACGTCAACCAACAGGTTTGATATCCAGGGGGAGTGTGGCGACCTCATTGCAGTCGAGGAACGCCTCTATCGTCAAGAACTCGATGAAGGGAGATAGCTTGGGGATAAAATCTGTACTCTCTCCGGGTCTGGCGCAAAAAGACATGTCAACCACTCCCCCAATGCCAATGCACGGACATTCATCCACTAGATCAAACCCTGCATCAATACATCACCAAAGCCGGTCAAGCAGCGCAATTGTGGAGAAGGAGCCTGGAAAGAGATTTCCGGGTACCCAGGATCGCTTACGGCCTGAAGCACGACCACAATTCTCTACTTATCAGCAGCATTTCACTCCTAAGAAGCAGAACCTCCAACTTGAGCCTGTAAAAGTGCCACCGAGCACTACTCAAACCGGCATGGATTTTAACTACATCATGGCGCTGCAAAATGAATTGCTACAGCTTCAATGGATGTTTCTTTCTTCACGCAAAACCCTGAAAGCCTGGAGTGAAAGTGGATTCAAGAAGATAAAGGAGCAACAAGAAAAGCAGATTCAGGATGCCTGCAATGTGAAATCAATTGAACAAAGCCAGCAAGACCGTGTCAACGGAGCAGCTCTTCGAGATTGGCTAGCCAAAGATAAGGACCAGCAGTGGTTCAACAGGGTCGAGTCACTTTCTCAATGCGTCCAGACGTTAACCGATTTGACCCAGCCCTACGAAAGACTCTCTGACGTAATGAATCAATTCGAGGCATGGTATGAGATTACGAGAAATATACTCGACGGTAGGGTGGGTGATAGCCAGAGGGAAGAATTCCGATGCATCCGGCCTCTAGGACAACCCTGGGCTGAAACAGTTGCAGCACTGGTTCAAGTATTGGAGTCGTGCCTTCGGAACCTTGAACAACTTGGCGGTGGAGATGGTTCAAGCGGATTAGAACTTGTCCTGGATGGACATACACGCTTCAACAAGACCATACTTGAGGAACTGGAGGCAATGCAACTTATCCATTCAACGGTTCTGAAGCAAGAAAATGACTGGATTAGGGTTGAATTGTCTGGCATTTTGCTTACGAAGAATAAGTTTGAGGTGTCCCAGTGCGACCCGCAACGTCCGGGCGCTTGGGACTGTCTACCTTGACACTGGCAGTTGCCATCATCCCGTGTCTTATCATGGTACAACCTTATGGGCTGGATTCATGATGTGCTGTTGAGTCAATGTGGGCAATCGGAATGGCTACGAGGCATTTACAGCGGTGCAGTGCATCCGTAGCCACAATTGCCGCATCATACATGTTCCGCTCCGGATCGGCTCCAAAATGCCTCGCCTGTAAGCTGAGAAACCTCCGAATTGTACTATATCGCTTTATGTAATCAAGCATCCCGCACGTTGTTATTCCTGGCAGCGAATCAGGTCCTGTTTATCTACTCTACGGTTATCATCAGGGCACTTATGGTTTCACAAATGGGGCCAGACGGGAAATGGATCGCCGCCATACTTCGGTTCCGCCTTTGGTTCCGCCAGAATCCTTCCAGCGGGACAGCAAATGGCGAACAGCACATAACAGCAGGGATGGGGATGATTTCCAGAAAGCTTTGGCGCCCTTCCCGTCCGGCTTTGTTGCACGATTCACGAAGCGAGGTTTGATCAGCAGTGGGCTTCCAAGGACATGATACTTTTGATAATGCCCATGATGATCAAGCTTGCCTGACAGGAGCAGGGTTTATCGGCATTTCTTGCAGCAAAGTCAATCCTACATTTAGTCGAGCCTTAGTCAATGCCGTGACACGGTCAGCCACTCTTTTGCCGCGCTTCAAAGACGAAAGTCAGCTGCCACTAGTGATAGATAGGACTAGTCATGTCAAGATGATGCGCACTTTACTTACTACGTGGCGACCTGCCAGCCCGGATTGCGACTTCCCTGTCTGGTGTCTTCCAAAACCTATGATTAGTCAGTCGTAACTTTGGATCAGGCGTTCATGCAACAAAGCGCATAGCGACGGCCTGATCAATCATCGTACTCAATAGCCGGTCAGCCAGCCCTGAGCATGAAGAACCCTCTCCCACGTCGGGAGGAGACAAGCAAAGAGCGGTATAGGTCGACTGGAATAAAATGGCTAGGTCAAGTCAATACCCATGTGTCATACTCGTAGGATAAGCATTACCATCGTCCTCTTCATCAGCATCCTCCTAGCATCAGCATCAGCATCACTAGTCTGACTGCAGTCATTCTAGAAGCTCAAGGAAAATGCAGGAAGATCTTGGACCGTAGTGAGTTTCAACTATTACTGGATCGACAACTTCGACGAGGACTGCTGCATCAATGGCTTGTCTCGGAATAATGCCTCAAGCAAAGCCGCAGATTGGGTCTAACCAGTAGCAGCCGGCAAGTTCCAGATACTACGTAGCATCGGATCCTCTAAATTAGTGGGGGAAATTCATGTGCCAGGATTAGGAGCAAGTGGAGCTATTGGAGCAACTAGCGGTTGTTTAGTCATAAGGCGGGCGGATCCTCGAGCCTTTAGGCGGCTTTAGATGGCTTCCTACCACATTAGGCGTCTTCCATGCTCTTTTGGGGACAAATCGCAGCTCCACAACCACTAGTCATAGAGCCCCCTACTGCTTAGCACCAGGCTCCCCTGCCCCATGAGATAGCCACATGCTGGTTAAGCTGTTTAGTTCGTCACTTTTCCCCAAGGCCCGATGGGGTACGAAATAAAGTATTAACAGGAGTGATGGTATAGTCAGACTCCTTGCTTCCCCGTTCCCCTTACTAGTCATCACTATGCGAAGAGGCTGGATAGCCGACGGGATGCAAACAACATCAATCTCAATTGCCTTACTGCATCACCTGTGCACCTAAAAAGCAAGACGCCTTCCCATCGATCTGCAAGTTCCGTAATCCTCCCAGTGACTACAGGAATAAGCCACGCCGGGTTGAGCGGCGCACTCTTCTGACGACGACGACAATAACATCGAACTTGTCCATCTATATACGCGCTGCAGAAGCGCTTCGTTGTAGTCTTGACTCGACAGCGCCCGTTCAAACCCTTTTCTCTCAAGCTGCCATCTCAGTACCTTTTTTTTGCGCCAGTCAACCGCTCACCGCAAATCCTTCACGCGCAGCAGCAACGAACCCTCCAACCTAAGCCATACCGGTTGCGACACTCGTATACTTTAGACTATGCACTCATCGAGGGCAGGACGTCCGTGGTGATAGGATATCCGTTCAGCAACATTGCTGGGCTTGGAGTCAAACTAGCTTACAAGGCTGGATTCAAGGGTAATATACATCTGAACAATTGTGCAGCAGGGCAGATTCAGAGGCTCTCGATGCGAGAAAATAGGAACACTCCAGAGACTTCGGAAGCAAGAGGCTAGATGTTGGCGCTGGTAATGGACGGGGGATCTCATATGAAGCGCCCTTGGGACAATGAACAAACATATCGAAGCCCAGACGCCAGAAATGTCATGCAGACCATGACAGACGTCGGAGGAGCAAGATCAAATGTTCAACATCTGCATAAGGTGCCTTCTCCCAGTCACATGCTTCCGCCTATCGTGACTGTTCCGGAACAGTCGTCGCGACCAATCCATCCCGATAGGATATCTACCTCCTTTACGCCCTCAGGGGCACCACAACGTCATTCACACACAGAGTCTCCTCAAGATATGCTATCTAAGCGACCACGGCTTTACTACGATGTACCCCAACCATCGGATATAGGCCGAAACCAACCACCAACACATGATACTCATGCGAGAATGCGCTCCACTAGCCACGATAGACATGACCAACAACAGTGGTCCACGTGGGAGCCTCGGAATCCAGAAGGTGCATACACGCCTCGAGAAAGCTGCCAGAACTGTTTTGAGTCAAAACGCCTCGTTGAAAAGGTTGTTGCGGGGCTTGAACGGTTGGAAGCTGAATTGCGTCAAGTCTTGGCGTGCAGTCCGCTGGGGAGGACACTCAAAGAAGTAAGTCAGTCTCATTCAGCACCCTTGAGATACGAGTCTCACATCTATCTAGGAAAGTACGGAACCACCTGGCGGGCCTAACATCGCGGATGCGGAATTGAAGGATTCCTTGATGTGGGCGTGTCGCAGTGTGGAGGCCAGCACACGTCTCGTGCGGGAACTTGCGTCAAGCCAGCGAGCATTGCCGCGTATCTCTGTAGCCAATCTGGGTATTGGGTCTGGACATGAACAGCCTAGTGCTATCACATCCGCCCCTCCAGACTTTTCAAGGGGCTTCATGGACAAACACGATAGAGACCGACCAAAAGATACCCACCGCCGCTATGGTCCGCAATATCGAACCGATTACCAGATACAACCATCTGACCCTGCTCAGCCACAGTCACCTCATCCAACAGGCTCATCCAGATCAGTATACGGAAGCAGTCAGTCCCCTATGGGAATGGGTGCTTCTGGTCGTATGCTGCCCTCTCCTTCATCTATCCACAACCCTCCTCCTCCGCTGTCTTCTGTGCAAGCAAGTTATTCTCCGAATTCCAACCAATCTGCACACGCCACGCACCTGCAGGACTTGCAACATCAAATCAGCACCAAGTCTCTGGCACTTACCACTTTGCAGCGTGAACATGACCAACTGCTTGCAGCATATTCACGCATGCAGATCCGCTGCCAAACCCTTGACAAAAAGTCTCAAGTATCCGATCACGAGATCAATACCCTGACAGAAGAAAAGATCAGGCTACAATCTCAGGTTGAAGCGTTCGAGGTGCAAGTAGAGGAGCTGGTGAAAGCGCGTGATGAAGCACAGAAGCAGACCACCGCCAATGGCGCACAGTACATGCGAATCATGGCCATGTCGTCGAAATTACAAGTGCAAGGTGCCGAGGAAGCAAAACGATATAAGATGGACCGTGAAGCATGGGAGCGCGACCGGGAAGGTCTCCAACGCCGGATTGAAGACCTTGAAGCCAAGCAATCCAGTTTAACCATTTCAGGGGATGCAAAGCCTGACACCATACCCGCCCCCAGCCCCGAGGACATCCTCGCTTCTGCGTCTCTGGATGTGTTAAGGAACGAGATTGTGAGGCTAAGACAGAGCTTGCGGGACATGGAACGGATGTTGTTGGAACTTCGACAGGAAAGTGCGAACATCGGTCATGTCATTACGGAATGTACGGGAATTAGAGAACGGCTGAACGCGAAGACCATACCCGAACAGCAAGTTCAAGCAACGCCGACGGCGGTTTCAGAAGAACACAGCACAGCCAGCCGAGCTGTGGCAGAGCTAATGGAGGCAGCCCAGGAGGAGTCAAGAGGGGAGTGAGATCTTGGATAGAGAGTCTCAAGATCGATTTCCAATCTCAACGCCATACCCGTTGCCAGTGTCTGAACTTGATCATCTAATCTTAATACAATGGAAGCTGTAGACTTTCCGATTTCACCCTCATAAGCAGCATCCGGCTTTCCACATCCTTCTGCTCCCCCGTACCCCACTGCTCTTGAATCCTGCCACACCACCAGCTTTTGCGGGACGTGTGATCGATCTGACTCACAAATGACCCCCAACCAAGCTCAACACCCTAATTTATGAAGCAAGCTTTGCATATGGCACCATCCCAATCCAGGCAGGTCTGTCTGTCGCACGACAACACTGTTTTTGTGTAACACCAACTCAAGTCCACGTCATCAACGCTTAGTCCGAACCCAATCTCCGCCACATCTGTACCCAAACACACGCAACATACTTTTCCCTGACGATCTCTAATTTATACTCCGGTCCATCATGCTGTTCCGAACGGATGACATCCAGAGAGATAGCCCACACATCTAGCGGGAGCTGACCGCATTAGCGCATCGCTAAAGGTCAAGGCTGACACCCCTCCCAAGCGAAGGGCTGACTAACCGGGCCAATCCGTGATTATTCATCCACATCCCACATCCACACCTTTTCGCGCGATCCGAATAGCCATCCAAGCTAGTCAGTCACCCCATCACCAATCTTTTTCCCATTTCAGGTCGATTTTCTGCATGAAGAAGGATGCTGGTGGAGGAGATATGGTCATGCGCAACCGCACGGGATTTTCAGAAGCCACGTCCTCCTGCGGGATCGGATCCAGTTCCGAGGCGGTGACAGAGGGGGTGTGCGTGAATGAGAGGCTCCCTGTCCATATGCCATCTTCCGCTGCTGCTTTGTCATCATTCTCTTCCTCTTGTTTCAGGCTATCAAAGCCAGATCTGGGGTCGATGTTGGCGCTTTGTCGGGGGTGTTAGTGGGAGGGCTGGTGAGTAGTCTCTCCAAGGGAAAGGAGACGGGGAAGGAGGGAGTGATTGGAGGAGGTGCGATGTTGTGGTATGCGGGGGCTGGGTGAGTAAGATGAGGTGAGTACTGTCATGTCTTGTATTCTTGGATCTCTCCAGTAGAGAGTGCTGAGGAGAGGAGATGAGGATGGAGATCTGGCGGCCTCTGAGGGAGGGAATTGGATTCCGTTCATGGTTGGGAGGGTGGCAACAGGAGATGGAGAGGTAAGTGAGCATGATGGTGTTCTGGTGTCTTCTGGTTTATCATGAGTTGATGGGGATGAATATGAGATGGTGGGCGTCGATATGTTATATGTGGTGGACGAGTAAGCGAGAAGAGTTGGTGATGTTGGTGTCCAGGATGGAGACCTGGCGTTCTCCCGGGTATTATGTGCTGCTCCCACTGGACATGACAAGGTGGGCACCGACATCTGATGCCGGACGCGGGGTGAGACGAGAAGAGATGGACATGTTGGCTTTCACGAAGGCGACATGGCATACTCTGGGCTATCATCCACCATCTCTGTTCGAGTTGGCGGACCCCCATTTGTTGTGGCCGCCAGTCGACGGTACTGCTGCTTCCTTATTCGTCTCCCTTCTGCTGCGTGAGCGCGGCTTTCTCGTTTCTGAGATGTGTGCCCGGTGTGGAGATGGCCCTTTTAATGTCGACTGTGGTACTTCTGGCCCACCACGAGGACGAAAGTGCCGATGCTGGCGGGCAGATGAAGATCTGGGTATTTTGGGTTGAAGACGAAGACATGGCGTGTTTCTGGTGCAATGGGAATCCTGCTTCGATGAAGAAGAAAAAATATAAATATCACGACAGATTGAGTCCTCAAGGGCTGGAGCTGGGAATGAAAGGTTGGTGTAGGAAAAAGTTTCAATTACCTTCCTGATGTGATGGTTTTCTACCAGCAAGGTCACAGAGACGGACGATAACTATATACATTTTCCATTGAGGACTTCCCTTGAACACCGGATGGTTACGGTCCTCAAAATGTGAGAGATCGCGACTGGCAGAGCCCAGCTATGCTGTTGCTGAGGACCTTGCTAACCATTTATCACCCAATACCCAGACGAGAAGTGTGGAATATTTCAGATAAGGACCTTCCCACCAAAACAATGACCATACTATGCCGCTTGGGACGATACCACATCGAGGATGAAAAGTGTGCAACTGCAACTACAACCTGTCAGGCACTGTCAACTTGTAAAATACCACCCGAGCGTAGATCGCACAGCTTCCACGCAACCGGGTTGAGTACCCATGTGTCAAGCCTTCTCCTGGCTAATTCATAGTGGCCAGCTGGAAGGAAACGATCACTTCAAACACTGCCGATGATCTTCAAGTCAACCTCTTGGTATTCAAGTCGCCCTTTTCTCGATGAAGCCTCTGTCCTTATTGTGTCCGCAGCTCATGCTCTTCTTCCTGAACGACCCCTAGTCTATCTGTCTCCAGGCCACAAGCCGACCGAGCGAGGCACCGTTCTGCCTTCTCGAAGCCAATGCCATGCTCTCTCCACTGCATTGACATCCTCACCAGTATCCTCCGCTACTAGTTCTTCTCTATCTCTCCTTAGCCTTTTCCTCCATCATCTCACCATATGCGGTTACTCTCTTGCTTAAAACCGAGGCTGGAAAGAGCGACTGCCCGTGCCTTCCTCTCTCCTACCGCACCTTTCCCAGTGGAAAGTCCAGACAGATAGCTTGTTTAGGGTCCGGGCTCGCCTCTCTATCTCGATTCTCGGTTTTCTTTTCTACCAGATCGCAGCTTGCAAGAAGAAATTGCCAACGTCTCCTGCCCTAGCATGATAGGTGAGTCTCTAGAAAATTTCGGGCTGGCTGGCGTAGGAGTGGTGGAGAGCTTTTCTCCTAGCATGTATACTCCTCTTGGTTTAGTAGGACAGATTGCATTGAGATCTTACCAGACAAAATCAGATCAAAAGAGCACTGCTAGAGCGGAGCTAAGGCCCTAGGAAGAAAGAACGAGATGATGTGAGTCCAGACCTGCGCTGCACTCTTAGTACCTCATTCATTCGAGCAGCTTAAAATGTGAACGTGTATGGAACGAGGGCTTGGGAGCGCAAGCGTATGGGGTGCTCGAGTCGGCACGGTACATTGCTTGCAAGGCTACTAGTGGTATGTACATTTCGCTTCTTGGGTAGGTTGCGAGCTCCGTGATCTAATCGGAGGGGAGAGAGGCGCCTCGTGGCGAGATTCAGAAGAGGCTGTTGGTAAGGTGCAAGAAACACGAAGTGGTTCTAAGCCCCGCAAGTAGGATAGCAGGTATGGTGAGTAAAAGGAATAGAAAAGTTGAGGACAATTGAGCTGGTGAGCGTGCAACCCTGATCTGCATGGATCGGGTTTTCTTGGTTGCTGTGTAGAAGCAGTAGAGAATGAGTAACTAGAGGTCAAGCATAGTTAATACAAGGCTAGGTCACTAATTATAGACTTAACGGTTAGGACACGAAATATTGGTCCACCTCCAGAATGGGCGGTTTTGTGGGAGTGGAGAAAGCATGGGATTTGGGTGGTATTGAGAGTGATTCGATGCGTCTTGATGGGCGCAAGCGTCGATCGGGGACATAGAGTCTCGTAATCGAACAGTACAGTAATTCATTAACAACACAGTGATACGTTTGTCCAAGCAGAATTCCCTTGAAAAGCTCCACCAAACCAAGACCTTTTGTCACATCCAAGTGCGTCCGGCTTTGCGCAGCCTGGTCAAGATGTTCGTGCAAGGTGAGTCTACTGTCGTCGAAGCTGCAGACGAGGGTCAGTAGCCTTCGACGGACCACGTCTGGCATATCGAGAATGCTCCCCTCTCCTTCGCTTATCCATTAGATGACCTAGCTCTTCGTCTGGCAGCCTTGCACGCTTTTTGGAACATTCTTCTGGCGCCACGGGATTGCGTTGAGGGTCTTCCTGCTCGTCCGTCGTTGAGAGCGAGTGATGCCCGGCTTGCACTCGGTCAGAAACAGAAGGCAGGACGTCGAGATCCGTTCTTGAATTTCTAGGAAATGCAGTTGCGTCCGTTGGTTCCGACATGTGATTTTCATGTTGATCTTGGTTTTCGCGCTTGATTATTAGGGACGAAGTGATGTCAGTAGCTTTTGTCTCTGCACCCTTCTGTTGAAGCTGCGGAGGGGATATGATGCCACCGTCCGTTCTTGGGATCGACAAGAGTGAGTTCATATCAGCCGGTCGCGAATTCTCAGTCTCATGGCGCCTCCCTCCTTCTGACCTGAATGCACGAGCAGGCGGTCCGTGTATTGTGGAATCAGTGAAGCTTCTACGAAAATGCAAGGTCAGGTTGGTAACGGCTTGAATGTAGTCATCAAAGCGCTTTTCTCCAGCACTGATCTCTTCGGACTGTTTATGGCAAGTTTCTTCGAGCACGACTTTGCTAGCCTTGAGTCTGGTGACCTCCATCAAAGTATCATCTAGCTCTAGAAGTGTTTTCCTGTTCCTTGATTCAAGCCGAGCAATCTCGGCCAGGTGTGTGGCAATTTTCTTTTCGGATGATTCCTCTTTGTTTCGGTATTTTGTGTTCTTAGCCAAAGCGTCCTTGTATTTCTGGTTGAGGTGTGCATTCTCTCGCTTGATGATAAAGTTCTCCGACTTTAACTTCTCCTCATCCGTCTGCGATTCCGCATCGACTCGCATATGGGGAGCCTGCGAGGCTGGAGGGGACTGGTCTGCGCGAGAATTCATCTTTACTGCAGGAACAAGCTGAGCTTGCCCAAAGGTTGAGACTGCTGAACGATGATTCGGCAGAACAGAAGCATAGGAGTGCTCGGCAATGGGCACTGTATATCTTCAAGCTTTGAAAACCAACAAATTGATCGGACGAGCATATGGATATAGCTTCAGGCTGCTGAGCGATTGAGTAGAAGATTTCCGTTCACGATTAGTGTCGCTGCGAGTGTTTATTGTAGGCTAGAGACGGGTTGCTGTTTTATTTTTCTGCACCATTTGTGTTTTGGTTTCCAATTTGGTCACTCTGACCCAGTTAACTAAGCACACGCTCTGCACCACAACCTAAGGTGATACCTAATGCTGCTTGAGAGGAGCCAGGATGATGTTGTCGACCTCATTCAAGTAACAGTCCTTTAACGATTGATGCAACTCGCCTTTCATAATGCCACACGCTCTACCAATTCATGTTTGCATCATCACTGCAGGTAACTTGGTTCCGCGTAGGTGCAGACGTCTGGGATGCCCTCAACCATTACTGAACGCATCATCCATCGTTGGCGTTGCGGGAGCACTGCTCAGGCTCCCAGGGGAACTCGGGCTTGACAACTGTACTGAGACAGCTCTTGACCTCAGTAAGCTGTCCCATTCATGGATGCTCCCCACTGGTCCTCCAACGATTGGTACCGTCACTTGCTCAGCTTCTTTCCCCAGCGTTGTGCCTTGATAGCGAGAATCATCACCTATTTTGTTATTCTTCTTTTTCAAGGCTTAGAAAGAATCAGTTTCCTCTGAATCTCGGCACCAGTGGGGCATATCTCACCTGTGACATAATCCTCGTGATCATCAAGCAGGCCAACATCCACCACGTCTCCGGGGCCCGCTGCAAGACCTGCGATACGTCTGATCTCACGATTTGATGGCCCTGTGGCCCAGTTCAAGAATCCTTCCACACCTCGCATGTCCTCATATGGTACGGTTTGACCATTGACTTCAACTTCACCCTTGGCTCTCTCTTCCAGCACGCTCATCTGAGGTCGCAAAGCGCCAGCTTCAAGTAGAGCCATCCTCACATCTTGAACGGTAGGAATATAATCCTGGTGGTTGTTGAAAGCAATCTGAGCAGCGGAAGACGCTAGCAATAGGAGATACCGAATCGCTAAATCAGTCATCACATCCAGTGCTGCCGTAGAGCTGTTATGGAATCCAGCTGCTCTCAGAATCTGAAGGATTGCGGGACGCATCAACGCGTTCTGAAAATTGGTAGAAGCCATGATGGCAGTTTCTCCTGTGGTGTAGGTAGTTGGGTTGGGGGAGATGTCATTCTGAGGAAGGTAGAACACCGCAAAATGCTGGTTCCAGTTTCCCAGATGGATGAATAGCTCGATCAAGCACCTCCGAAGCCATTAACCTTTAATGAGTGAGAGCAATTCATCGTTATTGGTGTACAAGTCATTGTGAGGAATTGAAGGTGTTTCTGCTCGTTCCAAAGAACCATGTCAGCGGATTCTTCACAAGGTGCATTTCGTGGCCTCCGTAGCCGGAACCCCCGCAGCAGCACGTCTTCTCCATCTACACTCACGTGGGAACCTTCAAGAGAACGCATTCCAGGAATCCCAAACAACTCAGGAGATATTCCTTCTACCTATTCTCATCCACTATCTCAAGACTACTCTCCAAGACCACAGCGAAATTCCAACCTACGCTACGTTCTCTTGACTGACGCCCTCGAAACCCCCGAACATTCATCTACCTCTACACCCAGCCCTTCTTCGTTTATTTCAAGTGATGAGGAATCCGACGATCTAGATGTGAATGAAACGCCCACTCGCACCGCTATCATGTCGTCAGTGGAACGTCCCAAATTGAAGCTGAATTTTTCAAAGAACAGAGTTCCAAGTCAAGAAAGTGTCACTTCACCAGCTCCTCAGACTATCCTTCGTACCCCTTCCCTAAAACTCCGTGTAAAACCCGAAGTCACCTCCGAAACCACAAACCCGACTACCTCCACTGCTGCTGCACCGCCGCCGAAGAAGAAGAAGCAGAGGAAGCCTGGGACGAATGATGCTACGCCTGGTTCCTCTGCAAAAAAACGCAAGCAGCCGGATGAGGATGGCTCGGACGATGAGCTTTCAAGGAAACCTGCTCAAGTGCGTAAGATCACATTGACAACGAAGTCGCTCGCAGCGCAGTCCCCTATCACACCTACATTGAAGATTAAGCATAAGGGCCGCATCCCTAAGCGACCACTCGGCTTGGGTTACGACTCAGAATTGGATGAGCGCGAAGCAGATCCTACCATCCTTGAAGCTTTCATCTTACGAATGCCACCGGGGCCTGATGCTGACTACCTGAGGGATGCGGTTCAACATGGTACAATCGGTGTGGCTCGATCACAGGGAGGAGCAGACGTACAGATGAAATTCCTGGATCGGTCGGGACGCCGGGGCCTAGTCATAATTCGTGGACAGAGATGGGCGGCAACCCTCGTGGACTTACCCTGCATCGTGGAGGGAATGAAGAGCTGGGATAAAAAGGGCTGGGTCAAGAGTGCTGATATCTGCCAGATGCTGCTCGTTCTTGGCAAAGTGCAAAATGACGATCAGGCGAAAGACTATCCTCTACCCGAAGATGTCAACCAAGACACCTGGCAATATGCTCATGGTCTGACTCCTCCAATGAAGCACGTCCGTGCTAGGCGATTCAAAAACACAAAAAGGACAAGCGTAAATGCTATTGAGGCGGTCGAGCGTAAGGTCAACCAGCTCTTGGCTGACGACGACAATGCTGTGCACACAAAGTTTGAATTGCTAGACCACGATCCAGAAACTCGCAGTCTTGCGGAGTCCGATACTGAAGGAGGCGAAGGATACGATGAGGGTGGAGATGAAGATGCCTATGGTGAGGAGATTGATGGCGACTTTTTCGATGAACAAAACGGCGCCCATGCCGACGTTATGGTTGAAACGCCGACAATAATTGAACCGCAGCCTTTACAAGAAGAAGACAATGATGACTTCATTTTTAAAGAGCTCGAGGCTCAAGAACAAGCTGGAGCCGAAGATCCCCTTCGACCTGCTATCACTGGTCTTTCTGCTCCTGGGGTTGACGTTTCGAATGCTATCACAAGTACTTCTCCTTCTGTGGCTGACACTGCGGCCGAGACCCCTGCAGCAGCTGAGACTTCTGAGGCTGATGAGGAAGAATCAGAAGACTTCGACGCCGAAGAGGATGAGTCCATGGATGAAGAGGATCGTGAAGCCGCTGCTCAAAAACAAAAAGCCCGTGACGAGATTCAGGAATTGAAGGAGGAACGAAAGAAGCAGATTGATGAGCTCAAAGGCCAACGGAACGAAATATTGCGGGCGAAATTGATCCGGAGGATCGAGCAGATCAACGGAGATATGGAGACAGCTAGAAAGGCCGCTGGTTTGGAAGAAGATGCAGAGGATAGTGCGGAGGAGGAGTGAAGAAGTCAACTTACCTCTATTATCCTGTTGGGAACTTGCTGCACACCGTGGACTTGGAGGCGTTTCACTAGCGAGCAATGAGTAGCTGGAGGCGCCCATTGCATACAAGAAAAGCATCTTGATAGCGATCATGGTTGCCTTGAGGTGGTATGTTCTTGGCACTTGTTCAGACAGATACCTTACGGTATGCTGAAATCGCTTACTATTTGATGGGCAACACTACCTGGTACCACCTACACTCGATGCAGTCAGTCAGACGGACCCGTTCTGCAACGCAACGATGACCTCCGACCTCATTGAAAATGTCTATCCGAATGACACGCATCTGGCTCCTGATTCACAACACTGCCCGAAGATAATTGATGGACACTCTCCTTCTATAGTGAGTTTTCTCGCTCTGTGGCCGGCTTCTCCAGCCTAGTGAAGGTGGAAGCTCATCACGGAACTATTCTTCCAAGAATTCCAATTGTATTCTACAAAGGGGCACATACGGAAATAGGCTTCTACAACGGCTGCATAGTGAGCACCTGTAAAGGAAGTGCTAGCGGCATGCTTCGTCGAGCTGGGGCGAGGTGTTGATCTACGAAGGCGATAAGAAGACATGACAGCAGCCGATCCTACCTTATAGTAAGACCCTACCTAGATCATTTCCTGCGGGGTACAACCAAGAGGTTGAAATCAACAGATCAGTCTCCAGGTGTCTCATAGATGGTGTACACTACAAGCCGCTGCGCATTGGGCAAGGGGTTGAGCTCTTCAGAAGTTTTGTCGTCAGTAATGTGGTTATAAGCAAAAGGTAAGGTTGGGCGAGTCAAGACATCAAGTCAAGTCAGTCACGGCCACTGGAGCACGCGGGAAGCCCAGCTACGAACAACTATCGGGGAAAATATTTTCCGTTCCGCTATGACCAAGCAGTCATTGCGGAAATACTCGTGGCACATCATGCGAGTGATAGTTCTCAGCATCAGGTGGTCCGGGTAGGGAGCGAATGCCCCAGGGCACCAATAACTAAGTCTCGGATCTATCCTATGAGAATAGTTCCGAGTCTGCTGTCAGGAACCAGATCCATTCGAATTACATGTGATGTTATGAAGTCTCTTGTGGCCTGACTCGGCAACCCGATGAGCAGGAACAAGGAAACAGCTTCAACCTATTCTCAATCTTACAAGGAGAGGACTACTGAAGCTAGTCAGTGCAGAGTCTTGATTGAGCCGGCTGCATGACCATCTCGACCCTCTGACAGAAGTTTGGCTTATTCACTAATAGATCAGTCTGAGATGTATTTCGGTGGCAGTTTTCCCGAGCCGAAGAGACCTCCACCACAACTACAGCGGAGGCTAATGCACGTCTTCTTTCCTAAGCCAAGGTTAAAGCGGTACTGTTTGTCCGAATGACCCTTTTCCCGCCACGAAATTCTAGAACTGGCTGGAGTGCTCGTAGTCGTAACTAAACTCTTGCTCGTTGCTCGTACAGCTGGAGTTCATACATGTCACAGCCTGATGATGCATCGAGTGTGACGTATCCTGAAAATGAGGTGGCCACGTGCTTGCAAGCGCATCATTTAACGTCAGCAAACTAAGTTAGGCTAACTAGCGAGTCCGGGGAATTTGTCGCTTGATTTTATCACCTCCCAATTCACAAGACCTACTATGTACGTACGCCATTGTTAGCGTCCTCCTACAGTCGCAGCTAAAGCAATGAATATCCAGCTAACACGATCTATTCCGGGAATTTGCAAATTCCGCGGTATGAACAACCCTAGCTATGTCGTTAGCGGGTCCAGATGCTTGGGGGACTGGCATCCAAGATGTAGCGCATCGGCTGCTCAACCTATCACACCCTACTGGCAAAGAAGACACACTATGACCAAGCGCGCCGGGAAGCTTTTGGACCAGACCAGGGCCGCTCACTTTACGCGACTCCGCAATGGGACGTGGACGTACAACAAGATCGACCCATGCCCATGCCTATGGATCTGGAAATCAGGGATATTCTCTTTGCGCTCGTCAAGTACGTAAAGTACTACGATTGACCTTTCCCCCATCTCCTACCGCGCGCAAATATCAGTCACGATGGGTATCGCTCTCAAGAAAGTCGCGAATATGGCGGGCTCCGCTGCCCCTGCTATTCTCATCGGTTTATTCGTCAGCTTTGGCGGTGTGCTATTTGGGCAAGTTTCCGACTATGTGTTATGTGTTCGTCTGCTGGTTGACTGAAATTGATATGCAGGTACGACACCGGTACCATTGGTGGCATTTTGGCATGAAGTTTTGGCGAAACCTTTTCTCTACAGGCTACACCAACCCAGAGGACAACTTTCCTAACGTCGATACGGGTCAAATGTCAGAAATGGTGTCCATTCTCTCGGCTGGCACGTTCTTCGGCGCCCTGCTCGTTGCGCCTACTGCCCTTAGCTGCCATTGTCCTAAACGCTACCAAGAACCGAAATGACACTGCCTCATATCGCATTCCTATAGCGGTTCAGTTTGCGTGGTCCATAATCCTGATTGTTGGAATGTTGGTTTGCCTGAGACGCCACGTTTCCTGATCAAGGTTGGCAAATATGATATGGCAGTCAATTCCTTGTCTCGACTTCGACGGCTTGATGTTGACCATCCCGCTCTGGTTGAAGAGCTCGCTGAACTTGAAGCCAAGCACGAATACGAAATGCAAATTGGAAAGGCATCTTACCTAGAGTGCTTCAAACCTCCGTTACTCAAGCGTCTTCTTACTGGTTGTGCCCTCCAAGGCTTGCAGCAACCGAGCGGTGTGAGCCTTATCTTCCACTCATGCATCAATCCTCGGCCTCTTAGAAAGTCGTTGTAATCACCGATGGATACCAAGATTTGAATGCTCTTCCTGCCAAGTACCTGCCCTATAAGAAAGGGTACTGAGTCTGGACAGCGCCTGCTGGATCGTGAGCTACCAGTACTTCATTGGACCATATAATCTATATTATGTCAGACCAAAACTAGCACGCCAAGCAGTGTAGAACTTCTTAATCAGGCTAGCACAGTATTTGTTTCCTTAGCGGTATCACGTGGGGGTGGACCACCCGCCATCGGGGCGGACAATAGTGGTATGTAGGGTATGTGGTCGAACGATCTGTTGTCTGTTGTGGTTAGCTGTTCGTGGAGGATGCGGAGGATGCGGAGGATCTGCCTGCTTCAAAGGCAAAATCCAATGGACGAGTTGATGCTTATCTTTGACCTTGCTCGTGGTTGTGGGTAATCCAATTGTGGGCTATCAATCAAGGTGTCCTGCAGCACAAATTTGCTAAGTAGCTTCCCCGCCAATCCTGGGCCCATCCCCTTTCCATATTATTCTTAGGCAATGGAAACAGCAGGCTTCGCACATGCCGCACAAGTCTCCCAAAGCGTGACACCATCTTACCCTACGCGGTACGTTGAGGTGGCAGGCAATGCTGAGACACCAGGAGAACCGGCAATGATTGATATCTGCCAGACTTTTCCACACGGTAAGCTGAAAAGGTCAATAACTGCGCGCACTCACCAGGTCTTGATGCTGTTGCAGAGCCTTGCAACTTCCTCAAGAAACCCTTGATGTCTCCTATCTCATCCTTCTGCTCTATCTTTGATGAGCCTAATGCAGGTACTCTCTCTGATTGACCGATTCTCCTTCATACGTAACTCCTTATCAGCCAGCTCAGCCAGCGCACCCAATGATACGCCACGTCCTCAATCTTGAAGAGCCCAACAAGCGATTTGTGGTAGTGACAGAAGTTTCTGCGTGAACGGACTGTGATCGATTCAAGAATTAATCATGGCTGCGGCAATGACCATGCAACCTCCCAGCATCGGACCCCCTTCGAATTCTCTGTCCACCCCTCCGATTGCAATCTCACGATTCACTACAGGCTTTGGACCTGCAGTCTCTCAAAGCTACAGCCCTGCTGGAAGCTCTCACAAAGGAGGTGGCGGTGACCAGTGCGATGGATGCAGAAACAGGAACAGCAGATGTGCGATAAACTTTGCTTCGAATAAATGTTATTCATGTGACTTCCACCGGCAAGATTGTGTCTTTACTCCCCACACATCGAGGAAGAGGTCCTATCCACAGCCTTCTAGTACTGCGGGCAGGAAGAGGTATGTCTGGATTTTGGCCACGAGATAGTATGTCGGCTGACTCATATCAGCTTTCATGCTTCTGATAAATCCCTTTCTTCGTCATTCAAGGATCTGTTTCAGTCGTCAATGCTTGGTGGAAGCGAGCATGAAAGTAGTTATGTGGCACCGATCCCGCATAGAGCTGCGGGGAATTCTGCGTGCTACCGGTACCTGAGAGGGACTACCTATCTTGACCCGCTCCTTCTTGAGAATGTTCCATTCGACGACAAAAATGAGGCTTCGCTTAGAGCAAGTAAATTCCGGAAGATTGGAAGCGGCGCAGGCCAGTTCATTGAGATTTTGAGCTCTAACACCACGGATGAAGCTCGAAATGGTAGTGTCTCTGCTCGCTTGTTAGAGAGTCTCCGCCTAGCAGACCAAGATCTCCTTTTTCAAAGTTACTTCGACGTTGTGCATCCGGTATTTCCAATCCTTGACCAGCCGGCTCTCTGTGCTTCATACGACAGAAGGTCCGTCGAACCTGTCCTACTTGCCGCTATCTGTGTGGTGTCTGGAGCATGGCTGCAGAGCAGCCGTCGTGTGTCCACCGAACTCAATATGTCGGCTACTGAAGCCATACTCCGAGAGCATCTTAGAGACTCTCAGGACCGACCAAGCATGACAACGTTACAGGCAGGTCTACTTTTAACACAATGCCCAAATCACACCTCGCGGAATCTGCTATCACAACTGATCGCCCTCGCTTTCGACCTCGGCATACATCAAGACTGCAGTCAATGGAAGATGGATGTAGAGGAGAAATTGTTACGAAGAAGACTGGCTTGGGCTTTATATGCCCAGGACAAGTGGACATCCTTGATGCACGGGCGGCCAGCGCAGCTGACAGAATCAAACTGCATAGTCAGGGAATTATCGGAGGAAGATTTTGACATTGCTAAGAGCGCTGAAGATCAATCCAAGTCGATTCGCCGACATGGGGCATGTTTGTTCATGCAGATGCTTGTTCTGTCGCAAATATTGGCAGAGATCCTGGAAACCTTCTATACTCTCTCAGCTGAGGCACAAGTGCATGCCAGCGCTCACAATGCATTGAGAGTGGTTTTGGCACGAGCCAAGCCAGTGCAAATCAAGCTTAAAGATTGGTTCTCAAGTCTTCCAGCTCAACTGAAGATGGACGCTCCGGACGAAAATCAAGCTGCATATAACGGTGTTCTTCATCTTGCCTACTTTGCAACCGAAATTGCCTTGCATCGATGCATCATTCGAGCCAGCGCTGTCCCAGGTACTGAACCTTACCTTGCACATATCTGCCGGTCAGCAGCCAAAACCAGGCTCATCTCTGCCATGGATTTTGTCAACCGGCTCCGACCGTCGCACTTCAAGTGCTCTTGGCCACTTGCATCAGTGCAGAATTTCGGCTTGATTGGCAGTTTCGGGGTGCTACTAAGGGCTACATGTCCTGCCAAGGAAGAAGCCGGCTTCTATTGTGCTCGATTGGAGGAATTCAGGTGGACTCTATCAGTCAGCAATCGACATGCTGATTTTCTCGAATCTGCGATCCGTCTTCTGGATGACAGCACTGAGCTTCTTCAATACATTCCCGAAAAGCCTGAGATAACCGAACTTGTGTCGATGAATCCACATGTCCCGGAGACCAACGGGCAGCAGGGGTCAGCCTTCAAAATTGCTCAAGAAAGATCCTCCGAGGCCTTCACCGGATTTTCTTCCCCATCCACGTCGACAACCAGCGAAGAGGATGTAGAAGGTACAGAAAGTGTATAAGTTGGGAAAATATCAGCAAAGCGAATGTGTTCCAGCCGGTTTACTTTGAATAGCAATGATTTTGTGTTTATTCCATGGCTTCGTAAATAGATACCCCCTTGTAATCAACGCAGTCTGTTCAATGCTTGACCAATACAGCGTAGATGAGTGTCTAAATAGATGCTGATACCGAATATGACCTCGATGACAGGGAAGAGATGACGCCCATCGGCTACACGCCGGCAATCCCAAATTGGAAGGTGATTCTGAGATGCAAGCCTCGGATGGTTCGGCCTTTCGGTTCTGTTCCCGACTTACAACCACGGTAGTTAAAGCTCCTCACCGTTGGATCTACCTAGGCGTTTCTTTCTCATCAAGGCCTCGTCGTCAAAAGTAGACAATCCAGCCACCCTGCCACCCTGCCAGCCAGCCAGCCAGCCATCCATCAACTGTAAATGACCCACTACTCGTAAGCACGAACCAGTTCCTTGGTTTTTTCGTTTTGGGTCAGTCGACTTTCCCGTTTCCGTCCTGCAGAAGAAAAAACCCTCCCGCTCAAACTGCTCTGCGAGGGTACGCGAAAGAAATACAACTGCGGTCCCTGCCGTGATGTTTTCTATTCCCCCTGCAGAGCGAGCGAGCGAGCGAGCGAGCGACAGGTGGAGCTGTTCGACCCCCGCCCCTTCTTCCCCTTGGATGGTCTTCTGCTCTGCCGGAACGGGGCTTGTGGCAGGCATGCAGTGTGATGTTAAGGTAGTAATTAGATAGAGCGGGAGAGGGGAAAGGATGGATGGGTGTCGGGATCTGCGGTGTGTGTGAGTCTGTTTTCTCCCTTGTTGCTGGTGGTTGCATCACGCGTCTTTTGAAAAAGGCGTACTGTCACTTTTTTTTGGACGAAAGGGTGGTGAATTGTTGCCACTGCGTATGTTGATGCTGTCTAATTTGCCAACGCTTCATTGGTTGTTTTTTCTCTTGATCTTCAGCGGAGAAAGTGCTGGAGGTACACAGGACTGACTATTCTCTGCTGCTTGGGTTTGAATTATGGGTGCCCGGGATGGGCTTTGCTCTACCCGCCTTGCTCTTCTAGATGCTGCAGCGGAAGCTGTGGTCTCCGTTGCGCCCCTCTCTATCTCCACCTTTCCCCTTCTTTCGATCTTGCTTTCCTTTTCCCTCACCACGACAGGTTCACGTCTTCTTGCCTCCCACCTCCTAACGCTCTGGCGGGATCCTCGCCAATAACGGAGGATGGAGTGTAGAGAGCATAGGATCTTTTCGGAAAGTTGCTGAGTACTTAAGGTTGTGGTTTGGGGTGTGGGTTTGTGAGGGGCGGATGGAGAGTATTGGAGGGACTGTCACTTCAAAATTGGTTCTTGGTTGAATCGACTTGTCGAATACCCATCTCAAGGGCTCGACAATCCACCGGGGTCATCTGCTCCTGAATTTTCAAACAAATTACGCTAGAAAATGTCTGGTTCATAAACGCCCCGTGTTGGCTCCTTTTCTATTCAGGTGCTTGAATTCGTTGCAGGTCGTCAAGATATGCTCTTTAATCGTGTTATACTAGCAGAACGCTGAGAAATGGTTAGCATATCACAGTCCAGCATCGCGTTTCGAAGACAGTACTCACGCGTTAACGCACCCATCCATTTCACAATTATTCGTAATCTGCGCCCATTTCCCCCACACCACCTTGCCTCCCGCTGTCACGAGCCCCAGCTCACTGACATTCACCTCCACTATAGTCCCCTTCGTAAGCACCCCAAGCTGCGTGTACATTGGATTTTGCGGATTCTTCTTAACGCTGATAATCGGCAACTGCACCGTCACCGCCAACTCCGGATGCGTCACATTGGCCTTCTTGTACCTCAGCCCCATCGGCCGAATGAACCGCTCATACTTGACCGGCCTCCTGGTGAAGTCTGGCCCCACAAACGTCGGTTTGGTGATCATCCTCTTCCACGACTTCTTGGCTGTTTTCTTGCCCGTCTTGATCACCTTGAACATCTCCTCCTCGCTGATGCCCTTGACCTTAGGTAATGGGACGGCGAACTTGGCTGCTTTTTCCGCACGCTTGTTCTTGATGGCGCTGGAGAGGGCTTTGGCGTTTGTGGCTTGGGAGCGGTCGAGGAGGTAGCTGGGGAGAGGCGTGGAGGAGGGTTCATTGGGTGCAGAGGATTTGACGTCTCGCTCTTCGTGCGCTTTGATTGCTTTCTTCATCTGGATCTTCTCGGCGTGGCGCTTCTTTTGGTAGAGTTTTGCCCGCAGGCCACGTAGATTTTGGGCATTTTCGCTCGTGGAGTGGCCCTCTCGGGCTGTTCGTTTGCGGACGCGTTCTTCGTGGTCGAGCCTGAGATCGGATGTTAGGACTATTTGAGAATTATGCGGATGTGGGGGATATTTACCTCTTGCCATGCTGTTTCTGCCACCGCTCGATGTACTCGTTCTGAGGCTGTGGTGTCGCTTCGTTAGTCGCGAGTCGCTCGAAGAGAACTATATTGCAGAGGAACTCACCATGGCTAAAACGGGCGAGGTGTTGAAATCGGAGAAAGGATGCGTCCAGCCTGGCCTACGATATGAGGTTTCTAGCAGTGTCTTTGTCTTAATTTGGAGATGCAGAAATATCGAAAGTCGAAAACTTGGCAGCTTGGCATCTGATAGGATGACATACTAAGTTAGTATCTTGGCAACTGTCGGAGTCCAAATCAGGCAACGGTCGATGGGACACCAACCATAAATACTTTCATTCCTTCATATCCTGACTCGTTGTTCTAAGGAATCTTCAATGGGTTTTGGGTTCTTAGGCAGCCCGGTAACTGTTCGCTTCCTCAAACCTTAGCCTGACTCCAGGCTCTTCTCTATCACTTCTCAATTCCAAATTTAGCCAAACAGACCATAATGAAACTCTCTCATCTCCCACTCGAGATACAATTAATGATAATCCGGGCGCTGGACTACAAATCCCTCCTCAAACTCTCTGCCACAGGCAAAGCCTTCCGTCGTATCTTCCTCCATGACAATAAAAACCTACTAAAACACGCCCTCCTCGACGTCGAAGAGAGCAGAATCCCCCCTACCTTAAAGAGCACCTGCCCCACCAACGAGGAAAAGCTATTCTTCCTTCCCTGCTACGGCTGCCACACCTTACTCCTTGCATGCTCCTTCTCACGCAAGGATTGGTGCTCCACCAGCACCAGGAACGGACCGAATGCCTTCAGTCGGAGGTGCCTGACATGTCAAGCCCAGGGTAAGTACAGACTTAGCCGCCACAGCCGTCTCCTGGATATGCCGGGCGTCTGGGAGGAGAACGTGTACTGTGGTGGTTGCAAGCTCGTGATGCATACGGCGTCGCGGGTCAACTGCAGGATTTATGAGCATTCGGATCAAATATCTTATTGTCGGTGTCAGCAAATGGTGTGGAAGGACTTCCGATGCGTGTTTTGTCGAGCCAAGGCGAGCGGGGAGAAGTGGCCTACGGGGCAGCGGTTCACGGTGGATTGTTGGTCGTTGTCATGCTCACCTGGAGATGACTCTCCTGCCAGGCTACGACTGGCAGCCCAGCAACAGTAGTGTAACACTAGCCAATCGGTTAACTGGCGATAGGCCACCGGTAGCAGACAATCAGACTTACACATCACTTTAGTTCCAGAAGTCGCTTCTTAGTATTAAGCCAACGGCTTAATAGTCGTGCCAGTCTTAGTCTTTCGTCTGGCTTCGATTTCTTTCTCGAAAACTTTGCGGGGTGGTATTGATCGCGCAAAGCTCTACCTCATTATTTAAAGGATCTTTTTGGACGAATCCTCTCTCCCGTTACCTCATGCCGCTCATCCGTCGTTCGCACGGCCTGGCTCCTTAAGAGACCCTGCTGCAGTTGTGGGAGTAACGTGCGTGCTATTACGTGCAATATATGTTGGGATACAGGCGGCTAACATTGGAGCGGCCTGGCGCCATCATGAAAGAATGTTCGCCAATGTTCGGTGACAAGAGATAGTCATCTTTCTTCAACTGCTGGAAAATGATCGGGGCCGCGGGCCAATTTCAGGCAGGGTTCTATCAGATCTAGGCTCGGAAGGAGCTACATGTCGTCGGAACGCCGATTTCCATTAGCAGTTGTCTGGTAATGTTGTGAAATGGGGGGATGGTAGCTTTTCCACTCTGCAATGGAGTGTTCGATCACCACACGGCTTCGCGCCAATGAACAAAGCCGGGAGGCATCAAACGTCCCAAGGCGGAATTACTGGCGGCTGCTTGTAGGGTTTTCCTCTTCTACCGAGGAATTTGTTCCGGATTTTCTTGCACCAGTATTTATATACCAAGATGTTGTATGGACTGTAGGCGAGGCTTTGCTAGCTGGGATTAGGAGTATAGAAATCAAGTCATGAAGAAAATAGCGCACTTCCATTTTACCTAGTACTAACTTATCCTAACTCCATCCTTGGAAAGCTAGGCATATACGATTCCCCATCACACTGCGCAATATTACCTGGGAATCTGGCGCTCGAAGCCATTTTCTTCCCTCATGCGCTGCTACTCCTGGACCCCCTAGGAATAATCATCATCATCATCATTATCATCCCCATACGGCTTGGATTGGGGTACGCAGAAGCCATGGCACTCGGAATCATGTCCGTACTTTCGATCGGGCCCCCGTGAACATCTGAAGCCGTGCGGACATCGAGGACAGTGTCGTCCCCCACAACGAGCCGGTGGTGTGGGACCCGGGGTGGCAGAAATACATGCTCCTCCGCAAGCTCCCGTCGCCGGACACGTCATGGTAGGCGTACAGCTAGATCCCGTTGGACAGCCCGTCTTCACGCCTACGGTGCAGGGGATTTGTGTAGGCGGAGTGGGAGTGGCGATACAAAGGCCTCGACAAACCACCGTTTGGTAACATGTCAAGCCTGCCGGACAATCGTTCGCCCCAAGCGTACACGGGAGAGTGGGTAGCGGTGCGGGGCTGGTGGTTGTGGGCGGGGCGGTCTCGATGCACGCACCGCCACAGTTCCCAGTTGCTGGACAAACCATGGTGGGGGTACAGGCTGCACCTGTCGGACAGCCGGTTTGAGCACCCATGGTGCAGGGGATTAGGGGTACGGGGGTGAATGAGGTGATGCAAAGACCGCCGCAGACGGAGGTTTGGGTGCAGCTTGAGCCTGTGGGGCAAGGGTCTCCGCCGACTGTGCAAGAGACGGTGAATGATGGACCAGGCGTGGTCGAAGGAGAGGAGTAGAGAGCAGCAAGTGCAGGTGGGAGAAGGGAAAAGAGGAGTATGGGCTTCATTTTTCTCAGAGAGCAAGGCTTGCAGGCGAGCTGAAAAGATAGTCCAACTCAAGGACAGCTATCATGGCGCTTTGGCGGTCGAAGACTTTATATCAGTCCATGAGGGCAGGAAAGTGGCACTTCCTCGGATATCGTCACCAGATCACTCGCCCATAATTTTTTGTCAGAGCTTTTTGGAGAACGAAACGAGGAAACCGAAAACAAAGATCGTATTCATGCAATGTACTCCGTAAATGCTAAGACGATGGGTATCAACCTCGTATTCGGAGCGCAAGAAGCGATGAGCTGGGGCGAGCAACCGGCTTTGCACACCGACGGGAGGAAAAGCGAGGGGAGAGAAGGTAAATCCCCGTGGTTAACGAAGTACACACCTATTGTACACATAAATAAATTAGCCACAGCCGCGGAAAGCTTCATGGGAATGGTATGGATTTAGCAACGCTATTAGTGGTCGAAAGAGAATCTCTGTCTCTTTTGAGGTCGAAGCTCGTGTTGCCTTCGTATTCGCCTGCATCGAAGTCTCTTCAATAGTCTGAAACCTGCTGGAATATATATCCACCACTCTGTCGTAAAGTTTGCGTATTTTCTAATAGGTCATTATGACCCAGCCACTGCGTACCTCAAACTGATCTGAACGAATGACAGACGTCAGATGAAACCTTAAAGTCAGTTAAAGTGTATGTTAAGTCATATTAGGAATTAAATGTCGTGACCTTTTCTTTAAAGTGTTGGTGGGGCATTTTGATTCGTATAATTGAGTAAGCCGCTCGTCAATGGTGGAATGATAACCTTTAGAACCCGATGGCGTTTGTAGTAGCCAATTAGAAAATGAACAAATTTTACAACAGAGGGGTGGATAGCCTTGCGACTGGCGAGCAAGGGAGACTGTGATGATTAGGTGATGTTGCGTGCTTGAGTAGGGTTACAGCAGATGCACGTTACATTGTCGAGGTTGTGAATGTCCTGTTCATTGGAAATCAAGACTCACTACACGAAATGATCCACCTGAGCTTGCTTGTTAACTGTAGTTAGGAGATCTGAGAGTGGGATTCACGTGATGCCCCAGAACCGGGATGGCCCGAGGGTCACGTGTGTTAGAGGTCATGTGTAGGCTTGGCATCCTCCTCAACATCGGTCCTTTCTGTCCCAAAGACAACAAATTAGTAGTTGTCAGGCTGGTCAATTGACCTACGGGTACTCCGTAAGAGATCGGTCTTTATAGTACGCCTCAGGGCCACCGAAGAATCTCCACTAGCGCTAGCCAGTGTTTCATAATTATTAACAGCCATGAGACGCGGTGGTCGGCAAAAGATGGCTATCACTTATGAAATCTTGTATCACTCTAGCGGATACTCTGGTGGCACCGAGTACTGGACGTGAACAATCTACTCCAAGTCATCATCTAGGCAAATCCAGCCCTACTAGCACGAACATCTGACGGCGGCTTATGTTTGTCGACCAAGGCCTGGACCATGGACGCCACGTTGAAAGCTTACTCATCTCCGATGGTGTGGGCAACATCGAGGTAAGATATTGCCTTGATCCCTCGACGAGATGCATCAGCACCGAAATCTGGAAGATCAGCAGACACGATTGAGTTGCCGAAATTATGCGTCTACAAATTCACTCAAAGCTGTCATAGTCCTGTGCCAGTAACAGGACTTGAGTACAGGTCAGGTTTGCCTCCTTCCTGCGCTAATTACTGTGCTCCAGTTGTATCTTGCGTTCTTCGAGTCCCGGAGATATAGAGGATTGCTCAGCAGTTTCAGAAGGGCGTGACAGTTGACAAATATAAGATGGGGTGCCTCAGCCGGCTCATCCGAAGTAGTTGGATCCTTACCTGAGCCTTCATGAACGCTTCTTAAAAACCTCCTACAACACATCTGCCTACAAGGGCCCCGGCGTCTTGAACGGATCAAACAAAAATGCTCATCCTCATCGTCGGCATCACCGGCAACCTAGGCCAACATCTTCTCCGTGCCGCAACTGTCCAAGGCCACCAGGTTCGCGGCTTGAGCAGATCAGCAGACAAACTCTCCTCCGAACTCCGCTCCTCCCTTGAAAGCTTCGTCGCATCTTCATCCTACTACGACATCCCCGCCATCGAATCAGCCGTCCAGGGAGTTGACGCCGTGATCTGCGCGTATGCCAACGTCCCCGGCCTGACACTAGAAGGACAGCTGATCCTCCTCCGCGCAGCCGAACGAGCGGGCGTGAAACGCTATGTCGCAACATCCTGGAACTCTGACTGGACCAAGATCCCGCTGGGCAAGCACGAGAGCTACGACGAGTTCATCATGTTCAAGCGGCATGTAGAACAGTCGAGCCTATCCTCGGGCAACACCGTTATCAAGCCGATATACATCTTCACCGCCCTGCTTGCCGAATTCGCTTTCCAAGCCCCGAGCGATATGGCTGAGATCCCCGAGTTCCCATGGTGGAATCCCAAGAAGGGCACGGCTGTTTATTATGGCGACGGGAAGACAAGACACCAGTGGACGACTTTTGCCGATGCGGCGGCTTACACAGTTGATATTGTGACGTCAGACGATGCGGAGAAGGGGGGCACGTATTCCATCCTGTCTGATGCGGGAGATGTCTTCTACATTGCGAAAACATGGAAAGAGGCAACAGGGAAGGACGTCAAGCTGATCCCTGCGGGCGACGTAGAAGAGCTGAGAGCATACGCGATGGCAGGAAGAAAGGCACATCCGCCAAACGAATGGAAGAAGTACATCGGACCTTTTTATTGGTTACACACCATTGAAGGGGACTGGAATCTTGATGAAGACCATTTGTATACTTCGGACAAGGTGACACCCACGAAGCTGAGGGACTTCTTTGAGCTGCACAAGGACTGGTACGCAAAGTTCTGAGCAAAGATGTATGGATAGTAGAAGGGGTATCAAGCAAGATGACCGATCTGTTTTGGTACGGGCTCTGGTTCACTCTCAATTAATAAAGCGTGAGTAAAGTGGAATATAATAGAGACCATGACGGTTAAGAGAAACCGATACATATACGATGTTGATCAAGCTTATCCTGATACCACGGGTTATCGATACGAGTCCGAGATAGAATTGTAAGAAGTGGCAATCTCACCTCCCACATGGAGAGCATTCCTCGCTCCATGGCTTTACTCGAGCAGGGAAGCAGGATCACAGCTGCCTTCATCTGCCATTAGGAAAAGGTCGCAAGAGCAGTGTCATCTACACAGGACATTAGGTGGGTGAAAATATAGGATAGACGAGGTGGAGATTGATAATCCGTCAAGTTGTTGACGAAACGACCGGGTCACCCACACATGTAAACAAAATTTACAGAACAAAACATAGAGATACAAATCCAATGCAGTGCTAGAAAACAGGATTTTATTCTTTCTTTCTTTCGAGGAACTCTTTCGTAGCGATAATATGTACACCCCACTAGGTAGGTCAATGTAATCATCATTGAGCCTTTGAAGACACCACCCCTGCAAAATGATTAGTACTTCAGAGCGGATGCGGACGATTTGACACCACGTACTCTCAACATCAGCGACACTCTGCTGCAAGATCTGCTGGAGGACCTTCGGATTCTCAAGCTCTTTGTTGATCTTGGCAATGATTGTGTCTGCCAACTCCTTTTGTTGTCTGGCCTTTACCTGGCCTTCGTACCTGACCCATGAATCAAGCACGGTCTTTGCCTCGGACGCAAGTGCAGTCTTTTGCTCGAGCTCAAAGGCTTGGGCCTCAAGTTTGGCGGTTTCCTATGAGGGGCTTAGCGTCTGTTCTCCTTGCTCTCATCTCCTGACATGCCTTTGAGACCTCAAAGAGCTGTTTCGTAATGTCGACTACATTGCTCAGCGGCTTCACATCCTCAATGCGTGCTTTGACGGCATCCGCATGCCCTGCTCTGGCTGTGTTCATGATGTCCTTGATCCTTTGGATTTGACCATCCGCCCAATCTTTGTACATCGGGCCGGCATATTTGAAAATTCCGTAGAACACACTCAGCATACAGAATGCAACAACCGATTCTTCGTTGAGGACGTAAAGTTCATTGCTGATGGCCCAGATCGAAACGCCTGTTCCTGCGGACAGAAGAGCTGTCTTGGATATGAGTGAACTTCCCGGCAGAGCGTCGATAATCGACTGTGCCTTCTTCTTTGGGTCTTCTGCTGGTACGTTGGATGCTTGTCGAGTGGAAGTAAGGTGTGTTGTGAGGACCGGTAGATTACGGATTGGAGCACTTGGGCGGAGACGAGTGGCACCTGACTGAGATCAATTGTTGCCCTAGAGGGTTTCGGATGAAACCATCGTCCGTCTCTACGTACCTAGAGTGCTTCGTGCAAGTCGCGACGCCATTTCGTGGTTGAGCAAGAGGTGAGGTCGGAGCTTGACGATTGAAGGAGGTTGAAGCTTGGGAGTTCCATCAATGCCAAGGCACTAATACTAGTATGGAATAAAGGCTCGAACCTCTGTCAAAAAGATCAAGAGTTTCAATTTCAGAGACACTACATAGAAATCCTTCTTGCGGGAAAGATTATGAGTCAGTCTCACATCGGAAAGAAGCGAAAGCGGGATGACGCCCCATCGCGAAATCAGGGTCGCAAGCGCAGAACAATCCGAAGTGGCGAAAGTAGCTCGTTGGATGTTGAACAGCTAGAGAAAAGAATTGCCAAAGATCCGTCAAACAATCACAATGATGTTGAGACTCTGCTTCAAATGCTCGACCTTGCTAATCCGGATGCGAAATTGAATCTGAGAGCTGGAGTAGCACTGTGCAAAGTCTTTTCCAGGCTTATCGCGTCTGGCCATCTCAACCAAGACAATCAGGGGAACAACCAGAGTCAAGAATTGTCTGCTTGGTATGCCGAGCAGTATAGGAAATATCGCATCACTCTTGCCAGGTTGTTGAGGTCGGTCTCGGCAGCTCAGCGGTTATCGCTTGTACACCTTTGCTGGAAGGTCTTGGAACAAGATGCCGAATTTCTGGGCAACAAAGTTTGGGTCTCAGAGAGCATGTTCAAACCATTCTTGTCAGCGGTAGTTGACATTCCTGGCGGCACAGATGTCAGAGAGACTTATGTTGACGAGTACATGAATCAATGTCATGATTGCTGCTATCACTCTTTAGAATACTTCTCGTATGTTGCTTCCTTTATGTCGTTGCAGCTGTACTCTAACATTTCCCCTCAAGGACACATGTTGCTACAAGTCAGGATGGGAATGTATTGGAGAATGTAATCGAGATACTCTCGGTGCTTGATCCGCCTCCTGCATCTGCTGAAGACCTAAACTTCTTGGCTGAACCGCCCACCAAAGGTTCGAAGAAACCATTAATAACTCCTGCATCTCTCAAGCGGCGCGCAGAAGAAGCATGGTTGTCAGTACTACGATCACCACATCTCACTACAGGGCTTCGAAAGTCACTCCTCCGCATCACGACCGCAAGGATACTTCCATGGATGTCCCGTCCTGAGACCTTGATGGATTTCCTTACCGATAGCTACGACGTCGGAGGCAGCACGTCCTTACTCGCCCTCTCAGGACTATTCCATCTCATCACCACGAAGAATCTTGACTATCCCTCCTTCTTCCCAAAGCTATATTCCCTTATCGACGCCGACCTCCTCCATAGTAAGCACCGCTCTCGATTCCTCCGCCTCCTCAATACCTTCCTATCCTCCACCCGTCTTCCCGCCACTCTAATCGCTTCCTTTATCAAACGCCTCTCCCGACGAGCCCTCTTCGCACCACCAGCCGCAATAGTAGCAATTATCCCTTACATCTACAACCTCCTCAAATCCCACCCCACCACCACCTTCATGATCCACCGTCCACCCCACCCACCGTACACCAAATCCACAGAAAACCTTGGAGAAGACCCTTTCGACATGAAGCAACCCGATCCGCAGAAAACCGGAGCTATCGATTCTTCACTGTGGGAGCTCGAAACTCTGCAATCACACTACCATCCAAGTGTGGCGAGTCTGGCGAGGATCATCTCTGAACAGTTTACCAAACAGCAGTACAATATCGAGGATTTCCTGGATCACGGGTACGGGAGTATGCTGGGTAGTGAGTTGGTGAAGGAGGCCAAAAAGGAACCGGTGGTGGAGTGGAAAATTCCAAAAAGGATCTTTACGAGGGCGAAGGTTGGCGAGGAAGGTGAAGAAGGGGAAGGAAATCTGATTACTAAATTGTGGGACTTTGGCTGATGTGGAGGCGAGAAGAGAGAACGAAGAGTCTGACATTCCCCGAATCAATAGCTGGCTGTGTTGTATCGGACGAGTTAAGAGGTTGACGGCATCTTCACACAACGCTCTATGCCAATTGCGCAAGCTCTTGCAACGTCACAAACCGTAGCAAGAACAAGACCATTAAAGCTCTCATGCATTTAATACCGCAAGCCTTATAATATTATCAATCACTGCAATATCAACTGCTCTGCTCCCCTCTCCAACTCCTCCAACCCCTTAACCTTCACCTCCATCACCCTCAACACCGTATACCGATGCTTACTCCTGACATGTTTCTCCTTCCTCTGCCTCCTCTTAGTCTTGATCTTCTCCACCATCGGCCCGCTATCGACCGCCATCACCCTGGCGCGACACTCGAACAGCCTCTCGTCCAGATAATTCGGCTCGCCGGTGCGCTTGCCGTCGTAGTTCTCGGTGGAGGTGGTGCCGGCCTTGAGGGTGTAGTCGCGCGAGCCGAGCAAGGAGGCGCGGTTCAGGCGGAGCACGTCGCCGGGCGAGACGCCGTGCATGTGGAAGGGGAGGCGGAGCGTGTCGCCTTGCGTGAGGAGGTAGGGGAACCGGTGGATGTGCGCGGTTATGTAGTGCGGTTTTTGCGCGGTTAGGTGCGGGAGGAGTTGTTGCAGCGATTTGGAGAGGACGAGCGGTTTGCCCGTGCTGCTGGGCGGTGACTTGGAGGGTGATGCGGGTGCGGGCCTGGTAGAGGGGATCGGGGAGGGGAGGGAGGATTGGAGGGGTTGTTGGGATGGCTGAGGTGGGATTTCAGGCTGGAATTGGGTGGAGTGGGCGGATTGATGGAGCTGTGCTCGCCATGGTAGGAGGAAGGTTGGCGGAAATTGTGACGATGGTGTCCATCGTATGTCGAGAGCTGCTCTTAGTATTGAATGTGTCCGCATGGCGGTTGAAGAGTGAGATCGATGTGTCTCTGTGATGACGGATACGAGCAATGACAATGCATCTGTATCTCGAAAGTCTAGAGTAAGAAGAGTAGTTGGACAGTAATCTTTGTTAAGTGAGGTTTAGGCGAGGCTCAGCACGTGACTGTGTATATGATCATCTTTAACCGACAAGGAGTGGTGAAAAATGCAAGAAGGCAAGTGCAGTAAGCTTAAAAATGCGGGCCGCAGGAATCATCTTTTTGGTTAGATAACGTTCACATTCCTGCCTTCTTGAGTTTAACGTAGCCGATGGTAGCTTGCCAAGGCTGCAGAATCTTGCCAAGTTGTACCCCATCAGAAATCAGAATGCACAGAATGCGCGGAAATAGCGCACAGAATTCGCACCCAGAATGTGCAGAAAAAGCACACAGAATTTGCACATAGAATACGCAGAAAGAGCGCACAGAATGATCCTTCTATCCTTCTATCCTTCTATCCTTCTATCCTTCTATCCTTCTTTCAATTGTCTCATTGTCACCCCATGTAGGCGTAGCAATCTTTTTTCCCTCGGTGAGTTATGTACACACTTTACAAAAAGAATGGGAGGGTTCCAGCACACCACGGAATTTCAAAATCTGAAGACTTTGCACACAGGTGAGCCTTTGCGGTCGTAGGGAGGCAGGGAGATTGACAATATCCACAAAAAAGAGTAGGAATCCCTGGCTAGCTGAATCTGAATAGCCGCCTCCTCCTCCTCCTGTCTCCACCACCTTCGACGTGACTAGTGCTGAAGTTGGTTGTAGAGCATTCGCCGCCGTCTCCTGCAAAATTCTCGTTCGACTTTGATTACTTATGCCACGGTGACCGTCGCCACCTCCGTCAGATGGGGAATCCCACCACCCCTCCATCGTCCAAACATACGCGAAGGGAAGGGGTGGATGATCGGCGACCGCTCTGTAGGGCGTATACGCTGGGAGTAATGACATGGTCGGATGTATCAGGATCATAGACAGGGGCATCAGCACTATTCTTTTGAAACTCACTTTCTGAGTCGAGGGCTTCTCGAAATCGTGGGCGGCGAGCAGCGTCGGCACCGCAGCAAGGGGTGGCACAGTGGAGATGCCAGATTGTCTCCTCTGTCGGACACTGCTTCGTCAAAGTCGCCTTCACAGGTCGGCAGATGATTTGCATCAACTTGGTGATTGAATGCCTGACGGTCGCTTTCCTGGTCCGTCCACTCTGCCTCAACATCATCATCGCTGTCAAATCTGCCTGCGAAAGGGTCTTAATAGAGGCCATCCAAGTCGTTGGCACCGAACGGTGTTACAATCGTAAAACGGATTGAGGCTGAATTCTACCCTCAACGTGTGATGGCCGTCTGGCTGTAGTGGTTGTTCCACACCAGATGTCTTCCTTACAATGTCCGTGAGCGTCTTAGCGCAGTGGTCGTGGCATGCAGATCGAAGGGAGCGGGTCGTGCAATATCGAGTACGACAGCATTCAGAACCCAAACGATCTCAGGACACTGGGTCGCTGTTTCATCCGTGCTGCACTAGTTAGTATCTTTTGGCCTAGAACGAGTGGAGGCGGATGAGAGCTGTGTTTGTTGAAGATATGGAAATGGATGAGCGGCCATGAACGAACCAAGATGCCCAAATACGCTTTGCAGTACTACAATCCTTACAAGTAGTGTCATCCATCTGATGTGCCTCGATGTGGTCCACGAATATGAGGCTTTGATGGCGATAGATTGTGCTTCCAAACACCTCCTAGTGGCATTAATAACCTTGCAACGCGCCGAAGACGTTGGACTCGTGATGGTTGGCAGGTTTCCTGAACCTCGGTAGATATGCTTCTGTCAAGCCTGAGGCTGGCCTGGCCTTGTGGTCAAACTGTAGCTCTTCGAGGACAAACGAGCTGACCAAATAAAGAGATCAAAAGGTGGACATGATCTGCATACCTGGCGTGCGGCAAGGAAGCTGCCGGAGATTGGAAATCAAGCAGATTCCTACAGACGTTCTAGCAGGGATTTGAGTCGATCTTCCCTTAAGAAGAATATTTCGACGGAAAATTTAGTCATAACTGTGCTCAAGAATTTCCGCACCTTGTGATCGAAGAGTGGTTGAAGTCTCTCGATCGTGCCTCCTGCCTTTCTTTCAAGTTTCGCATTGTTGTAGGCCTGTAGCTTCAGTGGAAAAAGAGACCAGGGCCCGATCCCCAAATCGCCCTTAGGCGTGCGTTGCCACGCATAGACCTGACCTGCTTGTATGTTAAGTCTGAAAGATTAGGGAGAACCTTGTTTTGCTTTCCTCCAGCTTGCTGTTTTTCTGTGATGGCTGTCGCTCTTCGGCAGATGGCCATAACCACAGTGCTTCTATCTTTCCCGCGTGCTGTTGATTGAACACTCGTTCCCCGAGGGGGCGTATACCATCTGTTCCGACATAGTTGGCTAGCGTGTAGAACAACAACGGGATGACCGCTCATAATGGTTCAGAAGAAGCAGCGTGGATGCAGCTTGCGAGCTCGGCTACCAGTGTTCTCCGCAGGGCTTTAGCACGTGATTAGCCGGTCACGTCTGTCTCGGGAAGGATGCCGTGGTAAGAGGTACTAAGCGGTATATGTGGTTGCTCTTTACGTTTCTCCCAATACGGCTTCCCAATCTGTCTCCACAAGGTAGAGCATAACCCAACCAGCAATAGAAGAAGGCAGATAAATGCGGGAGCTGTGCCCACAGGGATGAACAGGACTACCGCTAGCAGGAAGAAAAAGGCAAGCCAAGCCCAGTGGAGAGAAGTCCATGGGTAAGTCCAGCCATTCAGTGATGGGATCTCCTTGCGCCGCTGGTACAACTCAGCCCTCCTGTTCAGTGGTAGACGCTGTAGATCGAGGCCCTCGAGCGATATTTGCCCACCATTACCGCCCCGGGCCACCATCGCCTTTATCTCGGACTCCGAGGCTTCCGCGGTGGGATCCTCACCCATGTCCTTTCTCATGGCGTTACTGGCATCCATGACGCCGCGGAAAAACCCCATAACTCGAGGTGACCTGTCCAATCGGCTATTCCAATAAGTGTCCATCCACATGCTGTACATGCCGATGGCCCAAAATGTGGAGATCACCATGAAGATGAACAGTTGAAGAAAAGAGAACCCCCACTGGTAGCTCTTCCAGTCATCACAGGAACTTCTTTTTTCTAGATCAGTTCTACTGTACACATCGTTCGCAACGGAATACATGACTTGCAATTGCTCTGGCTTGGTCGTAGCTGGTTCCATATCTTTTGTAAAGAACTGTTCTCGTACCTGGCCGGACGAGTCCACCCAGGTGGTGTTGTAGAGCGTGATGTTAAGAGTCGGAGAGGTTAATGAAGTTGTGTTGAAAACACTCTCTTGGTCGCGAGCTACGCCCCCACCATAACGGGCTAGATCTATTACTATCAGTCAAGCCCAGATTCCGTGCAGGGTGAGATCATTGTTCTTCTCGTTTATGGATCGTATAATGTCGAGGCGGCTGGGATCAACTCACATTCAGAAGTGTATACAGCGATCTGGCAGGGCAGTGGAAGGGTATTGACATCTTCGGAATCGTAGGCAGCCTGTGCACAGGTACGGTAGTCCCATTCGTTTCCCTTGACGTTCGAGTAGCCTTCGTTGCCAACAATGTACGGACTCATAAATCCGATACGACCCCCGTCAGCGATGGTGTAGGCAGCCTGAGACATGGTGATATTGGACCAGCTAATTTTGACACCTTCGGTGGTGTTGAAGTATGGTGTAACATAGGTTGTGTACCCGGTCATGGCGCTCAATAAAGTTGGGAATGAAAGCAGGTAGATTGAGGCTACGGTCATCCATATAAATGCCGCAATCTCGCGGCCCGTTAGCTTTCTGCAAACAGTAGAGCCCATTTTCCAGATTGAACTCAGCGAGGCCTCTTGGAACACAACAGCTTCGAACATGCCGTAAGACACCGATGATTGACGCTCCTCAAGAAGACGAGTCAGTGCTTTTGTGAAGACCTTGAACGTGACCATCAAGAGGATGGATTGGCCGCCCCGTCCAACGATGACATCCCAAATGACGTCGATTAGTTTTGCTTCCGAGAACGTCAGCCTGCCAACGCCCATTGTTATCTGAAAAATGTGGCCGAGGGCCCAAGGATTATATTCGGAATCAAGGCTGAAGTCCCCACCTGGGCTGCAATAACTGAGCTCGCTCGGAATTGTCCTCGCTAGCAACGAAGCCGTTATCAGTGGTAGAATGACTATGCCGAAGATACCAATGTGGATGGAAATTTGCTTCTTTTGTGACCAGGCAAAGTTGAAGACGGACTTTGAGTCTTGCCACATAAGTCGCAGTAAGCGAGTGATCGTGCGCCAGGTCCGCCTCGAGGGCGTTTTTTCCACCACAGAGGATGCGTTGATAACCATATTTCAGTATGGCAGTTGCGAGGAATGGCGAGGGTGGAATCCAACACAGAAGATAGGGTGAGATTGGCAATTGGTTGCGTACAGCCCAATGGTTACAACAAATGGTTTCGCGCAACAGCTGGAAGTCCGTAAGTGTCATCGACCGCTCTCATCTCTCTCATGAGGAGAACGCGTGAAAACCTTCTGGGGTTCGTAACGAACCATCCAACACAACCCTTTCAACCATTGATGTTGACTACTATGGGTAACATTGACCGAAATCGGAACGAGCACAAGATCATCTGCATCTGTATCGGATATAACTCGTTGTCACGCCACAATAAATTGGCATGCACATATTCAGCTCTTCGTCCTACAGGCCTACAGCTCAGTCAGTGTTACTCTATCTGTGAAGCATGTAGAAGAAATGGCTCTGTTCGTTCAAAAAGGGTGCGCAGGGCGCAGAAATAAGTACAAAATTTGCTGTACGGCACAGCGAAAATAGGCGCGAAATTGCAGCAGAAAGTGACCAATCAAAAGCACGAAAAACGCAGGGATACTTAACGCGTACGAAACGCGGCCAATGAGCGCTTCTGGCGTTCAACAGCAAGTTTAGACCTCTGCAACATCGCTGTAAAGCAGATGGGTACCATTGACATCGACGAACGACTGCAGAAAAGTTCCCACTGCGCTGACGGATTATGTCGAAAAGAACAATTTGCAAGGTAAGCAGAGGTAGGAAGAGTGTATTCATACCCTGTCGTCATTTCGTCGTTCATCACTTCCTTACATCCAGTTCATAGAACAAGCGCAGCGATTCGGCTGAGCACGGCTAGGCAAGACGAAACCGCCTCAGTTGATATTGATTAATACATTTCTCTCCATTTATGTCGAGCTGCAGGCCACTTACACCTCGTTGACCAGATATTCTCTATTCGTCGGTGCCAGCTCCGGAGCAGAGACGGAGAAACGATGGGCAAGACTGGACATGCATGAGCGGCGTGTATTATACAGCACCCACAGCAGAGATGCAATTTCGACGATGCACCAGGCAGCCCACATCATGTTGGCAAGGAGATTTCCAAGGGCATCAATGAAGGACGCATAAACTTCTTTGAAATGCATCTCTTGATGTTCCCTATCGACCTAGTGAGTGGGATTGCATTGCATTCACATGCTTCAAATCTCAAGCTCTTTACCTTTGTTTGTTCCTTTACTGATATTTAGCTTTCCAGGTATATGGCTGGTATACCAAAGGCACGTTGCACAAATCGATCATCACGAACAACGCAATGGCTAACTATATCTACCAGACCGTCCGAACAACGAAAAGCTGGATGTGGTTGTTGTGGAGGCTACCGCCATCACTGAAGAAGTGCGGTGTTATTCCAGGCGCCTCTGTTGGCGTCTCCAGAGCTTGTTTAAATGACTGACAAGGTATGACCGGCCGCTCATGTCATCATACACCGTAACAAGGACGTTGGTCAATTGCAACCAGGTCATTATCGAGCTCAACACCGCAACACCTTCATTCGAAGGACTGCACGATATCACCATGACGGATCTCCCACCTCGACGGAAGCCCCACCTGATCATGGCTCCCGAAGGTATACTTCTCCGAATCTAAATTAGCACATAGGACTAAATTCTGTATAAAGACCGCATCAGCACACCACACATACTAGTAGATCCAGATAAAGTCGTTGCTATTATCGAATCCGACCACCCTGCTCAAACGCAACCAAACGCGCCAGAAAATGATGCCAGCAAAGCCATTGTTGCTAATCTCACTGATTTCCTTGAACATGAGGTCAACCATGGTCGCCTCCCAAAATCATTACTTCCAATTCAATCAGGCATCGACAATATTGCTAATGCAGTTGTTGGCGGCCTTGCTGCCAATTCTAAATTCAAAAACATGCGGGTATGGACAGGTGCTACAGGACTCCTTCCTTGACCTCTTCGACTCTGGCAACCTCGACTTCGCCACTGCAACTACAATTCGTTTCTCTCCTGACGGGTTCAAACGCTTCTACGACGGCTGGGAACGGTATTTCGACAAGCTTCTTTTGCGAAGTCAGCAAGTATCCAATTCGCCGGAAATTATTTGTCGTTTAGGAGTCATTGGCATGAATACGCCCGTCGAAGTGGATATCTATGCTCATGCCAACAGCACTTGCGTCATGGGCTTACGCATGCTCAACCGCCTGTGGGGCTCGGCAGATTTCCTCCGCAGTGCCAGATATTCCATTATGCACACGCCGTCCATTCGTCCTACCAAAAAGGATCCCACGGGCGTCAGCTGTATTGTCCCGATGTGCACCCACATTGATCAGACTGAACACGACCTTGACGTTGTGGTCACAGAACAGGTGCATTCACCCACCGCCCCTTCTGCCACGATCATGTAAGAGCTAAATACCACCATGGCATAGAGCCAAGCAGATGTCAGGGACCTGAGTCCCAAAGAGCGCGCACGCGAGATCATCAAGAAGACAGCACATCCGGACTACAAACCAATCTTGCTACTTTGACCGAGCCGAATCGTAAGGGCTGCTCTGGTTGTGAATGATGACGAACGGTGATCATGCTAGTCGTATTCTACAGACATTGCCTCAAGAGAGCATGGGGCCACGAACCTCACCGGCTCTGGCAGACACTCAAGATGCACAAGAAGCTAGATGAGAAGGGCACGATGAAGATCACCAGCTGGGATTGAGAGAATGGGGAACGAACTGTGCGGACAACGGGTGACTCGTGATGACTCGAACATGGCATGGAACCATTGGTCATTAAATCAGAGGCAATGTACAGCTTAGTTGTTTAGGATGATTTACCATCGCAGATATGTACAATTCATGGCATCTCGAGACTGATGGGATGACTGACCTCCACCCAAGCCCCCAAAGCCATCGAGATTTCCCCTGTACTGAAAATCCTATCGCTTGCCAAAACGCCTCCCTGTCAGCCCTACCGAATCACTGCTCATCCACTTCTCTTTTGTAGAGGACATCTCCGCCATAAATGGTTTGTCCAGCCTGTGTCACGTTCAAGATGCCAGCGGCGACCAGATCATTGGCAAGCCTAGCGATGATGGCGTCGCAGCCCTTGGCGGCGAGAATGTCGATAGCAACGGGCAGATACTCTTCATGTTGAGTGATGTTCGAGAAGTAAGACGCTTGTCCGACTGTCGCGTGCGGTCAGCGCCCTAACAACACATTTCGTCGGCAGACGACGGCGTTCTACCACTTACTGGGAAAGACGCTGTCAGGCACCTCGGCAAAGACCGAAATTCGACCGCTGTTGAAACCAAAGGGCACGGTAGGTGGCCTGCAGGAAAGATCAGTAATGCTGACAGCCTAGGATGCCTTTGCGATCGGAAGTGTACCTGAGATATTTGGTTCCGCGCGTTCGACATGCCGGTTCCAGCCAAATAGATCATGAACGCGTTGGAACACGTGACGGGGTCCGGAACCAGCACGTTCGAGTTGAACCAGTCCATGAAAAGGGTCTTGTTGTGGAGTGCTTCATCGAGGGCTGAGTCAGGCTGGCTATCTGCATACGTCCATCGCACCAATGGGGAGGGATCGATGAAGGGGCGTCGTCCGTCGTGCACTGCTGCGTAATCGACGTAGAATGGATCTCGAACGAGTCGTGTCTGTTGTTTGGACACGATGATGGCGTACGTGACGTTCAATAAGCTGGTCAGGCTTGATGTTGAATTCGCAGGGCCGGACGAGGCCCATTGGGAGGTCAGGTTCACCGAGCTCACATTTGCCGACAGGAAGGATTGTAACTTGGCCAGGAAATCCAAAGCCAAGCCACTTGCCGCAGAGGAGGCATTGGTGGGAAAATTGTAGGTTAAGATCCTGCTAGGATAAGCGTCGTATGCGGGAAGGGGTCCATAGAGCACCTCCTGTGCCGTGGCCCAGAGCTCGGGATCTCGGGTCAAGAATCCGGCAGTGTCGAGAACGGGAGAGAGCGGCATAACACCGGTAAGTTCTACAGCGTCATGAGTAGGACGATTTCCAAAGAGGCCTTGCGTCTGGGAAGGCCCACGAATACTACCACCCGTATCGGAGCCAACCGCTATATCGAGCCAAGGGTAAGTGCCCATACTGGCGCCAGCTCCGGCTGAAGACGACGAAGGATCTTGATAGCCATCTCCACGCGCATTGAAAGGAGAATGATAATCGACCCAGTCAGCGGTGGCCATTTGACCATTGGCGAACTGACTTGTCTTTTACTTTCCCACGATGATTGCACCGGCATCGACCAATTTCTGCACAACAACAGAATTAGCAGCAGCTGGTGGGTATAAATTGTGGAAAGCTCGATTGCCGTTGCCTGTTTTCACGCCAGCAACATCATAGATATCTTTGATACCGACTCGAACGCCGACGAGAGGCTGCTCAACTGACGGGGTGTAGTACAGACGGGAGGGCACGCCGATGGTCAAAGATGCTGACCCTTCAATCGCTGCAGACAATGTCGTAAAACTACCTTCTGGAGTGGCAAATATAGCTTCTGTGAATGATCCTCCAAAGTCGGAATACAGCCTGTATGCCATATAGACATCTCCAGTTGACGCAGACATGAAGTAAGGCCCTTGGGGTACAGCGGCATACTCATCCAATGTACGAGTTGTCTTGACACCATAAGAAGCTATGTCATCATCTTCGAATACCGAAGCATCAGGGGCGTAGATTACTGCAAGAAAGTCAATCCTCAACAAGTCGCACAACAACTTCCAGTATCATGCTATGGCGAGACCAGCCAGGAACCATACACGAAGGAGAGAGCCAGAGGATGCTATTTGGAAAACATACTCTGCATAAAGCCAGCTTGAAAGACGTCGTCCTCAGCCCTGAAGGTTTCCATAAGGACAGACAAGTTGCTCCCGGCCTTCGCATCGCTCAGCAGGGTGACAGGGTACAGACCACCAACAGAGACACATGTCGAGAGGTCCAATCCTTGCAATGACAATGTGCCTGACGAGTAGGGGGAAATGAAGTATGAGATGCCATCAAGGCTAACGCTTGACCCTGTAGACGACAAAGTAACAGCATCAGCAACTCCAATTGTACCCAGTCCCGTACGTAGTGATAGGATTAGAAGGAAACCATTGATCAGCGAAATGAGAGACATGGTGATCACCCAAGGAATCTTGAAAGCAAGAGTGAAGTGACTGCAAAACACCAAAGCCAGTACTTATGCAAGTATCTGCTGCTCACCGCTGCCACTTTCTCGTTGTTGAACAAGGCTCGGTGTTTAACAAGGCTAGATGTGCCTTATCAATGGCTGCAGATTCGTACCACGCAAGTTAGTCTGTATTGATCCAAGACTCAAGAGGTGCCAAGTGGCCATAGCTTTAGATAAGGCACCTGTATCAGACAGGAACGGAAGGTAAAGGACACTGATTGCCCTTATGAGTAATTTATCCCAGTTGTCAACTCGGGTCAGACGGCATGATATCTTTTAGGACAGAACTTGAAGAGCTGGAAGACGAGGCAATGTGTTAGTGCGAAGGCGCGAGCGTTAGCCTCAATTGCTGCGAAGCATCCAGCTAATCTAGCACCATATCGCAGGCATCTTTTGATGCCGGTCATTCAATACAGCATAGATGTAAGTCACTGTCCTGGCCTTCCTGGCCCCAGAGCAGAGGTAATTGGCGGTCCAAACAACAAGCTCGATCAAGGAGATAGTGGTGCCAAGAATGTGCCAAGAAAAGGGTCCGACAGGATTTCAACTATCTACTATGACTGTTTAGGAAGGAGTAGCCCAAATGATAAGTACGCAATAACCATTTACTTAGGCTAAATACCACGTGGAGATTGCGCATTTTGAATTGAAGTCGCGTTGCTTCAGCCCTCATGCAGTGTGCGCTTAACCACTGGCTCTGGCATGGCAGATTCAGTGAAATCACAGGCCAATGCGTCGTCAGGTAGAACACTCTTTCCCAAGGGCCCAGCTTTCACACTCGAGAACTTTTCGAACCGCGACTTCATTGTGAAAGACTTCATTGAGTCCCTTTCCGACAGCGTTCAACCTTCAAATCGACGATCACAACCTGCAAATTCACCCTTTGACCCTAAACCTTTCATTCGTACGTTTGAGCAAGCGCAGCGGCGCCTGACCGACTTGTCTGGTGACCTCGAGCTGCGGGAAAACGAGCTATCGGCAGCTGTGCGAAAGGCGGAAGCGCAACATGCGTCAAATACGGAAACATTGGGGGAGAAACTGAACTCGACCATCAACAGCTTCAACAAACTCGATACTTCCTTAAAGTCGTCCTCCAAAGAAAGATGGGGAGGAAATGCTGCTGTGGAAACTGGCAAAAGGCTCGAAGAGCTGGATCGTCAAAGAAGGAGAGCATTAGATGCCCACTTCTTGATCGAATGCTGGGAGGAAGTGAGCAACAGAGGCGAGCTTACTCTACTCGAAAACTTACGAAGGTCTGGCACAGGGGAGGGTAAAATCCGCTCGGCACATATTGCTCGACAGTTGCTCAGGATAAGTCAGCGTCTGGATCCGAACAGCTGGGCTTCTACAGACGGGGCAAGATATACCAATGGTGTGACCAATGGAAACACAAACACGCGCAATCGAAACACCAGAGAGATTATAGAAAAGTTCTCAGAGACCCTGGAGAAAGACCTGTTAAAATCATTTGATGACTTTTATCGAAGACAGAATTTCGATGGTATGAAAGACTGTGCTTTGGTGTTGCAGGATTTCAATGGTGGCGCTAGCGTCATGGCCGCTTTTGTAAATCAGCACCAATTCTTCATCGAAAGAAACCAGCTCGTTACCGAAGAAGTTGGTGGTGACCAGGAGACTTGGATGCGGCTGTCAGATCCAGATGCCGAGCTGCCAGGGATTGAGCCAGGCTTGCAGTCTTTGATTGATGAGGTCAAGGTCGTGGTGCAAGAGGAGTCAAGTATCATCAAGCGAGCATTCCCTTTCTACGAGCAAGTTCTTGGAAAATTTATACAAAGAGTATTCCAGCAATCCATACAACAACGATTAGAAATGGTATTAGAGAAGGCGAACTCGGAGTCATCTCTGGCATTCTTACGCTCATTGCAAGCGGCACGCAGCTACATAAACGCCCTGGTGGATGACTTGAAAGCTCATGGTCTGACGGAGCATCCCGAAATCATCTCATCCCAAACATCCTTGATCCTTGATCAGCAGCTCGAAGAACTGTTCGTTCCCTACTTTGGCGGCTCATACATTGACAAGGAGAAACGCAATTTGGAAGAGCTCTACAAATCGTTGATGTTCAAATTTGAGTTATTCCATTCCAGGCGGCGGAAGGCGCCGACCACATACCTCGCATCTCTACGGAATCAAGGAAGAGAATTATTAGCTTCAGCGAGAGAAGCAGCCGACGCCTATGTCAAGAGTCTTGACCTCGAGAAGATGTCTTCTACGCAGAAAAGAATGCTATTGTCAGTTGCTGGGCTAAAGGATGCGGACAAAGCGCAAGAGGAAATCGAGCTCACCGAAGAAGATGGGCGGCTCAGCATTCCATTTGCCAAAAGAATGCTGAAATGGCTAGCCGAGGGAGTTGGTCGAGGTCTGGAGCTGAATGGGGGAAGCGAAACCCCCAAGGATGTGGCTGCGCTTCTTGATATGTTGCTAGAGAATATGGGAGCAAATTACGTCGAATTTGCGCTTGACGCTGCTAGTGATCAGGCCGCTGCTGCAGAGGCAGCCAAGAAGGAACCGGATCTATCGTATCTGGCGCACCTGCGAACAGCAACCAGCATCACACATTTGATGATTACCTGCATCAATACTGTGTTGATCCCATTGGCCGCTTCAAGCATAACTATACGCCGGGAGATGGAAAAGAACACTAACCTGGCCCTTAACAGGGTCGAAGACACAATCAATGTCATTGAGCAGCGTACGGTCGATGCTGTACTGAATTGGACTACGAAACTGTTAGCTAAGCAAGAACGCAACGATTTCAGGCCACGAGACGATGATCTTGATTCCTCATTGATGCAGCTTCAAACACCTGTGAGTATTTAGCTCGCTGATTTGGGGTCCTTGTCAGCGGCTGACCTATGATTAGACCTGTGATTCTATCTACCGATTTCTTACCTCCTTCCATACGCTGGCGTCTCAGGCCCTCGATGGTATCAACCTCACCATTCTCTTGACTGAAGTTGCCATTGGCTTCCGCAGCCAACTCCTTGATCACTTCAAAAAATGGCAGGTAAATGCCACTGGTGCCTTGATGGTCACCAAAGACATTACGAAGTACCTTGATCTGCTGCGATCATGGCCACTGGATGCCAGCTTCATTTCGACGCTGGAGATCTTGGCTGAGATTGGAAACCTCTTCGTGATTGGGCCAGAGGCTTTGAGGGAAAGACTGAGGGCTGGTGCTGGAGGTGGCGCACTGGCTGGAGTAGGCAAGGAAAATTTGAGGCCTTATGTCCTTAAGAGAGAGGATGCAGGGAGTGTAGGAATACAGAGCGTTTTGAACTCGCTGTGATGGACATCTACGGGAGAAAACGAAAAGCACGGCGTTCATGATCGTTCTTGCATTGGCTTACGTTTGTCGAGATGATACCCTTGCTGTCAGCAGGTTTGGCGATGCATCATTTTCTGGGACGTGTCCTCATCAGAGCTGAGAATTGTATGGTATTGATTACGGCCACCACCGGGGTATTATGCAAAATGTACTCCTAGCAATGCAGCCCTCTCCCGCGCTGTAGACCGTTCTATACCCGGAACCCATAACCTTTCATACAATCCCGATACTTGTCAACCATGCTCTTGCAGTCCTCCTGAGGATCGTCCGCTTGCGAGAAGAGCATGCAGTCATCACGGCTAGCCTTCTCGTCTTTGCACACACAGCATGGCTATCCTTTGAGTCAGAGTGGGCGTCGACGAACAAGTTCAGAGTGAGCCTTAAGGTTGGTACCCATACCTTTACTTTGGCTGAGCCTTCCCCGGCGGGCTTCATCTCGGAGGCAAGGTTTGAGGGAGGTGCTAGGGCTGGAATGCGCACTAGTAAGTGGTTGTCGAGTCGACTCAGATACTGATAGATTCGACGTACCTGGAGCTGTGTCCACTGCAGGCGCTGAAGACCATGAACTGAACAGACCCATCTTGGTGATGTGTGGTGAGATGGGCGAGGCGCATAGGATGAATAATTATCTGGAGGGTGATGATGCCGGGCAGGTTGCGGAGGATAGAAGTGCTCCGATTGGCTACATCGATCGTCTCAGCCATCTACCCACTCTCTTTTCACAACTCAATGGTCATCTATGACTTGCTAATGCATTTGATCTCAACTACCTGTTCACCACCGTGACAACAGAAATGCGCTGCTGTGTCGCATTTACCGCTCAGCTCCTGCTGCTGTGGACTACGCACGGAAGTCCTAATGAGAATCACCTCTACATGCACAGGTTACGTTGATGTGTTGAAGGAAGCTACGGATTGTATCTTCTTCGCCACCTTCCTGAACAACCTCCCATAAGCTTGCTGTTGCTCCTACTCTGTTTATCCGTCTCTGTTCCTGCCTAAAATATGGTTCCCAGTACCTTTATCAATGATGAATTTGCAGTTACGACCATTTTGGTGCCGTTCTGTTGCCTTAATGGGCTTCAAGCTTTCGCATCCTTCTTATCTTCTTTACATTACACTCTTTATTCAAGGCTCTGCGCTTGTCTATTCATTCGTTGTGAATCTGTCTCTCCTTCACACTCACATTGTGGAAGAAAGTACCACAGTTGTAAGACTATAATCAGAATCAGGTAATAACATTGTCGATTATCATCGCCAACGGAGGGACCCATCAAGCCCTACATCATCCTTGCTTACTAGTGGAATTGGTCTCAATGGGCTCTCTCTCTATCTCGGACTACCTGCTGACCACTTCCCTAAGAAACCTCCTCTTACACCCAGCACTTCGCCAACCATATTGACACATTCATCACAATGAACAAATCTTTCAACAACTCAAAGGGTGACCTTTTAGCTACCACAAACGAGACGAGCTCCTATATCTCACGCCTTCTCAATCCAGACAATCATCACCAGCGTCAGTTTCGCAGCACTGCTCTATGTAGCCCCATAAAGCCCGATCCCAGCAAGGTCCTGCTCCACAATAGCGATCCTTGCTACGACTGGATCTTCAGCTCCGCGTCGAACGCTCACATCGCCATTGACCGTTCTGCCTTCAAGACATACACTCCTTTCATGACCTACGTTCTTGCCATTTCCGATCACCGCCAGATTCCCGTTAAGGGCATCGGCTCAGTCGATCTCGATCTCCGACGCAAGAAGGGTAGCAGAAAGTGCCACACCATCACGCTTGAGCATGTCCTGCACGCTCCGAGCTGGATGTGCAATATCTTCTCAGATGTTTATTTCGAGCAAGGAAACGGAAAGTTCGAGCATACTTGGGGTGACGAGGGAGTTCAGTTCATGAAGAGGAAGGATGGGGGTGAACTGCGGACATGGGGCTTTACGGAGGATTTCTGTGGGTTAGAGAGGCTCGTGCTGGCGAGAAACCTGAACGGGACGAGCCCCATGCTTGACGACCCGGACAGGGAAGTGTTCTCAATCAACGTTAAGTGGCCGCAGGGACAACAGGATCGTTGGGAGGTCTTCCTCGAGGAGCAGGAGAGGAAGCGTGAGGACCAGAAGAGAATGTTGGTGAAACGAGATGGAAATGTCAGGCAGATCAGTGAGAGCTCGATGGCTTCAAAGGCTTGAATGCTGTGCGAGCGCAAACAGGTTGTATACCTTTCCTCGTGGCTACAGATACGGGATATAATTCGGGGTGGATGTGGGACAGAGTACTTCTGAACAAAGCCAACAGCGGTGCTGCAGCATTATAGGCATCATATAATATGGGGATTGTGTAGACAGCATTTGCGCAGCGAAGAGAATGGCTGACATGGCACATGAATAAATGGTTAGTATACACTTCTTTACCCTGGGTGGGCACTTAAAACGTAACCCAATGAGCATGGTCATCTCCTATGTAACTTCCTTCTCGATGCTCTTCCCCCCGGAGCCTCCCTGCGGGTGAAGAGCACTTTATTACTTCGATTTGACCGTACCAGTGGATTAATACTCCAATAGATCTCGTCAATCCTACTCAGAGCCAGCGTCATAAGTGACTTGCCCAATTGTATTGTGTGTGGAGGAATTCAGGCCTGCGTCACTACACCCCACCCTGACTTATGTCACTGTGCATGCCACCTCAGCTTTTCATCAGTTGCAATTCCGTTGATTACCCCTAACTACCTCAATTCTCTGTTTTCAAACATACATATCACCTATACATTCAGCAGAAAATGTCCTACAACGACTACGATCGCCATGGTGGCTACGGCCGAGATGAAGGCGGCTATGGAAGCAGAGGTGGGGAAGCAGAAGAATACTACAATGAGGGGCAGCGTCCGTATGGCGGAAGACAGCACGAGGACGGTGATCGTCGGGGAGAGTATGGAGGTCAGGAAGGAGGGAGGAGGTATGATAATGGTGGTGGTGAAGGCGGCTATGGTGGGTCAGCGGCAGGCTACGCAAGCGGTGGAGGTTATGGTGGAGGTAATTCTGGCTATGACCAAGACGAAGCGATCAACCACGCCCGCCAACATGGCAACGAAGAAGACGGTAACCTGTTCTCTCAAGCTATGTCTTTCCTCGGCCACAAAAAGGACGACGACGACGACGATGACGACGAGATCGATGAGCAGAAGATGGTTGGGGCTCATCAGCAGCTGTACGGTGATCAAAGCACTCAGGGCCCTCAGGACTCCAAGTCTCTTGGTGCTGGTGCTGCGATGCAGGCTCTGAAGATGTTCACTGGTGGAGGAGCCGGGGCTGGAGGTATGGGAAGCCAGGGAGGTGGTAACTCGCAGAGTCAATTTATTGGCATGGCAATGGCACAGGCTGGACGGCTCTACGATCAGCAGAATGGACAGGGCAATGTGGCGAGTGGAGCAGACAAGCAGAGCGCGGTCAACGCAGCCGCCAAGTTGGCCTTGAAGATGTACATGCAGAGCGAAGGTAAGGGAGGTGGAGGCGGACCTGGTGGTCTTATGGGCCTTGCCAGCAAGTTCATGTGAGGTCCATGGGTGCTGCTCGGACGGGCAGCATATAAAGCCTGCTTCAGGATGGAAGCTTCAGAAAGAAGCGAGCATTCAGCGCCAGACATGGACGAAAGTTGAATGCAAGTAGATCAATTACCGAGCCACGCTGATAGCACTCAGCACATTTCCCATCAATCGTAGCTGGAGTGAAATGTCTCCTGAGGCAGATTGGCCCCTTGGCCCATTTCTGGTCGTGGGTTGAACCTTGAAGTAGATATTCCATACTAGCGAGGCTAACTCGTTGTCTCTATGATTCATTGGAAATGAAACATCATGATAGGGTAGGGAGAGCAGGGGTTGATGCTGTACTGCCAAGACCTTGGTCGGCACACCTGCCTCTTCTGCCCGCAGGCAAAAGCAGGACATCATAGGTCTCTCCGTCCTTTATCCAGAGCAATCCAAAATCACCTTGTTCTTGTTCTTGTTCTGTCACTCGCTTCATCCCGGTATCTGTCCGCGCTTTGATGAAATTGTTTCCTAGTTGTCGGGCTCTTCTATCTAGTCAACTCTGTGGTATACTCTGTGGTATACTTTGTGGTGTACTCTGAAAAGTCCCACCTCCCGGGCCCATGATCCAGCCTTGGGTATCACCCATCTCTGAGAATCCTATCACACGATGAATCAACCATCCAGTGATGGTTGGCGTGGACCTTCTGGGCCTCCAGCCCACCACGGTATCCCTGAAAACAATACGCAGCCGCAAGGGCGACCATTCAGCAGCTTTGGGTATATGGGCCTTCCCTCCCACTTATGATCTGCATGCAGACCATGCCTAGTGTTCCTGTATCCGCCAGAAGCTGACGCATTCAACGTGTAGAACAGGAGCGCCGCAGCAACAACAAATCGCACAGTCTCAGGTTGGTGGAAATGTTCTGCTTCCACCATCCTACCATCCAGCAGGTCCCGCCAGCGGTCACACCCTCCCAACTCTTGCCGATCTCGCCCAAGGAAGTCAACCTGTTCACCATCAGCCTTCACAGTATAACACACATCCACCACCTTCGAACACTGGGCACTCGCTTCCTGGCCTGGGCCACACACTTCAGCAGTCACCTCAGCGCATAGTCAACCAAGACCGCGAGAGAGAACTTCGGGAACGAGACAGACGTGAGATGGAAATGATGGAGAGGCAGAGACAGCGCGAGGAAATGCATCTGCGCGAGCAAGAGCAAATGAACCGGGATCGTGAGCTTGCCGAGCGTGCCCACCGAGAGCAGATGCAACACCATCCTGTTCAAAATCACGCAGGCTCGATACCCATCCACCAACCAGTTGCTTCAAAAGTTCCGAACTCGATTCATGGACCAAATGGCCTGCTCTCGACTCTGGGTTCTGGCTCAGCACCAGCTAATTCGATTCCTGCAAGCAATGGGCCCTCGGGCTTGTTCACTATGGGCTCCCAGCAACAAGAAAGCATGCCACGTCCTGCATACCTTCATCAAAGTGCTCCGCCTGCGCAGCCTCAACAGATGCCGGGCTTTGCAGGCCCAGGTCCTTCGCCGATGCCCGCTCATGCTGCTATTGGTCAGCAACAGCCCATCCTAAATGTAAGCATGTTGGAGACTGCCCTCACGTTGCAGCGCGTTAACATTCATCCCAATAGGATGCACTTAGTTATCTGGATCAAGTAAAGGTCCGTTTCAGCGATCAACCAGACGTCTACAACCGCTTTCTAGACATTATGAAAGACTTCAAAAGCCAAGCGTAAGCGTGATCGCCATCAACCATAAATCTTATACTTACTTCAGACTAGTATCGATACCCCGGGTGTTATTGAACGGGTGTCAAATCTCTTCAATGGACATCCGGCGCTTATACAGGGATTCAATACATTTCTCCCTCCTGGATATCGCATTGAATGTGGCACAGACGACAACCCTGATGCCATTAGGGTAACTACGCCACGTGGAACCACAACACAATCATTGCAAGCAAGAAGCCGGCCAGCTTTTGAGGTGGCAGCGCTGGATGGTAATACGGGCCCTAATACTTTAGCACGGCAGGAAATGCTTGATCAGAGTCGTCAAGGCTGGATGCAACATCAAGGCCCGATGCCGCAGTACTCTCCCACTGGCCGCCATACTACTCTGCCTATTTATACACAACAACAAGGGCCATCTGGTGATGTGTCTTACGAGAGCCGTAATGAACAGGAAGCCGCTAACGCAGCGCTGGTTCATCAACAAGAACAGCGAGGTGTTTCGCAGCTACAAAATGCCGTTACAGCCGCCACCAACGGGTCTACAGGCCGAGGCCAGTTGATGCAGATCTCTCCGAATTCTGGACCCCCAGCGACATTGGCTCAGCAAGCTGGCCAGGTGTTACTGCCAGGTCAGCAAGGTGACATGAAGCGAGGCCCGGTTGAGTTCAACCATGCGATAAGCTATGTTAACAAAATCAAGGCGAGTCTTCTCTACGAAAAGTGGCGGGATGTGGAATTTCAAGAACAATCAGCTGACCATTGAACAGAATCGCTTTGTACAACAACCTGAAACGTACAAGCAGTTTCTTGACATCCTACAAACATACCAGAGAGAGTCAAAGCCCATACAGGACGTCTACGCTCAAGTTACACAATTGTTTCACACTGCACCTGATCTGCTGGAAGACTTCAAACAATTCTTACCGGAATCCGCGGCACAGTGCCGCGGATGAAGCTATGATTAGCAACGTCCGGGGAGAGTATACAGCTGGCCAAGTCGCCCAAGCACAGACACCAAGACCAACAACCAAGATGCCTCCTCTGGGACAATTTGATCCTCCGAGTACCAGCAAAGAAAACAAGAAACGTCGAGGTGGACTCGGTGTGCAGTCTTCGGGTCAAGCTGGTCCTTCCAGCTCCTTAGATGCCATTGGCACTGCCCAAAGTGGACGAGGCGGCGCCGTCCAGGTAGGCAATGTGAATAAGGTTAGTGAATACTCTGTCTCTGCTTGGACAATGTCTGTTATTATAAATTGACATTCAATCATTCTCATATCCCTCTCATTCGTCCATCAACTGGCTTCTTACCAACCGACATACATCAACCCATGTTCTCCTTCATTCCTAACACTATCTTTATTGCGCAACACAACCACCGATCCAAGATATGCTCCATGAGAATACTGCTGACCTATTCCAGCGAGCGAAGATGAGTCATCCAAAGATTGTGCAGGCCGATGCATCCAACGTCTCACCCTCACTTGTGCCTCAGCTACCTGAGCCACTTCCACCTCAATCCTCTCTGGCTATTACTCAAGATGAATTCGTATTTTTCGATCGCGTGAAGAAGTTCATTTCCAACAAGAATAGCTACACTGAATTCTTGAAGTTGATCAATTTATTTACACAAGACCTCATAGACAAAAACACTCTCTCTGATCGGGTCAGCGCCTTTGTTGGCGGTAACCCAGATCTAATGTCTTACTTCAACAGGCTGATCGGCGTTGAGACCCCAGAAGGGATTATCGAAGCTCGTGCCAAACCTGATCCTGGTCGCGTGAACCTTTCGCATTGCCGATCTCTGGGGCCGAGCTATCGACACCTGCCAAAGCGCGAGCAGCATAAGGTGTGTAGAGGTAGGGATGAAATGTGCTATGATGTGCTCAATGATGAGTGGGCCTCACATCCTACATGGGCTTCTGAAGATTCTGGGTTTGTTGCTCATCGTAAAAACCAGTATGAAGATGGTCTCCACCGACTCGAAGAGGAACGTCACGATTACGACTTCCACATCGAATCCTGCCAACGTACAATTCAGCTCATGGAGCCTCTTTTGCAGCAAATGCGACTACTCAATGAGACTGATCGGGCCAGATTTGTCATTGATGAGAAGCTTGGTGGTCAGAGCAAGGCAATTCCGACCCGTATCATCAACAAGATTTATGGTCCCCAGGTGGGCAAGAATGTGATGGCTTCAATGGTTGGTCGGCCGTCAGCCGTCCTGCCCATTGTATTGAACAGACTCAAGCAGAAGCTCGAGGAGTGGAAGCAAAGTCAACGAGAATGGGAGAAAGTCTGGCGAGAGCAGACCCACAGATTTTTCTGGAAAAGTCTTGATCATCAGGGCATCAACGCCAAAAACCTCGACAAGAAGAACTTTCAGCAGAAGACTCTTACAAGTGAGATTCAGGCTAAATACGATGAACGGAAGAAGATACGTGAAGCAGGGTATCAGCAAGTAGCTCATCAATTCGAGTATGCCTTTAGCCAGCAGGAGGTTCTTTTAGATGCAAGCCATCTCATATTGTTCGCCCTTGAGAAAGACCGTGCCACCTACAACAGCGGTGAGCAAGAGCGCATTTCGGCCTTCTTGACCAAATTCGTTACCACATTTTTTGGCATCGACGCCACCGTCTTCAAAGAATTCATGCTGGACATTTCGGAACAAGCTAGCAACGGGGATATGGATGACGAAATCAATGGCGAGGAAGCCATCCAACAACGGTACTTGAAAGCCAATATGCGAAAGGCCGATATTCTTCACCGCCTTGCTCTGAACAAACACGCTGGTAAAGAAAGTAGCATTTTGACTGGCAGCAAGGAATCCACACCGGCAGGAGGGCTCATGAGCGAGCTTGAACAGGATGACGATCCGATGAACGATGCAGATGTCGTCGCTGATGTTGCGGCCCGAAGGTGGATGGATCATCCTGCTATCACTCATGGTGACAAAATGCGACGGTATCTTCTAGATGAGCCATATGAGCGCGATGAGTTCAACCTTTACGCTAACGCCAATATCTACTGCTTCTTCCGGCTCTTTGAAGCCCTCTACAGTCGTCTTCTTGCAATCAAAGAGAACGAAGCAGCGGTCCATGAAGATGTGCGGCGAGCAACTGGCGAAAAGGGCCAACCACCCAGAGCTGCCATAAGCCTCAAGATGATTGATAAGCTACCCTCAGATTTCTTTGTCGATGTCGGACCGAAGACATCATACTATCGCCAGATCATCACGATGTGCGAGGAAGTGCTCTCTGGCTCTCTAGATCTGTCACATCTTGAAGATACCTTACGAAGATTCTACATGAAGAACGGGTGGCAACTTTATACCATTGACCGGCTGCTGGCTGCCATCAATCGCTTCATCATGAATATATTGAGTTCCGATTCAAAGGACAAAAGCACAGACATCATCAATTTGTTCTACAAAGACAGAGACCGAGATGAAACCACCCGTACCCAGGAGAGATTTTATAGAAAACAGGTGCAGAAGCTGGTCAAGGAGGGTGAGGTTTACCGGATCAGATATGTAAGTTGTCCATTAAAGCACTAGACGTCCTGTACTGACCAGTTTCAGAACCCAAATACTACCAGAGCAACCATTCGACTATTCCCCTCGGATGACGATACTTTCTCTGGGGAAAAGCTAGATGACGAAGCTCGTTGGTCGGTCTACGTCACGTCTTACCAGATGCTTGATCCTACTGAGGGAGTACCTCATTCGAGAGTTGGCAAGTCTTTCCTTAGACGCAACCTTGCGAAGAATGTCGACGTCGACACCATTCTGTCGGAAGATCGACAAGAGCTGCGGGTTGATGTCTCCACATATCGTATCATCTTTACATACAATGGTGTTCCGGGCAAGCCTTTTGTGTATGAGAAAAAGATCTCGAAGAACGAGATGGCGTTTGCGGAAGACGCTCTCAAGAAGGCAAAGACAAAGAGAGATGAGAAGATGAGGGAGAAATTTGTGACCAACGCGTCTTGGATGAAGACCTTGAGCGCTGACCAAGTTGAGCTCAGGAAATCAGCGTGGCTGAAAGGGTTGGAAGAGGGGCTGTGGAAGATGGAGGAGGACTTGAGCAGGGTTCTCACGAATGCAGATACAGCCCGGGATGCTATGGTCGTCCATGGAGCAATCTAAGCCGGCTCAAAGTTCGGGAGCATAATAGGGATGCAAGGAACTTACGATCTTTGTGGACGTGAAGTTGAGAAAAACAGTCACATCGACCGGTGGAGGTATGGGTCAATCTTGGATATTGACATGCTGACGGAGGTCTCTACTCATCATGGCTATAGCAAGGGCTTAATTACAAGACGTCTTCACAGCTCACACATATTCGTACTGCATATGTCCTGCCAAAGCGATTGACATGTTCTTCGTCCCCACTCAGACCTTGAGACGAACAGAGCTCAAGACATGTGACGTCTCTTGGCAAGAGGTAATGCTGCCTGCCACCAGTGCTAGCTAAGTTAGTACGTTTTTGTAGAATTGCTCTACTACTAAGTAAGTACCTACGTAGCGAGGATCAGAAACTAGGACCGATGGACCGAGATCACAACCGGTAAATGGAGAGATCTCCCTCCGTCCCCGGCATCATGTCTGCATCATGGGGTGTGGGTCAGAACTGGCACTCCACAAAACTGCTCGAGGGGGCCAGAAGCCCAGCCGTGTAGGTGAGTCGTGATGTAATCTGTTTCATCAGGCTGTATTGCACCGCTACTGCCAATTGGCAAAATATATGAGCCTGCCGGGACTTGTGGGTTGAATAATTCTCGATCCAGTATCCATCGAATGCTCAGAAATACCCTTCTCCAAGGATTTCGAAGATCAATTCCATCGGCTACACGCTCTTGCTGCCATCCCTTACGCTCAGCTACATCCTTCAACGAATTTCGTCCATTCAACACATCAGCCTACGTCAACATGCCTGAGAACCTCAAAAAGTCCGAGGTCGACTCTGACCCCAGCGTCCTCAAACAATGGGACTACGACACGCCCATGGACAAGCAGATTGAAGACCTCTACAGTATTATGGATGGCCAGAAAGTCTGCATGCTTAACACCTATCGACCCGGCACCGGCCCTGTCGGCCGCAGCATGGGTATTGCCAAACGCGATGGTCCCGATCTCTTGTTTCTTGCCAACAAGAACTCCCAGAAGTTCAAGGACATCGAGTCCAGCAGCGGTGAGGTGCAGGTTTCTTTCCAGGACATCAAGACCCAGGATTGGGTTTCTGTTACCGGCAAAGCGAGCACCCACGGGAACGATGATCCGAGGGTGAAGGAGCTGTATGGGCCGACGATAGCGGCTTGGTTTGGGGATCTGGGTGACGGGAAGCACAACGCCACCAAGGACGATCCGAGAATTTCGCTGATCGAGGTCAAGTCGTCGTATATTGCGTATTGGAAGACCACTGTGGGCACTATGGGTTTCATGAAGGAGGTTGTCGGTGGTGCTATGACGGGTAAGGTTGCGCAAACAGGGCTGCTGAGGCAGCTGAAGCAGGAGGATATCGAGAAGGCCAGAAGCCAGAAATGATGGCTGATGAATGTTAAGTACACCAAATGCTGTCTGATAACATGACCATAACGTTAATAAGCCAATTGATTTCTTGCTGAATCGTAGACCAACATCGGCATATGTCATTTCCCTCGTATTAACGCACCACATATAGCACAAAAAGGATGAAACACCAGCTTACAATACTCCTTCCTCTTAAAGATTGGTAGCTTTTGATGCCACTCTTCAACGCTCCTGGTAGCGTATCGAGCGAAAGGCCGCCACAGCTTGAAGCTGTCCATCAAAGAAGGCTTCTTATGTTTGAATGTGTGTAGCTTGCATGTTTGTTGGATGAAAGGCCGCGTCAGGTGTGAAGGGTCCGACGGTCCGGAGGATTGTCTGGCCAAATCATGCCTGTCCATTTAACCTTGTGCTGCTATGGCTGAACCTAGCGCTTACCATTTGTGGCCGGAGGGTTAGGGGCATTGGAGTCTATTGAATTTGCCCAGAAGAGCCGCGTGGTGTTTGGCACAGATGCCTGCGTCATCTGAGCTGGCTGAGCATGATTGGTGATGCCCTGATGCGGTGGATGCTTGACCTGCCACTTTTGCCTGCGATCTGCGCTAGATTTCATCTCCAAGAATCAACAGATTGCCAAATCCTGGTTGTAGCCAATACTTTTCGTACCATAGTACTTTCGGAGTTCTTCTGCTTTCTTCATTAACAAGAGGCGTTATCACCGAGACTGCTATTAAGGTGACACATTTGACCACGGGTCATCGTCGTTCTCTTCACATTCGTTGCAGGGATTACCTGAACATCACCGCTCATTCACTGATTGAATTCCGGCATCTGTCCTGACAAGGCCTCACACCCCTGGACGATCGGACAGGCCGGTCCATGCTCACACATCTGCATCAGTGATGAGCCAGGGTCTGACTTGAATTTGGAGTCTCTGGATATTGTATTGAGCCGCTCAGCCAGAGCTGATTTGGATCTGAATCTGGATCTGGATCTGTTGGACAGTGTTCGACTTCTTGTGAGGAATCTGTCGCCGTCCTCAAGATGGCAAGAGCACGAGGTGAGCTGCTGCAAGACCTGCATTCCGTACACCCTTTTTGTGCTTCAGAAAGCACGACTGACAAATCTAACTCATGCAGTCTCCTCTTTCATGACCACTTTTGGTCACAAACTACAACATCCAGTCTCAGCCTCACCTCCGCCGCAGCCTCAGGAAAGGGTCCAGACGGAACCAGTCGCTTCTTCTTCACAGCGATTCTCCTCGTCACCAGTTCGAGAGCCTTCTGCCCCATCAACACCCCCAAGAACAAGAACGGAGCGGTCTTCCTCACGACCCCGCTCAATGATTTACCAACCTCCATTGATGGACACAGCCAGGGACACTCTACCAGAGTTGTTACCGATCTTCACGTTCCTGAATAGTCATGCGAACAAACTCTACCAAGAAGGATACTTCCTCAAGCTGAATGATCTTGACATTGGTGAGTTCTTACTCAGAAGATTGGTTGCTGCGAATGCTGATCAATAGCAGCTGGTCGTCCGAACACCGAGCGAAATTGGACAGAGTGCTTTGCTCAGCTTGTGGGAACTGTTTTGTCCCTGTGGGATGCTGCAGCTCTTGATGCAGCTGGACAGGACGGGGAGGTGGCCCCGACATTCATTAATCTGGCAGATGCCTCTATCAAAATGGTATGTCGATCCGGGTAACCTACTTCTTTCGCTAACCAACGCATCTGTGAAGATCGAGACACTCCCTACCAGGAATCAAGACGTACAGCCTCTGCAGAACGTCCTCTCGATATCTACGGCTGGCAAGAATCGATATCTCCTTCATTTCAACTCCTTCCATTCCCTCACTCAGTGGACCGCGGGCATTCGATTATCCATGTTCGAAAACACCTCACTTCAAGAATTATACACGGGCTCGCTGATAGCTGGCAAGGGAAAGTTTCTCAACAATATCAGAGTGATTATGGAGCGATCCAAACTTAGGACCGAAGACTGGGCGAGAGTGAGATTTGGAGCAGGTACACCCTGGCGACGATGCTGGTGTGTGATTGATCCACCCAACGAGAAGGACTTCCAGAAGGAGCAGAAGTCGTTGAAAAAGCGTTCGGCTTATGACCGCCCAATAGTACTAAAGGGAGATATCAAATTCTATGAGACCAAGAAAACCAAGAAAACCACACCCATCGCGACCATCACAGATGCATATTCTGCCTACGCCATCTATCCACAGTCGAAACCGCTCATTGACCAATCCACGCTCGTAAAAGTGGAAGGACGGATTACCATTCATTCGAAACCTGAATCTAAGACAGAAGGCTTCGTGTTCGTGATGCCGGAAGTTCACCCTGCCGTCAGTGGGTTCGAGATGATGCTTCGCTGGTTGTTTCCCGTCTACGATACCTTTGGCCTCTATGGACGGCCAACACGGCTGATTGCGGACACGCTTGATAATCGCGGCCTCATGTTCGCCATGCCAAAGGAGCGGCGCTATGGCTACTTGGACATTCAGGACGTTGCTGCTTTGGTATGCATGGATGGCAGCCAGGCATGGAGCGAGCAAGAATGGCGGAAGCAAATGAAAGATGTCACTTCGAAGCGACTTTCTAGCACTGAAAGCCAAATGGCGAGTCGGCAAGGCAGTAAGAAGGCCTCCCGGACCAGTCTGCCTGCTGGAACCAGTTTGCACTACGAGGATGGAGCATCCATTCGATCTACACCATCACAACGTCGTAGGCATAATCAATCTACCGACACCGTCTTCGCAACACCAGCAAAAGCTCGCACAGCGGCCTCAGGTGGCTCTCTTACTTCAGCGAATTACCACGCCAGATCGGTGTCTGACACACTGGCTTTCTCTAATTCTCCACGGAAGCGGACCGAGCCGTACGTTCCTTCGCGGCTCTCCACCGACCGGGAATCTGAGGCTCTTGACCAGCCACCAGCGCCTCCAATGCATGGACGGCCTTCTCGCAAAGGTCGTCCTGGTGACATAGAGCTTCCGAAGCCACCAATGGGCTTCGGAGCCGAGCCCCAAGCGTCAGTGGTACAGGCACATGATGAGGTGGGATCTGAGCTTCGGCCGCAGCCACCTCCAACACCAGTGGCAGCTCCTCCTGCATTCTTACACAGTGCCGGAGAGAGACCGTCTCTGCGACCAAATGCGAGCCCAGATTTGAGGAGAGCGAACAGCCGCATGTCCATTGCGACGCTTTCTCAACTCGTGGATGCTAGCAAATCTGGCACAGCATCGAATGATGCGGTGGCGGCGGCAGGAGCAGCTGCAGCGTGGAAAACCAAGGAGAACTTACGAAGCGAAGATCAGGCTTACAAAGGGGTAAATGAGACCATTAGCCGACGAGATTCTGCTGCTGACCAACGACTTCCAAGTAAAGGCATGGTAGCAGGAATGAATCACAACGAGATTGAGTCTGCCGATTCGCCGCGCGCTCAGGCAGCGACTTACATAGCATCACGACCCGACGAACTCGTTCGGTCAACTACAGACCGGTCAATTACCCGGAAGCCATTACGAACCAACGAGGCGATAAGTTCAGGTCCACAGGGATCGACAGAGAATGGGTCCAACGATGATCTCACCAAAACGAGAACAGTGTCTAATCTAATCCCCCCCCAAAACAATAGCCAAGTTGCCAACCCTCAGCAGATTCCTGACAATGACCCAGACCCAGACACTGACACATCTGTTGACTATTCGAGCGCTCCCGAGTCGACTAAGAGTAAAAAATCAGATAGTTCGACCCCCAGGCAACGAACAGGAGTCTTGAAGACGGTTGGCAATCCCAATCATGCACCGATTACTCCAGCTCGCCTGCCGATCGATGGTTCAACCGTACATGCCGCAACCACGCAAAACTACTCGAATGGGTTCCGAAAGAACGCTAGTCCGCGCTGGAACCACTCAAGGACACCGTCAGATTCCTTGACTCCCAACGACGAGCGAAGGTCATCTTACTTGGGTGGAGTCAGTCCGAACAGTAATTCCGCTTCTCGTGAGCCATCACACTCACCCAATCCTGGAGAACGAGCCGTGCCCTGGCAGCCAGGTGCTGCAGCGATCGGTTCTAGTCGAAAAAGCCCTAGCCCTCGAATCAGTCCTGAAGAATATGTTCAGCAACGATCAAGCGCCAACCGGGTTGTCAGTCCGGTTCCGCATCAGAAGAATCGCTCCACGGGCCATCTTCCCCAAGAGCGTCCCATTTCTGCAGATTGGTCCAAGCGGAAGGAAGTAGGATCTCGACCGTTGTCTGGAGATGTGTCTGTGATGCTCGCGCAACAGCAAGACTATTCCAGCCACCTGTCTGCACGAGAGCAGGAGCATGTGGCCAGGATGACCAATTCGCCGCTGGTCAACGTGAATGCTGGGAGGCAGCAGAATGTGCAGCCATCGGGACTGGTGGGTGCGATTGAGGCACGAGAGCAAGAGAAGAAGCAGGCACGACAGGACATATCAGGTCAGATGGTGCAGCATGCAATTGCGCAACGGCAGCAACAATATCAAGCTCATCAACAAGCGCAACAGCAAGCGCAACAGCAAGCACAACAGCAAGCACAACAGCAAGCGCAGGCGCAGGCTCAAGCGCAACAGCAAGCAGCACTCTCACCTCAACAGCAAGCATTCCAAGCGCAGGTAGCTGCAGGATTCTTTGGTCAGCCACAGCCACAGTCAAGGAGCACGCCGAACAGTCCTGGAGGATGGGGTACGCAGCCCAGCCCTCAGCAACAGTGGCCCAATGCTGCGACACAGACATATTGGGGTGGTCAGTCGCCTCAAGCGCCGAAGCAACAAGCAGGAGGGCAGCAACAGAGGCCTGAGTGGCAGGCACGGTTGAGGAAGCCAGCTCCTGGACAGAAATGAGCTGATGGATATTGGGGTGTTGAAAGCATTTGGCTGGCATTGCATCGATGGCATCAGATGGGCATAATTAATTGGCCAGAGCTCTAATTACTTGCTCTTTTCTATGTTGATAGTGCACTGTTTCCTCAGGAGACGGTCGTTCAACAATAAACATACCGAACAGCGTACTCTTTCGCCCTCGATGCATCCTTCACATGATCTTTGTAGGGGTGAAGGGAGACGGAAATCGAGTGGTGCATCTTGGATTCGGTGATTTAGGTATGCACCCAGTGACTAAGAGATTCTGCATCACCCCTGTCTGTGACCCTGTCTGTGACCCCTGTCTGTGACGTGTGTGGGGCCGCGGCCCATAACATAATAGACAGAATTAGTGGCCGTCTTGGCTCCTGCATCTCTGTCACAAGAAATGGGACTATCTAGGCGCAGGAGTCGGCCTAGAACAGCCCAGTTATTATGACGCTGTTGATTTTGCCCAGACGGCCACCAATTCTGTCTATGGGCCAGGCACAAGAAGAAGGTTGGGGGGGGGGAGGTAGTACTACGTAGTAAAATGGTTGATGGGTTGACGTGTTGCAGGGTTGAAGGGTTGGCTGTCCTGGCATCTGTTCATTTGCTCTTGCCCATGTTCGTAGGTCGAGTTGTGTCACTTGGAACCAGTCTCGTGAGCTCAAGGAGGGTTGAGTAGTGAGTGATATTTGAGCAGCCAGCTGGAGTGTCCATCATGGATGGAACCTCTTCATCCTCCGTGGCCATGGACGCCCCCAAGCCATGCATCGGCATTCTGTCCATCGGAGACATGGGGCTGGGAATCTCCAAACTGCTCCGCGCTCACGACTATCCAGTGGTGACTGTTGCTTCGCGTCGCAGGCGAGTGCCTCCTTGCTACTCATCACGGGTGCCCCTGCTGATACATGTAAAGCTCGTCAACGAATTCCCGAATCAAGTCCGCCAAAATCACCCTCCTGGAGAATGACTCCGAACTCGTCTCCCAAGCAGACATCATACTCAGTATCGTCCCACCTCGAGATGCCATCGCTACAGCGCGCCGCATTGCAAACGCTTGCCATTCATCAGCAGGCATCACAGCACGAAACGCGCGGCGTGGCACCACCTCTGCTCCTCTGAACCTTACCTTCGTCGACCTGAACGCCATCTCGCTCAATAGCGTCACACTGATCTCCAACCTCCTCAGCTCCAAACCAGCGGAAGAAAGACGACCTGAGCCTCCCCGTCGCCAAGCTTCCCTCCTCAGCGTTTTCTCCTCCTCCCCACCCAAAGACCCACCTCCAGAGCCCATCCCGATAACCTTCATCGACGGCGCCATCATCGGCCCACCACCGCGCCAGAAACCCGAGCACAACAAGGAATGGACCCTCCCCTCCCTCTCGTCCTCTCCCTCCCTCTCGCCCGACCTCCCCCAGATCCTCCACGTCACCCATGTCTCTCCCCAGCTCGGCGGCGCCAGCACCCTGAAATCCTGCTTCGCCTCCCTCACCAAGGGTCTGACGGCCCTGTCCCTCCTCTCCTTCACCACCGCGCAATCCGCCTCCCTACTTCCCCACCTGACCGCCCACCTCGAGAAATACTCTCCCGGCACCCTATCCCTGGTCAAGAACGCTCTCCCTGCCGTGCCCGCCAAGGCGCATCGGTGGGTCGACGAGATGCGCCAGGTGGGCGAGAATTTCGCCGAGGTCGGCGGTTTGCAAGAGGGTAAGGAGGTCTTTGATGGCTTTGCGGGCCTGTATGCGTTGGTGGCCGAAGAGACGGAGGTGGGGAGGGAGGCGAAGAGGGGGAAGACTGTGGAGGATGCGCTTGCGACGGTGGAGGCCGGGGTGAAGAGGAGGAGAAGAAAACAGGGTGGGGTGGGGGAGGAGGGAGAAGAGGATCTGAGTCTGACGTGGAGGGGTTCGTGGACTTGAGGATGGATGCATGGATAGGGTTGAGGGTTGGGGAAATCTGGCCTATGGGTCTAATTTATTCATCGTACACGCTTTGAAGGGCGAGGTTTGACCAGCAGCAGTGTGTATCAGCCTGCTTCCCATCAAGCAGGCAGGCAGTGGCAGTGGCAGTAGCAGTAACATTAGCAGCCAGGTACTTGGTCTTGTCTTATCCTGTCTTGTGTAAATCGTACAAGGCATCGCATCGCATCACCGCACAGCACAGCACATCTGGGGGCTATTGAACCCAGTCCGTCCATCCATCCCATCATCTTCTGTCACATATCTGAACATCTCACATCTCACATTTTCAAGAACCATCTACCACCGCCAAGTCAAAGTCACAGCCACATCCGCCGGGCCAACGATGGATCTCTCGCTCCTTCCCAAACCCTCAAAAAGTTAAGCTGCAAGCTGGATGGGGGCGTTTCGTCATCGTTATCGTTATCGTTATCGTTATCGTTGCTGTCACTGTCACTTTTCTATATTCCGCTTCTTCCTCCTCCTCTCTCTCTCTCTCTGTAATTGCATTTCCGAGGTTCCAAATCACCACCCCTAACAAAAAAGACAACCCCCTCCGTGAATGGACAAGATACACATAGTGTGTGCACAGTTTTTTTTTGAAAATCCGAAGCACAAACATATGTATTTGTTGGATCGTCTGGACCATTCTTGCGGTGGGCTGTGATGGTTGGTGATGAGTTTAGTTACTTACTTAGTTAGCTGGTTCAGATATCTGATTTGTACTTTCGGTCTACGGGCGGGTGGGTGTGAGAGTGAGTGAGAGAGATTTTGCTACCGTTGTGGTGTATTCGCGTATGTCTGGGAGAAGGGGGGGGAAGGGAGGGGCCGAATGGTGAGAAAAGTAGGGGATGGAATGGGAAGGGAAGAAGATGCATGTACGGCCTGCGTTGTGGTTGGATGTGCTTGTCGGTTCCAATCGTTTTGGTAGGGGAGATAGGATGGGGGTGAAAAAGAAGAGGGGATCATAACGTCCCTGGGGTTTTTTTTTGAATTGGACTCCGTGTCCTGTCCTAACCTTGCTTGGAGCCATGTAAGCATGTGTGTGTGCTCATTTCATCCCTAAGTTCAGACCTTCTTCCATTCTTTCTATCCCCCTTCAAGAGTCACTCCTTCATGGATCCTGGATCTTTGCCAGCACTTTATTTGAGCCGCCGGCACCTTTCTGCTGGTATTTGAGCGCCTCGATCACGCTCTCCAGCCCGCCATTTCCCACGATATCATACGGGTTCGGGAGCACGCGCTCCTTCTCCACCAGCCCGACGATCAGGGGAACGTATTTGGCGATGTCGTCGTTCAGTTCGTTGGCCTCGGCGCGACCGATGGGTCCTAGGGCGATGGCGTAGGCTTTTCCGCCGTGGAAATCGGTGATCTTGCTCCTACAACAATCCAAGATGAATTAAATTAGCTTGGGCCGAAAAGGCGGTTGTTCGGGGAAGCTTTTTTATCGGGCTGTGAAACGCACCAGTCATTCGTGGTTGCGAACAGCTTCTCACCACCCTCACCGTCGCTATCAGGGAGTTGCTTGAATATTTCCATGGCGAGTGGGTGGCCCGCCGCGGCGGCGTCGAAGATCTTGTAGGGTTTGTTGGAGGTGATGGACACTACTTCCTTGACTTGGTGGTCGAGGGGTTTCTTATAATCGAAGGGGATGGCGCCGAGGTCTTTGATGAGCTGGGTTGGAAATGTGTTAGCGCGTTGAGCGGGTTGGTTTCGAGGGAGTCAGGAATGATATACCTCGGCCGAGCTCGCCGAGCACGATGCTGCGACTCTGTAGCCGGCTACCTGGGCGAGCTGGGAGGAGGGATTTAGTACAAGGGTCAGGCTCTATAGAGTTTTTCAATGGTATACCTGAATGGCATACTTTCCGACACTACTTGCGCCTCCAAGGACGACGATCCATTCTTCTTCCTTTTCGGGTTCGGCCTTTGTCTGGTGGGAGTCCTCTGGTTCATTGGCTCCGGCTTTCGAAGTTGCATCTTCGACTGTTGGAGCTTCATCATCCTTTGCTGCCTCGTCTCTGTCTTTCTCTTCGGGAAGGTCGTCGAGATCGGGCAACTTCACTTTGAGGCCGTTGTATAGGCCCAGCGCTGCTGTCTGCCATGAATTCAGTGTATTGATATGCTTGGGAGCTCATACGACATACATATGTCCCAACGCCGAGAGTAGCTGCTTGCTGGAGCGAGATATTCTTCGGTTTGGGCATTGTCAAGGCAGCGTCCATAAGGAACTGTGCATGCACATCAACAATTTGACGAAGAGAACATCTCCTTTATACTGACGAATTCTTGCGCTGGACTGTGTCCTGGTGTTCCAAGCCGAGTACAACCACACACCTCATCGCCAACCTTGAACTTGGAGCCAGCGTTGGCGCCTACATCAACTACGACACCAGCAGCATCGCATCCGACGACGAAAGGCCAGCCAGTGACGAGCATGCCTGAGCTGCTCATAAGCGAATCACTGGAAGAGTTTAGCCTCGATTTTTGGAATGGAGGCTAAATCGAAGCATACACAGGGTTGATCGCCATATAGATGGACTTGACCAAGATCTGGTCGGGAGATGGTTTGGGCTTGTCAAGACTGTCAACGACCTGAGGCTCTGCCCCGGCTTTTTCGAAGATGACTCCTTTCATATTGAAGCAGAAGAAAAGCGGGCGTGGAAAGGTGGACTGAGGATATAGGAAAGCAGCTCAATACTCCATAAAAACCCGGTCGCCTTATATATATGGCCGCAGCGCCATCCACCCTGCTTATCTTACCTGCTTCGCAAGGGCATCACCGTTATAACTTTTAAGTTAGGCAGTATTGTGGACGCGGTCTCGATCAATCGTGTGATAGGTCTTGCCAGCGTGTGAGTATGTATACTAACGCCCAACACCACAAAGCGGGCCACCCCACAAAGCGGGCCAATTTCGGGTCACCCACAAAAAACCACCCTCAAATTTCTAACGCTTATTACTCCACCAATTTACGTCCAAATGGCCTCAAACCAAGAGCAATTGATTCAGCAGGCGTTAAATGACCTAGATATAGGTGCTGAGAAGTCAATTCGCAAGGTAGCTGCCAAATACAGGGTTTCAAAAACGACTGTGGCTTACCGACGCAGAGGTCGCAACCCACGTACGCAAGCCAATCGCAGGACTCAACGCCTATCCCTAGAAGAAGAAAAAACTCTAATTCAGTGGATTCGAGATCTACAGCGGCAGAATCTATGCCCAAATTACCCTAGAATTCGCTCTTTTGTGTACGAAATCCTGCGAAATCGAGGCGATTCGCGGCCCCTGGGCAAGAACTATGTATCTCGCTTCATTTCTCGCCATTCAGAGCTTCGAACAAGCAGATCTCGAGCTATGGATATTAAGCGCCTCTCTGCGCTTGATCCTACGGTTATAGAGAGCTTCTTCTCTGAATTTGAACAGCTCCGAAGTCAGTATGGCGTCGAAATAGAGAATATCTGGAATATGGATGAAACAGGCTTTCAAATGGGTCAAACAACAAGCAATTTTGTGGCCTATGACGCCTCTATAGGGCGCCCTGTTGCTCCGCAGCCAGATAATACGCAATGGGTCACAATTATTGAGTGTATCTCATATCACCGCGCCCTAAAGCCCTATCTCATCTTTTGTGGCAAGGCACCAGAGCTACATATGTTCCCTGCTATTGATGAGCTACCTGACATTATTTGGGCCTTCTCTCTAAAGGGATGGACTGATAATGAGCTTGGTATTGATTGGCTAAGGCGGATATTTATTCCACAGAGGCCTATAGGCAAGCATTCTATTCTGATTCTTGATGGCCATGACAGTCATTCTACAGGCCTATTTCAGTATCTCTGCCTTCAAAACGACATCCATCCACTCTATCTACCAGCTCATGCCTCTCATAAGCTTCAACCACTCGATTTAGGACCCTTTTCGCCTCTCAAAGCAGCATATGGCCAATTAGTACAAAGATTTGCACTAACAGGCCTTGCAACACTCAACCGCAGAGTATTTACCAAGCTCTATATTGAAGCACGTCAAACTACATTTACTGAGCGAAATATTCGTGCTGGATGGCATCGTACAGGAATTTGGCCTCTAAATAAGCAAAAACTACTCAATGACCCTGAAATTCGAAATTTTGGACGTACTACGCCTGAGTATCAACCCCCAGCTACGTCAGATGGTCTCTATAGCACTCCAAAGCAGAGTGACAATTTACGCGCACTAATTCGTCAAATTGAGGCCAAAACAACGCCTCAAACAAGACGCGCTGTACGAAAGCTTGGCCACAGCGCTATTCAAGAGCATACTGGCGCTCAATTGCTTCGAACGCAGCTCCGAGAGCTACGTCAATTGGCTTTGAAGCAAGAGCTTACCAAACGCTCAAAAAGGATACAAAAAGAGACAAAGCAGCGGTCGTGGAATCTCGAACAGGTCAGGGCTGCTCTAGCGCCTAAAAAGGTCCATTTCGTACGCAAGGAGGGCGGCGAAAAGCGAATTCTGCGTACTGTTACATTAGAATAGGCCTATAGAAGCTATTTCTATCGAAATTAGCCAATTTGAATGAGTATAGCAGCTCTAATGCAGTAGAATTTGGTGTTGTTGCTAACCCGAAATTGGCCCGCTTTGTGGGGTGGCCCGCTTTGTGGTGTTGGGCGTTAACTTAGTAAGCTGTCTTGCTTGATTAGCCGCATCGTAGTCCTAGGAAGCTTCGTATTCCTCTCTTCCCGTCTGGACGCCACAAGCGAATCGTATCACATATCCTGCGTGCTTGGTAGGACTGGATTGTTAAGCGGGCGGAGGGTTTGATCCCTCCGGCAGACCCTTAACTACTGGGTAACTGGGCTGGCGCCACATCCAAAGCTTTGATTTCAAAATCAGTTCCTGTCAGACATGAGCTAGTTTACGAGCCTCTGAAGGCCGCGGGCGGGGCTTCTTCTAGTCCCACAGTTTCTAAGATGCAAATAGCCAGACAAGCAAACTTACGTAGTAAGTAGTCAAATGGCATTCCTGTTATAAGATAAGTACTGCACAAATGCTGCTGCAGCTTCCTGCAATAAGTAGCAATAGTCCTTAATATCCTGTTAGGGCATCCTTCTAGGACAGCCTTTAGGGCATCTTTAGGGCAGCCTTCAGGGTACTCTTAAAGGGAAGTCTTGAGGAACACCCCTCTGAGGTACCCTCTGAAGGTGCTGCATTACTGTACTTCTGATACTTACTATATGCTCGCCAGGTACTGTATGCTTGCTAGTTGGTATTTAGAGTATTCTATTAGTTACAATTTCTTACACTCATGTTAGCTTGAGCTCCTGGTCTTCTGTGACATTATACAGATATAATTCAAAGAGGAATGGCTGTAAATACCACAAGAGCAGCCTCTCTATGATGGCCCAGAGGCCATTAATAATCCGCCGTAGAGAACTCCGCCCCCATATGACCCTTGCCGGTGTGGGGGATGAACTCCCCTGTCATCCCCGCAGTGTGATTGTGCTTGTTCCCTGGTGGCTGGTGTGGGGACAGCTTCCCCGGGCTCCATTGGGATTCATCTTGCTTCAGTGAGCTCAGCAAACACGCTTGGTAAAGAGAGAAGAGGAAGAAGGGCGGCGACTGACTTGGCAAAATGACACTACGTACCAACAAATTCACGCCCAAGTAAGTCTGTTTCCTCGATTTCCCTTAAGTGCAGCTATTGACCTCGTCAACCAGAGTTCTCATCTCTGCCCCCAGACGCTCCGCAGCCCAGTCCTGTGCAGATGGCAGTCTCGCTCTATACTCACAGTCTACTTACTCCTTCGACACGCACTCAAAGTCCTCGGGAATCTATGTTGTTGGGGTAAAGAGTGGTCAATCCACACTGTTGACCAACGACTCCAGAGCTAGTGAGCCGAAGTGGATAGGACTCGGTCATGAGATTGTATGGCTGAAACAAGGCGACAACGGAAACACAAGCTTTGTGATAGCTGATGCAAACGACGTGGGAAAGACGTATACTGCAGGTACCATTTCAGGGCCGGTTTCGAATCTGAAAATACATGTCCTTGAGGATGGGAAGGCAATCGTGGCATTCTCGGGAAAGTCGAACCAAGATGGCAGTCTCTACAATCCGAAGGACGTCGGCAAACCTCACAGCTCGGGTAGGATATACGATTCCTTATTCGTTCGTCGTTGGGATGCCTACGTCGAACCACAACGGAACACCATATGGACAGCTCTTTTACAGAAGATTCCGTCGAATGTGACCGCCAGAGAAGGTCGCTGGAGTCTTTTAGGGGTCACCAACATGCTGAAACGATTTCCGCAATTCGAATGTCCAATGCCCCCCTTTGGAGGCACTGATCACTTTGATGTCACAAGGGATTATATTGTAATGGTCTCTAAAGACCCCAGCGTCAATCCTGCCACCCACACGGTGTGCTTAACCTATGTCATGCGAATACCCAACCCGATCTCTGTAGAAGAAACGAACGCAGAGCCGGTGATGATAAAACCTGAGGGAAAGCGTACATGGGGCGCAGCTACCTCCCCAGTGTTCTCTCCAGATGGCAAGTATTTGGCTTTTCTTCTTATGAACGAGGATGGGTACGAGAGTGATCAAAACCACATTCAGCTTGTTCATATGCAGGAGGGGTCTGTTTTGCACAGCCATACATTGGATGTTCGAGACTCGGACAAGGACTGGGATCTGTCACCCAGCAGTATCATGTTCTCGGCAGATGGCACAAAACTGCTGGCAACAGCTGAAGACACCGGCTGTGTTTGTCTCTTCGAGTTTGACCTGACAAGATGGCTAACCTCCGGCTCAAATCGAGCCACACCACGCAAACTCACCCACTCAGGTTCGATTTCCGAAGTAGCTCGTGCTTCCTTTCTCTCCCAACAACTCTTCATCTCAAGCTCAACGTTCACAGACAGCTCCATCTACTATATCCTCGATCCGTCTGACCCCGAAACCAAGCGGATTGACGTCTCTTCATTCGCCAACAACGGTGCAAACTTCGGTCTCTCCTCAGCGCAGGTCTCAGAGCTATGGTGGAAGGGCGGGGACGATGCCTCCTACATGGTCCATGCATGGATGATGAAACCGTCTTTCTTTAGACCAGAGAAGAAATACCCCTTGGCCTACCTCATCCACGGTGGGCCACAAGGTGCTTGGGACGACCAATGGTCAACTCGCTGGAACCCTGCCGTTTTTGCTGAACAGGGCTACGTTGTCGTCGCCCCAAACCCTACTGGCTCAACCGGTTACGGTCAAAAATTCACCGACGCCATCCGCGAAAGCTGGGGAGGGCTTCCATACGAAGACTTGGTCAAAGGTTTCGAATACATCGAGTCTGAGTTCGACTTTGTCGACACATCCCGTGCCGTCGCTCTCGGTGCATCCTATGGCGGCTACATGATGAACTGGATTCAAGGGCATGATCTAGGACGCAAATTTAAGGCCCTGGTATGTCATGATGGCGTCTTTAGTATGACAGCCCAACTCGCATCTGACGAACAGTACTTCCCTCTTCACGACCTCGGAGGCCCAATCTGGAAGAATCAGCAGGGATACGATCAATGGGATCCCAGCCGCTTCACAGAGAATTGGAGCACGCCACAGTTGATCATTCACAATGAGTTGGATTATCGGCTTACAATTGCGGAGGGGTTGGCGGCATTCAACGTGCTGCAGATGAGAGGCGTGGATAGCCGCTTTTTGAGCTTTCCGGATGAGAATCATTGGGTGCTAGGGCATGAGAATAGTCTGGTGTGGCATACTGTTGTTATAGATTGGATTAACAAGTACGTGGGCCTGCCGCCATTAAGGGATAAGGAGGCAAGGGAGGAGGTGGAAGGCTGTAGGAAGGATGCTGTGCGAAGGTCGGTAGCGGAGGAGATGAAATTGCTGCGGGTTGTGGAAGAATAGAAGCAGCGGAAATGAAAGATACATGATCCTCGCGACTACAGTGCTGACTCTTTTGTCCGATGACTGAAGCATGCCGCCAGCGGCGAGGAGGTTAGTAATTAAGGACTAAGTTAGTTATTAGGCAAAAGTTTTCTCACCTAAGTCGATGGTGACAAGGAGCTACCTGTAGAACCTAGAACCTCGGTCCTCTCTCTTCCAACCATCTCGCTTGCTCCAGCCGTCACCTTACCCTTCAACAAGTTTCCAGTACTTTCTCTGGCTAATATTACGTGAAAGATGAACAGTAGGTTGTGTGAGGTGCCTCAGAAGCAGGAACATCAAGGGTCGACTACGAGTAATGTCAGGTGAGAACTAACAAACACATATGATGATCTTGGGCTATGAGACTCCTTCGCAGGGGAGCCTGTTCACTCACCATGCTCCTGGTAAAAAAGAGATTCATCTATTGGCTGTGGCCCTCTTTCCGACCTGCTCTGCCTTTCTGGTAAGGCTGCGTACTGACATCTTCAAGCCTACTACGTACGCCAATTCTGTCCTCATGTGAAAATTCCTCTTGCTTTCCGCCATGGCTCCGTGTCGATTCTTCCTGCAAGGACGCTGTAACCGTGGAGCGAGATGTGCCTTTGAGCATGCGCAGCCTGAAAGTGAAGGTGGCTCTACTTTACGAGCTGATGCAACGTCATTCGTGCCTAACGCCCAAGCCTCCACATGCCTCGTTAGTTCACCAAGCATACTCTTTTCACAGCCATGTCGCTTCTTCTTAAAGGGAGCTTGCACAAAAGGCGAGGCTTGTTCATATCGGCACATCACCTCTACTGGTGAGCACGAGGTTCCGGCTAGATCAGATTCTTTCAGTCCCCACAGTATAGCCTCGATTTCTGCAGTTCAATCCAACCCGATCGACGCAGCCAAACCGCCAGAGAAGCCCATAGCTCGAGAGTGCCTTATAAACGATGTAATAACAAAACTGGTCCGTTTTCAGGTTCCCTTCGCCACTAATACAGCTGACTAACAGACAATAGCCAGCAGCAGACTCAGATTCACGCAAGAGCAATGAAGAGAACGTTACCTATAACATTCAAGGTGCTGCCGTACAGTTCGCCTCAGGAGTGGGATTGTTGTCTCTTCGACTAGCTTCCGACATCTCCGCTGTTCACATTGAGAACCTGCCAGCGGATATTACGCCTGAAAGGCTTTCTGAGCTTTTGGCTCCTTCGGAATATCGCTTGAACACAGATAATATTGTGATGAGAGCGCTACCAAATGGAACAGCCACAGCTAACATAGAGCACCATCTGCCTGATTTTGCTGACAAGATAATAGAACTGTACGATGCGACGTCGATTGCCGGCCATATTATCAGGGTCCGTCATTCCCAGGTCACCGAGAAGAAGGGGTCTTCAGTGAACACAACACAAATATCAACCGTGGTCTGCTCTTGGCATAAGCCTTCAAGAGTGGCCTGGGCTCACTATGAGCGACCAGGGGATGCCAAGCGGGCACAGCAAGTCATGGACAATAAGTGGATTGATGGTAGGAAGGTGCAGTGTAGCTTTCAACAGCCGGAGTTCCATCTAAGGCGCAAGATGGTTTACTCGGTTCAGATTGGCAATTTGGCACCAACTACAAGCTCGCGTTATCTTCAACAGCGCTTTCGTTCCGCGGAAAAGATTGTAATGGGCAAGCTATCCTATGAAAGCTCCGCTCAAGAATCAGCTAGCCTGGTGCGGGAATTCCTTCTGAAAGCCGGTAGTCTCGAGTCATTCGATGTCAATTCCTCTGCGAATCCAAGATTTGAAAAGGCTTTTGCGAAGTTTTCGAGCCCCCAGGAAGCCAGAACTGCTGTGCAAAGGTTCAGTGGACATCTAATGCCTGAAATCAGAACCAAGCTGTTCTTGAATCTTCTGGTTTCTGTCAAATTCAAGATTCTACGAGATCTATACCGAGCAGTCGAGTCAGAACTCAATGATCTCAGAATCCAGATACTAGCCGAGGACTATATAACATTGAAAACCTACCAGTCCGAAGACCGTCCGACACTTCTGACATTGCGAGTCTATGGAGAAGACCCGAAGGCAGTAGCTAAGGCTAAGAGCGCTATCGAAATCATCCTCGCGGGCGTCCCAGCGAAAAAGGAAGACCGCCCTCTTTGGGACGATTTCTTTCTCACGACCGAAGGTATGGCATATCTCAAACATATCCAGGAATTGCATGGCGGCTTTATCTACCGTGACTCTCGCAGACGTCAACTCTCGCTTTATGGATCCTCGCATGCAAAGCGGCATTTGCAGGAGGCAATGGTCGACAAGATCAATGATAATGCCAAACAAAGTCGGAAGATAGCTCTTACTCCCATGACTTTAAGGCGATTCTTTGAAGGTGGTCTGCAAGAAATCTCGCGAATTCTTGGTGAGGGCAAAACTAGTCTTCGTATCACCTCGAGCGAGAAGACCCTCAGCATTGATGGTAGTGAAGAAGACGTGCGCCTTGCTAAAGCGATACTTGACGATCCCTTCCGTACCTTCACTAAACGCGACGAGCCATCGGCAGCCGCTGAAGACGATTGCTCGGTATGCTGGACTGAACCAGACGATGCCTATCGCACCAGTTGTGGTCATACATACTGCAAGGAATGTTTCTCTGGCCTCTGCGCATCCGCCAGGAGTCCCGAAAACTTCCCCCTGCAATGCCTAGGAGACGCTACTCGGTGTGCTCACAGCTTCAGTATGGCTGAACTGCAAAAAGCCCTTGTGCCCACAGCTTTTGACGATTTACTGAAGGCCTCGCTGGACACGTATGTTCGGACAAGACCAGGCGAGTTTCAATATTGCGTGACTGCGGATTGTCCTCAGATATATCGAATCACGAGCAATGGACGGGTTTTCGACTGTCCAAGCTGCTTAACACCCATCTGTACCACCTGCCAGGCTGTCAGCCATAATGGTTCGACGTGCGAGGAGTACAAAGACTTGTCTTCGGAGGGAACCTTGGCGCTGAAGAAGTGGATGGAAGAAAACAAGGGAAAGCCGTGTCCGAAATGCGCAACACCTATCCAAAAAGCGTATGGATGCAACCACATGCAATGTCCATCCTGCTCGACACATTTCTGTTGGTTCTGCATGGACATCTTTGATGCGCATGACATCTACCGCCACATGACGGCCCAGCACGGCGATATCGGCATCGAGGCTGCTGACAATGAGGAAGATCCCAACGTGGGGATGCTTCGTCTGTTGCGCGTGTGATGCACATGTTGTAGCTCATCAGTAGGACACTGACAAGAACACGCGACATGGGAATCGGTTTCGCGATGCTTTTCACTCCCCTTGGTATTATATGTTCAGTGATTTGTAGAGAGTACCGCACAGGCGATTTTCGGCTTCGAGGCCGGTACTACTTTATCTCGATTATTGCGAACCCCTCTTTCTCTTCAACCGCGTCCCCCATCACCAATAGCTACTCCCTCCCTCCTCTTCCTCCTCCATTCTCCTCCTCCACCAATTCTGAATTCTGAAGTAGGGGGCTATATTCAGGTGGAGGGAAGGAGGCCAAGTAGTATATTCGCTCCTGCTCTAATTTCTTTTTCCTGCTCCTGGCGCTAAGTTACCCCGTAGCCCTCGTAGTCCCAGACCTAGGGATTGCTCCAGGCCGCATTCATTTCTGCGGAACACGGGACAAAGTTCACTGCGGAAGTCGTCGTGCAGAAATCCATCATTTCATGAGACCGAGGTTACTTTCTTCTACATCAAAGTATATATATCCATATCCAACTGTATAGGGTTCGTCAATTTATATCCATATCCAACTGCATAGGGTTCGTCATTTCGATTGGATGATTAATATCATCTCATCCCCCCCCCCGGTCCTGCTCAGCTCCAGAGGGGCAGGAGGTAGAGAAGGAATAGGCTGTCAACCATCTGGGTTCCAAATCGGAGATGAACCAGAAGGACTGAAGAGTATAAGGGCCATAAAATTTCCTAGGGGGGAGAAGACAGGGGTGGAAATTGGAGGGCATCATTGCAGAGCTCGGAAGGAAGGGGAGGGAGCGGTGCTGTTTGAGTGTGTGATCATATTCTCATTCATCTGACCGACTCTCGAAAAATCCACACGTGAATGTATATATTATGTACATGACATCCTCTGTCCGTTCTGATCACCCATCTTCTTCGTCTTCGTCTTCGTCTTCGTCTTCTTTCCATCATTCTCAAAGACCAAATGAATTGATTCTGTGACGTGCCGGCAAAAGTATATCCCGCAAGAGCTTTGCCCGGTGACTGTACTACGTCAGCTAGCTAGCTGAGCTGCCCGTTCCAAGCCATCCCCATCGAAGGGACGGAAAAGCCAAACAGAAGGAGAGCTCGGCTCGTGAGTCCTTTGGTTGACACGATTTGCCACGGCTATGGTACACCGTCCTTTCATTCGCCGGCGCGTTCGGTGATTTTCCCTTTTCCCCGCAGTAAAAGATCGGACAGCCGTATATTCGGCAGTCTTGCATGACATGTTCAAAACCCACGGAAATGATTGCGGGCCACATGCGCATCGTCGGATTCCCAATCTTCCTGGATGACCAGTCTCGTCCCCCGCAAAGTGTCCTCGCTCCCGATGGACACGCCATCAATCTGCGAATCCGCCTTCGTGGTCGTACTCATACCCGTCCCAGGATAGTGACCACCTTGCCTGGTCGACGATCTGGATCGGTTACTCACAACCTCATCTGGGAGATGGATCCCAGGCTTCGTCATCGCCGGCGTCCTTTCGCTGCCTGCACCCCAATATCCCGTGTTCTTTTTCCTGCCCTGCCGTCTGTCATGTGGTCTCTGAACATCTTCTTCAGCGATGAAGGCTGTCATTCTCATGGTGGGGGTCACGTGGTCGGAATAGCCACCACCTGCGGCATTGTGCGCGGCGCTTGCTTCCGAGCCACGGCGGCTGGACGTGGTCTTCGTATTGGGTAAGCTGGCGGAATAGGGTCCGTTGTGATGGGATGGGGTATATAGGTCAGCGGTGGTGGTGTGGGTCATGCTGTAGGTTGCTGGAGGAGGTGGCGCGAAAGTGCGGCTGTGATTGGAGGAGAAATTGCGGAAAGAGGGTGCTGGTGCACGAGAGGCGGTATTGCTTCGGTGTCTGGAGTGGGATGAGTAGCGAGGTACGGTTGGTGGATCTGCGGCATCAGAATCGGGAATATAGATTGGCTCTGGAGGTTCGTATGCAGCTTCCCTGTCAGGCCGGTGATGGGCAATAACACCATCGGTTGTAAAGGAGCGATGGCCCACCCCTCCTCCATGAGGACCTCTTCCTTTGGCGACACGGATCGAGTCACGAATCGGGTTTCTTCGAAGTGAACCACCGAGCGGTGGTGCTTGTGGGGCCAGGTATTCTTGTTGTGGGATAGAGGGTAGGGCAGCCAGATCCCCTAATCCCAGAGGTGAGTGGCTGAGAAAGGAAAGGGCAGTCAACCAAACATAGTGTCGGTCTTGGCTTGTGGCCGTGAACTTCAAAGCGCGTTCGGGAGTCAGTATGAGGATCGATCGGTTGAATTGTGGTCCAGTGGCAGAAGCTTTGGGTAACAAATTGTCGTCTCTGACATCAAGAACAGATTGGATGTCCACTGGAGAAGAATTAGTCATGCAAGCAAGGAGACCCGTAGAATAAATATAATACATACACTTCCGTCCACTTTTACCCATCAGAGCAGATCCCGAAGTTGGTTGCTTACTGCTCCACATAACCGCCCTCTCATATGGTGCGAGCCAGACCCACCGTTTGTGTCTCACACCCGTGTTGGTGATGCTAGCGGATAGCTCCTCTCCATGTTTCACGAGATCCCATTCTTGATGTTTTGGTTCGGGGACTCCGAATGACTTTCTTCTCCGAATGTATTTGTACATCCATTCACCTACCATTGTTTGAGCAATAGCGTCGACCACCGAGGTCTGCTGTAATATAGTTCTGGCCGAGTCTGATGTCGAATGAGGATCGTGTCGGACTTGCCCTCTGCGTCTTGCAACGGTTGCAGAGTCCAAGCCAAAAGGGGGGGTCGTATTGTCTGATGGCAGAGGCGGTAATACCGGTCCGGGGTCATTCACGAAATCAAAACAAGGTGGTAGTGGTGGCGAAGAGCTTCGTTGATGGCCAGGAGCGGAGGGCCGCGGCACATTTGTTGTGGACTTCACCTTTCTCAGTGAAGGTTTACGACCCTTCCCGTCTCTCTTGCGTGGTGACCTCCCAGTTGGGGTAGGGCTTCGAGCACCCTCGCTAAGAGACTGCGGAGGTTTCCTCGAACTATGCCTCGTGGGTATAGCAAACGGAGGCGCTATCGCTGGAGCGCTCGGACTCCGATCGCGGTGAAATTGGTGAGCAGCAGCACCACTGGAGATGAGAGCCGCCTTTCGAATATCAGGCTGCTTGGAAGAGGCCGCCCTCAACGTCTTTGTTTTCCGCTCTAAAGGTCGAGCTGCAGAAATGTTCCCTCGGGTGCTTCGCCGTGAAGGCAGGTTTGCCATGTCCACACCCAAGTTGTCTACAGGAGACGTTTCCGACTCATGTGCTTCAACGTCGATCGGGTCGAAGACATCCTGATCATCAGCTTCTGGCTCGTTTTTGGACACCAGCTTGCCCGCCTTCAAGGTAAACTTTGCAGTGGGCCGGCTGAAGATATCGTCTTCATCGAATCTTTTCTGATCCTGCTCAACAAATTTGCCATTCATCTGATTTCCACTTTCTCCATACGAGGCGCTGAGTTCCGAAGTACGCGCCACGTTCTCGGTCTGCGTCGACATAACGGGTTCTTCAACCTCGGGTGTCGATGGCGGTATGTCCGCCTCTGTAGTGAAATCGATGACCCGTCTTCGAGAAGTCGCAGGCTTGATAGATCCTGGTTGCTGTAATCTGCGTCTGGACGAGTTAGGAAGTGGGCTCGTAGCTTGAGCTGCTGGCTGGCTCTTGGAAGACGTCTGATCCACCAATTTGGGCGGCTTTCTGAAAGGCAACAATCTTTGCGGTAACTGACCTGTCCGAGTGTCTATGCGAATCTCCTCGGTTTGCATTGAGGACGAGGTGTAGTCCAGCAGCGGACGAATATTGACTTGACAGGAGGCATTCTTCGTCTGCGGCGGTAGTACAACATTACTTGTTGGAGTAGCTGGCCTAGATGCTGGAGGATGGATGGCGATGATGGGGACGGGGAGCTTCTGAGAATCATTTGCGGACATCTTGCTTTCGTCATAAGTTTCGGCTTTATCAATCCGATCTGTTTGGGTGGCCCTGCTGATCATTTGAGGCTCAGCTACAGGACGAGGAGGCGAATCTTCCGTGGTAGGATTATATGGACTCAATGGTGTCCGAGGTGGACTAGGTAGCTGGCTCGAAGTCTGGCAAGAGGACGAAACCATGCTGCTCCCTGGTTTGGGTGGCGTAGAAGGACTTTCTCCGGTATCTATTGAGCTTGAAAAGGCTGCAGGGTCTTTGTGAGACAGGGCATTGACAGAATATATCAATTTGTTTTCATTTCCTGTTCCCGTCGGACTATTTGTTGCGGGCCATAGCTTTGGAGAGGGCGGAGAATATTGCGTCGCAGCATCAACATATTGCACTTGGTAAAGAGCCTGGAGCTTGCTGACGACGTTGTTCTTCAAGCTTATATTGATGCTGTGTCTCTGCTGCTCATTTTCAGCGAAGACCGGGAACTGATCCTCTTGGGCAAGTCCTAAAATCTTTCTGGCCTTCTGGTCCATCGAACGGGAGTGAGAAGACACGGGTCGTTCTTCTGGCAGCTCATCTGCTGAAATCTGTTCTTCATGTCGTGCATCGTGGTTTATCTGATCCTCTTCCACTTCATCAAAGGCAAGCTCGTCAGCTAGGCAGATCGAATGACCATTGTTAAAATTCATGTACGAAAGTCGATACCCATGCAAGTCGCCCTCTTGGGTCCCCGCTGAAGCCTCGCTGTCCCTCCGTCGTCCTCCCAACCCGGTTGATCGCATACTGGCCGTACTTCCTTTTCTAAGGTGCATCTTCTTCGGTGACTCGTAGTGGTTGACATCCTGATGCGATATTTGTCCATTCACCACTTGCGTGTTGCCCAGCTCGTTGAGGACGACTTTTAGGCGGCCTTCAACGACATGTACCTTTGTCTCAAGGCCCCGCTTTTCTCTCTCCCAGTTGCCTCGATCACGCTCCCAAAGCACCTGAGTCCTTTCTGCACTCTCTTCTTGCGCTCTAATTTTCTTCTGGGACAACTCAAGCCGCTTCCGCAAATCAACTGAATCATTAAGAGCCTCATCTCGCTCTTTAGAGAGCTCGCTCATTGCTGACAGGCTTCCACCTTCCAGAATCTGCATTTGACGCTTGATGGATCGCGTTTCCTCTGAGCTCGACGCCACCGTTTCCAGGAGGGATTCATTCTCGTTACGAGTTCTGTGCAGACTGGCTTCAAGGTGCTCGATATCCTTCGTCTTGTTTTCAACCTCTCTCCGTAGTGATAATATCTCAGAGACCAGGGATGCGTGTAAGCTTGGGGTGAAACGACGCGGGTCCAACGGAGATATCTTCTCGTCAGTGGCTGAGTTCAACGTCTCATGACTTATTCTGGGAGGGAAGTCGCCGTTCGGGAGAAGATGGACCGGAGATGAAGATGTGTCTGGCGAGGCACTCCCATGACGGCGCGATTGACGTGACCGAGATCTTGGCGGTGTTCGGTAGGGCGTATCTGTAGGTGTCGGCAGAGCACAAAGAACTCCTTCTGCCTGAGGTGTATGGTCCATACTGGCAGAGAAGAACTTTCTTTTGGAACGAAATATTTCCCGGCAACGTTAGATTGAAGGCAGGTTTCGCATTGCGTGTTCCTCGGTGTAAAAACGGCTCGGTAAATATCACCTCCTGGGTGCAGGTGTTTCTTCGAATTGGTGAACCACGTGCAGGTTATGTGGAACCGAGGACGTTACGCGTTACACAAATGTCAGTAGCACAAGGACAATTCGTGCAGTGTCGGTTGATCTGTGCGCAGATTGGGAACAGCTTCACGAAATCTAGTGAATGGTATGCTGCTACAGCGGGCCGGATTGAACGTTGAAACGGTCAATAGTTTCGCTGGTGAAATCGGTCTTGAGTTGTTGTTGTTTTGGTCTTGAAGAATTTTGGCTGCCAGCAAGGGTATAATGTATCGCGAGCAGCTTAGGCAAGGCGCATTGGATGCTTGCTTTTAGCCGAGCAGCAACCCTGCGGCAGGTGGATCTGGTCTGACTCGCGAGTACTTCACATGCAAGCAAAACGAGACATTGCCTTGGGGGGTTTGCAGAGGGGAATGTCAATTGGTGCAGTACATGGCCAGGACTGTGCAAAAGTGACTAAAGAGAGAAAGAATAACAAGGTATGACAAGGATTCCCGAAGCCAAAGGAGTGGAGATAGACAGCAGTGCAAGCACAAGAGGGAGGAGAAGAGAGGTGACAGACAAATGGCGATCTGCCAGCAGGCTCTGCTGCAGCTTGAAAATGCACAGTCGATCGTGTCAAGCTAGGTACTCTTAGACTATCACTAGCAATAGATTGGTCAAGGTGCTGACTGAGGAAGAGGGAGGACTGGGGTACGGAGTAATGCAGGCATAAACGTGATGAATTGCCATTTCCAGGGAGAAATGGAAGCGGGCCCATTTAGCCGTGATCAACGAAGAGGGACATGGGAAGAGAAGCCCTAGCGCGGTGCGATTATGCAGAGCCGGGGAAGTGGTTGATGAACACCAACCAAGCGGGATATGCCGGTACATCAGGGGTAAAACACTGATTCAGTGAACGCTCATCGTCGATGACTGGCCGAAGACCAATTGACGGATGGATGGTGTCCAAGCTGCTACGTGTTAAGGCTTGTGTTGTGCTGTTCGGTTGTCGGAAACGAGAATGTTTCGAACCCTAAAAGTCTCCTGGTCCAATGGCTCATGTTTACACCAAGCCGCGGTTCAATTAAGCACGGGGAAGAAATGTAACTCGCGAAGAATTGACCAACGCTTCCCAATAAGAGTTAACCTTTGGCACATCCCTGGTCTAGCCAAAGTGCACGTTCCTATCCCTTAACTCACGTGACGGGCACCCATGGCACGTCAAGCCCGGCTCTATCGATTGATCCCTGCTTGAAAATGTCTACGTAGTCCATGGGCTCAGCATGAAACTTGCTTCTGAGGAGGTCCCAGACCCATGAGGAGCTGACCCTTCTGCTGTGGCCTGGAATCATGAGCGTTTATGATCTCCGCAAGACAAATACAGCTCACTCCCCATCGACTCTCGTAAATTGTGGGCACTACGGGTGGCTTGATCAGCCTGTGGATCAGACAACCCTGGGCCGCCTAACATTATTAATGCTCCCAGGTTTGCGGCGCACGGCCCCCGGCCCACAGTACAATTGTGGCCCTGGGAACAACTGGTCTCGGAGCTTAAAAGCTCGCTTGGTTTCACTAATCGCTGTTACCCGCCAATAGTAGTCTCAAGTGCAGCGCCACTTCCTTGGCACTGCGGCTCAGTCTTCCAAGTGGGCCATTATTGCTGACCCATCTTCCTATTCCGGCTCTCCAATATCCAACGATAATACTCATTAATGATTGAAGCAGACATGCCAGAACGAGATATTGTTGAACGGCATCAGTGATAAGTAGGTACAAGACTCGAAATGTACATGCAGTCGAGCTGATGATGTGACCTGTCACCTCTGCATTGGACATCAAGATCAACCCACTTCCCGCGTCATTATCCACTCAGTAGGCAAGCGGGGGGTTAGAATGCCTCAATTGGCGTCGTCAATCTCAGTCGCCTAATGTTGCAACTTGTTTTGCATATCAAGGCCCTTCGTGCGTCTTCTTTGAGAGGGAACGTCATCAAGAACAGGTCAATCCAGACCTCCTTGAATAACATGCCTTAGACGCTTTTCCTTCAAGAGATTGCTATAAGCTGTTTCTAGATTACCTTGTTTGAGCTTAAAGTTTGTGCTATACGCTAATTGAGGCATTGCCCGCAAATTGGATAGCATTTGATATAATATCAAAGGGCGGTAGTTCAGCGTGAACGCCACATGAGTTTCAGGTGTCATGACACTATCAATTAGTGGTGGTCCATCCCATGGTTCTCACCAACCACCTGGCATGTACTAATTACGGAGTGGTGCTGAACTGCGAGCGAGAGGCTATTTAAATTGGCATGGTCAATGCCACTCAGCCGGCGGCCTTATGACCTTCAGTATACGAAAAGATGCCAACGAGAAGCGCATATGTTGCCAAAGGAATTGACTGTATCTGGCACAGAAGCCTCGAATCCGATTTCGTCTGCGAGCGCTCATGGGGAGATTGCTGAGGCGCTCTAGTATCACGAAAATATGACGCTCATGATTATGAAGAAGCAGTGACCTTTGCATTTAAGTAGGACGACAGTAACAGCCTCAGAGATCACGATCATAACTCCTCAACCATAAAAATTCCTATATGGCAAATCCTTCGTAAAAGATTTGCATCGCCGCACATTCCGGTGGCACTGAGTATAGTCGACGAGAATTGTGGTTGTTCTTCCGGTTTTCCAACATGACGATCACGGGATCTCTGGCGGCCGACAAGCGACCACGTCATCTAGGAATAGGTTCAATCGAACCTCGAGACGGCGAAGGTTGGGGTTGAATGGAAACCAATGTAATCGATGGCATTCTGCTCGGCCTCTCGTACTGACTTGTAGCAGCTGTCGACAATATTTAGCATCACATCCGAGCCAACAGCCTCTGCCCAGGATGGGTCAATACCCCGACGTTTCAGACCAGCCTTCCATGAGATACCTCAGCTGTCACCAATGGTCAAAAACCATGTCTCCGCTCAGAAGGATCACGGAAGCGGAAGAGGTGGCGGATGCCATGTCTTTTCTACACAGCCCGTTAGCAACTTCTTTCAATGGTGTGGCGCCCACGTTGATGCGGGAATGACTCTGTTAGTCAAAAGGACTTGAAAGGAGTGACCTAAGTCAGCGATCTCAACGAAGTCGGCAAGGTCCTTGGACTGGAGGGAGCAGTGATTGCGATCCTAGGCCCCAAATCATGATACTACCGCAGCTAGTTAACAGCCGAGAAAGGTATGACGATGGATTCACAAGGTCACCCACCTGCGCAACCGCGAAGTCAATCCAATCAACGTCACGTGATCGCCCGCTGTGAATGACACGTTGCATTTGTTATGTTGTGTATACCGTCAAAGGGGTGCTACTCTCCATCGCCTTTCCACCTTACGACACAGATAGGTACGGTGGACGGAGATGAAACAAGCTGAGTTTGTTGTACACTCCATGAGTGTCTCTTGATAGCCTTGTACAATTCGTCCTTGACTAACTAGTAGTGTTTCGTCATTTCACCGGGCGATCATGATCGCCGCTTGTGGCTTAGACCCTGAAGGGAAAACCCTTCTAAGATAACCAGTGATCCTCCAAAATCGCCAGAATATTTGGAGCAGCCTTGTGCTGCTACTGACAGATGTTCACCAGGCACACACAGCTGGTCGAGCGAAAGTTCCTGCTTATCGGTAAGCGAACCAGGTAGAGTAGCAGAACCTGTCATGGTATGCATGATTCCCATAAGTGGATTCAGCATACATGAAAGAGCATTGTCGGGATATCTTCCAAGGGCTATGTCAGGGGAATGTACTAATTACATATTCGAAGGAGGTGTTCTGCCGTAACAAAGCGGCGGATACAGTACATCGGGCGCGACGCTAAGCCAAGCTGCTTTAGATCCACCCCCCATAGGGAACACCCCTTTCCGATTAATATGTAATTACAAGCCGAGTCACGTCTATGAGGTCGCGGTACATCTGTCACTGGTCTTCCAGAGCGCAGTAGGACCCGCTGGTCCCTGTGGATCAAAATCTCTGCACAAAACAAGACCAGTCAGCAGGGTATTGGGAGGCGGTTATCTTCAAAAGAGATCATGACATACTTATCGAACCAGTTTCCAAATACACCTCGAGCGGAATTGCGACCACCTATTTGTATGCCTTCGCTTCGCCATCGTTCTTCACTGTTTCTTGTTAAAACAGTCTCTTTCCATTCGATGATGTCTTTTGGATGATCATACCCGTGGTAGACTGAAAATGTTGTCCATCGTATTTCCCCCTCTGGCGTCAATCTGACTGTGCCTGTTGATGTCAGAAGTGGCGCCCAAGGGGTTTTGAGGTACTTACCACGTATAGTGGAATTCGAGTTGGGGTCCCAGCTGGCATGCATCGATCGTGAAGTGCCGGTAAAATGAACAATTGGTAATGTTTGACCATCTGTTGGACCGGGCTGCTCAAGTTTGGTTGCTTTGAGGTTCATGATAATAAGCCGAATTGCCTCGCCCGTATCTAGTGGTTCTCGAGGCTCATCGGATGGAGGTGGTGCGGAGGAAAAGTTGTATGAAAAGAGTTCGGTATAGTCTAGGCAATCAGTCGCGGTCTGCGGCATTGCGCCGGCGTTTCAGTAACTCACCAAGAAAACAAACGACCTACAGTATAGATTAGCCAGAGCTCGACGAAGGGGTGATGGAGCACTAACTCTCCTCCAAGTACCTGTAATATTATATGGGTCAATGAAATCCAAGGACAGCGGAGGTTCTTCCGGCACAGGTGAGGATGGTGACGTGTAACTGTCAGGAGTGGCTCCGAAGAATGGGTCAATCCAGATAGGCTTGAACGCGCCATTAGTTCTGTCGGAAAATATCTGCAGGTTATGACCAAGGACCACCATAATAGCTTCAACTTTCTCCCAATCGACGTCCTGTGATCCGTCGTCTATGAAAGGGCCCCAGAAGGTCTTCTCGGTATACTGACGGAGGTCATAGACCTTGGACGTTGCATAGGGATAGACAGGCTTGCATATTGTCCGTTTTGGGTACAGGATCGGCACTCCATATAGGCAGTGGAGTTTTGCGCTCAGTTGTTGCTCGGCTTTCGTCGCAGAAGGGCTCCTACCTTCTTTCTTTGCTCTCTCGTACAATGAAGAATTGCAAAGGAAGAGTTCAGCATTCGCTGATTTCTGAAAGAGCTCTGCGAGAAATGCAACATTGAGAGGATGCTGTGCTTCAGACGAGGTGTTTCGTAACAGGTCAGCAACAGTATCCGCCACGTATTCCAAATTCGGTCGCTGGCTTGCACTGTTACTATATGATCTCTGTCATTGGCAGATTGGAGACATGCCTTCGTGTTTTGATCGCTAGAATCAAGGATCTTCTGAAGCCTCACAAGCCTCGGAAGAAGCTCCTCCCAGGCCGGCTCCTTGTCTCCAGCCTCTCGTATCCGAGGATCCTGCTCTTCTATTATTAAGTTACTAGGGTGCTTAGCATGGAGTTCTCACAAATGATTTAAGATAGAGTTCCTTGAAGAGGCAACGATTCTTTTGAATGAAACCATGAAACGAACGGCAGGTGCAGGCCAAAGATGCCATATCAACAGGATCTGCTTCTGCAAAAACATTGTGTAGTATTTCGTGAGGTAAACTTATCAAACAAGCCATCTTGTTCGTACTGATGACTTGGTCTCTCTGCTTGGTAATATATTTCCCAGTAGAGTCTCAAGTAATGATGTGGATTTCTGGTCACCTCCCCACCTGAATCATGAGAAGAATTGATGCTCGAATTCTTGCAAATCCCACGAGCCCTCTAGGTCTACTGATTTCCTGTGGCGATATTCGGAGGAACGGCCTTGGCTCGGACTTAAGATATGATATCAATCACAGCACTCACCGGAAGTCCAGACTCTTTCCGGCCTTTCAATCAATAATAACTGCAGATCTCTAACCAGCTTCTCCGCGTCTTGGCGTTCCTGAACCTGCAGCCAACCGGAGGTGTGAGGGTCAAGCAGCGAAAGGAGAAATGTTAAGGCTGAATCTATTGATCTCATACCCGTTCGCGTTTAATAAGCAGTTGTTCTATCCATTAGATATTGCCGCCTCCACACTGACCCACAGATAGCATGGCCTAACCAAATCCCCCAAAAGCAATCCTAATAGACGCCTTTGGCACCATACTCGACCGCCGCATCATCACCAACTATTTCATCATTAAATCCACCCAAGCCTCTCTAGCTGCGTCCTAAATACTCGAGAAGCTGAAACAAAACTCCGTATACTAGTGCAAATTCGCCCAAACGTAGCGCCACAGCTATTACGTCTTTACCAAAACGTACAGCGCCAACCCCAACACAACCCTCAGAAGCTTAGACCAGCACCAGCGTTCCTCATTAGATGAGCTCCTTGAAACGTAACCTCCTCGATCTCTGAACTTCAGACCGAAAGGAAGATACGGTGTTGATACGGCACAGTTTAGATCCCTGATCTGATCCAACCAATAGCCATCGGCTCTTGAATCACGAATTCACAACCTGCACACTCTCCAATGGCAATCAGACGCTGCTTCACTATCTTGCAGCGCATGGCAAACTCTCGTATGCGAAGTTCTTCAGTGGAGAGTATTTTTGCGTGTACAAGCCGAGTGTACTGAACTGTGAGGGTGCGGCAGGGGATTTGGATTTGAAGAGGGCGGAGCGTAGGTTTTTTGCAGCGCACTTGGGGGATTGGAAGCGGCGAGGAGGTGTGAATATTACAATCTTTTTGTGGAGAAGGAGGGAGAAGGAGCGATGGGGAGTGAGGAGATTGAGAACAATGAGACAGGCGGGTGTGGGTGGATACGTGGATTAGAATTAGGAATGGTGGGCTTGAGGATATCGTTAGGCGGTTGGGTATCAAAGATTAAATTTTTTTTTCGGAAGCAAAGACTAGATGGTTATTTGAGGCTTCTTGTAACAAGAACTGCTAATACTTTTGATGGGACAAAGGTCGTCCGAGCATGACATCTCCGAACGTATATGACGACGACAAAAAGTCCAAACCTGCTGATAACGCACTGGCGGCACACCGTAAACCCAAATTGTAATGCAGGAGTATCACGTCGAATATCGGTGTACTCGCTCCACAGCCAGGCAGCACCCAGTTACCATATTGTTTAAGCAACGGGTGGCAAGATGTCCGGACTGGGGGGGGCAATGAAGCGGTCGCTTTTGTCCATGCCTAATGCGTGCAAGTATCCAACTTTGTACTGCAATGAACTGGTCAGCGGAGCAAGTGCCATCACACAAGATAGAAGGATTCTCACAACATGGAAGTCCGTAGTCTTCTTGAAGACCCCACCGTTTGTTCTCTCACTTTCGTCTCAATAGAGCGTTCTCAACCACCTGTCCAATCGTGGATAATCATGCCTGATCATCTTCGAATTGCACTTGAAGATGTTGTAATAGGCCACATCAAATCTGCTTAAGGTGGTATAAAGCCGGATATCTACTTCTGTGATATTTTCGCCAAGGTGCTCTTCAAGCCGATCCAGGGACTCAAATAAGTGGATGAGATTTGACTCGTATGCTTCTTGTGTCGTGGCGAGACCGGTCTTGTATACTCCGTCGTTCACGGTATGGTAGACCCATTCGTTCATTGCGTCGATGTCCTTTCTCAAATGTTCAGGGTAAAACCCACCCCCAGGACGATTTTCCTCCCGCATGTTTTCTGGGAGCTGATCATCGAACGCAGTATAAAACATGCGGATGATCTCGCTACTCTCGTTATTAACGATGGTCTCGGCTTTCTTGTCCCATAAAACAAGGGACCGTGCATCGACCTACATACTCAGGGTCGGCCTTGAGGTACAATTGTTTCAAGGCAATGAACCCGTAGAGAGGATCTTCTGTAGGTGACCCATGTTGTCCATCGAATAGCCAACCATCTTCATTCAAAACAGAATTGCAAAGGATGAGCTGGATGAATGGCTCCAGCCCCGTTAGTGAACGGACTAAATTAGCCCTGTGTGCCCAAGGGCATCCAAGATTGAGATATAGTGCATAGCGATCTTTTTCTGCCGGAAATCGCGCCGAAGGATCTCTTGAAATCCAATCCCGAAATTGGGAGTCTCTCCGGCGGAATTGACCATCTGCGTCGGCGTGCTTGTAGATGGCAGCCTGTCTGATTGTTAGTAGTATCTCTTGAGTACCACGATTACACCATTGTTGTTTGCATTTGCACCTTTTTTGTCATCTTGTTCGAAGAAGGACTTTTGAACTCGATGTTAGATTTGGTGGATCTTCTGGTATTTTTCGCTTGCGGACAAAGCGTATTCGGCGTGCTCTGGGCTGTGATGTTATATATGAAGTGTTTGCCTCAGTTCCTCAGACGTGCTGGCGCATATTAACTTAGTAAGCAGCTTAGCCATAAGCACGTCTGAGAGCAAGATCGCCAGAAACAGCCAGATTGTCATTCCCAGATCTACACTTCGGCGTACTTTTGAGAATGACATACAAAAAATGAGAAAATGAAAAAAGAATGCTTTACTTTTAGCCTTTTATCACTTGAATATGATGAAGATAGACATATTAAGTAGAAAATAAGTTAGATCATTGAATAATCTAACTCCGACCAAGCTCAAATTGAAAATCAATCAAGAAGTGGTTGAGTTGTGATCATTTTGACGAACGACAATCTGGCTGTTTTTGGCGATCTTGCTCGGGATTGCTGAATCAGCGAGTCAGCCAATCAAGTTGCAGGCACGTCTGAGGATCTGAGGCAAATGAAGTGTCTTGCTCAGCCGTAATGCTTATCAAGTATTAGTAATTCTTCCGCACAGGGTCTGAAAAACGGGCTCAGAAAGTCGTGGCCGCATCTTTTGCGATACTAATACATGGAAAGGGCACTGGGCCAAAAAAGCGGCCAACCCTTTTTGAACCCCCGTTGATCACGGATAATTTGGCAAGTCACTGCAGCGCTGCGATCGTGGAGTTGGTGTCTTGCGGTCGATTGAAGTCATCTTGTTGCAATCAGAAGCTTCCCAGAATTATGCGAACCGGTCATAAGAGCTGACCTTAATTCAAACAGAGCACTTGGAAGGTAAAGCTCGGTGGAATGTTGGATTGCACTCTGAACACGAATCGCAGGGACAGAGCCTTGTGATGGATTATTTCAGTACTTGCGCACGAGTGTACGTGTTCTCCTCCACAATCTACTGTCGGTTAAAACTGCTCCGACACCTGTCCTTTTTCTTGTATCTGACCCTGCTTTGGATGAGACTTCAACGACGCCAAGAATATTCATTATTTGTATGGAGATGCTTCGCTGGAAAAGCGTACGAGAAAATTCCTGCCCGCAAAAGACTCCCGCGGCCCATCAACGCTCTTACTATCGCGATTCCGATTCCGCAAATTCCTCGTTGGCCGCAGGACGGCACGATAATATTTATTAATGGGAAGAGGCTGATTGGCGCAGAAGATCGGAGCACAAGCAAAAACCACGCGACGGAACCGTACTACGTAGTACAATTTGTTCCTGTTCCTTTGCTATACGTAGTGAGAACTTTTCGTCAACAGGGCCGTGCCGCCCGAGATCGGCAACATGTGCATCTTGGGCTTGAATTCATGAAAGATTCCTTGACTGCACACGAGACCAATTGGCCCTATTATGATGAAGCAAATTGGGCATAGGTGTTGGTGATGGTGGTTGGCCGATATGCACAAGATAATCGGATGCTTGGCGATGTATACTCCTTCAGTGCGAATCATACCCGGGCAAGTATGCACATGTTCAGCCATTGGAACTCTTTCCCAATATCAAATGTGGCCCCATAGTGGGCGTGTTAAGGGGCCAAACCGGCTTCTCGTCTGCGTAGATGTGGCGGAGGATTGCTGGGGTGACAGGAATGCAATCCAGGAGGAGCAATACGATGGGTTCAGTAGCCAATCAGCCCGAACCAACGACATTCTGCACTCGAAGGTCATCGTTGTACTTCGAACCGTCCCAGACCCTTGACGGTCGGTGTGATTTCTTTTGAAGCTGCAGCTCTTGCCTGTGGCTAGGTAGTAGATACGTGCTAACTTGCCGCGAATGCCATGCTACCTGCATAAAAGTGCATTGACTGATTCAAGACGCCAATCAACCTTGTGCTGCTTTGGTTATGGCGCCTTAAGTCCGCTTGTTAACCATAAGAATGCTGCTGGGTCCATGATGAATTGGCCAATTGGAGGTCTGACAACCGGAAAACCACGGGAATGGCTTTACTTGGTGCGTGGTTCATGTTATTGTGGTACTCCTTAGATGTGATGTAGCTGTGATGTAGGCTGTAATGTAGCTGTAGTTTCAGCTGCGGCTCGAAAAGAAGAAACGCCAAAAAGTATGGTGACTTAAGCCTTTAGGCTGGGACCTTTTTACTTTGAGTCTTATCCAATGCTATCTCAGTCGGCCATTCTTCCAAACTCTACAGAGCCTTCCAGCAGGCTGATTCTGTGCTCTCCTGCAATTTTTTTGCGAGCTAAAAACACCTCTTGTTGGAGCTATCTTGCCCCGAAATTGCGGGCCAACCGAACCGGCCTGGAGCACAAAATCTTTCACAAACCTTCTCTCAAGCTCTATTCTAACCTCGCATCCTGCAATCGCTCGTTCCTGTCTGTGGTCAATATTGATTTTACAGGTCTCTCGAACCCCTCTCGAACCCTCTCTGGCAAAGAATCTGTTAGAACGGTTCAGCTTTACCATCGGCTCAAATAGTAGGGAAAACGTCTAAGAAAGGGTGCGGAGCAATTAGTCACAATCGTTGTGGTCCACCAACATACAACACGCGTCTTGTACCTTCTGGTTGAGGCTAGAGCTGGAGGAGGACGTTGTGTTGCTTGGGATCACACAGGGTGGCGGCGGAGGATCTTGCCCAAATATTGCTCACACCCGCGCTCAGGCCAATCTGGCTTGCAGCATTACACGATTACATCGTGTGCTATTCGAACGTCGCCTGGCGGATAGGGAGTGTTTGCGGATTGTGATCCCAGGCTGGACGATCTTCAGTTCTGGCCCCCCTGTCTTGTTGCACTGCCTGTACGTGGGCCAAGAGAGTTACCATCCTTCTCGAGCAGGACGTCGAAGGATTCCTACTTTCATCTTAAACACGATTAGATTCGCGTGGAATAGGGCTGCGCCATTCTGAATTGTTCCTTGGGAGGACTTCTGTCAGCTGAGCTGGGTTTCAAACGAGGTTTATGACTTTGTGCTTCTATTCTCAACGGTGTCATTTCGACGTTCGATAGAAAAATCGCACCGCAATCATGGCAGGAAAGATGACACTCCACAAACTGGTGGTTCTCGGAGACGGTGGTGTTGGGAAGACAGCTCTTACCATTCAGGTTAGTAGTGCTTCCTTGTGCCCCTTGCATGCACGAGGCTAACATCTTTTCTAGCTCTGCTTAAACCACTTCGTCGAGACATACGACCCCACCATTGAAGATTCTTACCGAAAGCAGGTGGTAATAGACCATCAAGCTTGCATGCTAGAAGTTCTTGACACCGCCGGACAAGAGGAGTATATTTCTCTACGAGATCAATGGATAAGAGATGGCGAGGGCTTTGTTCTGGTCTACAGCATCACTCACAGGCAATCATTCAACAGCATACGGAAATACTATAATCAGATCCAAAGGGTGAAAGACTCGGGTAACGCAGGGTCGCCGACAGGTTCAAGCTATTTGAACCCCTCGCTGGCAATATCCGCTCCTACTGGACCGGTGCCCGTTATGTTGGTTGGAAATAAAAGCGACAAAGTCACTGAAAGAGCAGTCTCTTCACAAGAAGGCCAAGCGCTGGCGCGTGACCTGGGCTGTGAATTTGTTGAGGCATCGGCAAAGAATTGCATCAATGTCGAGAGAGCCTTCTACGACGTGGTTCGAGCTTTAAGGAGACAGCGGTCACAGCCCTCCAGGCAACCGGACCGAAGAGCAACGGGTTTTAGCACAAGCAGCATGCGAGATCGTACTACAGACCACTTCATCCATGCAGGGAAGAGGAGAGAGAATAAGACGAAATGTGTCATATTATGATGAGTGTGGCCTTGGGACAATGCTTTGTGGGCATTGTTTCAGTCCAATCGGCGACATACGGCAAGTCACTACACTGACAACCATGTTGCGACCAGACATGAGCCAATTTGAATCAAAGCACAATTCTAGCTCTGTGTGCTCGATGGCCTATCTCGGTTCTACGTCGCCGCTAAGGAAGTCCGGCAACTGGTCCGCCGTACTCGTCTCCAGATCTTCTTGTTCGCCATGCTCCAGCCATTATTTCTCCGACATTTTCTCAGGTCGCCCACCTTCTCTAGATACATGGACGTTGGTGAAACGTTCGTTTTACAACCGCACAAACATCTCGGCGCCCCTGCTTTAAGGGTGTGATTTGAGAACATTGAGGAACGACTACGACATCTCCGCCCGCATAATGAGATAGTGCGAAACGTTCCTGATGTTTATGCGGAGTGGTTTGCGCCAGTGGCACTGGCTAAGGGACTGCCTCCACTTGGGAAGTATCTTCTCTTTTTCTGCTTCCTTGTAAATATGATATCACACATAGAATTTGATCAGCAGCCGCGTACCTCGTAGGTACAGAACTAGGTCATCACAATTGCAACCTTGACCCTTGCAAGGCTTGTGGTACAAAGTGTAACTGAAGCGGCTGTGAAGCAAACATGGGTCATCACTTTTACTCTGCAAACCGCATGCTCTGACCCCAGTCTGCACTTGACTGTGTAGCACGTACGCAGTAGCAGCAGCATAGATATCATTTCTCAAAGTGAAGCGAACGAGCAAGGGGCGGCCTTGGCACTGGTGACAAACAGCGCAATCAATGCAAACAGTGCAAACTTCAGCCTCCTGTTGCATCAAAGTCCAGAGCTGGAGGGCGCCTCATCATATCACCTCAGTCGCATTTTATATCGTCCTATTCCGGAAGTCTCATATATTACTCCAACACCCATGACTGGCCCTCACATCTCAATCCCTCGGCCCTATGGCAGCTCTACACATTTCGGGAGTACAGCTCCAGACAGGCGACGCTCTGAAGTCGGAATGCCCAGGTTCTTCAGGAGGTCAGCTTTTCTCTTGCGGGAATGATGTGATGTGATGTGATTGAATGATCCGCTGCTGAGAAAGACCAACAATGGCAGGCTGTTCAAGTTCCCCCAGATGGATTTCGAAATGGCGGTTTGGGAAATGACGCATCTCCTCTACCAGCCCAAGAAGGTCTTCAAGTCAATCTATTACCACAAACGTAACATTCACACATTCCCCTCCCCCT